TTGATTGAACTATCTAAGGGGGGTGGGACTGTGTTCCTTGGACGCACGTGCAGGACGAACAGATGAGGCGTGCTCTCGCTACCGTCGACGCGGGCCTCCACTGATCCGAACACACGACTCGGGTCCCTCGCGAAGAGGCCATACCATGGTGGTGTTCCTCACCGTACGTATGTTAGTAGGTATGAATGTAATAGCTGAAGCAGTTTTGGATCCTGCCCTGGAGTGATATCGTAGTGGTAGCAAGTGAATACGATAGATAATGAGTAGTGGCTGCTAGCATGGCAGTAGTCACCACAATTATAGCGTCCTCGTCCGAGAAGCTACCATCCATGGAACAAGCAGGCACGTAGTCAGTAGTGAGTCGATGATCTGCAAGGCACTAGCCTTTTTCCACTGCAGGGCGCCTACCTTCTTTTGTCTTTTTTTCTTCCAGCACTACTAAACAGCAGCAAAGCATTAATCCCCTCTCCTCACCCTCTCTCAATGCCCACTGCGCTACGACCTAACGCTACCACAACTACGGCTCGGAAGAGCTATGGCGTTCCAGCTCCCCCAAGAAGACCGGTCGTTCGGTCCGCCGTTCAAGCTCGGCAGAGGGTCCGGGCATCTGGGTTGGGGACTGGCCCGGCCAGATGGGTCGATGATGTTAGTCATCCATCTCTTCGACTTTTTGTCTTGGCCAAAGGGAAAGAAGAAGAAAAGGAGAAGGAAAAAAGCGACTCGAATGTCGAATGAGGCTTTCTTAGTCCCCTTCATTATAACATCGCACGCCGCACAGACGATGCGTGTAACCAGGCTCTCTCTCCTGTCAGGACGGCCAAGGGCATAACTTTCCCTCTGCTCGGGTTTTGCGATGCTGCTGACAAGTGACAGGCCTCCGTCTTCCAAAGGTCTGATCGCAGCGCCTGACCTGATCGAGTCCCCCCGCCCACGCGCGCACGTCCCCAAGGCCTTCCTTATCGAGGGCGTCTGCTCTTTCACAACCCATCCGTGCTTGATCATATGGCGAACGATTCCTCGATGGCGATAGTGGCCAGAGCTTTCTCGGCACCGCAGGCTGGGCCAGGAGAACAGACATCGATCACAAGAACCCCAGATAGTGGTGCACGTCCACTCGACGACAGGGAATTCATGGAACACTACCTTCTTCAGCTGTCAACACGGAGGTAGCATGCGCTACCAGACAATAGCAGATGTTGCTGACTCGTCTTCTTTTTCTACCCCTCATCTTCAAGTCCCTATCAGATGTCTATCAGCACAGCTAGAGTCGTTGTACGCTGCGATAACCCCCGGGGGCGGCCACACCTCGTCAACTATCGACTCGCCGCCCTCCGTGAGCTGGCCGACATAGCAAGCTTCAAGGAGGATAGGCCGAGATAAGACGAATTCCGGCTATCGTCCTTTTCTTCCTGGTACGCATGACGCCCCAACCGCTGAGACGCGCAGCGACTAGTATGGTATAGTTGGGAGTAGCACTATGTACAATGGCAGTCTTCAGTTCCACGCTACGGCGGCGTTCTCGCCTACTCTTCCGGAGATATTTCAGGCAGTGATGGCATATCGATGCTGCGAGGGGTACCCCTGTGCGCGCCCATGGCCGCCCTTGTGATTCATACACAACACAGTAGTAGTGATACTACGATAGAGTCACAGAAAGACGGACTCAGGGTCTGGCCGTGAAACTTAGGATGACTACTACGCGAGTCCAGACGAAGAAGTGGATTCAGACGGGCTCAAGATCGGCAGATACTATTTACTCTGCCCATGTGCTATATTGCCTCGATTCTCTTCTGGTTACGAATACGTTAAAATGGTGTGCGTACCTTCGCAAAGAAGACTCTCTTTTTCTCTTTCTGTTCACGAGCTCTGGAGGGATGGAATGACGGCAGTCTGAAACAGCATAAGGGGCAACCTAGAGTCCCTCCTTTCCACAAGGCGATGATTCAGACAAAGGAAAAGGATTGCAGTTGACGTCTGCATGTCTATCGGATGTCAGTGGCATATGTTACCTCATCAATGTCAAGCCACGCAGGGCCTAGAATGGGGGGAAGGCGAGGGTTGGACTCAAGAAATCAGGACCATGAAGAGTGAGCATACATTGTGCAGTGCATACATACCCTCGGGGAACCCAACATCTAGCCACGCAGCTCCGACAGTTTCGCGACACCAACTAGGATCATCCTGTCAAACGCCACATCTTATAGACTGCAAGGTCGGTGAAGGGGTCTTTGGTGGTCGACGAAGCATCCCTCCCACGTTCGTCCCATCTGCCTATCTGACAATGAAAAAGAGAAATGGATCGCTTGGGTGCCCCTACTGTTACTTCTCACGGTCACTATTTTCTCGTCAGCTACCGACTTTCTAGCGCCCTAGCCGCCTGCAGGGCGCACTTTACACAAAAGCCCGAGGCCCATATGTGTGAATACGGCAACCGAGGGACAAACACGAGCAATAGACCCAACACCCTACGAGCGAAAGGTCAGGACTGACTTAGGGGGGGGGAAAGGGGGGATTTTAAAGAAGAACACAGTCCTGGGCGTTGTTCCGCATCTTTTCTTCTCACACAACCGTAACCGGGTCTGTCTCAGCAGGGACGACGGATTTCATGCGTCTCTCAAGCTCGTCACGGTATATGCCAGAGGTTGGTCGTGCAGTCTTTCTCAGCCATACAATTGATGTCCAGTATGATGAACGGGTCGTAATGCATACCTGTCTTGTAAGGGTCTGTCCTGCGATCTCTCAACGATCACGAGGGACCCTTCCAGTCAAAATCAAAGGAAAGTTTCGGTCTCTTAGCCCACACAGTCAAGGTTCGGTATCACTGCAGTGCTTGGGGCCGGATTCAGGGCCCGCGTAGGGTGGCATTCGGCAGTTCTAGGCCTGGGCCATTTCGGACCTTTTTTGTTGTTTGGTACGGGGCGGGGGGACCACGCAGGCATCATCTCTTCGGCACAGTAGTGACTGTGTGGTGATTGGGGTCCTTTTTTAATTATTAATTTTTCTTTCTTTCTTCCAATACTTCCTGCCCCCAAAACAAAAGTCCCACTCCGTTTACCATTGTCAGCCTTTTTTCTTTTTTAAAAAAAAAATAACTGACATGATTATAACTCTTCCCTTATAAAATAGGATCAACCGCGAGGCCAACGTTGCACCACCAAACGTTGCTATAACAAATAACCTCGCCACGATTGCAAGCCACGCGCGTAAGAAATACAACGCCGTGAGACGGGAGGCGGTCGGCGGGGGCGGGAGGGCCAAGCCAGTCAAGTCATAAGTCAGCTCGACCAGCTGCGCTCAAAAGTAAAAAGACTTGTAAACGACTCCCTTCTCAGGGCTCTGTCGCCCTGGCTGGAGTCAGCCCTGCCCGATCCGCGAAGCTGAGATGAGAGGAAAGTGGAACATGCTTTTCTCTTCTTCCCTCTTATTTCCCTGCCCCCTTCCTCACCGCATTCTCTTTCAGTAAGATGGCATGCAGGCTCCCGACAGTCCCGACAGCTCTGGCATGGTCTGTCATGGGGTGACAGCAGCTCACTCATTCTCGGAACAGCTTGGTCAATAACCCCCAATAGCAGACCGGTCTAACCTTCCAGTCCAGCCTCTGCACTCCCCCCCCCCCCCTTCTCCTGAGGTCCTTTCCCGTCCTGCGATGCAGGTAGCCTTGCCATGCATTTTGCCATCTTTTCACTGCATGGTATGCGTGCGTTTTGGGGGCTGAATAAGGTGGGGTCATCATGTCATGGAAGAAGAGAGCGAGGGCAGAAGGAGGGGAGGGGGGGGAGGCGTGCACAGTCCAGCCATGGACAAGGCATAGTCTTCCCAGGCGATCGACACAGACGGGCCGAGTACACATGGCAGCAGGACGGGAGACGAAAGCCGTCCTTCTTGTGCTGCGTACGACCTCCAGGAGCAGGTGTAGTGGTGGTGGTCCGCACGCGGGTCCATGAGGCGCCATGTCGTCTCTTTCAAAGCTCTCCCCGTCTGACATGCATCCCTTGTACACGCTGACCAATATAAAAAAGGGGGCTGAAATAGTCCAGGCCTACGCTGCGCCCGACTAACAACTCCGTGCTGGCTTTGGGTGTGCGTGTTTTGTAGCAGCTGAGAGAGACAGACAGAGGGGGGAGAGAGGCGCGGAACAGCGTCATCGGAAACCCTTTGGCCCCTGCATGTGGCTTTCCTGCCACTCTCGAGAGCTACTGGACGTAGTAATAGCAGTAGTACTGCATACTTCTCAAACCCAGCAGTCAAACAAACCCGATGAATTTGTCATCTGACCAGCCCCCTTGGCAGGTAAGAACTGTAAGAATGCAGCTCCCAATGGACGGGATGGGATCAACCCGACCGGTGCAGCAAGCTGTCATCATCCCATCCACATCTCATACCCAAGCACAGAAGTGACAGACAGACAAACGTCCCCTTTGCTGGAGAACACCGACAACCAGGAAGGGAAATGGTGAGGTACAACAGAAGAAGAAGAAAAAAAGAGAAGAAGAGAAAAGGAGTGGCTGAGACATAAGCCAAGTACCCTAGAGACATCTCTCTTCCTTTCCTTATGATTGATCACTCAGCTGAGACTGAGGGCGGTCTGCGGCGCTTCGTAAGGCGCTCGAGGCTTGCAGCGAGAGGGCCGAATCAAATTTAGAGCTGGAGATGGTCAATAAGACAGCTATTGGAGGTCAATGTACGATGTGTCAATCTACCATCGTGCTCTCTTCATATTCCAACGGTGCTGTGAATTGAAGGTTTGAGTACTGTCTTTCAGGTATCTGCTATTCAAGAGGTTGTTTTGACTTCTTGGTATTGAAGATACCAAGACTCCCGACGTCTGTCTTTCTGTTTTCGCCCGCCCTTCACTCCTTCTATCAATATACTCATAAGAATGAATGGTGCTGCTGCCGCCCCTGTTGTTCCAGACCACCTGATAACGAAGACAACATGACAGCCTATTGAAGCAGGAGCAGTCTCATTAAATAACCGGCCCGCTTTGCTGAGTCTCGAACCTACTCATCCTCCTCACCTTTGATCGCCCCGATGATCTGATCCAGAACTCCAAGTACGAGATCGTCCGCAGCATCCGCCCCAAGATCAATCAAGCCCACCACCGCCTTCTCCATTTGGGCAGCAGGTGCTGAATCATTGCCAATCGCATCCGCCGTGCCGTTCTCAATCAGAGAAGTTGCCTGTGATGCAACGCCATGGATGAGAGCGTCCGCCAGCAGTCCGAGGAGGCCCAGTCCGTCTGTGATGGTCATGTCTGCAAGCAAAGACTCTTCTGGCTCTTCACCTGCTTCTTTTTGAGATCCTGTTACAGCAGATGTTCGGATCGGCGCGGCTTCCTCGATGTGCTCAGCCGTCATGCGCGTCACCGCTGAAATCATCTTTGTGTCCTGGGAGGTCTTGCCATCATGTGGCGTATCGGACACGAGGTTTAGCAGGGTAGACGCTGTGAGTACAGAGATAGGAGAGCTCTCCTGCGGATTTGCAGAAGCGGTTTCGACAATAGCGGTAATTGTCGTTGTGGTCGTCACTGTCACTGGCGGTGGAAAGTCAGGCTCCCTAGCCACGTTTCGTCGCTTAGCACAAGGCTTGTGCATAGGAGGTAGGTGAGAGCGTGTGTGCTCGTGTCCACGACGCCAGTGAGACTTCCTGGCATCTCTGGATTCCGGTGATGTTTCAGCCGGCAGGGCGAGAGCCAGGCTGAGCGTTCCCAGGAGAAGTGAGGTGATCTGGGAGAAGCGCATTTTGTTTGTATTCAGAGGTTCACAGCAGGGGACTCGAGCTGGATGGACGAAAGAAAATAAAAGAATGAAATAGAGCCTGATATGATTTTCGGATGATCAAGGAAATCTCAATAATTGAATGCAGATATGTTTGTTGTAAAGGCCCTGGCTCGGTCGAAGCATGTCATGAAGAGAGATGAAATGCGACCACGACCAGGCCAGACTCTCAGACCGTAAACAAAGACGAGCCCAGAACACCATTCTCGAAGGAACGAGTTAAGGATGTAGATAAGCGCCGAACTGGCAGGCACGACGCACCTTCACAGGTTACTAAAGGTGTCTATGAGGTACGTGCCCGCCATATCGAGTACGTTAGTCATAGTCAAGGCGGTTTTTGAAGGCCCATCGTGCACGAGGAAACGATTCATTTGCTGTTGGTTGCGTAAGTAAGTCTATCATGTCTAATCATTGCCGCAGACCACTCCCATACAGGCGAAATAGCCACACAAGCGCCAGTCTCACTGCCTCGACTCGCCAATGCCAGTTGTGCTCCAAAGGGGCAAGGGACGTAGGTCCTGTTCCCAAGACTTTCGAAGACCAAGGAAGCTCATATCCTCAGAATTCCTGTTTCATCAGACAGCAAGGCCATTGCTGCCACCTCAGCGACACCCGCCGCGGCGAAACTTGCCCAGCAAATTCTCAAAACCAGGGATGTGATCCAGCCCCTCGAAACCCTTTCCGCCACACTCCCTTTCCCCGACCTCGATCACGGCGCCGACAAGATCCTTGTTGATCTCTTCCGGCACGACACTGTCGAACTTGTAGCTGGGGTGGCCAGCCACATACTCACGGATCCACTTGGACGCGGTCCAGAGTTCACCGCTCGCACGCTTCCGGATGAGGTCGAGGTACGTTGCCAGCTCGCATCGGGTCACAACATCCATGTTGACGCTGTCGATGTAGCTCTCGACGAGCGGTATGAGACCCGGGAAGCCCTCGTCGTCAACATCGTCGGCGCCATTGGTTGCGGCTGTCCCGTTGATAATCTCGTTTACGGTCATCAGTCGATACTCGTCCTCGACGGGTCCCAGCGGCGTCGGCGGTCTGCTGAACCCACCAGCAGCATGTAAGTGGTTCGGCGTTGATGTCCCACTGGCGCGTGGTGTCCGAGCTGTGAAGGGCGTCTTTCGGAAGTAGAACTTCTCGTTCAGAACAGCGTCTTTGCGGTGTGCCGTCTCCATGTTCTCATCCACCTTGGCGATAGGAATGTAAAAGTTTAGATCGAACGACAGAATGGCTCGCGTGATTAGAACAATAAAGACCGCGAACGCAGCATTCTCAAAGTCTGTGACCTGGATCTCCATAGGCCGGAACTCAACGCGCCACCCAATGTCGCTGCCGGCAGGTGGTGGCTTGAAGCGCATGTGTTGCCAGTTGGTCGACTGGATGTTCTCAAAATGGTCCGTCTTGGTCATGTCCAGGTGCTCGAGGTCCTCCTTGAAGATAACGATGGGGTCACGGATAAACAGGTGAGCAAAATGCGTGGCGAGCCGGTCATCCATCCCTCCCTCCATAAGCTTGGCCTTGATCGATTCATCAATCACCAGATCGGGATCCAGATATTCAGGCCGGAGACGATGGTCGGTGGAGATGTACGTCGAGTTCGAGGCATAGCGGGACTTGGGGATGCGCCAGCGATCATTTTTAAGTGGCTTTTTGGGGGGTCAGCTCATCACTGAGGAAGATGGCGAGGGGAAGCAAGATGCAGAGGAGGACATGTCTTCTTACCTTTTCTCCCATTTCCTCCAGGGTTCGGTCATCTACAGCGCGGCTGATCTGGTTCCACCGCACATCTGTGTCGGCCAGAAAGCCCTTGTAGATGGGTGTCGCCGCCGTCAATGCCAAGAGGATCGGCCCGAGAGGACTCAACTGATCGTACATCTTCCTGCCCTCTGTGATGTTCTTGGCCTGGAATGTGATCTGCAGACAGCAGCTTCCCATGCCGAAGGCCATAGCGTCCATGTGGATGAAGTTGTCCGGCGCAGCACCGTTCCTCACGTCGTCGTCCTCGGGCCATGTGTGCAGATCATAGTTGACCGTCGGATCCTTCCACGGCCAGGGCGTATTCTTGTCCTTGAATACGGGCACGTTCACCTGCACCTTCCTGCCCCTCCGCCACCGAATGTTCGCAGCCAGGGTGGGAAACCGAATGTGAGGATTCGCGATCTCATCAGGCACAAATTGCGAGCGCAGCTTAGAGCCCGACACTGGGTAGTGCGGGTCGGTGAAGACCCCAGGGCGGCCGATCATCGGGAATGTCGTCAGGGTGATAGGGTACTCATCTGAGCGCATGTGATCTTTCGCGATGACTCGCCTCAAGATCATGTTTGGCTCGACGTTGAGAAGTTCCCTAAACTCGATGCCCCAAGGCTTGCCTGGTGTCGCCTCCAGCATGAATCTGCCGAACTCGGGATGGAACACTGGTAGAGGCTCATTTGAACTGGACGCAGTGTCAGTTTTATCCAGTAGCGAATGGTGTTTTGTTCGAGGTCTCCTGCTTCTTACCTCATCCCAGGGACATCTTGGAGAGCCGGAACACACCCGCCCTGAGCGGTCAGATTTTTGTCGGTAGCCAGGGCTTCGAGAATATCTGCCTGTCTCAGGGACAATAGCACTTCATCCTTGTCCTTTGCGTATACCACTACAAGATACTCGACCTGATCACCACCGCGATCAGCAACGGCGGAACCTTTTAGGAAATGGGAACGGTGGAGGGATTCAAACCTCATCACCCCATAGCATGGCATCTGCCTCTTTGCCCTTGGCCTTGTTCCATATCTCCAGTAGTTGCTAATGATCCTGTCAGTAAAACTGCCGTCCCACGACATGCTCATTGTGTGTAACCCTGCTTACCTTGATGCCCCACTCGCGGACCTGGTCGGCGTGTTTCTTGGCGTCTGGCCAATCCAGTGCCGTTCCAAGAGCTCTTCAATACACGATCGTGATTAGTTGAGCTTCTACAAACAAGATAAAGCCCGGAACAGAGAGAACATACAAGAGACCCATCGTGAAAAGCGAATGAAGTGAGGAAAAAAGCCAGTCGAGTATCGTTGACGATGCTTCCTTTTCTCAGCGTGTTTGGACCGAAGTCCTGAATACCGATGATATCCGAGGTTGGGCCGAGCCTCCAGATATGAAAAAAAGAGAGAAGAAAAGAACGGGTGACTTCACAGCATCATTGCTGAACCTGGGCTGCCGACAGCGGAGATGGGTAGTATCTGATGTTACAAAATCAGAACAAGCTCGTATTATCGACGTAGGCTCTTATCAGGACATAGAGGAGGGATGCAGACCTAGTAAGTATATATATATATCTAATTTATATATACGAGAGCACCAAGGATGTGTATGTCTCGAGATCAGTGTCGGCGCTTTTGGGAACGTCAGATGCCGGCTAGGCACGCTCCCCCACGGTTGGTATCAGGCTCGTCGAATCAAGAAGGATGCTCTAGCCAGGCTTGCCAGGGTCAGAAGGATGACAAGTGATCGCGCGATATCTCTCGACGGCGACTGGACAGATCTGGCACAGGCGAGGTGGAGGTTCAGAGTGGACAGGTGTGACGTCCCCAAGGTTTCTTTCTTTCTTTTTCTTGATAATGAGAAAAATGTTTTGACCTCTGTCTGGCCGGGAGCTAAAAAGGTACTAATCATGTACTATGAAAAAGGCTTTCGCAGGCCGGCCACGACAAGGACTTTAAAAAGTAAGAGAGAAAAAAGGCGCTGAATTAGTGGGACCCTTGAGAATGCGACGACGAACCACCCCTGGTCGGCAAAAGACTGTTCTCATGGCTTCTGCTTAGAAATCGATGTCCTGTTACCGGACTCCTCGGCTGCACGACGGCTCCTCCCCTGGGTTTTCGACGTTGATATGGCCTCGTGGGTGTTTATTTTCCCCTTCTCTTCTATTGGCATCTTGTCTGCTCCTTACAATCTTCTCTATGGTAGAATTAGCCGCAGTATGCGCTTGCAGGGGAGGGCGGGGTAGAGAAACCAAAAACCCTAAATAACCCCAACCCTCGACTGTTTTTGGTTATTTTTTGTGTCCCTCACTGGCTCACTACCAACTTGTCTCGTTCAGTCATCACTTTTTCAGCAAGTCTAGCCATCTCATACCAGTGTGTGCACCTGTGCTACTGGGGTGAGATCTTCATCCATTCCTAATAAGCGTCCATTTGTTCAGAAAACAACTTGCCAAGAGCCATTTCCGTTGCCCCAGCACATTACTAAGGCTCGAAAACCTTCGAGTAGCATGTCGTCAAAGGGCGTGAGCGCCTCCATCCACCCTCCATGAACAACGATGCACCCGCTGCAAGTCGTATTCTTAAAAGGCCGCAAAAGCTATACATATCTGCTCATCGCCCGATGTCAGAAACCCCCCCCCCCCCAAAAAAAAAAAAAGTTACATGCCATTGTCGGACCGTCGTCCTCAGATGAATCATCCCAATTTGAAGTAACCTCGAGAGTCCCGAGACTCCGTCTGGACGTGAACTCATTTTCCCGATCTCATCTCATTGCTTCAACCCAAATGTTTTCACGGTGGTCTACGTATACAGCACAAGTGATTGCGCCACGACTCCGTAGAGAGCCTTATGGTTGTGGAACTCGCTGGGGTATTCTTAGGAGAGTATCTGCACATGTGGTAGTTATTGAAGCTGGGCTGGGCAAACACCTTGAGGACTCGGACTGCTTCTATAATAGGATGTGTTGAGAAGGGGGTAAAGGTGGCACAGGATGGGGCATGTTGCTAACCAGATCACTCATATAGTCTGTCCTGACTGTGTGAATGAGGCCGAGGAAAGCTACATATCTCTGCCGAGTAACGGGCGAAATGAAGGCAAAATAAGGCAAGCCAAACACTGTCCATCTAATCCTACTACTACTATTCATCTTATCTGCCCCCCAATGCAGTCAATATATCATTGCCGACTGCCTTTTCTGCTTCCAGTCTCTGGGAACCTCCATCATGTCTCCCAAAACCTCTTGCAGCGTATCAATTTCCACTTGGGAACTGTTTGGACGGTTCCAGCTCGGCAAGCCGTGGTGGGAATAGGTAGATGCGGACACAGGCCGGGACCAGAGAGCTTTGGCGGAGCCTTTGCAAGAGCAAGGTGACATGTAGGTTTGAGAAATAAATTTCTGATATAGCGTGATATAATAACTTCAAAAGTGATAAAATGTCTTATCTTGTAACTGAAATAATGAGGTTGGACCACAACAGGGAACAATATTGTACTTTTCCCCGAAGAATGACAAAGCCTCCTGATGGAGATCTCAGTGAGCAATGCTTATATTATGATTCTGATATAGTAACGCAGGTATTGCCATTGGAGTTGGTCAAGCAGGCGTCAGGTACGCAGAAGGTACTGAATTTGGGCCGCCTAGCGTCAGCCCAGTCAGCCCCTCAGGGCTCATTATGTCAGAAAGAGAAGATTCATTGTTTGTAGTCTCAATTTCATGCACTCTGATGTAAGCTAATCATGCATTGCATAATGTTTTTAAGCCATGAGGTTGAAATCGCAGCAGGTCGTCTTCGAGTTTGAGCTACGCAGAACCTTGTCTGGGTAGAACAATCCGAGGTGTTGAGATTGTATGACAAAACTCGCAGAGTTTCGTAAGTCTCTCTGTCAAGGTTCTGAATCATATCCGCCACAGCGGTCATCCTGTGCTATTAGTGGCTGTGTAGTGTCATGTAGTGAGGCTCAGAGGCTAGAGTGCGCACCCAATTGCGTACGCCACCGTCCGAGGCAGGGATTGCTCGGATGCCACCTTGGAAGAACAAAAAACGAGCCTGACAGGCTGAGCCAAGCTATTGTTTGACGCCACCTTGTACTGTTTGCTGCGCAGTGTGAGAGCCATGGCCGTGGCCTCATCGGCGTGGTTAAGACGGGTAGGTCCTTGGTGAATGTTGTCGAGCGGGGAAAAGATTTGGCGAGTAGCCGAATCACAAGCTTCCTAAACTGCGTCCGCGAGGTAGCCAATTTTATCACTGGTGACTGGTTAACCCACCTTGTAGGAAGCCTTGACGTTTGTTCGTCGGGCTTTGTCCGGCATTGTCAACGACGAAGAACAGAAAGAGAGGGCTAGTGGTCACGAGAGGCAGCCTTGGCTGAGGCTGTGCACGGAACTTTTGGCTGGCGTTGACGTGCAGTCGTCCAGTCTCTACTTCTGCTGCACGGCTACCACAGCCATTGTGCGTGGTGCCTTGGCAATGACTGATTCTGTTTCTATTTTGGATTACACCAAGGACGGCACTAGCGTACATGCTGTGTGCCGTGATATGATTGGGGGTCGAAAGGTCTGTTGTGAGGCGAAATCATCTACGCGCATCGAGACGATCAGTGTTTTGTTGCCGCGCAGCAGTGAGCTGTACGGTACTATAGTACATCGTCAACTCCGCTGTGGCACCGATGCAGTATTTCGAGAGACATGCGACTCGTCTGGGCAAGTGGACCCTCTATCTCATGCGCCACATCACGTTCCGCCCCCCCCCCCCATTGCCTCTCCCCTCTGGAGAAGACCCAGACATTCATTCATTCTGTTTTCAAGGTTGTACTGGGCCCCACTTGACGACCTCTGTTCGGTGTAGACAGACGGCAGGATTTGATTGTCATCACCACGGACGTGTCTTGCCTGCGGGGCACGAAAGTGGTCGGGAGACCAATGAGACCTATGCAACCTCAATCAGGTGGACATGGGCAAGCAACAAGCCATAGCTAGAACACAGACCATGATGCGCTTGTTCAGGATTGTGATAGGATGTACCAAGAAACTGTGCACGATATGAGTGTGTGGAGTAGTATATCGTAGGTGGAGGTAAGAATAGACTTCTCGATGTCGTCAATCGAGAAATGCATATGGGAAGCAAGGGAGGGAAAGCCTGAAAGCACCCCCTGAACTGCATTGAGGGTTGCAAGGGCGCTACAGGAACAACAAGCGCAAGCACTCTGGGGGAGACGGCGCGACTGGGGTAAGTCGTCACTGGGGGACAGGGTGGCTCCCAGTAGCATTTGCTGCGCCCCCCCTGAGCATCTGAAACGGCAACCCTTCAACCCAGCACATTAAATTTTTTTTTAGCCCCTTCATCCCGCCATATCCTGGCCATTTCCGCCCGCGGCCTAACCAGTCCTTGTTGTCAAGTCATTTGACTGAAACCTCTTGGTTCTCCTGGATCACCCTTCCACCTTCTTGGGCCATATTGTCAGGTTCAGGCACAGGCACATTGCTTGTGGTGAAGTCACGACCAGTCAAGCACCGACCAAGCTGTGAACCTCACCCACCCACACCCACTACCACGATCTCACCTCGCATAGCTGTCCAACGTGGTTCGCCCTGTTGGCCACAACTGTCCAGCCACGCGCATACAGCTGCCTAGGCGTCGTTACAGAGATCAGAGAAGCACAGAAGCACAGGAGCTCACACAGCCTGACCACCGCGCACATTGGGTGGTCGAAAGGGGCTCAGACGTCAAGCCTGCCCGCTGCATCCCTTCGAAACAGGCCGGCGCGCTGCGGGGGAGCATCTTTCAGCCTTTTCTCCTCGGGAGACTTTTGAGACCCTTCCCAACTCCACCCGCCCTCTATCTCTCCTCCACTCGATTGTCACATTGGCATTCATACTTTGGGCCGCACAGTCATTCAATATTCTGAACTCTGTTTGCATTCCATAAAGGGGCCAGTGTGGTTCACTACTTCCTCTGACGCAACCAACCACAATCGACGTCTTCTGAATTGGCTCAATCCCGCCCAGGTTTCGTCCCCCTGCCGCCGCTCCGCTCCGCGCAATCCAACCTCTCCCTCCCCTCCCTTGCCCAGGAAGAAGGCACAGCGTAACCATGTCGAGGTACGATCGATTAGGTACGTCCTCGAATGTCCCCTCCCCCGTGACTTCTTTTTCTTTCCGCATCACTGCCGAGTCGGAGATCCCCTTGATCTAGGGACCCTCCACCCCGATCCCACTCCCATACCCACTTCTCTCCTCAGGCCTCCATCTAGACATCGCAAACCTTCCTCTTCCCCTTCGCTCTCCTCCACTATTCGCATATAGCAACAGAGGAAGCTTGTGCCTTGCCCTCAGTTCAAAGCACAGGGTGCGGCGCATCCTACCACCTGCCAGGCTCGAAGCTTGCTCGACAAACAATTCAAGACTGTCTCACATCCAGACCGAGTCTGGACCGTCTTTCGCAAAGCCGAAGAGCTAACACGACAACAATACAGACGAGGGTGCCTACCACCAGGACCATTTCGGTGCCAGCATGAATCCCAATGCCAATCGTACGCCCTCGCCGGGCCACCCTCTCCAATATGGCTACCAGCTCGACGATAACCCATATCAGCATTCCGATATGCCGATGGGTCATGATGGCAGGTATACTCCTGCCGACTCTATAGAGATGCACCAAGCCGTGAGTACAGCCTAGAGGAGGGCGTTGTTAGCACAGCGCAATTGTGTTGATATAGCAACAGCACTCTATAGAGAATATGGGCAGCCACTACGACCAGAACACGCCCTACCAGGACTATTCTGTCAACCCCGAAGCCCACCACGATGGCTACTACAACCAGCCTTACGATCCTCAGCTCATCAGCCAAGGCCAAGATTTTGACGATAGAAGACCCATGTTGGACCACCAGCATTCTGACATGAGCTCTCAGTATCAAGACTCAACGGCCCAGCAGCAGCAGCAGCAAGGGCAACAACAAGCGGCAGGTGGAGGCCTTAAGCGCTGGAAGACCGTGAAGGAGGTTCTCCTGTACAAGGGCAATCTGGTTCTCGACTGTCCCGTGCCACCAAGGCTGCTGAGCCAAGTTCCTCATGGTGAACGCGACGAGTTCACACACATGCGTTACACGGCTGCCACGTGCGACCCCAACTTTTTCTACGAGGAAAACTTCACCCTGCGGCAGAAGCTCTTCAGCAAGCCTCGGCACACGGAGCTTTTTATCGTCGTCACCATGTACAACGAGGACGAAATCTTGTTCGCCCGAACTATGATCGGTGTTCTGAAGAACGTCGAATACATGTGCAAGCGCAACGAGAGCAAGACTTGGGGCAAGGACGCCTGGAAGAAGATCGTTGTGTGCATTGTCAGCGACGGTCGTGCCAAGATCAACCCCCGTACGCGTGCACTACTTGCTGGTATGGGTGTGTACCAGGAGGGTATTGCCAAGCAGCAAGTCAACCACAAGGACGTGACGGCCCACATCTACGAGTACACCTCGCAGGTCGGCATGCAGATCAAGAACGACGTCGTCCAGCTGATACCAAAGCAGCAGCCGGTGCAGCTTCTGTTCTGCCTCAAGGAAAAGAACCAGAAGAAGATCAACTCCCACAGGTGGTTCTTCTCTGCCTTTGGACGCGTGCTGGACCCCAACATCTGCGTCCTGATCGACGCTGGTACGAAGCCTGGCGGTAACTCTATCTACCACCTCTGGAAGGCGTTCGATCTCGAGCCCATGTGCGCAGGTGCCTGTGGTGAGATCAAGGCCATGTTGGGAACTGCAGGCAAGAACCTCGTCAACCCTCTTGTTGCGGCGCAGAACTTTGAGTACAAGATGAGCAACATCCTCGACAAGCCGCTTGAGTCCGCCTTCGGCTTCATCTCCGTGTTGCCCGGTGCTTTCTCGGCGTATCGATATGTGGCTCTTCAAAACGACAAGAACGGCCAGGGCCCTCTGGAGAAGTACTTTGCAGGTGAGAAGCTTCACGGTGCTGGTGCTGGAATCTTCACTGCGAACATGTACCTCGCCGAAGATCGCATTCTCTGCTTCGAGCTCGTCACGAAGCGGAACTGCCACTGGCTGCTTCAATACGTCAAGTCTGCCAATGGTGAGACTGACGTGCCTGATACCATCACCGAGCTCATTCTCCAGCGTCGTCGGTGGTTGAACGGTTCCTTCTTCGCCGCCATCTACGCCATCGCTCACTTTTACCAATTTTTCCGATCCGACCATTCTCTGTTTCGAAAACTGGCCTTCTTCGTTGAATTTACGTTCAACACCATCAACATGATCTTCGCCTGGTTTGCTATTGGCAACTTCTTCTTGGTCTTCAAGATCTTGACAGCAAGTCTGGGAGATTCTGATCTCTTAGGCACCGTCGGCACTATCCTCGGTGTGGTCTTCGAATGGTTATACGGAATTTCACTTATGACCTGTTTCGTCCTCTCCATGGGTAACCGACCTGCTGGTTCCGGGCCATATTACATGGCAATGGTTGTCTTTTGGGCCATTATCTTCATGTAAGTCAAAAAACATCCCCCTCACGTATGCACAAAAGCCGTTGCTAACTTTTAATTTTTTTCCCTCCCCCGGTAGTTACCTTATGTTTGCAGCCGTGTTCATCTCAGTTAAGGCCATTGAAACCGACCTGCAAGACAACAGCTTTAGCATCAGCGAGCTCTTCAAGAACGAGGTCTTTTACACGTTGATCGTTTCCGTCATGTCAACCTACGGCATCTGGCTGATCGCATCGCTTCTCATGTTCGACCCTTGGCACATGTTCACCTCGCTGGTGCAGTACATGATGCTGACACCCACTTTCACCAACGTCCTCAACGTCTACGCCTTCTGCAACACACACGATGTCTCGTGGGGTACCAAGGGAGATGACAAGCCCGACAAGCTTCCCTCCATCTCCACCAAAGATGGCCAGGGTAAGACAGACCTACCCGACGAGGGCGACCTGAACGCCCAATACGATCGCGAGGTGCAAGTGTTCAGCCGGAAGCCTGTGAAGGAGGTCTCAACCCCCACCCCCGCACAGCTCGATGAGAAGCAGCAAGACTACTACCGCGGCGTACGTACGGTGGTCGTGTTGATGTGGATGATTACGAATTTTGCGCTTATTGCAGTCGTTTTATCTGCCGCTGGCCTGGAGAAGATCGGCACGACGACGAACACCGATACCGATGAGACCGAGACCACACGCACGACAATCTACATGGCAGTTGTGCTGTACTCGGTCGCTGTGCTGTCTGGATTCAAGTTCTTGGGCGCAATGTGGTTCTTGGTGGTGAGGATGTTCAGGGGCGTATGAAAGGTTATATCCCCTCCTGGATTCAATGTTCTCTTGTTATTTGCAGTCTCTGTTCTCTTCTCCCGCACCACGGCTGGATGCCTAGTGGAAGACGGTAAAAAGGAAAATATTTCTTGTTTCGTGCGCTGGCGGCGATGGGTTTTTTTTTTCTTTCCCTTACTTCTACATACCCCATTTCTTCCTGGAGTGAGACATTACAACGGATCGTTTGATTTTTTTTGTTTACTTCTCATTTTTATCCTTCAGCATGGCGAAATGAAATGAAATCCTAGACCCATAATATGTGCATTTGATTGCTCTGTGCCTCCGGACGCAAGGGAAAACAAAAATTGGCCCTGATGCTCTTCTACTTATACGTGTATTGTCTTGCTTTTGCCTGTGTGAGGAACTTCACATCCTTCTTGCTAACTGGAACAAAATCAGTTCAGGTATGGGTGCGTGTAGTATGGTAAGCACTTAGGATGTATATTTGCACCGCGGAGAATTCTTCGATGGCGATATGAAAGAGAAAGAATTCCATTGCCATACCATATCCGCGGTTTCCTCAATGCACACGTTGCCAATTTGATGCAGACAAATAGGAGGAAAGCATTGCCGGTGAATTTTCTCTATTCTCACCCCCGTTGACATCGTTGCTGGTAACTGGTGAGAATTGCTCCTCTCACCTCACTCCAGCTAAGCTTGATCCAACAAGCCACCTGCTCGAGAACTTCAAGGAGCGAGCTTCTATTGCACTTCTCTCCCAAGCCTCTCGAGCTCTTCCTTAATGAAATCTCCTGCATTGACGAGCTCCGTACTGCCGTACACAATCCTCCTCTTCGTCCGGTCTCCACTGCCCGCAGTGCGTTTCACCCACTCCTGTAGGTTACCGAACTCATCCATGCTGCCACCACCGACCGTGAAGACCACAGCGTCCGAGAACCCCTGTCGCCGTTGGCCGAACGAGGCACCAGGCCCACTGCCTGGACCACCGACACCACCAGGCATGGATCCCGGTGCAGACCCGCCTCCGGCCCGTAGTGTCGACGGCGGAGGCATGGTCCCCCGTGCGCGGTCGCTCCTGGGATCGAAGTAGAGGTAATTCTCCGTCTTTGCGATGGCGGAGGAGGAAGCGCCGGAAGGGTCCATGATGGATTCGACGATCTTGGTAATTGTGAGGTCGCGATTGGCAGGGAGGAAGTTTTTGATGCCGCCGATCAGGGAGTCGAAGTTGGCGGACAGGGCGCCGGTGGGCACACCGGACTCCTTAAGGCGGTCTGTCAGGCGAGATGAGATGTTGGAGAAGCGGTTGAAGAGGTCGGAACCGGATTGTTGCTGTTGTGACGCAGAGGAGTCCATCGTAGTAAGTTGTGTCATTTTGGTTGTCGCACGCACTCTGCATCCTCAGTCAGCATAAGCTCAGCCTCGTGCAACGGAAGGGAGCCTTACTGTCTTATGTACGGCAGACATGTCCCATCTACTCCAGCTGCCGTAAGAGCTTCCTCAAACTGCTGCCATTCTGCTCTGCTGATGTCTGCCTCTGTGCTGAGGAACCAAACGACAAAGAGACGCAATTTATCTATCGGAGTGTCGCCCTTTTCCTCATCTTTGATGAGTTCGAGTATTTGTGCCTTCGTCTGTTTCATGACATTCGATTCTATCGAATAGTATTCCTAAAGTTATCGCATTAGCCGCATTCCTTGGGCAGCCTTGCAGCCAATGTCAAAACTCACATTTAGAGACCGCTTCTGGATTGCGCTCAGAATGGCCGCCAAGATGTTCATGTGCATATCGAGGGTCACTTTTCGTTCCCTGAGCTCTGGGAGCACTGTCAGGGCAGCCTTGAGGTGTTGGGCACTGGCGCTATTGTCCATCTGAAGGTCCTCCAGGTCCGTCACTCCCGTCTTCTTCGTGAGCGCAGCTGACTCTTCTTTGTACCGATTCAACTCGGTATCGATATCCTCTGCGACTTCCTGGAATGCTAGGCCCGCGTTCCTGGACCAAAAGAAGTCATTCGCAGTCAGATCGTAGCCTTTTCGCGTAACACCTTTGGCAGGGTTCGACTCGTCAACGGGCGTTTCGATGGTTATCCGATTCAGTTTCATGTTGAGGACGTCATGTACTAGGTGTTGATAGGTCCAACCGTGGGAGAGCATAGGTGTAAGCTGTTGCATAGTGTTAGTAACAAGTTGTAATTAGGCAGGACACACACAAGAGACATACGTCGACATTTCTGTCCAACAGCACAAGGACGGGGCGTGAGGTAGGTGTGCCTGCTGACGAGTTCGGTCGATTCGAAAACAGACCATCCTTTGCGCCCGAATTCAGAATATGATCGCGGAGTTTCCCTGAAATCATTATACATTAGCCTTTGGACAACGTTCTGGTGATTTTATGATGATTGAGTCCTGGAAAACTTCGGCGTGTATAGCATGAAGCGCCTAGTTCAAGAAATCATCGATAGGGTCGACGTACTGTCAAGCCTATGAGAATTCAAAGTTAGCAAACTGGACGAGACCAATCGTACCTAGACAGAAGGCATCTGAGCCATGATTGTGAAATCATTTGCAACCATACAACGTAGTTTCAAGCCAGTCAAACGAGATCCAACGTACTTTTGTGCTATCATCTCGGCAGCTGCACCACGGCTGGCTCTGATGATTGGTATGACACCCATGGTCACCACAACAGAGAAGAGTCCACTGACAATCTTGTCCACCACATGGTCCAGCTCTTCGTCCTGTGTCTTTGCGCTGTTCAGTGCCCAGTAGACATGATCCTTCTCCATGCCTAGCGAGAACAGGTCCGGCTCGGCAACTATGAAATTCAGGTACTGGTCATAGACGTTTGCGATCTGCTCTGAAGTCCCAGCCGTCGCTGTCATAGTCGCGAAGTCCTCGAGTAGTGGTCGGGGGATCGAGGAGAGGAAGTTGATATACGCGGGAGAGTAAAGGCTCTTCTGGAGGTCGTTCGTGATGCTCTGCAGGTTCTGTGCGCTCGGCTCGAGGAGATAGACAGCGGGTACGTCGGGGATTGGTGCGCGAGATGACGAGATGTGCCTGCCAAATAGCCATGATCAGCATCCGGCTTCTGCTCGCGACAGAAGGGTGCAAGGGCGGCTCACATGTGTATTGTCACTCCCAGGCTTCGCAGGTCGCTGACCCGCAAGACAGAACTGATGACACTATAAACACCCAATGATTAGCAAGCCACGTCTTTGCAGGCTGTTTGGGACTGGAAAGCATACTCCCGACCGAGGTCGTCGAAGACGAGCACCTTCCAGACGATTTGCGAGTTTGGCAGCCCGTTGGCTTGGGCATCCTCATTCTCGCCGGCTTCCACCTCGTCGTTTAGATTCAGGATCTTCTTCAGCGAGGCGATTTGTTTGTCGCGTAGCGATGAGCCACGCGTCGCCATGATTGCTCAGGTGGACAGAAGCTTCGCGCTGCCGCCGTGTGATGGTAGTGGTGCCTACTTGTCAAGGTGCGCAACGCAGCATGCACAGACAGAGCCGCCAAACGAGGACCAGGTCGAGCGCGGAGTTGACAGTTGAAAGGTCAGAACGAAAAAAGGCGCCCAACCGTTGCGTAGTAAAGCCTTGCGTATTATTGGGTTGGTGTGTGGTTTGCGACAGCTGTCCTCTCTTGTCGTCGACGCTGTCATTCTCGGCCCTATGGTGGGCTTCAACTTACACAGTACACCAACACAATACTTGCCAGTGTCCCGTACGTAGCTCTCTGCTGACGTAAAGAATCCTGGCAGCTCCATCCCTTTGGGGTGGCACCTGCCGTGACTAGCCTGCAAGGCCACAGGTGCTCTATGGCAGGTGCGCTAAGCCGGGGTGCGACTACTAAAATACGTACTATCCTTAGAGCTGTCCTCTTTCACTTGGAGTAGAAGTGGAGGGCTAGTCTTGCTTGCCTCTGGCTGTGGTCGCTGATGAAACGGTCCTTTGGTGGGAATGTCCACCCCAAGCTTGTCCCGCCCCCCTTTCGCTTTTCTCTTCGTCTCTCTCCTTTCATTTCTGACAACACCATACAACCATCACGACCGCACAACAGTCACCCACACGCCTTTCAGCAACGTAGTCACCGCAGAACTGTCACTCTGCAGAAAGAATTAATTCTTTTTTGATAGATCTGGTTCAGTGGTCGTGGGCTTGACTTATTTTTTCGCCTCATTCGTGGTTTTTAATTGATTCATTCCGATTCTTGCCCATCATTTCAACCCAGTTCAGCTCAGCTCAGCTGAAGTTCTGCTGCTTCTGTCTCCCCACTGCAGCGCCAACCTCCTCAGGTAGACATAAAACCGTTTCAGACGCCTCTCGCACATGCAGATCAGAGAGCCATGCTATGACTGGCTTTGATCTCGTGTGTGCCTGATGGAGGTTTGGGGCATCAAGGCGCAATCAATCGGCGTAGGAACTTGAAGCATCTCTTTTCGAGGTCTCTGGGCTGAGTCCGGGCTGGCAGAGCTGAGAAGAGGGCGCCATCCATCGAACAGGCGCAACCGGAGTCCAACTGCAGGGTATGCATAAAAAGCCTTTACACCCCTAACAATTTCCAACCCCCCCCCCATTCACCACCCTACACTACACACACTGCACTGCACTGCACCGATCATCGTATGGCTGGGACTGTGTCCATATGAAATCAATGTACATCACTGGCATGTCCATACGAGGCTCCAGTTGTCGCGCGGCTTAATTGCGCAGACCGGAAACCGTTGAAATGGGGCTGCATGAGACTAGCCAGCCAGGAACGAATTGAACTGTGACAGCAGCAACGGCGCCATCTCAACGAGCAGCAACGTTCACATCCCGAAGCCCTGTCTACGGCGCCTTGGAGGAGAGGAACAAGAAGAGGAAAGGAAAACAAAAAAAAAAAAAATCCAGGAGAAAAAGAAACAGAAATTGCTCCGCCTGTCCATGGATTTCCAGCCGTTTACACAACTCGTGCGTTTGTGAAAACGCTGTCGGCGGTCAAAGCAAGCCCTTTACAAACTACTCCCTTTTCTTGAAATATGGATGAATCCGCCCTAAAAGCCTGGCGCTCACTGCTTGAGTGCGGGCTGGCGCACGTTCTCCCGGTGGCCTTGGACTCCCCTGCAGTCCCGGCTGCCGGCTGCCGGCTGGCTGAGAGAGCGCGATACATCAGACATTCTGCATTGGGACCCAAGCTGAAGCCGCCTGGTGAACTCGTCAAGGAAAGAAAAGGAGACCTCGAGTACGTCGGTGGTAGAAGATGGGAAAGGACGGTCTTGACTGGACTGGCTCTTGTCTACTTGCTATCTCTTCACACTCTGTTTGAATGCGTCTCTCCAGCAGACTGGTCACGGCTCGAGAGAACAAGGCCATTGGAATAAGACAGGGCAGAGGGGCAGAATCCTATGAATGCTACTGCTGATCGCAAGTCGATCAAAGCAAAGCAACGCAATTCAGCGACCAAGCCGCACCACGGCCGGCGCTCCAATACCCAGGCCTGATCAGCTTTCCGCGGCGCAGCCGGCTTCCGAAGCCAAGATACCACATGACCAGGACCGATGCAGCGATCCGACCGACTTGGGAAAATACCTGACCCGGTCATTGTGGTATCTAAGCTAGCAAGTGACTTCGCCTGACCGGAGATACTGCGAAACCCAAGCCTGATGATTCCGGAAACTCATCATTGAACCGGATACTTTCAAAGCTTTGCAGAGATCAAGCGAGGCGTCTCCAACTCGACACCTCTTCTGCCCCCTTGTCGAGTCGTGCTGCCGTTCCGGCGATGGAGGACAATATGCCAACCGCACTTTTGTCCTCTCTACAAGCCTGCGGTTCCACATACTGTGGCTACGCCCAATCACCCCTTATTGTCAAAGTCATTCATCGTCGCTCACCTCATATTCACATCGCTTCTTTATATTGGAATTGATGGACTGTTTCTTGTCTTTTGTCTCTGCGGCTAACTCTTGTCTGGATAGGCCCTGTCCCCGCTTTCCTTCTCTCGAACTAGTGCAGAGTCCCTTTCTGCAATAACAAAGCCCCACCTTTTAACGGGCCCCTCACCGCCCCGCCATCTGCAAATTCGCAGCTGGATAGAAACTCGTTCTTTCCATAACCCCGATATTCCGATATCTCTTCACGTGACCACCCTGTCTTTGACTCCTGCCTCACTGGCCTTGTTCAAGGCCACAGCAGAGGAGGTATTATGGCAAGTGGAAATAATAACCAGCAATGGGGTTATTCCCACTTTCAGCCTGGCCAGGATACAGGCCAAGCTGGAAACTTTGTGAACCAGGGCTTTGGTCATGGTGATAGCAACAATGGCTTTGCCATTTCCCAGCAGTGGCCAAGTCAAGACAGCCAGTTCATTCCTGAAACAACCTTCTCGAATTTCCAACAACAGAGCCCAGAGTATGCGATGCAGAATTTCCAAGGAAATAATGCCCACGTACAGTCCCACCAGCACCCGTCGTCCTATACGGCATCCCTCGCGATAGACAGCTCCCCAGACATGCCTTGGGACTATGATTTCAACTATGGCACCAATCCTCTGGCTGGTATGGGGGAAGGTGCTGTCTCGTACGGAAATGGCGTGCCACAGGGGGTCAACAGCAATGGTGTGCAGCCTCCGTCATCCTTCTCGCACGACATGGCCAACAACGTGCCAGGCCAACAGCAGCAATTCCCGCCTCGACAATCCCCGGGCAACATGCATTCCCCCAACCAAGCAGCGAGCTATGGAAGAAGCACACAGCAGTCTCCAGCGCAGACAATTTCCCAGCCAATGCCAACCCAAAGGCAGGCAATGGCATATCAGCCAACTGCTATGCATCAACACCAGCACCAGCACCATGTCCAGGCTCAGCCTGCTATTGTGCCTCAGCATCAGCAGTCCCCAATGACCCAGCAGCAGCAGCACCAGCACCAGCAACAGCAGCAACATGTGATCCACCAGCAACAGCAGCCCAACCCGCTCCAAGCTGGTGGTCAGCAGCCGACTCAGGTTCAGAATATTAGTCAACTTCAACAGATGTCCAGAATCGGTACACCTCAATCGGCAACGCCTGCCGCGCAACAACCTCGTCAGTCTCCTTTCAATGGCCTCAATATGGCACCACTCTCCATGCCACAACAAGGACAGGATGCCCGAGGCAGCCCATCAATACCGTTCTCGGCTTCTCGGCTGCCAAAGGGGCAACCGGCTCTTCCCAACGCATCCCCGGGGCCCTCGAATGCTCAGACACAGAGTCAATTTCTTCCCCAGGAAATGGTCCCTATGCAGCAGCGGCCACCACAAGGCCCAGTGTCAGTCACTGGCAACATGGCGGTGTCGGACGCTGTGTCATGGACGCAGCCATCGAACAAGGAAGCGAGCATTGGCGGCGGCCCTCAGCCGAGTCCCCAGCCTAACCTTCATCCAAAGACAAATGGTCCAGTGCCATCTGCGGCTGCTGCGCAACATCCCGGTGTTACTGGCCTTGCGCCCCCGCGGTTGATCAGGCGAGACGATAATGCGCTGCAACATTATGCTAGTCGGCATGTCGGCCTCACTCACACGCTCCCCCTGTCGCTGCCGCCCGGAGATAACGAACGTGCCAAAGCTACACTTGGCGAGATCTATGACCCCGATGAAGTCCCAGAGGCCGCATTCACCTATGGAATGCCCCCTGGTAGTAAGATGAGAACCAATGCAAGTCGAATACTGTGCAATTGGGTGAAGGCGCTCAAGGAGGGGGATGTTGCCGGACAAAATGAGCTGGAGCAGCAGTTGACACGACATCTCGGTAAGTCTAGGGCATACATCCGCTGTGACCGGATGCGAGCTAATCACCCAAATCCGTCCAGGAGGCTCGTTGCCTGAAGTATACGTCGCTAGGATGCAAGAGGCCAGGGCTGCCAAGAAGAGAGCGTCCGCCGGAAAGGGACCTGTAAGTCGGCATGCTTATAATTGTCTGATTGAGATCATGGACTCATGACCGCTAACTTACCAATAGGAACGTAGTAAAACCCGGCCCGCTGATGAGGCTGATGCAGCTGAATGGGATGCGCTCGGTATAATATATTTGACCACTCCTCAGCCAACCAGTGCCGAAATCGGCACGGCCGTCGCGGCGTTCGGTAAACTCCTCCGAGGACACGTTGGGGAGTATCAGAAGTTTAAACAGAAGAAAAAGAGCGCAACGGAAGCGGACAGCGCAATCTTAGAGGACAAGATGGCGCGGAAGTTAGAGATCATCGATCGAGCAGTCGCCGCAGCCAACGAGTGGGGCGATCCCCAGGTTGTAGCTAACTTGGGAGGCAACCAAAAGCTGATTAGTGACTTCGTGTCGTGTCTGATTCACGCTAACAACTCTGCCGACCACAATGGCAAGATGCCTAAGGATGTGCTCCGGCTGATGTCAGCAGTGACAACGATTGAGAGCGATTTCCTCATGACTAGTCTCCAGTTTGCCAAGATCAGCAAGAAGTTTGAGACCAAGGGCGATGATGAGGTTCGAGAATACGTCAAGAGGATCAAGGAAAACGCAGAGAACAGAAAAGAGACTCTGAAGGCAGCTGGGGAACAACAGGAACGGACCTCGACCCCGGACTCCAGCGCATCTGCCAAGGGCCCGTCAAGCTCCGGTTCTTCGGATGCCAAGGCTCCTGGTTCCGCCGAGACAGCCAAGAAGAAGGCTATGAGCGCAGTGGCGGGACGTGTATCGGCTACATCTTCAACAAGCTCGTCAACAGTCAAGCGGCCTCGAGAAGAGGAGGGCGATGACAAATCCGTAAAGAGGGTCGCGACAGAGTCAGGCTCCTCACAGGGCGGCCAGAAGGCAGCTCCGGCAAAGTTGGTGGTGTCGGCACCGACGCCTGCTCCTGCGCAGTCCAAGCTCTTTGGTAGCGGAATGTTGGGGGTGAAGAAGCCTCCAACAAAGCCTGTCGCCAAGCCATTGCCAGCAAAGGCTGACGGTGCCAAGGCTGAGTCGAAGCCAGATGTCAAGAAGGACCTCCTCAAGAAGACGGAGGTAGCCAAGATGAGGAAGACGGAGCCTGTCAAGGCCGAGGCGCCCTCTGCTTCAAAGCTGGGTGGTATTGGTGCCTTGTTGGAGTCGATCTCGAACTCGAAGCCAAAAGCAAGCGGACGCTCACCGCCTGACAAGGATGCCAAAAGCGACAAAGAGGAAACCCCTGAGGAGAAGGCCCGCCGCCTTCGTAAGGAACAGCGGCGTCATCTCAGAGTCAGCTGGAAAGAGGGCGAGGATTTGACACAGGTTCGCATCTTCCACAAGGATGCCGAGGAGGACGAGGGCAGGGCAAGCAATATGATCCGAGATGCTCATGACGATCGGTCTGAGGGTATGATGCTCAAGCAAGCATTGATTAGTGGCATGCAGGCCGACGAAGAAGACGAGGAAGACGACGAGCTGCCTTACCGGCCATGGTTCTCGCCTACAGGGGTCGACTTGACGGTTATTCCGCAGGAACTGCGCGCGAAACACTTTGTCAACCGTGGTGGCCTAGGCAGCATCGAAACGCAACAACAGAAACTTATGGCCGAGCGCGAGAACAAAGAGCTAATGGCTGTCTATACTGACCCATCTGATATCCCACCTACACCAAAGTCGCCCCACCTTCCACCCGCGGGAGACACCGACATGCAAGCAGGCACCACCCACGAACTCGAACAAAATGATCCCAGGCTGGCCGAGATTAATCTTCGTTGGGCTGAAGCTACTTCTCGAGGCTCATCTTGGGCACGACTGAGTGCGCTGCGCAGGGCACAGAAAGGACAACTCGCAAAGCTTTCTGACGTCGCAAACATGAATGCCTCCAACTCGCACGCGGCCGCCAACAACGTGGCTCCTCAACCTGCCCCGGTTGAGGAGATGACTCCCGACCAACAAGTCTATGCCCTCCTCACTTCAAGCCGCGTCAAGAATTGGAAGGATCCAAATCCTGTCGATCCAGCTAACCCCAAGACGCGTCGTCGCCACGATTATGCCGACCCCAATCTGCAGCGCGCGATCGACATGTGCGAGGAGATTGCCGAGCAGTTGAAGGGCAAACCATTCCCTCCCGCCGAACCGCCCGAGTGGATGAAGCACGACAAGGACAGGGTCGCGGAATGGTGGCACGGCTACAACAAAGACAAGCAGCGTGCTGAACAAGTTGCCCAGCGCCAGACGGCGATGCAGATGGCCCAACAACAGACAGCATTCACCCAACCTCAGGCTGCCCCTCAGGCTGCCCAGACTGCGGCAGACCAGCAGAACGCGGCTGCTTGGGCGGCTTACTACGCCCAACTTCAGCAACAACAACACCAGCAGGCTCAACCTCAGGCCGCGACCGATCCCAATGCTGCTGCTTGGGCTTCTTATTACGCCCAGCAGCAGCAGCAGCAGCAGCCGTTGCCAGCTCCTGCACAGCCCACGGGTGATCAGAGTGCGCAGCTACAGGCTGTACTGGCAGCTTTGAGCGGCACTCCTGCCCAGGCCACCCAGGCCCAACAGCAGTCTGCTGCTGCCAACAGTGCCGCCGACCCCCAGATTCAAGCACTGCTCGCGACCCTGGGTGCCACTACAAGCGTCCAGCAGCAGCCTACACAAGCCTACCAGCCGCACCCGCAGCCAGCTCAGTCCCAGGCCCCGAACCCTCAGGATTCCAAATACTTGGCCTACATTCTGTCGCTAGCTTCTGGTCATACAACAATTCCAAGCCAGCAGCAGCAACAGCAACAGCAGGCTCATCAGCAGCCTCCTAGCATCGGTCAGCGACGCGATGACAGCCACGACCGAGCTCGTGACCGTGACCGAGACTCTGATCGGGACCGCGAGCCCGAGAGCCTCCACACCTCCCGCCGCACCCAAAACCGTGGCGGCAAGAACAACCGTGATAACAGCGGCCCTCACCAGCGTGGTGTCAATCGTGATAAGATTGGTACGAAGCCCTGCGTGTTCTGGGCCAAAGGAATGTGCCAGAAAGGCGAACAGTGTACCTTCCGGCATGACTAGGAGGGCACATTTGGAACGATCGGAGGGACTGGGTCGATGAGAACTGCAGGCATAGCATAACGTGGACTTTCTTCGGCATGACCCAAACAGCCATGATGGCGGCACACCCTCGAGCACGGGTGGGTATTACTACGTAGGAAAGATGGTGAAACAAGCCTCAAATGAGGATTTCGGTGCCATCTGCGCTGGAGGAGCTTTCGATTTTGCAGTGGTCCATTGAGCATTGTTTGTCGCTTCTGCGGATACCCAACACATGACAAATGCAGTCACTCTACTTTGAAGGACGTCATGATGAGTATCACTCGGATTGCGATTCAGGATTCTTTGTACATTACATATTCGCGATCGGGAGAAAGAGGACACATGGTTGCGAGTCCGACGTCTTCTGGGCTTTCATTATTTTCGCACTGCATTGGGCATGGGGGCACATGGAAAAAAAGGAGAAAGGAGTTGCATTTTGAGGTGGCGGGATAAAGAGAGGGAGAAAAAATATATCGGAGAACGGTGTTCACTATTCCTTCAGACTGTCTTTTCTTTCTGAGGGCGTTTCGTGCTTGAAGACGAGCATCCCGAGGTCTTGGGCATCACAAGGAAGAGTGAGCGAGAAGCGTAGAAGGGAAGGATGGAAGCTATGAACTGCTCAATGGGAATAATGGAATGGAACACAAATCATGACGGAGAGCAAGATAGCCACCGGGGCTATATGGGCTAGGGTGGTGTGTAGTGTACAATGAAAATGAAAGCATTCCTCATGTTTCGTCTCTGCTATTCGAGGGTATGATGTGATATGATCTGCCTGTCTTACTGGTATAGTCAGCTCATCCTCACGGAAAGGAGAGCAAAGAATGGTTGCTGCTGCTGCTCTCATCGAGGACCCTCGCCAGTAGAGGCCAGTTCCAACCTCGCCTCGATGATCTTAACCACCTCTGTCCACTCCTTCATTGCACCGTCCCCGACGTCGCCACAGGCAAGCGACTTCTCTTGCGGTCTGAGCACCTCGAACCAGCCAGACTCGATCGTCCCGTCCTCGGCCTCCTTGACGCCCCAGTCCTCGCTGAGCACACGGATCTGCTTGGCCGTCAAGGGATGGAGCCACATGGCAGTCTGCCCGGTTTTTGAATCATTTCAATTTCAGCGAACCCAAGACCAAACACAAGCACATATACACATTGTGGGATTGGTCACTTACATTCATAGCAGGCGCCACGAGGATCCTCTTCCGGCGGCCATCGATGCGCCCATCGGCATCCCAAGCCCTCACTACGCTCGTGAGCAGGTTGTCGCACAGCCCGCTGACCAGCTTGGCCAGCGTGTTGGCGGACAGAGGGACCACGGCGAGCAGGTGTGCCCAGCGGCGGAGCTCGATGTGCAGCACGCCGGCGCCGCGGGTCCAGACGCCCTCTGGGCCGATGGTGTCGCCGCGGCCCCACTCGTCCTCGTCGGTGTAGATGGCGTCCAGGCCAGGGAGGGAGAGGAGGGAGGAGAGAGGGGGTTGTTCGGCGGACTGGCCTGCGAGGAAGTTGCGTGCGGAGCTGGTGAGGACGAGGCGGATGGAGAGGCGGTTGGGAGAGTGGGTGGTCAGGAGAGTGTGGATGATATTGGGGATCTTGATGGTGGCTACGGAGCCGGAGGCGGCGAGGAGGAGATGGACTTTGCCGTCTTGTTGGGAGGCGGCGAGCTCTTGGAGGGCGTTGGGAGCCGAGTGGCCGGAGGAGGAGGAGGGGGGAAAAGTAGCTGTGGTGGCCATTGAAGGGTTTTGGCACTAATGTAGAGGATACGATGGATGAAGATGTTTCCTTTCTTCTTGTTGTTGTTCTTCTTCTTCTTCTTTCCCCCCCTTTTTTTTCTTACCAAGAAGTTATGGTGAGTGAGGGTCTCAAGACTGTCGTAAAGGTTGTGCTTGATCAATAGGGGGTTGACTATGGTTGTCGGAGAACCAGAGGATATATAAGTGTAGTCTCAAGTTAGAGTCATTTCCTGAAGTTGAGGCTTGAGGCGAGAAACAAATTCAAGCCAGCTTCTTCGACTGCTGACAAACTAACAATCATTTCGGCTGCCCATTAGAGTAATCGTAAAAACCCTTGGGCAGCAAAGAAAAAGAAAAAGAAAAAGAAAATTTTGACTATATCATTCACTAGGTAGTTCTTTTGGGAAAGAAACCATATTGTTGGTCACTCTGTGAGTGTCCTCTGTAGATGACATGACATGACATTCCATTCAGTGCCTAGGGGTGTAGAGAGGTCAACGGACTAGAGTGAGAGCAATTTACAGGTGTTGCTGGTGCTGCTACTGACTCCAGCGGCGCCCTGCTGCTGTAGGGAGCCCAGCTGTAGTGGGGTAGGCTCACCTACTGTACATAGTGGCTGCCAGGAGTGGGTCATCGCACTACAGTGCCATGCCCTTCTCTTACTTACATCATCGCCCTGAGAGCTGGAGGGGCCCAACCTCTGATAGCAGCTGTATTTGTCAATCCTCCAGAACTGCTGCTGAGAAATTCCCACCACCAGCGACGCTCCCCAAGTCATTGTGCCTTGCCACGGAACACCAGCCACCATGTTCTCAAGATCAGTACTCTCATCAGTAAGATATCCTCTGATTCCTTCCGACCTTCTATATCACCCATGGTTCACTATAGCTAATCACCTCCAAAATTGCAGCAGCTGCTTCGGCAGGCTGCACGACCAGCAGCAGCACAAGCCGCAAGGCCTGCCTTCATCAACATCAAGTCACCCATGCTGAACCTCGTCCAACAACGACTCCTCTCCGATGCAACCAGACAAGCCATCGACAAGGCAGTTGCCTCTGCACCAGTTGTCCTCTTCATGAAGGGAACACCTGAGACGCCTCAGTGCGGCTTCTCGAGGGCAAGCATCCAGATCCTGGGCCTGCAGGGTGTGGACCCTAACAAGTTTGCTGCGTTCAACGTGCTGGAGGATGCGGAACTTCGGTCAGGTGGGTTTTCTATGCAGACATACACACGCGCGGGACACTTGTGTTTACGGCGAGATGGGAAGCTGACAGGTTGGGTAACGACGACCCTCGGACAGGCATCAAGGAGTACTCGGACTGGCCCACCATCCCCCAGCTGTACGTCGACAAGGAGTTCATTGGCGGCTGCGATATCCTCGTCTCGATGCACCAGAACGGAGAGCTGGCCAAGATGCTAGAGGAGAAGAAGGTCTTGGCCCCTGCCGAGGAGGCCGAGCCTGAGCAGAAATAAAACAATACCCACAGGCGAAGAGATTTGGCCGTACGAGGGAATCGGGCTGGTATAGAATCTGACTGATCACGCCATTAATTAGAAGACGGCTGAGTAAGAAGCTTACAGAACACCTGGTTATTCTCTACATCTACAATGGATATGCAGCTCCGTCGCCTCTCTGATCACTCCCTGCCGACCACACGCCGGTTCCCTCGACCGGGTCCACTGTCCACCTGATGATCTGGCCCCTACCAAACAGTGCCCTGCTCATGCCTTTGACGACCTCGACCTTGTGTCCCAGCCTCTTGAGCCCCTCGATAGTCTCCTCGGGCATGCCCTCCTCGACACTCACGAGCATATCCACAGTCTCGCTGCTGGCGCCGATACAGATCCTGGGCGCGTCCAGGGCCTGCTGGGGACTGAGACCCGCGATGACCTGGCCTAGCAGGGTCTGCAAGTGGCCCTGGGGCTGCATGAAACCGCCCATGACGCCAAATACCGAGTGCAGGCTGCCATCGCTGAGATTGGTCACCAGGCCCGGGATGATGGTGTGGTAAGGCCTCTTGCGCGGCGCGTAGATGTTGGGGTGGTCGGCCGGGCCAAGGGCGAAGTTGGCGCCACGGTTCTGCAGGGTGAAGCCGCAGCCCTTGGGGATGATGCAGGTGCCAAACCCGCCGTAGTTGGAGTTGATGAAGCTGATAGCGTTGCCCTGGGCGTCGGAACAGGCAAAGTACACGGTGTCGCTGCTGTTGAGGGCCGGGCTGCCGTGGCCGAACCCCGCGTCTGAGGCGCGCGTAGGGTCGAAGAGACGCGCCCGCTCGGCCAGATACGCGGGCGAGAGCAGCTCCGCGGTGGGCACGCGCACGACGTCCGGGTCCGTGACGAACCAGCTCGCGTCGGCAAAGGCGATGCGCAGGGACTCGATGACGGCGTGCAGGTACGCCGCCGAGTTGTGCTCGGCCGCCGAAAAAGTTGGGATCTGCCCTTGCTTCTCCAGCTCCTGCATGATTCCCAGCGCCATCAACGCCACGATGCCCTGTCCGTTGGGCGGGTGCTCCCAGAGCTCAAGGCCGCCGCCCGCCTCGAGGCCTTGCCCGCGGAACTGGAGCGAGATGGGCTCGACGGCGTCGGCATCGCTGCTGCTGGCCTCGAGGTGGTGCGAGAGGTCGTCGAGCTCCAGGTGCCCGCCCAGGTCCTGCACCACCCTCACCAGCTCCTCGGCCACCCGCCCCGCGTAGAACCCCTTTTTGCCCTCCTCCCCCAGCGTCCGAAACGTCCTGGCCAGGGCAGGGTTCTTCATGATCTCGCCCGCCCGTGGCGCACGGTACCCATCGCCACCAGCACCACTGCTGCTGCCAGGATCCGCCTTGAGCATCTCGGCAAAGTTGGGACTGGCGTCGCGGATGGACTGCTCCGCCCGGCCCCAATAGTGCGCCACGAGCTCGCTGACGGGAAATCCTTCCTCGCCCAAGGCGACGGCGGGAGCGAGGACCTGTGCCAGACTCAGGCGGCCGGAGCCGAAGCGGGCAACGGTGTCGGCCCAACCCGCGGCGGCGCCAGGGACGGTGACGGCGTGCACGCTGGACATGGGGATCTTGGCGTATTGGTGATCCGGGGCACTGGCGTTGTCCTCGGCAGGGAGGCCTAGGTCAGAGCGGAGCTGAGATAGGGTGCATCTGCTTCCTGAGCGGCCGGAACCGTTGAGGGCGTGAACGGTGGAGGTGGCGGCGTTGTAGTAGAGACAGAACATGTCGCCTCCTATGCCTGTTGAGCAGGGCTCTGTCATGTTCATACCGGCGGCTGTGTGTGACAGTAGTATAATCGTCAGTAAAGAAGTTGTCTTTCTATATAATTGTTCACTCACAAGTCTAGTACAGGGGAGGGGGAATGAAAAGTGACATACCAACAGCGACCGCAGCATCCTGTTTGTTTTTACGATATTTTAATCAGCTTTGGTTCTATCTATCTCTCGTCTCTCGTTCCTGGCCCAAGGAAGAAGAGCATATTATCATCGTTGGAAGGGAAAAGAAAGGGGAAAGAAGAAAGAAAAAAAAAACTCACAGCAGCATTGCCTCCAGCATTGAGGATATCAATACCACATTTTGCCGCCAACGGCTGCGTGCAGGCGACGATGCCCTTGGTGCTGTGGACCACGCTCCTCCTGCTGTTGAACTGGGCGAACTTGATAGGCCCGGGCGGGAACAGCGAGGGCGTCGAGAGAGGCATCTTGAAGAGCAAAGGGGAAGGAAACCTGGAACTGGTTGAATAGGAAAAGAAGAAGAAGAAAAAAATGAGATGCTCGGTTACGGAGGGAGAAGGAGGAGGAGGAGGGCGGCGAGTAGGAGGTGAGGGTGAGGGTGAGGGGCGACCCGGATAAGTATTTGCCGGTTCTAAGTAGTCTTGTATGTATATTTTGTATAAGAAAACTAGTCGGCAGAGGCTGGCGAGGCGAGAAGGAATAATCACCATGCTATGAAGGAAGATGAGTGTATATGTGTGTGTGTGTGTATACCTACAAATGGTAATAAGTTCTCTCACAAGAGAGAACATTAAGTAACTTTGTTGCCTTGTAGTAATGATTTAGAGCTCCCCAAATGATTGATATCCTTCAAAATACTTAGGTCTTCCCGTCGACGTCAAGAAAACCCCTCTAATGAAACACCACCCTACGTACTGGATTTTTTTTGCCGGGGCCGCCCCCGATCCGCGGAGATCTCTTCGCATACGTTCAACGTTGCAGGGTCCCAGTTGATGGCCGCCCTGAGAGCGCTGTACTGTCAGTACAATGCGCTGTAATACGGCCTATCGTGATATCATGACCTTTTACCCGGCGCTACGGCTTTGGTGGATCCAGGCCCATTTGTTGCTACTGTACGTACATAATGCATGCTACTACAGCGATTATTACACATGGTATAATCATCAACCATAACAAGCCTATACACCTCGAATACCGGCAAAGTGTCCCCAAGTGGACAACCGGCAAAATGTGATTTGGTCTGTACAATTTATAACATTCTATTCGAGGGGAGTCTCATGAGCTTGGATTGTGATTGGTGGATTTTCTCTTATTATGTTTTCTTTTTCTTTCCTCAAGACACCTGCTGGAATCGTATGGGCCCCTGATGGTCTGAAATACCATCCGAGTTCATGATCTCTTAGTAGTGCAAGCCTTGCCAGGCCGCTATGACAAAAGCCATTCCCAATAGACAGACAAGATAATGTAAGCAATCAAAGACGGGTGTGTATATACACCGAAGCTGTATACTATGTACGGGCAAGCCTTCTTTATCAGCATCTTTAGATTTGATAGCAGCACCCTGCTTCTTGCCCCAGATTCCCTCGAGCTGAATTTTGAACAACATGGCGTCCCTTACCCGAGCAGATCGATTCCTTACGACGCAGCCTTGGACGCCTCTTTCTCAGCGGCCTTGGCGGCCTTCTTGGCGGCGATTTGCTTCTCCTTCTCGATCTTCTTGAGCTGGCTCTTGGACAGTTTACCATCGCCTGCCTGCCCATCGCCTGCACCCTCTCCCGCGGCATCGAAGCCGGCCGGAGCCTTGACCCGGATGGGCAGGCTGAGTGGTGCTCTTGGGTTGCCCGTGCAGTCATTGAGGGCTCGCACCGCCCAGAACTCGTCCACCGTCGCCTCTGTGACCTTGGCGCGGTTGTCCTGGAACTCCTTCACGTACTCCTGCAGGTACTTGATGCAGATGGCCTTGAGCTCTCCCGTCAGCATCTCGCCCTTCTTGTACGCGTCGTATATCCTCTGCAGCTCGTCGTCATCCTCCATGAAGTATCTCTGGATGGCAGGTTAGCCGTCGGTGCTCGAGACAAAAGCTTCTTTACTAGAGGGGTGGCACTCACTAGGTACTGGAAGCTGACGTCGACATCGGGATCTCCGCCCTTCTCTCGGTGCTCTTCCACGGTCTCCTTGCCACCACTGAAGGCGTACTTGTTGATTTTCTGAGAATTAAAGTCAGCATACAGAATTCAGCTAAATGGAAAGGATACATTCTCTCCCCCTCTCTCTCGTGTGCCGCTGACTTACGTTCTTGATCTGGTTCGGCGTATCCTTCATGAAGATGGCTGAAGAATCGACAGATGCAGACATCTTGGATCCGGGCCCCTGCAGGGCATCCAGGAAGCGGGCGTGAATCAGAGACGGCTTAGCGATGTGAAGGCGTGCAGCAACATCCCTGGTCATACGGAAGTAAGGATCTTGATCGATAGCACAAGGAATACTAAATCGATGTCGTTAGCAATTGCAAAGAGCTGAGAAAAAAGGAAGGAAAGCAAAGTAGCAGTTTGAAAAAAGAGAGGATGAAACGTACAGGCAGGGAATCTGGTCAGTAACACTTCTATCCTCGCCGAATATATGAGGGAACGTGGAGGCAAATGCAGTTGATCCTTGAATAGCACCGAAATGGATCCTGCCGACATTTGTGCTGCCATCCGAGCCGAAAATGGCCCGGGACTGATTGTAAGTAATGAGCTTCGCGACCCGCAGGACGTTCTTGTAAAAGGCACCGCCCATGTACTCCAGGTCGCTGAAGATGAAGGTCTTTTTGACATCAAAGCCGCACGAGACGATGTCCTTTGTGTTCTCGCGCGAGAAGCGGTAGACGTCGTCGATGGTCAGCTTCTCATTAAAGAGGAACTTCTCGTCGTCGGTCAACATGATGACCAGGGGCACGTTGAGCACATCAGAGAGCCACTTGGTGAAGGAGAAGGGGATGGTGTGGCCGATGTGCATGCTGTCAGAGCTCGGGCCGCGGCCTGTGTACAGGAAGAAGGGCTCCCCCTTCTCGTACCTGTCGAGGATGGCCTCGAGATCGCGGTGGCTGAAGACGATACCACGACGCATGAAGCGGTGGGGTCGCTGGCCGGTGACCCGCTCGAAGCGGTCGAGGAGCTCCTGGTCGATACGCTTGGTGCCGAACTCGACAATGAGCTTGTCATAGTCGATGGCCTTGACGTTGCCGTGCTCGTCGACTTCTCCCTGCACATTGTACGGATCGACAGTCTGTCTGCCCGTGCTCGTCTCTGCGGGCACAGGAGAGTCCTTGAGAGCCTCGGCGGTGACACTACTCATCGTGAAAAGGCCGACTGGGATTGGTCGGTCGACCGAGCTGGGTTGAGCTGCGTTAGTGTGACGCCTTTTCCTTCCTGGAGGACAAGACGAGTCCCAGTGGCAGAGCGCACCGTGTGTGGGGAGAGGTTGAGTGGATGGCTGAGAGGGACTGTATGAGTTTGGGTGGTTGAGTGAAGTGGTTACGAGAGATACTATGGTGCGGTGACTGTTCACCGGAGGAAGTTTGGGTTGGAGGGGTTCAAAAAGTTGGAGGGGCACAAAAGTGTGGGGCGAGTCCCTCATTGAGGGGCTGGACTTAGTACTTGGCTATTAAACAATGGAATGTGTATTCAAGTACTACTACGTTCAGTGTATCTCATTCTGGCACTGTTTAAGCAACTATCAGCCATAGGAAAGTCTGATTCTTTGTGAGAATGAAGGAGATTGTCGGTCAATTGCTGGATTTCCATTGTCATTCTATAAGCACTATGTACAGGCGAATCAGCAGGGTGAACGAGCTCAGGTACGTACTTTTGCAGGCAGGGTCCTGTGGTGGTTTATTACCACAAGCCGCCTTTCCCGGCCGGCAATAAGTTCTGGGGGCCATCTGCAGGAACCTGGAACTAACTCAAAGGTTGCTTGAGAATTTACTGCGAACTTGTCAGGAATCGAAAGGAGAAATCTTCCAAGCTTCCCACCCAATAATGCCTGACCATGTTGGCGGGACCATGGGTGTGTAGACGCTGTCTGAGGAGGTCACTGCCTTCAATACCTCTACGCTTCATCAGGAGAGCCACAACCGGTAAGTATTTCCAGAGAGCTCCTCCCATCTATGGTAATTGATCCATAGTACTTGTGCTGCCCACAAAAGAAAAAGCAGTCTCCTAATGCTTGTGTCCCCGTCCGCGCAGAGACCCGCCCTGTTCTACCCCAGATCCTACTTGAGCGCGCCCGCAAGCTCGCCGTCGAGCACGATCAGCTCAACGAGAAGCTTGCCAGCGACTTCGACTCCAAGCTCGCCAAGCGTGCCGGCGAGATTGCTGGTGTGGCGTCAGCCCTCCGAGACTATGAGACGGCACAGTCCTCGCTCACGGAGTTGAGGGCCCTGCTCCAGTCCAAAGATGAAGAGATGCGGCAGCTCGCCCAGGAGGAGCTCCAGACGACGCATGACCAGATCGGGAGCCTGGGCCACAAGCTCTCCGCCAGCCTGACCCCCGTCGACCCGTACGCCGACCTGCCCTGCATCCTCGAGTTCCGGCCCGGTCCGGGCGGTATCGAGGGCCGCTTCTTCACAGACTCTCTCTTCAAGATGTACCAGCTCTACTGCCAGCGCAAGGGTTATCGGACAAAGGTGGTCAAGTACGAGACGGCAGACGGCGCGGGCGACGTCAAGGGCTCGGACGGCGAGCTGCCCCTGCAGGAGGCTGTGTTGGAGGTGCAGGTGCCCGGCGCTTTCGACATGTTCCGCAACGAGGCCGGCATACATCGCGTCCAGAGGGTGCCGGTCACGGAGAGCAAGGGGAGGACGCACACCAGCGCCGTGGCAGTGTGGGTGCTGCCCTCATTTCCTGACAGCGGCGGGTCCGGTGCAAACGACTTCAACAACCCTGAGAGTGACTTCTACATCGATCCGACCGAGGTCAGGGTCGAGACCATGCGGGCGAGGGGTGCAGGTGGCCAGCACGTCAACAAGACCGAGTCGGCCATCCGACTGACGCATCTGCCGACGGGCACCCAGGTCAGCATGCAGGACCAGCGGTCCCAGCAGGCCAACAGAGATACCGCGTGGAAGATCCTGCGGTCGAGGATCGCCATTGCCCGCCGCGAGGCTCGGGAGGAAGAGGCCAAGAATCTCAGGGATAGCGTCCTTTCCAAAGACAAAATAACCCGAGGAGACAAGATCAGGACATACAACTACAGTCAAGATCGCTGCTCAGACCACCGGAGCGGCGTCGACACGCACAATCTCCCCAACGTCCTCCAAGGAGGCGAGACGCTCGACAAGATTATCGACAGTGTGAGGGAGTGGCGTCTTGCAAGGGACATCGAGGTTGTTCTTGCCGAGGAAGAGGCTGCTGCTGCAGCGGCGGTGGCGGCGACGGCGAAGCAGGGCAAGGGTAAGAAATAAGTCCCAGCGAAGCTTGACAGGACTTATCTCAGCTATACAACGATACCATTTCTCAACACAGAGCAATATCTCCAAGAAGATTTATGCAACATCAGATTGGTCCCGTTCGTGGACCCCAAGGCCTACTTGTCTTGTCTTCAAGGGCTACCATGGTGCAAGGCTGTCTATTCAAAATCACCGAAAGTGGCCTCAGGATGTCTTTCTCTCATCCCCCATGACTGCAACGCAACCCAACAAGTCCTGAGAATTCTCCCTCCATGCAAACGAATGGCCAATTTTGGAGTTCAAAGGAACCACAATTTCTCCGCCTAACAAATTTTCTAGAACTGTTCTTTATCAACGGCTACCCGGCAACGACAGGTACAGCCCAGCCTTACATCCCAGCCTCGCCTGGCTGCGTTCCTGAGCCACCTCCCTAAATGGGCCAAGCCCACACCGAACTCCACATTCAATGCACAGTCAACAGTACCGCAGCGTCATTGGCGACCCGCACAAACTCTATCTTGTTCGGGCTCATTTTTTCTTATAGGCGTGCTACTTATCACCCCCTTTAGAGTCTGAGACCTACATATATAGTACTACACAGTGTTCTATGTTCTATGTACAATTGGTCCATTCAGAATCGTGTGCGAACGCCTTTGTCGCAACAATGACTTCATCAAATGAGGGCGAACCTGCAATTTCTGGCAAGTGTTTCGAGGTTCGCCTGCTTGCTTGGGGTCCAATCTCCATGTCGCAACGGAGCAAGGTTCCATCTTTGTCTTGGGCCCCCCCAAGCCCCTCTCTTATCTTTCCTTCCAGTCCGGGTATGATTATTGAGTGGTAATATCTCGTGAATGCATCACATACCAACGAGAGGCAGGACAGGGGTGTGAGTCTTTATGGTGTTACCCACCTAACCGGCGGAGCCACCACCTCGGCGACTAGGATCGCCGCCTCATGCGTGATGACAAGGTGATGATCGCTACTCTTCTGTAGTACTATGGCGCACGCCCAGTCCATATAGCCATGTGCTCGGCCCATTTTGAGTCGAGGAGGACGGAGCCCGCTGCTCTTTCTGCCTCTCAGCCACTCATTCACTCAGTCTCTCTTTCTCTCTGTGTGTGCCACTCAAACCGGCCCTATTTTCCATTGTCTCTGCCCCTGTGAGGACAAGCTTGGACATGCGTTGGTCACACCTCCTCTGCCCTCTGGCTCTGGCGGGCGCCGCCTGCGCCAGACGATCGACGCGCCATGTCAGTGCTTTTGACAAGAGGCGTGCCGAGGCCGGGCGAAGCGTCCCTGAGGTCGACTTGCCTAAGAAGCGCCAGGAACACCATGGATACAAACGGGACAATACTACAGAGTATCAATTCCTGACAAACACCACTTCCAGTAAGTGAAAAGAAGAAGGAGGAAGGACGAGAGTTTAAGCATGCCTTGAGCATCGAACCCTCCTCCCCTTTTTGGGCGGCGAAGAGACAACAAGCTGATCTTGGCTCTCTGCCTCTGTAACTAGAGTTCCTCGTGGACGGTACTGCGATACCTGATGTGGATTTCGATGTCGGCGAGTCCTACGCTGGGTCAATTCCAGTGACTACAGACGCAGATGGCAATTATCTGTTCTACTGGTTCTTCCCTTCGACGAACGCAGCGGCTGAGAAGGAGATCCTGATCTGGCTCAATGGAGGTGTAAGGCTCCCTCCATCTTTCTTTGCTTTATGTCGATTCTAGCCACGATTCCAAATTGCTCACATATATCTGTGGTGTCTAGCCCGGCTGCTCGTCTCTTGAGGGTCTCCTGCAGGAGAACGGTCCCTTCCTCTGGCAATATGGCACCTACAAGCCCGTTGAGAACCCCTGGAGCTGGCACCATCTCACCCACGTCGTCTGGGTCGAACAGCCCATCGGCACAGGCTTCTCGCAGGGCACCGTCACGGCCGAAAACGAGGAGGACGTTGCAGCACAGTTCATGAGCTGGTTCAAGAACTTTGTCGACACCTTTGGCTTGCAAGGGTACAAGATCTACATCGCGGGCGAGTCGTACGCCGGCATGTTCGTTCCCTACATCGCCAGCGCCATGCTGGACACCAACGACACGACGTACTACGGCGTCGACGGGATCCTGATTTATGACCCGTCCATCGCCTACTCTGATCTGCAGGCTGAATACGTCACGTTGCCGTTCGTGGAGACGTGGAATGGCCTCTTCATGCTCAACGATACCTTCCTGGCAGACATCCGCGCCCGCGACGAGAGCTGTGGCTACGCCGCCTTCCGCGACGAGTACCTGGCCTTCCCGCCCACGGCCTCCCTCCCGGCTTACGAGGACTTGCCGAGCATCAACAACTACAGCTGCGTCAACATCTACTACGACGTCTTCGACGCCGTCCTGCTGACCAACCCGTGCTTCGACATCTACCAGGTCGCCACGACCTGTCCCCTGCTGTGGGACGTCCTCGGCTTCCCCGGCAGCCTCGAGTACGAGCCCGAGGGCGCCTTCATCTACTTTAACCGCACCGACGTGCAGGACGCCATCCACGCCCCGCACATCGACTGGGCCGAGTGCGCCAACGAGAACGTCTTTGTCCACGGCGACGACACCTCGCTCCCCTCGGCCGTGACCGTCCTCCCGGGCGTCATCGACCGCACCCAGAACGTCATCATCGGCCACGGCGGGCTCGACATGGTCCTCCTCGCCAACGGCACCCTGCTGCAGCTGCAGAACATGACCTGGGGCGGCCAGCAGGGCTTCTCGTCCTACCCCACCGACCCCTTCTACGTCCCTTATAACGACTACACCGACCTGTCCACGCTCGCCGGCGCAGGTGTCTTTGGCTCCGTCGTCTCGGAGCGCGGCCTGACCTTTGTCGGCGTCGACCTGTCCGGCCACATGGTCCCGCAATATGCGCCGACTGCCGCCTACAGGCATCTCGAGGTGCTTCTGGGCCGGGTGGCTAACCTGAGCTCCACAGACGCCTTCACGACGGACCCTGGAGTTCCACAGGCGAGTCTGGTGGGTGAGACTGGGAATTTCCCTTGAGAGAGAGAAAGGGCGGCCCCTCTATTAGGCTGCTGCTGGGTTGGGAGATTTTCTTGACCTGGCCGTCGATGCTTTTCGTGTATATAGTATAGCGAGTATTGGGTGAACCAAATATAAATATGTATCGATAACTTGGAGGCCTGCTCCATGTTTCCAAGATCGCAAAAGACGACATGCGCTGCTGGTGCCTGATTGTGGTATTTGCTTTTCCACTTAGATTTTCCATTCATTTAAAATGTGCTAGAGTCTAGCAAGTATTGTTCACCTCGAGTGCCAAGTGTTCAAACATGTTTGTGCAATCACCAATGCCCGCCCAAACAAGCGGAGCTGGTCAGAAGGAGGGTGCACACACACACACACACACACACAGAGAGAGAGAGAGAGAGAGAGAGAGAGAGAGAGAGAGAGAGAGAGAGAGAGAGAGAGAGAGAGAGAGAGAGAGAGAGAGAGGAGTTGACGGTCAAATTCAGTGGAAGTATCAAGACACAACAACGGTGCATTGTGCACAATGACACAATAATATCTTGAAATGATGTTTTCTTTTCGTATGGAGTTGATATCTCCGTGTGCGACCTTGCCATCCACAACTTCCGAGGCGTGTAGCTTCATTTTTGGTAGCCATAATATACATAAAGACGGAGCGGCGAATGAATCACCACTACCGATGGATTGCGCCCAGAAAGTGTCCACCGTGAGCGAGAGATAGATAAAGAGAAGAGAGAGGGGGGAGACGATTCTTTCCATCCTTGTTTCAGCCCCCGAATGCCGTCTCGACTTGCCCAAGTGTCGAGTGCCTTATCCTGCCAGTAACCCAAAAAAACGTAACGCCTTGCTCGAGAAGAAAGAAACCCAAAGTGTAGGACTGGTTGCACAGCATATGATGCGAGACCTTGTTCTCAGGGAATGCCGCGCTCACATGGTTTCATGGAGACGGTAGGGATCAGCCAGGGCGGGACGTGACATGTGAGCAGCCCCGTCTGGATTGGTTGATCCCGAGGTCTGTGCCGCTGCTGCGAAAAGCAATTTCCCCCCCTCTTTTTCCCAACGTGAAGAGTCGTTATTCGCGTGTGTACGTTGACCGCATGAGGCTCGAAGGCCATCTAGGGGCCCCCCGTCCAGACCTGCTGCTCACAACGCACCTCCCTCCGCGAGGGCAGCCTCCCTCGTTCTCCGGGTCAACTCTAGGATGCCCTTAACACCGGTATTCCTCAGCCTCTCCAGGACAACGCGCATACCCTCACGGCTCTTGCCGAGCTGGTCCTGCGTCTTGCGGGACGCAATCGACTCGATGCTGCGCTGGATGATAGACTTGGCCAGCCAACCGCCCTGGGCGCTGTCCTGCTGCGACGCCTGGCCCATGCGCTCCCTGATCTTCTCGCCAACCCTCGACCGGAAGATGGTGGTGGTGGCCACGTCAGTGCTGGTGGTGTTGGCGGCCGGTAGCTGTGGGGCGGTGTATGTCTGCCGCTCGATGACGGAGAGAACACCGACGAAATCGAGGTTGCGACTCTCGGTGCGCATCCATCCCTCGTTGATGTCCACGATGCTGGTCTCCAGGATGTATGACTTCTTGTCGCCACCACCGCCGGTGAGCGACGCAGGGAGGAGCTTGACGACGGCAGAAGGAATACGGGACTTCTTCAGGTGGATACGGGTGGTGTGTAGCCTCCCGGTGGCGGGGTCGACATGGGTCGAGATGGTATCGGTGCTGAGCACATGTGCCGCAAACGGGTTGACCTGCGGGGAGCAGTACCGCAGAAAGTAGGCGAGGGTAACGGTCGGGAAGGGGTGAGAGTATGTGTGGTTTTGGGTGTGGGTGAGGACCATTTTGGCGATAGTGCAAGATGTAGTAGCAAAGGTTCGAGAATGCGAGGTTAGGATTGGTCGATCTGTACACAGATTAAGTGCAAAGATCGCAAGATAGAGAGAGATCGTTGGGAGGAATAATATCGGGAAGATGGTGATACGCGTGGCGGGGGAGGCGTTGAAAGCTGAGGTGCGGGTGATTCGGGCGCCTGTTTTTCCTTTCTTCCTGCGGGTGAATTCTCTTGTGAATTTCCCGGGGCAGCTCAGGTCGATTGCTCCATGAGGAGCTCGAGAATTCTTGAGAGTAAATTGACTTGTTACAACAGATGATCCGAGGATGAAACAAGGCAATAGTAGGTAAGTAGGTAGGACTGGAGTGGAGGCAGGGAGGGAGGTGGTATGGTGATGTCGTCAAGTCAGTCGAGCGGAGGAGGCGAATAATGTGGAGGGTGGTGCGCACTGGTGCCCAGGCACGCCAGGCTCGAAAGGCATCGAACGATCTATGGGCTGAACTCCAAAATCGCAAGGACGGGCCCGAATCTGGCTGACAATCTGGGGTAGCGCAAGGAGCTTGGGCCAAAAGACCCTAGCCATCATCATACCAGCAGCTTCAATCAGAAGGAGCTGAATGGTCACCCATACAAAGTCACACAAGTCGATCCACACTGCAGTCTAGCCATGTCATCGATAATATGTTAAGAAACTATCTTCGCCACACACAACTTTGGTGTGTTTTTCGTTAAAGATCTAACAAGAGGGCTCTCCTACAAACAGCTAAACCAATGACCTCCCAGCAATGACAGAACTTGCTGAGTTGAGAATTTTCACCTATTTGATATCTAGATGACTAGTTGCTAGATTTAACTACCGATATTTACTTTTCTATTGCCCCAAGATATAGGAGGTTGATTCATGACTAACAGGCTTGCTGGAACCTTCAGTGCATGGCTGGCTGGCTGACTGATTGCTTGACCATGTGCCTCAGCCAGGAGGTGACTAATACTCCCTGGATGCCTTGACTGACATAAGCAGATCCGCACTAGCGCCAGATTGCCAACAGGAACCCCAAGTCAGAGTGCAGCCCCTTCATTGCCTGCGCTTTGTTTCTTTTGCGTGCCTTTGTTCTTTGCCTTCTGCAACCACAGCCACCCACGACATTCTTTCATCACCAACTCCGCAACTGCCATCCAAGACGACCGCGGGCGTTGCGCGACAGGCTTTCTTGACAAGGAGGATTTCTTTAATCTACATTACGACCTCTATATCGACTGTCGCCGCCCTCGTCTCTCCCAGTCGTCCTCCCGCTTCTCTCCCAATTGCCTTGCTCATCTGCCTCTCAGATCATTTTCAGATTGGTGACAGGACCAAACGCTTGGCCGTAGCCTTGCCGTGATACACATACTTCTTACTGCTCGAGAATTCGCCTGGAGGATTCTGGCAAGAGAAGGGGTTATAGCCTCTGGGGTTGGTACAGCTTGGGCGCATTATTGAGGAATGGGTTCTGCTGTTCATCCGCTTTGATCTTTTCCGTTTGGGAGAATATCGAACTGCGCATGAATAGGCAGCCTGCTGGCGGACCTGTATTGTTCTCTTCTGAAGTTTTCTCTTTTTTTCTCTCTCTTGGGGTTCCCAATCAACCACTATTGTCCTCTCGAGTACAATCAGAATTGATATTTCTCCCCCGTCCCGCAAGTTGAAGCAAGAATCAGAAAGGAAGACAAGAAGAAAAACAAGGAAGACGTATCGCAGAGACGTCCATCTTGTTTGCACACAAGATCAGAAAAGAACAAACAAATCGCGTATCGCAACTTTTCCACTCTCCCCCACACCCCTTCTTGTGCGGCCCTCAACTGCAGGCGCATCACTTACAACCTACGACGCCCAAACTTACCTGCAGTGATCTTCCTCTGGTAACGATACTGCCTTCTCCCACCCTGTTTGGGGTCATCAATTGTATCGCAAAGCTTTCCCTTACAACTCTTCAAAACAACACAAATACCACGCGCAACGTGATCATAGCCCAAGATGTCGGCTTGCGTCTTTGTCAAGTTTATGTCGCAGAAGGAGCCTCGCCGAATAGAATTCGACGGCACCGGCATATCTGTTTTTGAACTGAAGCGCGACATCATCATCAAGAATGGCCTCGATAGGAGTGGCACAGACTTCGACCTTGCCCTCTATAACGAAGACGGCAGTGAAGGTGAGTCTTTTCTTGGTGTAGCTTTATAATTTGCATTGCTCAGCCTACTGACAATCCCCCCAGAGTACGACGATGATACCTCTGTCATCACCCGTTCGACCACGGTCCTCGCCCGTCGTCTTCCTGCCATGCGACCTGGCGCGGGTCGTGCTGCCCGCTATGTCTCGGGAAAGATGCCAGTCACCGCCAAGAACCACTCCCGACGAGAGCAAGCAACCAAGGCAGCCGCCTCGGCCAAGTCGCAGTCGGATCTTGCCGCCAAGATGGCGAGCGCCCAAACAGAGGAAGAGAAGATGATGGCCATGTTCGCTGTACAGGGAGAGCAGTGGAAAACACAGCAGGAGGAGATGTCTCACCAGACGCCAGTCTTCAGACCAGGTCAGAAGAAGCCTGCCAACGTCCCTGACCACGAACCACCAAACGGCTACATCTGCCATCGCTGCGGCGAAAAGGGCCACTGGATCCAGCAGTGCCCTACCAACGACAATCCCGAGTATAACGACCGGCCCCGCATCAAGCGCACTACTGGTATCCCCAAGTCTTTCCTCAAGACCGTTGACAAGGCTACCGTCCTTGCGCAGGGAAATGATGAAGATGGCAACAAACCATCTGGGGTCATGGTGACCGCAGACGGCGAGTTTGTGGTCGCCGAGCCCGACAAGAAGACATGGGACAAGTACAAGGCCAAGGCGCAGGGCTCAGAGGAGGCAAAGAAGCTCGCAGCCCAGGACGAGAAGGAGCTGCAGGACAGGGGCATCGAGTGCGAACTCGACAAGAAGATGTTCATAGACCCAATGAAGACACCCTGTTGTGCGAAGACGTACTGCAACGACTGCATTACTAATGCACTGATCGAGGGCGACCTGGTCTGTCCTTCGTGCCAGACGGAGGGTGTACTCATCGACGACCTCAAGCCTGACGACGAGGCAACGCAAAGGATTGACGAATACATGAAGGAGAAGGAGGCTGCCAGGAAAGAGCGGTCCAAGACCCCAGAGGATATCAGGTCGCCCACTGCTGAGGCCGCCAAGGAGCAGTCTGCTGATAACGACAAGATTGATGGTGTCACAAAGACGGAGAAGTCCAAGTCACCCACCCCCCCAACCTCGACCAAGTCACCCTCTGCAGACCCCTCACAAAACACCGCTCTCGTCAAGGACGACCCATCAACCGCTCCCACTATCAACGGCGAGCAATCCACCACCTCCAAGAAGCGCCCCGCCGAAGAGGACGCCGAGAATCCCGTGGCCAAAGCTCCCAAGGCACCTAAGGCGATGCAGAGGGCCAAAGAGGCCGCCCAGCAGCAGCAGCAACAGCAGCAGCAGCAGATGGGCATGATGCCCGATTTCATGGGCATGAATGGTATGAACGGCATGGCGGGCATGAACGGTTTTAACCCGATGGGCATGCCTATGCCAATGAACATGGGTATGGGCATGATGAATCCCATGATGAATATGAACCCTGGCATGATGAACGGCTTCGGTGGTATGAACGGCTTCAACCCCATGGGCATGAACCCCATGATGAACCCAATGATGATGAACGGTGGTTTTCCCAACAACAACAACATGAACGGTGGCTTCCCAAATGGCCAGATGAACGGCAACAACGGCTTTGGTGGTCGCCAAATGAACGGTAATCACAACAACTTCAACCGCGGCCCGCCTACCGGTCCACGGAACGGTGGCAACTTCGTGCCCAGCCCAAACATGAACAACAGCATGAACCTCAATAACAACAACGGGGGGGGAGGCGGCAGCGGTGTTGGCCCTGAGGACGACGCCTACTTCCGCAAGCCCGTCAACCCGCACCGGCATCAGAACAAGCAGCGCCGTGTCCGGCCCAGCGACTACCGCGAGCTCTAGGGAAGCGAGCAGTACGTCAGCACACCACCATTCCGGAATGCCCCTCCTCGTGGCTAATTGTCCGGCTATTCAATGTGGTGCGCGTGGCAAACAGCCTCTTCAGCCTATGCATCACCTCATCTCATCTCTCTCCACTCCAGGGTGGCGCTTGTTCTCTCCCTTTCCTTTCTCGGCACATTTTCGATTCGGCATCTTGAGAGGGTGGCCTATTCCAGGCTCTGCACGGTCGGCGTTCTAGGAGGGAAGTGGCGTGTGGCGATGGGCACCATCATCATCATCATCATCATCATCACGGTCATTGGGTCATATGTCACTATCCCATCTCAACCTATATGGCATCTTTGTGTACACGAGGTCCTTCATGGCAGGCACGGTCACACATACAGGGGGGAAAAAGCATGACTGAAGGCGTTAAGGGGGGACGGGGTTCAAGCTTTTGATATGATTTTTCTTCTTTGTATTCTCCTCGAGCTTGAGCACGCACCGCAGAACGCGTGCTTTTCTTGTGGATCACGAGAAAAAGGGGAATTTCGGAACAGGGGGTGGGTTGAAACCATGGCCTCCTGGACTTTCTCTTTTTCCTTTCCGTTTTGCCTATTTTTTTATTATTATTCTTTTTCTTCAGAAGTGCCCATTTCGGACTCGGACCGCCTCGGTCCCATCCTTCCGACTGGAAGCAGCATATTGGCTCATTAGAGAGGAAGAGAGAGAGAGGGAGAGAGAGGGAGAGAGAGGGACAGGGGTAGATAGCTGAAGGCGAGCCTCTGATATGAGCGCAGGCTCTGCGTGCGACTGAATCAATCTGACGATGATTTCAAACAACCAATTGGCTTTGTATTACTCATGTGACTTTGTAACATCTTGTCTATGCTTATATGCTTTGTAGTGACCCTCTTTTCTTCACTCACCCACACCCACGCACACATACTCCAAGTATGAGACGAAGCTGGCGCACCTGCCATGGATGCGCAGCGTATTATCTTTCTCAGCTTCATGCATTCCCTCTGCTCACAGCAGATTTTGCTGTTCCTGGAGAGCCCTTCCTCCTCTGCCATCCCCTACTGAGTTCTCCTCCATCAAGCCTGCGGACCGCATATGAAGCATCGTATGGACCATTTCCCCGCCCCCCCCCCCCCTCTCTTTCTCATGTGCCATATCCCATGGATATTAAGCGGATGAGAGGCCTCCTCTGCCTTATGAAGGTGGCACGTAGGGCTTCACCAGCATCTCGCTGAACTTCTCAAGCTTCTCCTTGCCCCTAACCTCTTCGACGAGCAGGGGCATCTTGACGACGTTGAACTCGTCGTAGAGCTCCTCGATCTGGTCTAGGTACTTCTTCTGCATCTTGCGGCGGGCGTTACACTGGTCGCAGTCGCTACCGGCCTTGGGGAACAGCAGCTGGTTGACGACGATGCTGTGGGTGTCGATGCCGTAACTGGCGAGCTCCTGGATCATGCGCTCGGTCTCGTACAAGCTCAAGAACTCGGGGATGCAGACGCAGACAAAGGTGGTCAGCGCCTCGTCCTTGAACTGGGTGTTGACCTCGCCAATAGTGGCACGCAGCGACTCGAGCTTCTCCATCATCTCGCCCAGGTTCTGGCCGTTGGGCAGGCCGCCGCCCTGGCTGCCGAGGAAGCCGTTGAGGAGCGGGCCGTATTGGTTGGAAAGCTGCGAGATCTTGGCGAGGGCCTTCTCAAGCACCGAGGGGAACTGCAGGAAGCGGAGGGTGTGGCCAGTCGGCGCCGTGTCGAAGATGATGGTCTCGTAGGAGAGGGACTTGACCTGTTTCAGCACCTCTGCGAAGGACATGGCCTCGTCAATACCTGGTATCTAGATTATCAACGCCCAAGAGTCGACCAGTTAGCCTAAAGATACTTCTTGAATCCCCTCTCTTCGGGTATCGCTTAGCTTACCGCGAAGGCCAGGTCCTGCATCATACCGCCCATCCCACCCATTGGGTCCCCACCACCGGCACCGGCATCCTCACCCTGGCCGGCCAGCAGGTCCTGTATACTCCCGTTAGGGTCGATTTCCATGGCGCTGAGGTTGCCGAAGCCGTCGATGAGGCGGGCCTCCTTGCCAAACTTCTGGCTGAAGGCATCGCTCAGGTTGTGGGCGGGATCCGTGGAGATGAGGAGCACGCTGCGGCGGACCTTGGCGAGCTGGATGGCGAGGGAGCAGGAGGTTGTCGTCTTGCCGACGCCACCCTTGCCGCCAACAAAGATCCAGCGCAGGGAGCGCTGGTCCAGGATCGACTGCAGAGTCGGTTCCAGGGCGTCTGGGTCGTCGGCGTTGATCAGGGCGGACGACATTTTTTTTCTTTCTTTCTCCTTCTCTCTTTCTCCTTCTGTTGCTGTATCGGCTAGGTCTGTGCTGTCTTGTCTTGTCCTTCTCTCTTTACCTCGAGATGCGCAGAAGAGCTCGACACGAGTGCATTGAATTCTGGAGAATGGGGTGGTGTGGAGGCGCGCAGGAGGCCAAGTCGACGTGTGAACAGAAATATGGGTGGTGGTGATGATGGTTGGCGGTGGAAACTGTTAGAACCGCGAACACGACAGGGTGCGTGTGAAGCTGTCAGGCGCAAAGCAGGCACCACTAGTGTACCGCCACCCACTAAAAGCTCGCTGGCAGCGTCACTGCTCCGCTACGGCCATGGTGGGATGGCGGGGCAAGGGTTCCGTCGCCGTTGTCGGTACCGAGTCCCTGGGTCAGTTGTTACCCCTCCAGTGGACATGGCTAGACGCATCATCATAGTAGGCAAAAGGCCTCTACATTTTAGCATCGCTGCCCTAAAATCGAAGGCTCGTCTTGTACTCGTCCTGTAATTACCCTAATACATTGACAATCTATTACTTCTTACTACCCATGGTCCACATATTCACAGCTGTTTGGACGCAACCAACCTATCATCTGCATTCGGCAAGTCCCATCGAGGTTGTCCCTGACTCGGCGCCTACCTCGCCCACCTAGGCTGTGACGGCGGGGCTCTCCAGACGGACGGCAGCGCCCGCTAACCCTTCCAGACCCCACGACAGGACGTCTTTTCATATGAAAAAGAAGCAGGGCCACCAACAAATCGTCTCTACTCCCTCTTGGCGCCCCCCGACCAGCCAACATACAGCGCGCGCACACACAGGTGTCATCCCTCACCCTCAGCTCAGTTTCAGGACCCAAGGCCATCTTCGACCTAAGAACAGACGTTGTGAACAATCTTCCTCCTTCCAACCAAAAACCCCACGCAAAACCACTCACCATCACCAATCCATAAATCCCCCAAGATGGCCGCCAAAGACCCCATCACCTGCCACATCCTCGACACAACTCTCGGCCAGCCCGCCCGCAACGTCCGCGTCCGCCTAGAACACACCACCCTGCCCCCAACCACCACGCCAGCCCCCTCCTCCGACCTCAGCAGCGCAGCACCTACCGCCCACCCGACTTCCCTCCCCATCGTCTTCGAGTCCCGCACCGACGAAGACGGCCGCGTTCGCTCCTGGCTGCCTTACTCCTCACCCCAGAGCCCAGGCGAAGTCCCCGTCTACACCCTCGAGGACGTGCTGGGCGACATTCGCGGCAGCAGCAGGTGGACATTGCGGTTCGACACGGGGCCTTACTTTGCTGCGGGCGGTAGGGAGACGTTTTTCCCCGAGGTGGCTGTCGTCTTTGAGGTTGCCGAGGGGCAGCATTACCATGTGCCGCTGCTGCTTTCGCCGTTTGGGTATTCGACGTACCGGGGGAGCTGAGAGAGGGAAGAATAAAGAGGGGTGAGGGTATTGCAGTGGCCGAGCTGGACGGAGATGTTTCCAAGATGTCGTGGGACGGCCTAGGCATAGAGCACACATGTCTCTCATGGCCTTGAAGGGAACCATGGAGAGTCAATAGATGAGATTGACAGCAGACTCTAGAAGGCGGAACTTTGGAATTGACGATGCACTCCTCAGTAATGAACCCGCGGCGTGTTCGAGAACATATCACACTATGAACAAGAGAATTGTTCAAGAATTATATCATATCACAAAGATGCAAGAACGAGGACTTTTCCGAGCCAGTGGCCACCGGATTTGTTTTGAGTTTGGATTTGTACTATTAGAGGAATATCGACTACGCAATGTAGCGAGTGTGATGGATGCGTGTAGGTGACGCAAGTATAGACATACTTAAGTAGGTAATCAGGGTAAGAAGGAGGGTGTCTAAAATCCTCTTGTTCTCAGGACGACCCCGTCTTGTTCCAGCAGACAGGATCGTTTTTGCCTTGCCAGTGATCTCTAAGGGTTTTTTTGTTTTTTGGTGTTCCTTCGGTGTGCCGAATAGACAAAAGAGATTTCATGTCATCATCCGAGCCAAGCCGACTCAGTTCCCAGAAGAAAATCAAATCCAACTCCACGCTTCCGAATTGTCGAAGAAAAGAAGAAGAAAAGGCTATGTTCGCCCAACGGTAGATTTATTCCACGCGTTGAACATGTGTGAGGTGTGTGTGTGTGTGTGTGTGTGTGTGTGTTTTATGTTTACCCATTTGGGAAGAGGATGAAGTCAAACCCCGTGTGCAGGGACTTGAGGTTGTGAAGATCGGCCCGGCGAGAGTTAACCCGTCATCTCACTTGGAGGATTTTCTCATGCCAGGTATCACAGTAGTTACCCATTGGCCCTAATCGCGGTGCTTGTGAATGCCCAGCTTGCCGAGGAAGCTCCTCCTCCTCCCTGACCTCGTGCGTGACGAGGCGGTGGTGTCAGTCGAGAGTCTCATGCGGGAGTGGCCTTGGTGTCGGACTGGCTGCGGTGCGGCATCTTCATGATCGCCTGTCGAGTTGGAGTTGAAGCTATCGCCGCCGCCCGAGGTCGGCCTCACAATGGCGATCTGCTGGCCCACGGCTGGGGTGCTGGGGATGGTCGGTAATCTGCCGTCCACCGGTGTGGCTTCGGAGTCGGAGACGACAGCGACCTCGCTGTACATCTGCTCCATCTCGGGTGTGATATAACCATGCGAGATGGTGCGCTTGTTCTTGTTGAGGAACGACCGCCGTTGACGGGACAGGACGCGCGACACAGAGATATCTTCCTGGGTGATGCAGGCGTTGCCAGATGTGTCTGCATCTGGGTGTGGGAGGCTGGTGTTGCGATCTGCAGAAAAGGTCAGTTATGCGGTTCTTTCCACTCGTTGAAAAGGGCTTTGTATATAAGACTGACTTCCACAGAAGGACTCTGGAAAGCCCGTGTTCCGGTGACGACTCCCAGAGGACGTCGATCTCTCACTGCTGGCGATAGACATTGTGTCGACGGTGCTGATGTCGAGGAAACTCCAACTCTCTGGACGGCGAGTCCGGCGTGTTCTGCGCATTGAGAGCATGATTGTTTAGCTTTCTTCTTCTTTCTTGTCCAGTGACAACTCTGGTTTTTAAAGGATCAAGTTGTGAACAGGAAGAGCGTCCCGCCCCTCCTTCTCCTGCCCCGAAAAAAAGAACAAGAGCAAAAACACGAGATGAGGCCCAACAACAGAGGGCTCCCCGAAGAGCACTAGGCTCTGCGGGAGAACGGTGATCTTTGCCGAGATTGAGAAGAATTCTGGAAGCCCGCCTGTCCGGAATGGCAGGGGGGAAAGGGGAAATAAAAAGAAGCAACTAGAAAGACGAGGCCGAATGAACGAAGATTAGGGGAGCCGTGCGCATTTCAGACCTCGCTGACGAGGTGTGTTGAGCAGGCGGCAGCGATCAGATGCAAGGGGGTCCAAGAAGCTCTCCAAAGAAGGCAGACAATAGTTCACGATACACTTAATGTGCCAAGGTCGTATGGAATATTGGGAGTTGCCAGGCAAGATGAAGACCTGTTGTCAGAGAGTGGGACGAGGCCCATTATGAATTCGGGTCGCAAGTGAGGCTTGTCGTAAGCCGAGATGCGTATCCCAGAGGACCCATGTCAGGCAATTTGCAGTCATCCAAGGGTGAATTGGGTTGTGTTGGGGATTCACACGCACGCAAGAGCCAACTTGGCTTGTCACCTCAAACCCCCAATAATGCGACCTGAAGGAAAAGGGAATTTGCAAGGGGTCCAACTGAACAACACAGAGCGAGCTGGGTGCGATGAGGCTATGTTTTGTCCACAGCCCAGCCGCGTCGTACCCAAGGCGCCGGGCGCACACGCTTGAGTGCGTCTCAGAGGGTCCTGCCGCAGCGAAACGACTGGTCAAGAGAAGGCTTGTTTGCTCACCTTGTGCGCGGAAGCGAGAGTAGTGGAGCCGCTGGGATTTCGATGTTGGATGGATAGACCCCGTACGGCGGTTGCGAGGCCGAAGAATGGGGCCTCGAGGGTGGGTCGGAATGCGGGTATTGGCGGAGAGGACACGGCTGCTTGGTTGTCAAAGATGTAACCGGCTCAGTCTCGTCGACCGGGTCTTGGCCCTGGCGTTTGTTTGGGACCTTGACGCCTAAGCGATGTCGAATTGCTGTGAAGGCCTTGTGAAGTTGTGCAGGCTCGTCAAGGTACTATGGCAGTACAGAGAAGTGGGTACAGTCACACGATGTGGATGAGAAAGGCGTGGGTCCAACTGCCAGCGAACGGTGTGAGCCAGGTCAAATAATGAACATTTGGGCAGCCAAATAGAGAAGAGAGAGAGGGATTTTGGTGACGAGGACAATTCGTCGTCTGGTCTGGCGGTCAGGTCGGTTCTTGTATGCGTCTTATCGAGGGCGGGGAGACCGGGCGGCAAAACCCAGGGTGGTCCTGAGGTAGGGTGAGAACGGCAGGTGAGTCGCTGGATGTGGTGAGAGACGGCTTCAGAATAAGAAGACTATCATAGGTCAGACCGGCAGGAACGCATGCAGATACTAGGAGGGACTGCTACTGCAGGACGTTGTTGAAGGAAGGTGGTCTGGATCGGCCGTCCAAGGAGAAGGTGACAGACAGCCGGGTGGCTCTTCACCTCTCTTTATGGTAAAAAGAGAGAGAGAGCCCTGAGAAGTCTCATATTCCAAGGACGAACTCTGGTCTCGTCAGCACTGTATTGAGACCTTGAAAATGACTCTGTACTGTAACCATGTCAGGTAGTATTGCTAAAGTGTCAGACCCGGTGCTGTGACGAAAAGCTTCGCACAGCCAGTCAGCGTGATTCCAGAAGCTAGACTGGGCTACTGCGGCGAAGAAGTTACGACAGCTGCAAGTCTAGCCAAGGTCCTTATAGTGCGCCGGGTTCGTGTGGCGAAGGCAAGCAGAACCCCGAGAGAAGATTGGTCTACCAGTTGCCAGGCTCCCCAAGCACAGAACACCACAGAATCTCGGGCGCTGAGACATGCAGCTGGCCAAACATCAATCGGGCACGACCGTGTGACCACGCATGCACATACCTCTCCATTTGTGCCGTACTATCCCGATGACAGCCTGTCCTGTCCCATTCCAATATGCAGCACTGTTCTCGCACACGTGTCTCTTTTCATGTAACAGATCATGGCTCGCCCTGAGCTTTTCTTCCCTGCCGAAGTGAACGTGGTGGGTGAGTGGGCGCATGAGGAAACCCCACAGAGGATCGCAGAGCAGGGAGGGCTGGGCCATGACGCAAGGGTACGTTTAGACGCCTTCTATCTTTCCCTGCCTGGGCCCTGGTCTGCCCAGTTGTGCAGGTGCGTGGGTGCTTGCTTTGGTCTTGCCTTTTCTTTCTTCCCTTCTTTTCCCCTCTCTTCCTTGGCTCTTTTCTCCCTCCCCTCACACCGGGTGCCGCTGTTCCGGTTGGAGCGAAAATGAACCGAAGGCAAGCACTCCAAGGGACAAGCCACGACCGCTAACGCAACGGACCCAGGCACAACCAAATGATTTAATGATTCCCAACAGAGCGGGCCGGGCGTAAGCAGACCTGCATCCCAAATCGACTCGAGGATGAGGGAGCCCGCTCAACAAATTCTTGATGCTGATGATCCTCGGACTTCGAGATCCCCCGCCCCCTGGCTTTTCAAACACTGATAATAGGCAAGATGGGTAATCTTGACAATTCGACTCCTTAAAATCCAATTCTCGGGAGATACAGCTTTCATCCGTTGTGACACGCCTCCATTTGTGTAAAGCTGTGAGGTAGAGAGTGTCTCTTCATGCAAGACTTCTTCAAGCAGGAGCTGTCAGACTCTTGTGTGTGAGACGCACTTTTCTCGGCTGTTACCAATTACTAGTAGACAAGTTGGGCGGTGAAGAATGTTTTGGAGTATTTTGGTGCAGAGGGAAACACAAGGCCTGTCATTGCGCATGTCTTGCATCTTTAGTAGCCGTCAGTCTACCGTTCTTGCGGCTACGAAATGGCCAAGTGCCGAGGCCCAGAGTATTTTTATTGGATGCAAAGATACCCCGCCCAAATGCTGTGAAGCCTCTGGGATGTCAGAACCTCATGCACCTGCATCATGGAAGTGTTGGAGTCGAGACAAGAGCTGGAGCTGGCGTTGAAACTGTGGAACTGTGTATCAAGAAAGAACTACTGCGAGCTTACAGATTATACACATAGAGCAAGCAGTACACTGGGAGAAGGAGAAAGAGGCCCCTATGCTGGGAGGATCTTCCATGTCTCTGCTTCTTGTCTCACTCCACATTCCAACCCCAGCTTAACATGCCCATCCCCTGTACCACTACTGGCGCCAGAGAGCCGTGGTGCCTGTGCCCTGCTGTCTTTTACGTTACGTAGCACACATGGTACTACTGTATAGCAACACAAGACCTGCCAATCACACAACTCTGATCCGTGGTCCGTGGTCCGTACTCCGTATCTCATACCCCATCCGAGGTAGGGGGTCGAAGTTCAGACGAGAAGGGCATGACTGAGGCAGGCAGGCCTCAGCACCAAGGAGCTCTCTTGGAGAGCTCTGGACTTGACACCTCATGATTTTTCTGGTCCTCAACAAGTCTCTCAAGATATTCAAGAATCGAGACCGTCATCGACCATTGAAAAGCAACACGACGTCGGGTTGGACAACACAACAATGGCATCCACAACAGTAGCAGAGGACACCGAGCTCAGCAAGCAATATGACACGCCGCTCGGTCTCGCCCACGACACCATGCAGGCCCTCAAGGACAGGATCAAGACCCACTACGATCTTGCCAGCGAATATTATCTCTCCCTGTGGTAGGTCACGGCCATACCCGACAAGCCCTTCCAGAGATGTCCTCCTATCATGTCACCGTCGTCAGGCTGCTTGTCCCTCGGGGAACCCTACCCGGCGTTTGTCACTTGTCATCGCCTCTACAACTCAATAAATAATACTGACGCTGTTTGTGCGTCTGAAGGGGGACGCATATCCACCATGGCTACTGGCCTACTCCCGAGTCCAAGGCCAACGAGACCAAGGAGCAGGCCCAGGTCAATCTGATCCACCTCCTTCTGAACACTTCGCAGATCGCCGAGGGCGCCAAGGTCCTCGATGTGGGATGTGGCATCGGCGGTACATCAAGGTACCTGGCCTCGGTATTAGGCTGTACGGTGACAGGCATCACCATATCCACCAAGCAGGTCGAGATGGCCACCCGTCTCACCAAGAGCGAAGCTGCCAAAGACGACAAGAGCCTGACCGACCAGGGACCCGATGCCGATGGCTTTCTCCACATCGGCAAAGGCAAGGTCAAGTTCCTCGAGCTGGACGCCGAGAAAATGGGGGATGTCTTCGCTTCCCAGTCCGAGTCCTTTGATGCAGTCTGGATCTGCGAGGCACTGAGCCACTTCCCCAACAAGTCTCTATTCTTCCAGAACGCCCACAAAGTCCTCAAGGTTGGGGGTAGGCTCGCGCTAGCTGATTGGTTCAGGGCAGAGGGGCTGGATGAGAAGCAGTTCGTGGACGACATCAAGCCTATCGAAGGTGGGTGGGCCCCAGTATTGCGGCTGTGTCTCCCGGGGCGTCTCCGGTCTGCGGGTCCGGCTTGCGTCCGAGCCGTGGGGCCAATGTGATGTTGTTGAGAGCTGACAGGCGAATGCGATACAGATGGCATGCTTCTACCGCCGCTCTGCACCGAAGTCGACTACGTCAGCTTAGCCAAGGGAGCTGGCCTTAGTGTGCTGGGAGGACCAAAGGACATATCTGTTGATGTAAAGGCGACATGGTAAGACCATATGGTTTCAGGTTGCGGTCATGGAACAGAGCCAGCTGACAAATGTTACTCGTAGGGACATCTCGTGGTCGCTGGTGCAGAATCCATCCCTCTGGGCCTTTGCTTTCAGTCAAGGTCGAGATGGCGTCGCTTTCTTGCAGGCCTTCCGGGCCATGAGAAGAGGTTACGCCAATGGCAGCTTTCGATACGCCGTCATGGTCTTCCAGAAGTGACGGGCTTAATATGGCACCTGTGTCAGTGGGACGAAGGACTGCGTGCCAGCTGGTGTTGAAGTCACCTGGGCAACAAGAAGAATGGGGTGGATGCCGAGCCTCGCCCGGCAAATATCGAGTGTGTGGAGTCAAGCGGACAAAGTGAAAGCGCTTCACATCCCATCTCGACTTCGCTTGATCGGTCATTTCGGATCTCTCGATCGTGATGGGGCTTATGGATCATACCCGTGCCTTTCCCCTTTACACATAATTACACAACATTCAGAGCTTAGAAAACCGCTCAATGATTATGCACAGTTCCTCCTTGGGCATCTCCTCATCGTGTGCCACACCATAAAGCCGAACAGCCGGCCGAATCTTTCATTGTGTAACACCGCAAGATCCTTAAGGAGATACAACTGCCTGTGTCATACCATGCTGCCCGCATCTGTCAACTTCCGATATGCATAGTCTCAATGACCTGCAGGGACTTGTCACAAGCTCCCGATTGCCTGCAGATTTAGAGTGTTTGCTCTTGCTTCCGTTGCACCGAGAGAATGTGGTGTTCCAATTCGCATTGTGCATAGGGGAAGTGGCGCGTATCGCAAGGCGATGCACCAAGATGGTAGGCATTGCTGTGAGGATACATTTTGTGAGAAAAGTCCTTACGGTATGTCGTATCACTCTCAAGATGTGCCAGGATGGATTCAAATCAGAGCACTAGGACCGAGTCATCTCTCAGAAAGGCAGCTCAATTGCTACTCAGGGTTCTCTGCTACCAGAGTCCTCTCGAGGTTAGTATTGGCAACATGATTTTCTAGACGCTTTTGTCTGAAGGACAAGTGTCGGTGGCAGTTCCCTCCCAAAATCTGTGGACGGCCTGTCCTTGTGCTACGTGCTAGGCCGACTCACCTCTCACTCCACATTCATCACTGCTACAGAGATTCACAAGATCGTCCCACGTGGCTCTTTTTTCCTCAAGCTTTGTTTCCACAATGAGGGCAGACCTCTGATCACCAAAATTTCAGGGCTTGGGATCTGCATATGTGAGTTTTCCCAGCTTGACAGGCTCTCCCCCTAAATGTCCCTTGAACGCCGACAAATTGTCTTTCTGAACTGATCAGTCACTACACACCATCACAGCACCACATTCGGAGAGACTCGAGCTAGTCATACAGACAAGTTACCATTGTCTACCCGAAGTTTCCAGAGCCCCTACTCTCATTGATACGCAGCCCTCCACTCCGACTACACAAAAACAACAAAACGGAATTCCCCTCCGACAACATGGACAGGCCACTCATACATCTGGCCTGTGCTGCCGCGGTTTTTACCATCTGCGGGCTCTTCTTCTACCACTCTACACTATACTCGCGACTTGTGGACGGGTATACGAGATACCGCGGGCCAGCCGATTCTACAGAACCCTCTCCAAGAAGAGGGCGCGTGCGGAGGACGAGACTTGCGTCGCAGGGCATTTTGATGGAGGTGCACGGGCCTGACCATCACCAGAGGGGCGAGCTTGAGCCTTCCCCGCCTTGAAGCGATGATTTAGGCATCTTAGAGATGAGGGGAATGAAGAGTGAGATTTTGGAAGATCAAGGGGTGGCGGGGTATGAGGCGGTTGAAGCTGCCATAAGTGAGCTCTTTCGAGGGTTTGGTAACTGGATTGGTAAACAGATGGTCAGTTTGACCTCTGAATTTCAGGTCACTTCTATGGTAGGAACCGATGTTCCAGTGTAGTCGCCATGGAGGGAAGGCACCTACCCTTTCTTCCACTCCAGAATAGCAGGCAACGTACCTTCCCTCAACCTTACTAAACAAATCGAATCAATCTCTTTCATCGCCTCAAATCCTCATGCTATCAGACTCGACTCATTCTTCCTTTCACCTCTGTATCTCTAGCTCGTCATTGAGCCTACACATAATGTACAAGAGACCAGCATACGAAGAATTAGGTGTGCGTCCAGTTCACCGGCAAGATGGCTCCATTGACCTTCGCGCCCGCATCAAAGCTTATGCTGGGGATGAAGAAGGCAATGAACCCGAATGCCTGAGCCCTACGGAGGCATTCTTTGCAAGACCTACTCACCACGCGAAGCCAGTGCAGCAGCAGACCCGCCAGGCACCTGTAGCACGCGCCCAGCAGAAGCACCGACTACCTCAACGAGAGCCCGAGAGGCCACAAAAGCGGTTGTGGCTGCAGATGAAGCAGCCTTCGCTGGACAACTTGCGGCACGTGGAGTCGCCTCTTGACCAAGAGCTGATTGGTAGGTTGGGGCTTGCTTGTTCTGGGTGGAGCAGCGCGTCTGACACGACCTGCAGATCATGTTGTTGCAAATAGAGACACCCTCTACAACGACGCCCTGGCAAGCCTGACAGATCTGCACGCCGAACTGCAGCAGGATCTCATGAGAACCATCTCTGAAGACGAGCGTGTTCTAGCCCTTCTTGACAACAACCACAAGAAGATCACCAAGCAATTGTCTGATACGCGCATCAATGACCCGGAAGCGGGCCATGTAGTTAGGGTTGGCGACCGTATTGCCTCCTTTGTAAAGTATATCGACACTGTGGAGGTGGAATTGACATCGCTCTGGGCCCAACGTGAGGTGGCGCAGAAGGAAGTTGATGACATCTTCGCCGAGCTGGCCAATACCCAAGATGCCGCCGAGTGCGAGCAGGCCAGCGCGGTCATGGCGGTGAAGAAATCTTTTGCCAACGAGATTGATAAAGTATCAAATGAGCTAAGTAGCATCCTGGACAATGCTCATGAAGAGGCACGTGTGTCTGAAAAGGTACGTGTTGGACACAGTGCACTTGTTGAACCAAGTGTTGACTCTCATGTTCGTCTAGAATTTTAGCAAGAAGATCAAAGGGGTCATGTCCGGCTTGCTTCAGCAGTACTTGTTGGAGGACTGACGTATTTGGTTCATGTGATCATTTCGGTCGGAACCAATCAGGGCGAGGATGTTGGTACTTATGGGTTGATTATCGCTATGTGATCTATCCTCGCTAGAGGTGTCTTTTGGAGCTGGAGGGTACGCCATTAATCCTACCCACATGTCACGAAAATTGCTCATATTCTTCAACGAGTTTCTAGAATTGACGACATAGAGACCAATTCTACTAAAGTATTATAGAGCACGAGTGGCGTGACACAGCACGCTGAGCCCGATGCGAATGTCTTCAAGTTGCTTCCTTCGGTTTTCTTCACTCATTCCTCCTCTGGGATGGTCACTCCCCACGAGTGATTCTCGTTTCCATACATAATGTCGTGCATCCATTTCCTCAGCATCAACGTGTACTTGCCACCGTTTCCTTCGGCCATACTTATGGCAATATCTTTGCCTCTGTGGTGGATAAACGACACGGGGGCAACGAAGAACTGATATTGACGACAAATCAGCATGTTATTACATCACAATGCCTAGGAGAAGGGGACATGACGACTTACCGCCGTACCAGCCGCAAAGGACTCAATCAGTCTTCCCTCGCGATCTGCCTCCACCACCTCGTCAATGGAGTATCTTCTCTCGACGACTTCGGCCTCGTCGCCGAGCCTCTCCCGCGCGAGCTGCAACAGGCTCCTCCTCGTGATGCCGTCCAAAATCAGCTTGTCGTCCAGCGGCGCAGTAACGATCTGCGGCCTGCCGGTCTCCTTGCTCTTCCACACGACGAAGAAGTTGGACGCCCCGGCCTCGGTGCAGTACCCTTCGGGCCCGTACAGCCACAGGACCTGGTCGTACCCTCTCCTCCGCGCCTCCTGCGTGGCCACCAGGCTGGGCCCGTAGTTGGCGCCGAGCTTGGCGTGCCCGAACCCGCCGACCCAGGCGCGGATCGTGTCCTCGGGGTTCGTGTGCAGCCGGATCCCGCCGGCCCGGGCGTCAAAGCGGGTCATGAAGCTCGCGGTGATGTACAGGAGGGCCTCGGTGGGCGTGCCTATGCCGAGATGGGGCTGGGTGCCGATCAGGACGGGGCGGAGGTAGAGGTAGGAGCCCGCGCGGTCACGGGGCAGCCACTTGGGCCCGTCGGTGGCGACGAGGGCGGCCAGGAGCTTCTCCACCTCGGCGGGGGGGAACGCCGGCAGGGCGATGCGCACAGCGGACGACAGGAGGCGCCGGGCGTTGCAGTCCGGGCGGAACAGCCGCAGCTTGCCGTCGAAGCCGCGGTAGGCCTTGAGGCCCTCGAAGCACTCGGTGGCGTAGTGCAGGACAGAGGCGGTGGGCATCAGGGAGATGGGCCCGTAGGGCTTCAGCTCGGGTGCCGCCCAGCCCGTGGTGCTGTTCCAGGCGCAAGAGATCATGTGGTCGGTGCAGATGGTGTGCTGGCCGGCGCTGGCCGTGGCCTCGTCCGGGACGGCGCGAGGGGCCGTGGTGCGGGTGAAGATGAGCTTGGAGGCGTCCAGCTCGGCAGGTGCAGGGGCGCCATTGCTGCTGCTGCTGCCGTCGTTGATCTTGTCGATCTTGTGCTTCAGAGCGGTGGAAGTGAGGTCGGCGTCTGAGGCGGAGGCCTCGTGGGTGGCCAGCAGTGTGCCGGGAGCCATGGTGTAATTTAAATGGAAGAGGGAAATTCCCAGGTAGTTCTAATATATGTATATTGCTGTTGATTAGTGGGAAATCTACACTTGTATTGAAATTGTCTGCTTCGAGGGTAGTAATTGATCTCAATGGATGTGAGAGGGATTGATATGGGAATGAATCAGAAAAATCAAGAACTACAGAAACAAGTTTAACGAGGAGAAAGGAGTCCCTTTAAAAGGAAAATGGACGGCTTATAGCAAAGGTGTGGGCCTCTTTGGCTTAAACTCCAGATACAGGTGGAGTTTTGAAGAGGACAAAGTGACTCATGAATGTGTCCATGCTTCTAGTTCGACGGCTTAGCTAGATACCATGCGGTTTTGCAGACAGAGATTAAATTTTCATTCCTAGGGAATAACTGACCTCTCTGTACATCGTAGCCTATCCTGGAAGAAGGGAGGCTGAATGCGCGTTGGCGCAGAGCGCATTCTCCTACTTCGGACGTGGCGCATCGTGTAAGTGGCTGGGGTTCGTTTACCTGCCTCACCTACAAGGAATACTATGTAAGCATCCTGTGTGGACTTGATGAAACCGCATTCCTCTTCTGAAGATGATGACCACCTTGGAGACGTTATGATGAACTCATAAAAGTCACCTGGACATCTCGTCTCTCACGTGGACTTTTGAGGATCTTCTTGTGTCCCCTGCATACTGCTCTCGTTGGTTTGGTGGTCACCCATCCAAGACGGATAGAAGAGGCTCTGTAAGTTCGAGATTTTCCACTGGGAATCAATCATCTACAGTCTCGACCACGCTGCAGATTAGGAATTTTTCATTCTTCTTCCTTCTCTTTCGCCTCCTCCTTGTTTGAAAATATTTGCTATGAAAATGGGGTGAAAATCCAGCGCCATATTCGCCCCCTCCTCGCCTCCAGGTGCGAGAATCCATAGTCCCAACGTCCTCAACCTGCGACCATGACACGCACGCATCTGACCTAGATATCGGTCACATGTCGGCACCAAGAAGTGTGGATATTGCCGGGCCGGTACGGAGAAGTGTGCAAGATAAGATCCTTCCTCCCCCATGGGATCATGGTTGCAGAGGGCAGTGCTTTGAACCGATGAAAATTGCTGACAGACAAAAAGCCCAGCACAGGGGAAATTGGTGATTAATGGACGTCGGACAGGTTAAAGTCATTGCAAAGGCCGCTTGTAGCCGCCAATTGCCGCGGGAACCCTTCTCATCCCTCGTCATCTCCCCTATACGAACCCACCCCCTCAAGGTTTCCTTCGTCATTGGCACCTTTGTTCATATGGATGACCTTCACCGAGCGCATAGCGACATCGGTCTGAGAGGGGCCTTCATCATTTGCCAATTGAGACTTGTCATTGGTAACTTCGGCATGTCCATGCGCCCTGCGGTTTTTCTTCTCTTTATCTACTCCATATGCTGTTCCGGCACGGACTTGCCATGCCATGCCGTGCCATGCCACGCCTTCATCTCCTTTCAGCGTCTCCAGCCGACTCGAGAGCATTGGACAAGCTGAAAATGACACATGTATCATTTAAAGTTGAAGCTCTAAGCTGCACTGCTCAGGTGCACGCCGACTCGCTCTTGCCAAGTGGCAGAATGTCACCTTGCGGAGGCTGCTTATATAAGCAGGTCAACGTCGTTCCCAGGGTCTAGGTCGAGTCCCGCGGTCACATTATGATGAAATTCAAACGAGCACCAAGTGTCTCTCGTTGGCTGCCTCTTGTTGTAAGGCCTCTTCGAGATATCTCCTGCTAGGTCAGGAGAATAATGGGGGAGAATGGCTGAATCCAGATGGAGAAAGGCGCCTTCAGGTCACTTGGTACAAAAGTGTGTTGTTGAGAATTTTTGGATGACGAGACAGTATCTCGTCGGTATGAGGAGAAAGAGAGGCGAGATCTCCTGAGTTTGCTTTGCTGTATTACCTGCTGGGAGAAATGCTGGAAAAGGTCCTTGGTGCAGGTTCAGCCAATTCAAGCAAGAGGGCGGCTGTAGGGATGAGTCAAGAGGGAGGAGAAGTGCACGAGCCATTCTGTCCTGGCGTTATGATGAATCTGATTTGGTTTCAACACTCTTGCTGGTGCAGAGAGGTTCGAGCGTGGTCGAGAATCAAGGAGGCTGCCCTGGAATAGTGATGGCTGGCTGGTTGGTGGTCGTTGCTAGGCAGCCAGCCCCAAGTGCAGCCGCCGCCTCTGTTGGTGCAGCTGGCTGGCTGGCAGTCACATGTCAGTTCGTCCCAAGTTACAACACATATAGAGGCGTTCAAATTATGCACTACCAACAATTGGTCAGGATCTGGTGGTTGGCTGGTGTAGTGGTCAAGCGCGTTACCGCGATTAATATTGAAGACATCTCAAACCACGCTATCCAGAAATAAAGCAATCCCACCAGACTTCCCATGAGACCCAGACACAGTGACAACCTACAGCCCGCCGCTGCGACGGCCATGGTTGAGCCAGCACTGCAAAGAAATTCCCTGAAGATCGAAAGGAGGGGCGCGCTGTAGCAAGCTGGGAAACAAGAGTACCAGCTTGGCAGGGCGTGGAGGACCAAGTCCTTTTTTTTTGTCCCTTTTTCTTCTTTCCTTCATCCTCTCTTCCTATTCACTCCTTTGCCCTTGCGTCCTCTCCTACATGTTTTCGCAAACGTCGCAAGTTCGAGTCGGGCAAAAGTCACCTTTTTCGTTTCTTTCTTTTTTATGTGCAACTTGTCAATGTTTCAAATTGCAGATGGAGGCGTGACTTTCTGAATGATATTATTACCAGGGGAGCGCCTGTTCGAATCGATTGCAGCGACCTTTTTGTCAACATTTTGCTACGCTGAACCTTGGTCTGTTCGGGCCAGCCAAACTGTCCACTGCTCAGATGGCTTTATCTTTGACAACTCAATGGATGACCACACAATAGTTGAACGGAGAATTTTCTGCAGTGTTCGTATGCATCATCATCTCCCTGGTCAGCTCTCAGCTGCCAGGCGATATTTTCATCACATAAACCAAAGAAACTGAGATGTTTAATTACACAGTCACAAAAAAGGAAGACTGTCAAGTTCAAATAGCTAAAGATTGGCTTACTGAGGGAAAGAACACTCCGCACGAGAAAGAGATAAACGCGCCATCCCGTACCGCCAACAACCACTACCACCACAAAAGCACGAAGCTATGTCCGAACCGATTGATGGTTCGCGATCTCCCCACCCTCAAACCGCATAGCTCACCGACTCACCCGAGCTTTTGAGCCTCGGCGGCGCCACTTCCGTCTCTTCCTCCTTCTCCTGCAGATGACTTGTGAGGTGCTGGAAGCTACCATCCAGCGGACTCGAGATGATGGTCGTCCTCGTCTGCCGCTTCGACGACGACGACGACGATGCCAACCATTTACCGCCGCTCCCACCAGCAGCAGGGTCAGTGTCCCTCGCGCTCAGAACAATCGACGACGAACCTGTCCGTGTCCGCGACCGTGACCACGTCGACGACAGCACGCTGAAGCCCGTCTTGAGCACGGGCCAGATCTTCTTGCCCACCAGCTGGCGGATGGCGGGGAGGCAGGCGATGGCAAAGCACGACGTCAGCTCTGCGTAGTAGGCGTAGTAGGTCGCCCAGATCAGGCTCTGGTAGGTGTAATCGGAAGTATCTTTATTTTTCACACGACAGAGGGAGGATTAGAATCAAGAGATTTCTCTCAGTCTTGACACACACACACAAAGTAACGGGGAGCGGGATATAAGGAGGAAATACACAGAAGAGAGAGGGGGGAAGAAGAACCCTAAAAGGAGAGCAAACATACCTGGATCACCCTGCAAGCGGTACAGCACGAAGCGCAGAACAGCGACCAGACACGTGAGGATCCCCGTCGCGAACACAGCAACAACGCTGGCCTTCCTCCCTGTCCGCATCTGCAGCCTCCACACGACCACGGCGGGAATCACAACCAGCCACACATCAAACGCCGCGTTGACCGCCGAGTACGCCCCGCTGCCGTCCCAGACATCATCATACTTGCAGTCCGCAGGCAGGTCCAGCACAAAGTTGCACGAGAAGGGCCGCGCGACGAAGAAGGCCGACACAAAGTACGAGAGCGCCAGGAGCGCGTTGAACAGCTGCGTGGCCAGGAAGACCCACCACAGCCGGGGCCCTTCGAAGATGCGCTGGTACAGGCAGATGATGGAGGCCTTGCACAGGCCCAGACAGAGTGCGTACAGGACTGCGCGGGCAAAGTCGATGCGCCAAAAGGGTGGGAGGTTGGCAAAGTCTAGGGTCCAGTAGTTGTTATAATCGCCGTAGTGGCCTATTAGCATGCACATGATGAATTGTGCGACCAGAATTGCCTGTTACGTACGATAATGTCAGCGTCAGAACAGTCTCTCTCTCTCTCTCCAGAAAAAGGAAAAGATAAGAAAAAGAAACAAAACAAGAGAGTCAGACATACGTAGGCCACAATACACGTCCAGTCGTCCCAGCCCCATTTTCCCAGCCCTATCATTCTCGCCGTAATGCGGAGCGAGAAGAAGGCCGTCTGTATGATGAACACGATAATGGCCGCCGTCCAAAAGTCTGGATCAACGCTCCAGACCGGTTGGGGCATATCGCAATCATAATAAAGTTTGCGGAAGCTTACTATCAATAAATGGAGTGAGTATGTGTGGAGAGCGATCGAGTGAGAGGATATGCTCATCAGGAAAGAGGGATCTTCAAGAGGGCACCGAGTGTCTGAGGGTAATAGAAGAACGACGAACTGTAGTAGTCGGAGGCGGCGACGCATCCGTCCGAGAGACACTCGGAGATGTTATTGAAGCCAGTGTCTGAACAGGCACAGCCTAGGTTTGTCGTGGAGTTACATGATGCTTCGATGCAGTTGATCTAGATGGGGCAAAAACCGAAATCAGTACTTGCACGTAGGCCCACTCTCTACATCTGCGAATGCAAAACAAACGCAAGTCTCCTTGAAACGTCTCGAAATGTGAGGAAAACGTAACTTACACCACATTCAGTCAGAGAAATCTCACTGATATTTCGAGCACCGACTGTCGCGGTGAAGACAAGAAGGAACGAGAAGAGAATGTAGAACCGGTAAATAGAGCATGCCATAGTGAACAACCTTCTACTGTGAGGAATGGAAAGCAAAAATTATAAGGAGTGTTGTCACCACCAAAAGGGGGTTGAGTATCTTGAAAGGAGAGGAGAAGGGCAACTGGTCACTGGACATATAGAGAGCACCTTTCACGTATGCACAAACGCAGCCATCAATGAAAGAGTATCACTGACACCCAGGCACCATGCCGAGCCGGGGAAAAATTTCAGACAGCATTTTTGCCAGACCGTTTCCTTGAATGGTAGATACTCCAAAAGTTCCTGATGATGGTCGCCTCTCAGACAGGTTTTTTTGTTCGTCAAAGTCGGAAGCGAGAATGATGCAAATTATGAAGGCGGGTCACACCGGTTGAAAGGATATGGCCACACTTACTTAGTACTTAAAGTAGGCAGGACAGATTCGACATCAGGACACGCGGGCCGAATAGTCATTATCGTCATGATTACAAAAATCTGGCCAGCTTGCCGCGGTTAATATCATACTGTAACAAATCAAGCATTCTCGCCTGCATACTGATATTGGCCGTATGCAGAGACTGTCTACTGAATTGCACCGCCCCCGCGACCATCCAGCTATCTGAGTCTTCCAAATAAGTATGCCGTCTCTAACGCCGCAGGTCGGAACCTCCAAAGCCGAGTCATAGAAAGACCAAGGCTCTTTCAGGAAAAGTAATGTCATAACCTCGTTCATTGACTCGATTCCTTTCTCTCTCACTGCAAAAAGGCAAGTTGTGGCGCTGGATACATTCATTCCATGCGCCTCTCCGGGACCCGATCAAAGGAGCCTTGGAAGTGGTGGCTGTCACGTCTGCAGTTGTCAAAGAAGCGGTACACTTGGCTCGACCTTGTTCACGCACTCAATTTAGCACAAAGCCGGGGGGCTAGGATTTGACAACCCGCGTTCTATAACTGTTCTTCTTCTTTCTCGTGCGCACAATGCTGCTATGATCGTCTACTTTGTCGATGAATGTGGTCTCCGAACAAACTGACTGTCCCTAAAACTACAGGCTCGGTTCTTTGATAACTGATACATTAATTTCAAATCATGGGTCAAGTTTACTGACATAATATATGAAGGTCATAATTGGAAGATGTGTTTTTGTTTGAAGTAGGTTGATTTTGATGTTTAGTTTGAAGGAGCTCGGATTGCTCTGGCCCTCAAGCCGGCATCCTGCTCATGGATAGACCCTTCACCACGGTTCTCCATCTACCAATACATACCCAACCCATGCCTTATGTACAAGGTATGCATGGAAGGATGTAATGGAGCGGGGGCGGGACCCGGGTCAGTTCCCTCTGTCTTTCCTGGCTGCGTCTCATCGCAGCCCGTCTCGCTTCTTTATGGCTGTGTGTCTTGCGCTCATGACCCGATACGTCCACCGTCTTCTCCCCCCCCCCCCGAAATCGTGCATCCTCGGCCCTCCCTGATAGATAGATATCCTTTTTCATCGCTCCTCGTAAAAGCTGGCGTTCAATGCCGTCCAGCATCACTTTCGAATATTATAAATAACCACTCTGGTATGCAAGTGAAGCAATGTGGTCGATATTCGACCGCATCCTGGCCGATCGATCACTCCAACATGTGGCCCATGATCCTGGAACAAAAGCCGAAAACCATTCGAACGCCGTGAAAATGTGTGTGGTACGATGGCCAAACCAAACTAACAAAAGAAATGCAAAAGTCTGCCGATTTGCGTGGAAACTGGATAGGCGGCGGTAACTTAATCTCGCAAATACCAATAGTACATGATAAAGAGAGTTTCGATCAAGGTGTAAGGAGCCGCCGCAGATCTACTGTCGGAAGTGGATGCGGATGTAGAACTCGTTTCTGAACGATCATCGGTCGGCTGGGAGAATTGAAACTGGTCGTAGATAGCCGGACACTCTCGTCCCGGCGATGAATGCTTGCTCTCGTGGAATATGCTCTCGCCTTCAGACAGTTTACATCATGCCTAGTCGCGTCCTCCGCTTCTCCATTTTTGGCATCGGCGGGGTCAGTCCCATTCCAGGTCCTCCAAGCCCTCTCGGTAAGGACTGACCCATCCTGCCGTTACCAGAACCCATTGGTCTTGATGGGAGACCGGCACCGGGTGGAGGTCTCATTCCTGGTCGTCCTGGGGGCGCTAGGGGCGAACTGCCGTAGCTTCGCTGGGAGCTCATCGAGCTCATTGACGGGGTCCGCCGTGCGGCCTGCAGTCGCCGCCACGCGTCCTTCTCACAATACGCCCTGCCCCCGACCTCGAAGTACCCGTCGCTGAGGACCCTCTGGCAGTCGCCGCAGCGGAAGCAGTTCACGTGGTACTTGGTGTAGCCCTCGTCCTCCAGGTACTGTCCTTCGATGCCGTCCGCGCAAGTTCCGCAAAGGCTGCCGTTCTCCTTGTGGTAGTGAAGCTTGCAAAAGGGCCTGTCGCCGTGCACATAGAACTCTGCCGTCTGGAAGGGTGCACTGCAGCTGGTGCAGACGAAGCAGGCCTTGTGGTAACGGCCTGTCAGCCTCCCATCAGCACTCGACACGGACTTCCCAGTGATGGCCAAGCCACACGCCTTGCAGTTCCCTCGTGACTTCTGCACAGCGGTGTCACGACGGGCGTTCGATTCTGCCGGTGACGGAGGGAGTGCCTTTGAACGCGATCCTCCTTGGATAGCCGGATCTTGGCGCTCAGTCCGGTCCCATTTGGACTGAGGGGGTGATGATGGCGGTCGGCCGCCTTGGATAGCCGGGTCATATCGGTCGTTCGAGACCGGTGATGACCGCGTCTCGGGACTTGATGGTGCTCGCAGCTCCGGCATCGGCGGGAGCTCCTTCGGTGCCAGCTCGTCCATTGACGACTGGACATCACTGATCAGGGTGTCGAAGGACGATCCGCCCTGGGATGGCTTCCGAGGGGATGTTGCAGACCGGGGAGGACTTGTGCTCGAACTCGGCTGGCTGCCCTGACTTGAGCCGCGGGATATGGACGACGCGATCGATGCTGATGGCGAGTGGTAGGGGTTATTCATTCCAAACTCTGCCTCCAGGTTGATGCTGGGGTTCTTGATCGGTGATCGCACCAGGCTTGTCCGCGGCGGTGGTGGCCGCGACGTGTCACGAAGTCTGTCTGGCCTGGGCCCCGGAGCTGAAGGGGCGCGCAGTGGCTGCTCTAGCCTCTCCAGCCTCTCCACCGGTCTGTTGGGGAATGTTTCTGAACGATTGAGGGCGGCAAATGAATCTGGCTGATCGTCCCTCCTGGTCGTCGGCGGGGGCCCAAACCCACCATACCCATTGTTTCTGGGCATTCTTGGTGGAGCATTGGCTGCCATCCCGTTGCTTGACGCAGATGTGCTGTAGCCATCGTTGTCGGCCTGCTGCCGCGGAGGGGGCCCTCTCATGCCGGACACGGGCGGTGGTGAGTCTATGTCCTGTGCGTAGGGCCCTGCGGAGATGCTGTCTATTCTTGTTAGTAGATTGAGGCCTTGCTTCTTCGGGCTCGTCACCGGGTAGGCAGGCTCTGGTTCCATGTCGCCGAAGCCGCCATAAGCTCCAGGTCGCGACTGTGGCAAGCCGGGTTCATCGTTGACGGCGATCGTGGGCGCGAAGTAGTCATCGGCCCTGCCTATACTGGGCCGTGCACCAGGTGTTCTTGGCGACACGCTCCTGGAGCCGCTCGAGAGGCTCATGGGCGTTCGTGGTTGGCGCGAATAACTCCGATCTGTCCAATGAGGGTCAGCAGGCTAGGCACTCGGTAGGCAAAGCGCCTTGAATATTCGACTCACTCGCAATGGCGGTATCGACGGGCGGTATAGCACCAATCTTGTCGTGTACGCTCCTGCCCATGGGCATGAAAGTGTCCATGGAGGAACTCGGACCTCCGACGGTGGCAGCGGCACCACCAGTAGCAGAAGCACTACTTCCACCTCCAGGTCCAGCGCAGACGTGGTCGCCCATCATGGAGATTTCGATCTCCTGTCCACATGATGAACATTTGATAGAGGGCATGAAACTCGACTCTCGAGGTATCGCTGCCATCTTGTCCCTCTGAATTCGGAAACAATAATGATGAGGATGTACCGTGGAGCCCTCTAACTCCCTACTATAGTTCTAATCGATATCGAATGCCCGCTGGGCGACATGTGGAAGGGCTCTTGCCTTTCGCTGGAGGTCGCCGAGCGGAATCAAGACCCGGGTGATAATGTGAGGGGGCGGTATGTAGAAGTTGTCTTCGTTCGCTGTTGCCTGTAGAACGAAATATCCAATTGCGAGTAACGTCGTCGAAGTTTGTTGGTGTTGAAAGCTCAATGCAATTCGTAAGAAGACGACGAGAGAAGACAGTACGGAACAGTTACGAAAGATGATTGCGGGATCGCCGAGATCTCAGATTGGCGACTGGGTGCCTAGACGCAGCGGCAATCCGAAACGTCGTGAGCAGTCTGACAGGTTTTCTCTGATGTTCCGGGTCCATGCGAATGCGGTCACGGGTCTTCTGTCTTCTGAAACTGGGCAAAGAAGAGGGTGGTAGGTGGTGGGTTGTTGGTGGCGGTGGGATCGGCCCTTGGGCGCTCGGCGACAGGGCCAGGTACAAGGCCAGAGGGAAAACAGAACGGTCGGTCAGCTGTGGGAGGGGGCAGCATTAGAGAGAGAGAGCGCGCGCGAGAGAGCGAGCGTGTTTCGAGGACAGTCAGGAAACACACCAAAAAAAAAAACAAGACGGATGCGAGGTGGGAGAACAGCTAATTGGGGCGAGACAAAGTCTGGATTCTCGTCGAGTTGCGTGTGCCTGGGCAGCGTTGCGGAAGTGTCTCGAGTTGGACGGTGGACGGGGGCAGGTGCGTCTCTGCTTTGGACTTGGGATGGGTTGGTGGTGGGTGAAAAGTACGAGGTACAAACTGAGAGACACAGCAGCAAGTGGCACAGTGCACACCTGGACATACAAGGGTACAGGGCACGAAGGTGAAGAACAGGCCCCCCCTGCTGTCGTCGTTTCTGTTCTTTCTTCGAGGCCCTCCACCCCAAACGGGAAGGATCGGGTGGGCTGTCGGGCCCTGGATTGGCTCAGGCGACCCCTGCCTGCATAAGCACCCCTGACCCCATGTCGTTGGTCTGCGGCAGGCCCTTTCTCTCGCTGTACCTATCACACCCCAAGCACAAAAAGTGTACCAAACAGTGCCGTAGTACGTACACTTTGAGCCGCCGCTTGTTTGGTCCTGATGTCCAGTACCAACTTACAGTTAGTGGCCTTCAGAACTGGTCACAGACGTCAGAGAAAACAGAGACTACAGCTGAAATAACAAGACGTCACAACGACCCCATGGCCAATGCACCCTACTGCCAAAAAAAGAAAAGAAGAGGAACTGGGGGGGATTTTGTGGAGGAACGGTTTATCCTACAAGTCGACTGATCACGAGAAGTTGTATTTCGGAAAGGATGGCCTGGATGGACCACCACATTTTGAACCCCACCCGAGAGAAAACCCCCCAGATTGCTATAGCACGCCAGGCCAGAAAGGGGAAAGGGAAGGGGGAGGGGGGCCCGCTGGTGGTCCCTGAACTTGTGCAGCGAGGAAGGATGATAATGGGAGAGGTGGGAGCCTCTCGAAATTGCAAGAGCAGGTAGAGGGTGACGATTTCTTGGTTGACACCATGAGGCTATGCCCAATCTGTAAATTACAAGAGAGAGATGGGCCCCCGAGTCCGTTCCACAGGTCCAACGGGGCATTGGACATGGTCGATCATCGAGATAGCACCTATTTTTCTTTTGTGATCAGCATCCTCATTCCTCTTTTTTATCGCGCACTCTTTGCTGGCTTTCGTCGGGTAGTCGACTATGGTACCATACTACGGTCAAATTCCCTTCTGATCATCTGCCGTCAAATCTCCATCTCATTGACTTGTAGCCACAGCACTAGATGCACCTAGCAAATAGATCTTCAGGGTAGCAGCGCTACTGCTACTACTGAGATTGTCCTTTCTTCTCAGTGGGGCATCGAATTGAATCACACGAGTCTCAGCCAGCCCTTTTCACGACACCAGCACGTCCATTCGCCCTGCATGAATCGGTCGGTTGTCGCCATGACACAGCTACGTAATGACTGCGCGTTTCCCGCCCTTGCGCATACCACAGCTGAGCATTATTGTTTTGTATGTATAGTCTCCATAGAATTAGAAAAAGAAAGACCAGGGGACACGTGTGTGTTTCTTTTTCTGGCTCCGTCCTCGTCCTCGTCCTCGTCCTCGTCTCTTTGCCAGGACGGCTCTGCCGTTGCCGTAAATGGTGGTACCGTAGCAGGCATAGTCAGAAGACCCCCTGGCTCAAATCCTGTACAAATAATGAGTACATAATACTAATGGTAGCAAGTACGTACAGTGGTACCAGTTAGGGGGTGGGGTTGAGCTTGGTTCCCGCGAACTCCCCACCGCAACACCGACTGCAACGGACCGGGAACAGCCCAGTTGTAGGTCGCGATGCCGAGCAACCTGAAAAAAGAGAAGGAGGACCCTCGAATTTGAATGGATTGGAGGTGTGGTGGTGTGGGCTTGATTGGACAAATTGCGTTTACGGGGTACCTGAATGACAGTGAGATACTATAGTAGTTGGTCCCCTAAGTGGCTGGTGGTTCAGTGATTAGGCCAGGGATCGCATGTGCACCTGTGCGCTTGCTCTTTCTCGTCTTCGCTCCTGCCCTAATGTTTATGAAATGTCATAGTGCCATGCACGTACTATACAGCAACATCGTGTTGCTGCCCTTCAGCCCTGAAACTAATGTCCAACCGCAATGTCTGAACCCGAGTTTCTCAAACCTAAAACAAACACTCCAGGCCTTTCCACCCCGTCCTTCTAGAAGCTTTTCACTATAGCCATCGTCCTCGTCCTCCTCCATATTCACATCATCATCATCATCATCATCAGAATATCTGCTACCATCAGCCATGGCGTGATCATCAATTCACCAGGTTATTATGGTCCCCATCAGACCTCCAATTACCATTGAACTACAGTATTTCTCATGTGGGAGCATCAATTTACCATAGTACCTTCGAGTCAGGTTTACGGTCACGACAAACTCGTCCATCTAGGTGATCGTCAGCATCGGGCCGGGGGGGGGGGTCCTCCTGATGGTGTGCAGCGAATATGCAAGGCACTCAAATCAGAGGCCCTTCCTTCCAACCCCTCTCAGCAGCCCCCCCCCCCGCTTCCAAGATGAAGGGGCATATACCGAGCACCTTTCTAGCAGAGCTGCTACATCAGTAGCATGTACTTAGTGTACAACACAAAAAAAAGCCAAGATCACACGATCCCCTCTTCAGGCTTAGGATCGCGCCCAGCCAATCTCACACCCACACCGCTTTGGGAAAAGGCCCATGTCGCATCCACGCCGATCCAAACTCTGCTTATCTCTGCAGTTGTTGCCCCCTCCCCTGTCTATTCTGCTTCTGCTTGCTTTCTTGCTGCAGCGCGACGCCTTGTTGGGTACGTGATCGTCTCAACCCGCCAGATCCTGCTTCCTGAAGGAACTTCTCTGCGTCCCAGGAACGAACCACCTGGTGGCCACTGCTTTTGGATCCCCGATTCTGGGGGAGGAGATGATGCTTCTCCCCTCCTGCTCCTTCGGCCCAGAGCTTAGGTTTTGGGATGGATCAATCCTGACCCCGAAAGAGGACAACGTCATGCCGTCTGGGGTTTGAGAAACCTCGTGCTCGACTTTGTCGACATATTTGCCCAGTGGAACGTGTACAACGCGTCTCGAAAGACAATTCCCCCGCCTCGTTCCTGTCTTGCTCCGACTCGACTCGGCATTATGGCATCACACGGGTCGTGGAAGCCCCTGGAACTGCAGAAGTGACAAGATCCGTTGACACAGCTTAGCGGCTTGTCTTTTCCCTTTCTCTTCCTCTCTCTTTTCCTTTCATTCGTTCGTGGCCCTCCTGGTTAATCAAATGATGCGTCCGGCAGTCATGTGCGTGGCATGCAGACTAGCCAGATCCATCTGTCGTCGCGACGACAAGGGAGATGAGCACAGCAGGGACCAAGCCTCGAGCCACAGGAACTACGTGCCCGAACAATACCCGTGTATCACGCCGCCGGACTATGCATATCAAAATGCCAAGGGACAGGCCGAGCCGGCGTTGTCCCAGCCTAATGAATCTGGGTCTTCGCTGGCATCAAGGACAGCCTCCTCCGGACCCGCGCCCCCATCCATCCCCCATCAAAATCGCGACCCGCATCGTCGTCCCGTTATCGCGTGTTGGCGTCTTTTGAGACCTGACCCTGCGTTGCCCTGTGTGACCGACACTGGATGGCTCCTCCTTGAGAAGAGGCGGTATCCAGCAGGGCGCCTTGTTTTATGAGCTGCCTGAGGTCTGTACGCTGGGGGCGGCACGCTCGGCTCTGAGGGCTGATTCGCGACAATCTTCGGGATCCTCTGGTCTTCGCTTGGGACCTGCGACGTGAAGTGACCCCCCCTACGGCTTCTCACGTGATAGCGAAGAGGGCGTGCCAATGACGCCCAACATTGCCTGCCGTTGCTACTGTGGTCTTTGGATCCTCTGGGACCTTTTGGAGTGTACTGGAGTCTCGTGTCCGACATGACACGCGCTCTCAAAATGAATCCATTGTCGCGAGGCCGCCCAGAAGTTCATAGGGAGGAACAAGCAGGGGGACCGTCACATTGTCTGAAACCTGTTGGTAGGCTGAAATGGAGGAGGAGAAGGCGAGGAAATGATGGACGCTCTGCGCATGGTGACCATGTGGGCAGAGATGATGATGATGATCTCTTGCTCCTTGGGGACGATTTCGGAGCCCCGATTAATGGTCGATCTGTGGAGCATGAACCCGCATTTGATGTCGCACGTGCCTACAGTACTATGTAGTACCGCTAGTACGTGTGAACGCCGTCCGTCCAAGAAGCATGTCCCATGGGGCTGGCTCTCGAGAGTGTGGAGTCGCTTGAGAGAAACGGAGAGAGAGAGAGAGAGAGAGAGAGAGAGAGAGAACTGTGTTCGTCCCCTCTCCACTTCCTTAAACCACAAGTCTCCTAATTGCCGCAGCCACAACCACCGTTCTTGACGAGCCTACTATGGCAGGGGTTCGTCTGTAAACATGGGTGGGCTGGCGGCCGGGGCACGGACAGCATCTTGGGAAGACGCAAATGTAGTGAGTGCTTTCTAATACCGTGATAGTAGCTAAGATCCAGGCACGCGGTTACTACAGGAACGCAGCGAATGAAGTAGTCCGACATTGCTCGAGGCGGCCCTCTCCTACGCAAGCATGTGATTACCTTGCCTCTGGTGCCCCTGCTTCAGGATCTGTCCGTCTGTGTCTTGTGTGTGTGTGTGTGTGTGTGTGTGTGTGTCTGGTGCAGTTGACATTCTGCCTACGTGGGGGAGAAATGGAGAGAGAAAAGAGAATACCCGAGGCACGTCGCCCTTGGCACTTTTGCATATGCTAGCACAACCTACCACGGAAGCTGTTGGTCTTGGCTCCTAATCTAAAGGCGTGAGGCTAGCAGCCTTCCAAGACCATATCCAAGCGGGCATCTAACTTCCTTACCGGTGAGAGACAGAGCTTGTATGGGTCATCGTGGCCAGGAGGCCTCATAAGACAAGAGGAGAGCACGATACGAGCCCATCCATTGCTTAAGCGGTAAAGACTGTGGGTGTATTTTCTTCTAAGTGGAGCTAATAGAAAAGGGAGGCAGAGGCTGTCGAGGTATGCGACAGGCTGGAGCACAGAGAAGCGAAAAGACTCTTGAACATCAGCCCTCTCCGGCCGTCAGGAAAGGAGAAGAAGACTCCCGGTTGGGAGAAACATCTTCAGGGCACAGGAGCAGCAGCAGCAGCAGCAGCAGCCGCAGCCGCAGCCGCCGCCCATCCCAAAGAAAGAAAAGAGATCAGTTGAGCGTGGCAAAAACAAGACACCAAAAGGGCAACTCTGTGGCGCTTAGAACAGCTTGTGCTCGAGGGTCATGTCAGACTCAGGCTCGAGGCCGACACAGGCGCGGAAAATGTTGGTCAGGGCGGCGCGCTGCTTGGCCAGGGCGTTGACGACGGGGGTGCCGGGGGGCGTGAGGGGCGCCTTGAGCATGTAGCTGAGGACGGACAGGACGCTGTGGAAGGACTTGTACTGGCCGTCGGACTCGGCGTCGCGCTTCCACTGGACGCGGGTCATCATCTCGGTGAGGAGGACGAGGTCGAGGATGAGGGGTGAGGCGAGGAGGGAGTCCTCGCAGACGTTGAAGATGGAGATGGTCTGGTGGCCGCCCATGAAGATCTCGGCATAGTACTCGTCCAGGGCACGCTTGTTGTCGCCCACGGCAGGCATGTACTTGATGACGACGGTGTGGTCCGGGTGCTCGCCGGGCTTGTACAGCACGTGGTTGGCCTGGACCATGTCGTCGACCACGTTGGACTTGGAGATCTCCTTGCTGCGGAACTGGGCCTGGGAGCTGAGGTTGCGGCCGTCGTTGTTGCCGAGGTGGTTGTAGCTCGCGATGCTCGTCAGCCGGATGCCGGCGCTGATGAGGAAATCCACCAGCGCCGACTTCATCTTGGTCTGTCCAGATTTGAAGTCGTCGCCGCCGACAAAGGCGCCGTGCCGGGACGCCAGCTCGACCGCGCCGGGCACAAACGTGTTCTGCGGGCTGCCGTTGATGAAAGGCGCGCCCTCGAGGATGGACGCCACCGCGAACACGGTCGAGGGCGATACTTCGGCGTGGCCCGCCTCGATGGCCGCCAGCAGGTGGTCCGCCGTGTCGTTGACACCCTCGACCACGTCGGCATACCGCTCCGTGTTGGCGGTCCACAGCACGACGACGCGTTCGACGCCGTGTGTCTCCTTAAAGGCACGGATATCCGCGCGGATCTGCTCGACGTGCGCCTTGCAGGCTCGCTGGCCCGGCAGCACGTTGTCAGCCCTGTCGGCCTGGTTGGCGGCGATGAAGTCCGGGTAGTAGATACTCGGCAGCGGGCGCATGGCGGCCATCTCCTTGCGCACAAGGCCCTTGAGCGTGGGCTCGAGCACGCCCGCGCGGTCCATGGAGGCCGCCAGGTCGGCGGAGCTGATGTCCCAGCCGCCGACAGCGAGGTCATCGGGGTGGACCATGGGGAGCACGTTGTGGAAGGGCACGTTGACGTCCTGGCCCGTGGCGTCGTCGGTGCCCAGCTTCACGGTCGAGGCCATGACCACGCTGCCGTAGTAGTTGGCCGCGCGGGGGCCCTCGCGCGTGTCCCAGGTCAGCTTGCGGCGGTTGGCCAGGAGAGCCGCCGTCACCGTGCTGCCGTTGTTGCCGCCCCAGCCCACGAGCATCATGCCTACCTTGGGCACGCGGCGGTCCGTCTTGAAGTTGTACACCGTCTCGCGTGGGGTGGCCACATACGATGACGACGAGGACGAGGAGCGCGTGACACTCGTCGTGCGGTACGTGTACTTGGACAGGATGGACGTGTCCGTGTACTGCACGTTGGGCGAGTCGACCGTGAAGAGGGGCACCCCTTGGTCATTGTTGGTCCCAGCCGATAGCCCGTGGCCGACGTTGCCGTTGCGATCATCACCAACACCACCACCACCACCACCACCACCATACGCAGAGTCAGCGCCGTCTTTCTCCTCGGCGTGCGGCGCCATGCTTTCTCCTCTGAGACCCTTTTGTCTCTTTCTGTCTAATGATTGACTGGCTGAGAACCTTTACACTTAACGCGTAAAGGTTGAGTCCGCTGCCGCTCCGCTAGCGGCACAGCGGGCTCCTGCGAAGGGGTGGTGAACCCTTTACGAGGGGGAACAAAAGAGTCAGCATGGTGTCTTTGATCTCTATCACTTTATGAAGGCCGGTCCCTTTTTTTTTTTTTTTTTCACAAGGGACCAAGAGAGAGGCAGAAAGAAAGGAGAGAAGCATACGAGTTGAGGAGATTGGAAAACGTTGTGACGGATTCCGGTGACCGCAGCCCTGAGGTTGCGATCGTCTGTTTTTGGACGGTTTGTTATTTGTTTAAGTGGAAAGAAAGGTAGGTGGTCAAGAGAGATTCCAGTTTATTGTGAAGTCCAAGCTTGTAGGCAAAGACGAAGAGTTAATATTCCAATGATTTTCTTCCTTTTACACAAAATGATGAGAAACACACAGAAGAAAAGGAGCAGAAGGAGGAGGAGGAGGGGTTGGGAGGGCCGACACCGCAGGGTCGTTGTTTTATACCCATACTCACTTATCTCCCTACTAAACTACTTGATACCTCTAACTGTATGCAGTTGTACATTGCACAGAAGTAGATAGCATGTATCGTAGCGTACTTTATGCAAAGCACAAGTTTTCTGCAACAAGCCACCAGAATTTAGGCGGTGAAACAAAAGAAGAAAAGAGGGAAAGTGCCTCCCGAGCTTACCGCTCGCTACTTTCTATCCAAGGAGCTAAGCCCGTCCGACAAGACCTCGTATCCCTACCTCTCCTCTCTCTCTCTCTTGCTGCCTCTTTTTCACATGGGAGTCGAAGGGGGGGGGGGCGGGGGGAGAAAAAGTTGTTGGGATGTGGGAAAAAAAGTGGCCGGGAACCCTGTTGTGCGTGCAATTAGTTCACTTCCTTTCTTGAGAAGTGACATATCTCTTTCTTGCTAGGTACTCACTACGTACTACTTACTGTATGGTACATACTGTACTGTACTGCTCTATACTGTGCTGGGGCAGATGGTCTGTCTGCAATTGTATCTACACACCAACCAATATGGTGAGGTGAGGGATCGCATTGTTGACAAGTGGATGTTCATGTACCACACGCACATAGGACACGTACTCACTCACAAGAGAGACGATGATAAGAGACAGAGAGAAAGAGCCCAGTCTTCTTCAGCTGGTCCAAGATTGAACTACCAACAGTCATCGTTCATGTGTTCTCGTTTTTCTGTTTACTCCCTCCCTCAAATACCGTTTCCTACCTCAAATGTGGCCATTTTACTGTCAGCCCAATGAAGCAGCAACCTCGTCCTCCTCGAATCACGTCTCTCCCTCCTTATTCTTGGCCTTTGCTGCCCTCACGAAGAAACAGTTGGACTATTGATACGCCATTCTCTCGTGTCAGATCAAGTTACTCTCGCAGACAATACGCTTGAACATGATATGATGTTGTTGTTAGATGCCACCCGCTCCCCTCTTTTCGCACTCTCCCCGTTTTAACAATTTGGGGCGAGGAAAAAGAAAATTATAAACAATCGCTGCGTTCCTGGTTTGATCATTCCCTATACGGAAATATTGGAGCACCCGCAAAAGAAAACACCAAAGTTGGTGAAGGATATATAAAAAAATAAAAAAATAAAAAACCAAAAAAAAACAACCGAAACGATATGCGTATGTGTATGCGTATGCAAACTCCCCAGCGCCATGGCCTACCCCCCTCGTGTACCTTTTGTTTTGGATATGCCGTTGTCCTGTCCCATATGATTTCTCTTGTCTTAAGAGCCGTTTACTCCAAAAAGTGTCACCACCCCCGCGGTACCACCACCACCACCACCACCACCACCAGTTCTGGATGCATGACTGGTATCTCATATGATGTCACACGCCCACATTACAAAGCCATAGAAATAATAAAAATAAAGTCCAGTTTTCGACGATTCCCCCGATGCCCTGGAGAGAAGGAACAAAAGTGTTATGGTTTTTTGGTCGTCTTGATTATATCTCGGTAGATGTGTGAAATGTGTCCCAGCGTCTGACTGGCAATCAAATATTCGTTTCGGGTGGCGTGATGTTTTTCTTGGCCCCCTCTTCCAGATACCAAGCTCTGTTGGGCTACTGGTGGTTGAGTAATTGTCGCTGGGCGAAGAAGTGGTCCAAGGATAGTGGGCCTCATGATTTCCCTGGCGAGGCCAGTCCGTTGGGATAGGGCTTCTCGAGAAGCTCCGTCGCCGAGACCACGGGCCCCTGGTCTTTCTTCTCCTTGTTCCCTGTAGTCGTTGGCGGCGATTCGTCTGGCGTCGTCTTCCTTGTCATCACGCTCGCCGTCTCGGGCTCCTCGGGTATGGTCGCAAATTTCTGCAGCACCTGCTTGAGCGCCGGCCTGCGGATGGGCTTGGCGAGAAACTCGTTCATGCCCGAGTCCATGCAGTCCTTGACGTTGCTCGCGTCCGAGAAGGCCGTAAGCGCCACGATGGGCGCCTTGTAGCCCATCTGTCGGATGAGCCGGGTGCTCTGGAGCCCGTCTAGGTTGGGCATCTGGATGTCCATAAAGATCACGTCGAACCGCTCGTTCCGCTCAAAGTTGGCCTTGACCAGCTCAAAAGCCTCCTGTCCGTCCTTGGCGATGGTCACGTCGACCACAGACTCGAGCTTGAGCATCCTGCTGACCACCTCGATGTTTGTGTTGTTGTCGTCCGCCACGAGCACCCGGAGCTTGCCCTCCCCGCCTTTCTTCTCCATGGCCTTCTCGAGGACCGCCATCTTCTCCGCCTCGGTCTGTGGGGGGTTGTTGTTCTTGGCTGTCGCGAAGAACGGCTGGCTGAGCCCGACGAGCCGTGGTTGCTTGTCCAGGGTTGTTGTCGGCGCTGGATTGGCGGTCTCAGTATGAGCCGGCGTGTCTCCTACCGATTCTCTTCGGGAGTCAATTAATACATCAGATGTGACGCTAGGCGGCCTGGACCCCCGTAGACTGCTCGATGCCGTGCTAGAAGGTCTGGAGAGGGTGGTGGTTGTTATTGTCAGCTATCGCACATCAGGGCGCATAAAGGTTTTCTCTGGAGTGGAAGTCTGCTGCTCACTTGTCCTTGGTATACTTCAACGGAATCTGCACGATAAAAGTCGTGCCCACGCCCAGCGTGCTTCGCAGAGATACATTCCCCCCCATAAGGGTTGCCAGCTGCGAGCATATACTGAGGCCCAGTCCTGTTCCGCCGAACTTCCTGCTCAGGCCAAGGTCACCCTGCACAAAGGGCTCAAACACCCTGTGGTGCATGTGCTCTGGGATACCCGGACCGGTATCCTCCACCTCGAATTCGAACATATATGTCTTGGCGTTGGGCGGCGGCGGCGTGACAGGCCTCTCAACACTCGAGGTATGGGCGATGGTCCTGACTTCGGTGGGATTGATGGCCAGCGCCGTGCCCCTCTGAACCTGGTGCTGCGCGTTCGACGTGCCCCCCTTAGAGCTCGCTGAATGCTGGGAGCCCGATCCTAGACGGTGACGGCTGCGGCCGGGGCGACTCGAGGTCCTAGAGAAGGAGGAGGCCCGAGACTCGTCGCTTGTCTCTACCTCTCCCACACATCGTATCCGTACCATGACCTTTCCTCCCGCAGGGGTGAATTTCAAGCTGTTGCTGACGAGATTGATCATGACCTGCAGGATCCGATGCTGGTCTCCCCAGAGACACATGTCTTTCAGCCGACCTATACCAGGGGGCCCGACAGCAGGAAGCCTTCTGTCCAGAGATTGCCGTTCGGGGCTGCCGGTCAGGTCGGTAAAATCGGGTCCAACAAAGTCGGCAGTAAGTGTGATCCGGCCCTCCCTAACCTGCTTGTCGAAGATAGATAGAATCTGAGAGCGGATGTCACCAAGCCTGAACTCACGCTCCTCCAAGGAGACCTGTTGACCGATCTGGTTCTTGGAGAAGCTCAGAAGGTCCTCTAGCAGGTGAAGCAAAAGATCGCCTAAAGCGCGCGCACACACACACATACACACACAAAGGTTAGCCATGGTCATTTGGAAGAACAAAACACCAAGAAAAAGATACGCCCCGAGTAAAAATAAAAGGGGGCGACAGAGTACACACCGGACTTGTACAGCGTCTTCAGAGACTGCTTGATCCTGACGACATCATCCTCCTCCATGCACACGGCACACATGCCCATGATTCCGTTGAGCGGCGTCTTGAGCTCGTGGGAGATGTTGGCGATGAACAAGGTCTTGCTCTCGTTGGCAGCCTCTGCAGCCTTCTTGCTGATCTCGAGCTCCCGCGTCCGCTCCTGCACCCTGCTGTCGAGGGAGTTGTACTGCTTGAGGAGCTCGGAGGTCATCTCGTTGAACACCTCGGTGAGCTCCGTCAGCTCGTCGGTGACCAAGACCTTGCGGACCTCGACCTTGCCAGGGATCTTGAAGACGCGCCGGTTCGGATCTGTGTCCGTGTGCGAGCTCGCAAACCTCCTCCGCCGGCGCCGGATCTCGCGAGAGATCCACGCGATGAAGCCCTTGGCGGACCGTTTCGATGTGCTTCCCGAGTAGTTGCCGTTTGCGTCGTAGCCTTCAAAGAGGTCGAGCTCGTCATGATACCCCGGTGGGGCGACGGACCTTTCCGTGGCGGCCTTGAGCCGGCGGATGGGCAGAACGCTCCAGTGTGCACAGGGGATGATCAGCAGCAGAACCAGCCCGGCCGTGCCAAAGGTACAGCCCAGCAGGATCTTGCGTAGCGTGTTGATGGGAGCAGTCGCCTCCCAGCGGGCCTGCTCCACCACCACGGTCCAGTTGACAAGCTCGTTCTGCGTCCGTGCATACCCGACAGAGACGGCGGTCCCCTCTTCGTTGTGCGTCCACAGGTCGGAGCTGGCATTGTTGACCTCGGCAATCTGCTTCGAAAACTCCCACAGTGCGGCTGGGTAGTCCTTCAGGGGAAACGAGGCACCAAAGTCTCCCGATTCGGACGCCGCCGTCTCGTGTCTGTTGGTGCCGCCCGCGGCTGGTTGCGGCGGGAGGACGAAATGCACCGAGATGTTTTCAAAGGTGGACAGATCGGGGGGAACATAGGTTGCGTTGCTCGCCGGGTTGGATGCGTTAAACCTGTTGGAGCCGGCCGTGGGGCCGATGATCAACAGCACGCCGGACTCGCCCATGCCTTCTCGTGAAGAGACCACATCGACAATGGTGGACGCCGAGGCCACGACCGTCATGTAGCCCAGGATGAAGGTCCCACCGGCGTTGGATCTCATCGGGATGGTGAGCGACATCAGGGCAAACGTGTCGTTGATGACCAGCGGTCCCAGCAGAAGACCGGCATTCTCGCTGAGGCGGACATCTGAGAAGGCGTAGGCTGCGTAGACATTCGTGTTCGGGTCCGTCGCGCTGGCGGCGCCTGTGTCCACGTACGTGATGTTCGGATACAATGAAGGAGGAAAGCCGCCATCCTCGTCGCCTAGATAGACGGGAGCGCCGGCCGAGTTTTCGTAGGGCAGCAGGATCTGTGGGGTGGTGAGCCCAGTCACGTTAAAGAGGCCGTACGAGGGGCCGGTGCTGTTTCTGGAGAAGATCTTGGCCTGGTAGAGGTTGCCACTCCCAGACCCCAGCGCACTCTGCATATCCGCCTCGGTGTTGACCCAGTTGGAAGCGCTTGTGTTGCCCTGGTAGAAGGTTTCGAGCGACTGCTGGATTAGGATCCTGGTGGATATCGTCTCGATCATGGTCTGGACGAGCGTGATCTCGGAGGCGATACGTGTGGCCTTCAGGGAGGCAGCCAGGGAGAGGCTGTCCTCCTCGACGCCGACGACAAAGTTGTTTACGTAGATCCATGTCGGCACGGAGAGGATGGCGAGGGCGAGGAGGACGGCAAAGGTGACCAGGAATGCGAGCTGCTCCCGGATGGCGATCCTCACCCTGTATCTCATGTTGGGCGGTGTGTGATAGACTATATCAAGTCTGGGTGGAGCTCTAGCAGGGCCGGCATCCTCTGGCCATGGAGCTCGAGCCTGGTTGCGCCGTCAAGAGTGAGAAGAGTGTGTGAGAGTGTGAGATCAGGATTCACCTGAGCGAGGCTTGCCGCGTACGGTGTTACAGAGAGAGCGTCAGTGAGACGATGTCCGAGGCGACGGTAACACAGATACTCGGCCGTTGCCTAGCCTCCTGAGTTGAGGGTTGATTTCGGAGGGAACACAAGATCTCTAGGATATAGAGAAAGAGAGGCAGAGATGAAGAGCGTGCCTGGTTGCGCAATTTGACGAGAGGGCCAACCACAATGAGGAGAGGAAAAGTTGGTCGGGTCTCTGAGAAACACAGTAGAGGTCCCCACTGCCCCCGTAGCCTCGTAGTCGTTTTTAATATCTCCCGTGGCGCTGTGGTGTCGTGTCCTTCGAGGAATGCCGAGATGGGTGTCCTTTCGCACGTCGGGGGTTGATGAATGTGGGTACCAAGGCTGGAAGGCCGTCGAAGGCCCCGAAAGAGGGGGGGGGGGGAGGGTTGTTGATGCGCTGGCGGCGGCGGCAGCAGTAGCAGTCGTAGTCGTGACAATGGTTGCGACGCGAGAGGAGGGAAGGCGAATTATGTGTATGAATGTGTATTAATATAAAAATAGAAAGGGAGAAAAAGAGTGTGTGAAAACGATTATGGAGAGAGAGAGTTTTGGAGGGTCTGGACCCAGAAATGGGAGGTGGACTCAAAGTCTGTGCCTGTGCCAGTAGCCTGTTCGTGTCTTCCGTCCCGCCGCGACGTCGATCACGGCTGAAGTCTCCAGCTATTAGGTTGGAACAATGATCGGCAAGTCTTGCTTTTTCTGCTCTGTCCTCCTCTTGACAGAGGTTTGAGAATCTGACAGGGCAGATCCGAGGGTTCAAATCACCTGCAGGCAGATGGATCGATGCACCTGGCCGAGAACTTCCCCAAAGGTTGATCCTGGACTTTTCTTGCTACTTATCCGGGGATGGCAGATGTTCCTCAAACGGCCACTGGATTGAAGGCTGTGGACAATATCGACAGGAGGGCGTCGATCGTCGAATCGATGGTTTCTTTCAGGTGAGGAGTGAGCGAGGGGCCAGAGAAAAGGGAGTTATGAAACAAGCAAGAGGGAGGGCACTTGAGAAACATTGAGGCCTGCAAACATGCGATGCGCTGCACGAGGGAAAGAAAGGGAAGTGCACGCATGAGAAAGACTTACTGCACCGGGGGGGGGCGTGCTGGGTATAGTGGGTCTCAACCGCTGGGGGCGCCCTGGTAAATCCCAGGGCGTATCCCTGGGGCCCCAGACCAAAACCGACAGGGGGGAGAAGAGAGGGGAAAGAGGGCGACTATGGTATTCTAGTGCTATGGGACACACACCTCAATTCTGCAGTAGAGGGCTTAGTACATGTGCCATCAGCCTGTCAGAAGGATGGGATGGGATTGTGCTTAGATACTATGGTACTGGGGTCGACATCTGACTTTTGGAGAACCTAACAGTCCAACCTCCCTTGCAGGCTCATTCACAACACACACACACACACACACACACACACACACACTCTCTCTCTCTCTCTCTCTCTCTCACACACACACACACACCCACCCCCCACATCCTCTCTCCTACTCACTCTCAGACACACCCGTACCATGGTAAGAAGAGACAAATTGAGAACCATGTAGTAACCAAACGGTCAATCTCGGTCTGTCGTCCTCAGGTGGGCCTAGCCTTTGCGTGCTCCCTCGCTGACTGGGCCAGCCTATTGCCTCAATTTTCTCAGAAGGGCAATTCCTATCACCCATGCAGGAAAAAAGGGAAAAGGAAGAAAAAGAAAAAAGAGGAAACAGGGGAACCCAGGATCGAGGATTGCTGAGGGGGATCGACTCCGGCGCATGGACTCGTCCGGTCCTGTAGGGTCTAGACCACTCGCAGGCATCTCTTGCTAACCACAAGCGGATGCCCTGAGAGGGTACGTATCACTGCTGCACCATAATACCATAGCCGCGCTACGGAAAAACCTCGTAAGCCTGTCTACGCATCCATCTTGTCTCACCGAAATAAAGAAGCAATTAATTATTCTCTATAAATTTTTTTCCCCCATTCAATGTCTCTTCTCTCTCCTTCTCTCTCTCTTTTTTCATTTTTATTTTATTTTTTATTGAAACTGCGATTAGAGTTATCGTGGCTCAGATCTCCTCGTGGCCCCCATGTAGTCTTCTCTTCTTCGTTCCCCTTATTGGCCATGCCCTTTGGGGGGGAACATAGGTTATTACTTACTAACAACCTCGGAATAAAGTAGCCAACTGACCCATCGCCTCGGCACGGCCGGGTACATAGTAGTCAACTAATTTCTACCCCCTCCCGAATAGGAAGAAAGGGAAAGACAGAAAGAAGAAGAAAAAGCCACCACCGAAAAACAAAGTGCCATTCCCTACAAGGCGGACGAGCTGGTTGAGGCTGAACCATACATAGCAATAATAATAATATTAATTATAAGAATTAAAAGGAAGGCGGAAAAAGCATTTTCCTCGGCATCCTGGCCGTAATGTTCATTCTCAGCCCAGATGGATAGATTTTGAAATCTTAAAGAGTAATTCTAATCCCCGCAGGATGGTAAGCCATGTGACAAAAGAGATGACCGATTCTGTGACCCGCCATCACTCTATTTGAACCTCAACTCTAATCCTTTTTCTTCTCACGACATGTCTAGATGGGTGAGGACTGATAGAGAAAAGAGTAAAAGAGGAGAAGAGAGAGAAGAAAGAAAGGCCAAAGCTTCTCTGTAAACAGTCCATTCCCTGTAACAAGCACCGAGCTGAACGGTGTAAAGCCCTCGCGCGGATTCGCGCCACGTTTTTGCCCTTCCAGCCAATGCCGTTCCATCCAGATGTCGCATTCTCAACCTTGAAAGCCAGCCCTGAAAGTATCCAACAACCCTTACATCGACGGATGGGCTCCTGGGAGAAGCGGTGTAATCATTGTCGAGTGAGAGGAGAAGAAAAAGAAGATTGAGATTGAGATTGAAGGAAAGAAAGCAGAAAAGAGAGTAGAAGGACAGAGGGTGGGGCCACGAAAGCGCCACAACCTCAGCCTTTTCCACTGTGTCCCTGGACCACACGCCCTTCGAACCCCGATTCAAGAGACACAAAATAAAGGGGGAAAAGAGGAAAAGACTCTCAATCTGCCTCCCTTGTTGGCGTTTCTACCAGCACCCAACTGACGGCCTAAACTGCCTACTTGCTCGGGAGGAGCCGAGAGGCCGTTACAGGACCAGCACTAGAACTTGGAAATGCCTAAGGCCCAAACCTAAGCTCGCCTGTCTGTTGTTCTTCTTTCATTCTTTTTTGTGTTCTTTCTCTGTTCGTTTTTATTCCAATATCATATTATTTTCGTGACTACTAAGTACCTAGTGAGCAAGCACACAGATGCTGCTATAAAGGAGTATCAATATCATTAAGAGAGCAAAGAAAAGACTCGGAGACACAGACAGACAGACAGAGAGGGAGAGAGATAGGAAAAACGTGGAAAAACGTGGTCCATATGTACATTCGAAAGGTCGTCGTTCAGAAATGGGAGGGGGAAAAAAAGGAGAAAATTCATAACGTCATTGATCTGACCCAAGGCTCTGGCGCTCGTTAGCAACAAGACAAAGCCCGGCCAACGACCATCATCAACAGAGACAATGTTGCACGTCTGTCTCTCTTTCGTTCTTCATCAAACATTAGACATCCGCCACCGAGCAGTCTTCTTCCCACTTTCTCTCGTCTCCTCTCTTGCCTTCATCCCACTGCCCTCCCCAAAAGATTTCCCAGCCCGAAATTTCCCAGTTACCTATCCGTTGAACCCGTGATGATTTCATGCAACCAACCAACCCTGTGCGGCCTCAGCACTTGAGCACCTCCAGATGACCCTTTGTTAAAAACCCCGCCGTCCTGTGATCCCCGATATGATGTGTGTGCGCGTATGCGCCAGTGCGTGGACCTGGGCAACATAGCGTTATGCGTACTGTTGTTATGCAAACCAACCAACCTCCTGACCGACCAGCCCAACTAACCAAACAACAACCTCAAGCTGAAAACGACCCAGAAAACACATCAACGACAAGACACCCTGTCTTCTCTTTCCTTCGCCTTCTTGAAGCATCATTCCACCCGCCTCGCTCTCGCTCAGCCTCGGGTGGGGCTGAATACCAGAGGCACCAGCACCGTATTACTCTCCTCCACATTCATGTATAAGCCTTCAGCATGGCCCTTCTCGCCCCCGTTGGAATTACTTCGCACTGCTCCAAATAGCTCCCTGAGCCGCCCGCTCCCGCCGCTACCCCCACGCGGCCGGAGCCCATACTCGTCCTGCAGTGCCGGGTGCATATCCAGCAGCTCCTCCTCGTCCACTTTACCCTCCTTGCCCTGCAGCCGGCCCAGCTTCTCGAGCACCGCTTCGCGAGCCTTCTTGAGCGCGCTTGTGCGGGCCTCGGCGTCCTCGGCGAACCGCCGCTGGATCTCCTCCTGCTCCAGGTTGCGCTGCACCGCCGACAGGCCCTCGTTGACGTTGTGCCCGCCGCCGTTGCTGCTGAAGCTGTGTTGGTGCTGATGGTGGTAGCTCTTGCTGGTCTGGGTGGTGGTGGTGGTGGTGCTGCTGCTGTGCGTGCTGTGGATGCTCTCCGCCCCGCTGCCCCTGGACCCCGGCATGCTCGCTGCGACCGAGATGGCAATCGACGTCGTGCTGGCCTGCGGGTTGTACACCATGGGCTGCAGCAGCACAGGAAGCGCCTCGGTCGAGATGATGGGCGCTGAGATGTTGAGCGGCGCCACCATCCCGTCTTCTGCCGGCTCCTGCTCCTCGGGGATGGAGTGGACAGACTGTGACGAAAGCGAGTGCGTCGACTGTGCAGCAGGGGCAGGCATGACGGAGGACGAGGACAAGGAGAGTGAGGAGGACGATGACAGCGGCGGCGGTGGTGCCGCATAGGAAGGAGGCGGGGGCGCAGGGTAGCTCGGCGGCGGAGGGACAGGGTAGCTTGACGCGCGGGGCCTGGGCCACTGCGTCGTGCGGTGATAGCTGGGCGGAGACTCGTCGTCGCTCGCGATAACCAGAGGCAGCTCGTAGGTTGTCGCATTTTCGTGGTTGCCCGCCATGTACGGCATGGGGTCACTGCTCTGGCGCGAGCGGTTGGGGCCATACACCGTCACCGGCGGCGGCGGCGCCTTCTGCAGCTTGTTGGGCCCCTGCTGCTGCTGCTGCTGCTGCTGCTGCTGCTGCTGCTGCGCCTGCGACGTCGAGTTGCTGCGCTTGTGGCCGAGGATGTTCTTGAGGGCATACTTGTCCTTGTCCTTGTCCGCCAAGACCTCCTCGCGCGAGCGGTTGCTCTTGGTTGGCGCCAGGGCGAGCCCAGCTCGCTGCTGTTGGTCATCATCGTCTGTGCAGCCGTCCTCACCTTCGCGCTTGGGGTGCCAGGGCTTTCTGCGGCGCTTGCGCACGCGCTTCTTGAGCTTGGTGCTGAAGGGTACCAGCGTGGCCTCGGAGGCGTTAGTGCTAGTCAGGTTGATAGCCGAGTCGATGTCGCGGTCCAGCTCGACGATGATGGTCTCAGCCTCATCGCCATAGTACGAGTATGAGTCGCCGTCGTCGAAAGACCCCTCGCCGCATCGAATGGTCTGGTCCGATGACGAGGTCTGGCTGAGATGCAGGCCGAGCGAGGCCTCAAGCTCTGACTCGAGATCGAGGAGCTCCTTGCCTGCTGCCTCGACCGCCGCGCTTGGATGCCGGATCTCCACCTCGTCGCGGTCCGCGATACTGTGCCGCGACGCCCTGGGGCTGGAGACAAAGGCCTCCTCCGGGAGGGTTGGGCTGCCGCGCTCTGATCCTGCCTCCATGTGCTGCTGCTGCTGCTGCTGCTGCTCGCCGCTGCTGCTGTGCACGCTCTTGCCGTCACCTGCTGCTTTTGCTGCTGCTGCGGCAGCGGCGGCGACCGAGTACCGCGCCCACGTGTCACGGTGGTTCTCCTCTGTCGGCGACTTCATGAGTGGCTGCAGGGCATCGTCCCAGTTCCCGCCGTTGAGAAGCACCACGTTCTCAAAGTCGAACTCCTTGACGCTATCTCTGTGGCTCTCGACCAGGCCCCGCAGCTGAGCGGCGTGCATGCTGGCGTTCCGCACCTGAAGGTACCTCAGCCTGCTGAAGCGGATGCGGCCCCTGACGCCGGGTCTGGGCGGAAGAGGGCTCATGGGGCTCGTGACCTCGTTGAAGAGCTTCTTGTTCTCCCTAGGGGTGTCGAACAACGGGTCCTCGGCCAGCGCCAGCGGGCACGGCCCCTTCTGGCCCACCCAAGTGAATGACAGCTTCTCGAGCGAGTCTTGGAACTGGCGCAGGTAGTCGTCAATGATCTTGAGCTGGTCCAGCCCCGGTCCGCCGGGCCCGTAGAAGTCCCACGCCTCAACGGCGATGTGCATCTTGCGGATCTGGCGCCATCTCTTGCCGGCAATAGGCGAGCAGCCGAAGCCGGGGCCGTCCTGGAACTTGAGGTAGAGGAAGGCAGCGGGGTGGACCCCGTGCAGCGACAGCTTGTTGAGCTTCTTCAGGTAGGGGGAGCGCTCGACGGCGATGCGCAGCGACATGAGGGCGTAGTCCACAATGTCCCTGCGATACCTCTCTGCAGGGTCCTGACCGGGCGTCTTGATGGACAGGTGCCGCAGGTTGGGCACGTTCTTGACCGCGTGGATGAAGCTGGGCACGTTGGTCGCGGCGTGGAACAGGGGCGGGTACTGCTGGGTGAGGATGTCGCCCAGCTCCGAGTTGCCATACTTGGGTCTTGTCAACGTCGAGGCCATGGACGTGTGAGGGGTGTAGAGATAGGAGATCTCGGAGCCAGTGGCAGGATGTATTAGCGGTGGGAGGAAGGTGGCCTCGCTGTGTGGCAGGTAGAATGTGAGGTGCTCAATGTGGTGGCCGATACGGGCGAGGGCCTCCACGCGGTAGGGTCGGGTGAAGGAATTGGCCGTGAAGGTGAGGTGTATCCTCTGGAAGAGGCGGCGGGTGACGAGGTTACAGCATGCTGAGTTCGAAAGGCGCACTGCGCAGATGTCGGACCTGCTGAGGTGGACGAAGAGGCGCTCCCGGATGTCGCCCTGTGCCCACAGGCTGTAGAAGGGGTTGGTTTCTGTAGCCATTGTTTCGTTTCGAAGGGGAGGAGGGGGAGGGGTTGTGTTCTCCCGCTGTCCCCAATGGGTTCAATGGCTGTAGATGTTTCGTTTCAAACACTCAATCCTCTGATGCGCATTGAGGAGAGGGGGTGGTGTGATGGTTCTCTTCTTGACTGTGTGTATGTGTACACAGAGAGAGAGAGAGAGGGAGGGAGAGAGGGAGGGAGGTAGAACGAGATAGGTATGTGGATGGGTGTCTGTGTGGCTCTCTGTCTCTCTGATTTCCTTCTCAGGTCTCTTTACCCCCCTTCCCAGCGCGAGGACCGCCCTGAGATTGATTCCCAACTAAGGAACAAGATGAATACGTATGAGTCCTGCCAGTCGAGCAGGCGATGATGCGCACGCACACCAAAAAGATTGAAAAGAAAGGGACGAAGACAAGAAGAGAATTGAGTCTCCGCGTGGCGGGAAGAGGGCGAGACAGCTGCAAGGCCTAGGAGCTATCCGTCTCCCGTGGCCATCAGCAAGGTGCTCGCAGTAGCTCTCCCGTGGAGTCAGGGTCCTGGGGTATGTGTCTGTTGGGTTTCGTTCGTGCGTGTGTATGTGTGTGTGTATTGATGGATGAGATGGGATTGTGAGGGTCGAGGGGCGATCAGTGACAGAATGGTGAAAGATGGGAATTCAGCAATATCGATGGGTGATTCGTGCTCAGGTCGGAGACTAGTGGTAAGTCATGTCAGGTCAAGAACCATGAGTTCGCAGGAGAGTGGCAATTCTGTCTGTAGATCCGGGCAGCGGTGTGTGTAAGTTGAGAGAGAGGGAAGACAGGACGGTGATGAAAACATGAAATGGGTATAAACTTGGTTCCGGCCGCAGACAGGCCTGTTCAATGGGCAGATTGTGTAGTTTCTGGAGAAATGTGTTGTAATACCCACTTTGGGTATTCGAAATCGCTCAATCGTTTTCTTGATTCGCCCCTCTCACATGCAGCAAGCAGCAGGGCCATGGATTGGTGGTCCCCATCCGGGCCTGTGTTCGCTCTCCATTCCCACAAGCCTCTCTCTGGTCCCCTCTCTCCTCTGTACTGAGTAGTCATTGGTGTTGTCCTGTCAAGGTACCATGCATCTGGGTATGCCTATCTGGGCCCCCCAGCTCTGGAGTAACTCTGGGTCTGGGGGGGGGGGCCCTGTGTGCTCTGTGGGGCGCTCCATGCTCTGGTCCCGCGAGTGTCGCTCTTAACTCTTGTGCTAGGGAAACGAGTGGATGGCGGTGACTGGTGACTCACCCAGTCATCCTCTTCGACACCCCGGCTTGCAGCAACTCGCCCTGCAGTAGCCGCATGCGAGGGCCCGCTTTTCCCGCATTGCTCGAGGGATGAGAGGTTTTTCAGTTGCCCCTCTAGGAGCGGAATCAGGCGCAAAGGAGAGGAGATGGGCACAGGACAGGTACTATGGTACATGCTTGGCCATGCTGGTTACTGTGCTCTGGTGTGTGGTCTGTCATGTGTGTGGCTTTCCTCCCCCCCCCCCTCTCCCCCTCCTTTCTCTACCCACCACCACGAGCACGCTGCTGCGAGCATTTCATGCAAGCTCTTGAAGCAGGCGTCATGTGCCATATACGTATGTATGCACTTTCGAGGCTCCCGGGCTTGAGGCTGAGTCCAGGACGGGATGGTGTTGTCCTCCGATAGCCCATGCCCACACCCACGAGAGAGGCCGCTGAGCCTCATGGAGCCTGTCAATCACTACTGTAAACCTTACAATTATCCCCTTTGGTAGTACCAATAGTACCAAGGATGGTACCTTGTAGCGCGAGCAGCGGCGGTCAGCCGAGTCCGCTCAGAGCCTTGGTGAGTGGCCCCATCCCACAACAAGGTTCCGGTCGTCGGGTGGTAAGCCGGTCTCATCGGACATGCGGTCTGGGCCAGTCAAGTCCCAGAACCAGGACTGGGGAGAGCCGAGGAGCAGCTTGGGAGCGAGGCCGTCCACTCGGCTGCCCCACTCCACTATAGACGCTATCGATATCGAGAAAAGGCCGGACAGGATCAAGGGCTGCAAGAGAAAAGGAGGCGCCAATCGGGACGAGGCTTTCAGAAGGTCGCGAACCCGTCGCCAGTTGGACGCGCAGGCGCGGTGCGTTCGGCTTTTTTCTGTCCTTCGAAGAGGAGGGGGGGGGACCCCAGCGTGGCTTTTCAACGGTCAACGGTCAACGGTCAACGGCCGAAGCGCAATGCAGGCGGGAAGGAGAGGGTGTGTGTGAGCCTGTGTACCGTGTGTCTGTTCGTACAAGAAAGTATAAAGCCCAACAAGAGGTGCTCTCCCGCGGCCATCCGTTGTTGTGGTTGTGATCTGCGACCACTGCTACGAGCAGGCTCCGCAGGCCTAAACAACCTGACTAGGAGGAGAGTCAACACCTGTCTTTTGTCTCCTGACCGGTCGGTTCCAGGGCTCAGCTGGGCCCCCCAGCCCCTTCTCCTTTAGGGGGCAGGTGGCTGGAATTGAGGCGCTGGCCCCCTTAAGGCGAATGTACTAGCAGTTGATGATCTGTCACTGATCCTCTCACTGATCCTCAGCTGCGTGTGTGTGTGTGTGTGTGTGTGTGTTGTTGCCCCTAATAATAATAATAGTAGTAGTAATAATAAACTAAAATAAAAATAAGTCGCCAGAAAGGTAGACAGTTCCATGACAAAGGCGAACCTTGGGCTGTGAGGATGCCTGAGTTGCAGGTGGGTGGTGTGTATGAGGTGGCAAGGCGCCAAAAGTGTTGGTCGAAAGGTGATGGGCTTGCAAACTGTCTCGCCCTATTATTCACTTGGCCCTACGTTCTGACCTGTCCACAGCTCCTTCCCCATGACGAGCTTGAAAAATCCCCAAACAAGAGCTGGGCAGCAGGGAAAGAACGCCACGTCATTTTTGTTGAATGTCGTGTTCCTTTTCTCTGGGAAGGAAGGAAGAGAGGTTTCTCGGGTTCTTCTTTCAGGTATCAAACCAGCGAGAGCTTTCGACACAAACGACCAAGACGAAGGCCACCAAAGCGAGAATGGTGCCACGTCTCTCTGCGTGTCTACCGAGGGCCCCACGCGTCTGTACGACCGACTATCATTAGCCACCATCCAACAACAACAACAACAGCCACCCCACCATCAAGCAGAAGCGCAGGCCTGCCTAATGGATCGCCCATGACTTACTAGTACCTAGTCGCCAAGTACCAAAGTACTCTTTTTTTTTTTTTGTACTGAGCTTGTCCTCTTTCTATCTCTGCCCTTGCTAGAGCTTGGCCTCATCCCACATGGGCGACCTCGAATATACGACAACAAACAGGACCCAGATTCAGAGCGGATTCGGCGTGCCTCCTCTTCCTCCTTCTCTTTCCTTATCTTCTTTTCTCCTCCTTGTCTGTCCATGTTCATGCCGTGGCCCTTCCCTACAAGCATGTTGCAGAGACCCATTTAGGTGTGTGACACCGCATCCGCATCCCACGATCCAATCCCCCCCTTGTCCGACCGAATCTCGTGTCTGCCGTGGTACTCTGATACCACCCTTCTAATCACCTGAGTTTGTTTCTCTTGGGCTCTGATGGCACCTCAGGGCTCTTTCCCATTGGCCAGGCGACGACTCGTGGGCATGGGTGGGAGGACTGTTTCCTCCCACACCCTCTCCCCCTCCTCATCGATCTGGCGACGGGGGATCCATCAGGTCGATCTCTTTGTCTTTGTTTCGTTTCAAAACCTTTCCGCCCTGTCGGTCCGGGCCCTATCATGTACACCGCCAGGCGCGGGCCCCATGGGAAAATCGAGAATTGGAGAGAACAAAAGGGAATCTCACCCCCTCCCTCCCCCAGTCTTTTTCTTTTGCGTCCGAGGTCGAAAGAATCCTGTCTTGTCCCTCGGCCACTTCTCATACATCTGTGGGTAGATTACGAATACCTGATGATACCACGCAAGAAGAACTCGTCCCCCTCCCTTCCCTACTACCCCTCTCCCAACTGACTAAGGACCAGATGGGCTGGTGTGTGTGGATTTTTGGTTGGTGGGGGGGGGGGGGGGTTGGACCAACAAGCCTCTTTCAAGCTTCTTTAGTCGGGCGCTGACGATCACCACCCAGCCCAATGCAGGGTAAATTCTAAGCTTCAACCTTGGGGTGCCGCATTTGCAGGAACTGCTTGTGGCTGTACCGTTCAGCCCCCTCCTTCTTGCCCCCCTCTCTCTACTGCCGTCCATTATCCTGTCCCTGTCCTGGTCTTTCCCTCTTTCTTCTTTTGGTCCAATACTTTACCTCCAAAGTAAGACGGGGTGGTTGCTGCTGACAGCATGCATCATGTATGTTCGTTATGCTGTGTGATAAGGGCAGGCAAGTGAGCCCTTGCTCTTGAGATTTTCTTGAAGACTCTTCAGCCTTAATGCTACAGTGCTTATGTTGTGAAACAGTGACCGATGTGTGGGCGGCCTGTGTCAGGCTTTGTGTGTCTGTATCCGCAAATCGAATTTGTAGACATTCCAATTGCAGTAGCACAACTACCATGGTGCCTCGCGCATCAGTCAATGGCTCATAGCAGGGAGAGGAAAGAAGAAGAAAAGGATACTTGACCTGGTGTCGAACATCGCCCCCCCCCCCCCCCTCCTCCCGCCGGAGCATTCTAGTATAGTAGATATCATCAATGGTTACATCTTGCTTGGCACATAGCAGATCATGATACCTCACCACCGCCCCTGGTGGGGACACGACGACGCACCGGCAATTACATGGCATGACGGTATCTCGTTGATCGCGCATATTCTCGCATTCTCATGAAGTCCCAATCAAGGCTCTTGCGCTCAGAGCCGGCTTTGTTTAGTAGCATCTCATGAGGAGTCAAAGAGGTGCATCCCCACCTGCCTCCTCCTCTACCTCCCCTCTCGTCTCCTCCCCCCCACCGCATCGATCGTACAGGACTGTCACGCACGTTCGACGTCCTGCAAAAGAAAGACAAAAGGAAAAAAAAAGGGTACCATCACAGGTTTGGTGTAAACACGCTAAGAGTTTCTCCTTTCATACTAGGGGAACGCCATCGCCATCATCGTCATCGCATCGCATCATGCGTCTCCAGTCAAGATCTCGGGGTGCCATCAACTCGTCACATGTCACCACCACTACTACTGACACTTGTCAACAACAAGAACAAGACAGGCCCAGCCCCCCTCCCCTTCTCCTCTACCGCGGGAATCGCGCCCAATTCTTATCGAGAGATGGGGGGGGGGGGAAGAGAGAGAGAGAAGGAGGAGAGTGTAAACAACTCAAAGGAGGAGTAAACAGATTGCCCCTCCCCCCGCCGTTCGGACCCCAGGATTAACCATCGCCCGGCCTACGTATGTTTTTGTTTGATCTTGTACCCCGCGGTGGAACCTCCTATCAATCGATTTGGCTTCTGTCGCTGTCTGCTGTCTCCTTTCTCTATCTTTGTTACTCTCCGGGAACTTTTATTCTGCTGGTGCTCTAACCCTCTCTCTCTCTCTCTCTTCCTGCCAACTTGTAGAGAAGAGGAGGGATCTCTCGGGTAGGGGAGGCTCATCTGTGGGTGGTGGCATTGCTGCCCGCTGCCCACTTCCCCTCACTCGCTTGGACGATTAGCTCGCTGAATCTCACTCATCAGGGAATTTCCAGAAACTAAAGAAGGACACACATGAAGAAGAGGGGCCCAGCAGCAATGGCACCTCGATCGAGCTACATAGTACATCAAAGAGAAGAAAAAGAGCACAGTGATGGATGGGGAAAAAGGAGTGGGCGGGCCCCATAAGACGGACGATCAACTCTCTCTCTCTCTCTCAAAAAAAAAAAAAAAAAAAAAAACCCCGCAAGAAGGAAAAGTCCGAAAAGGAGGACCCTCCCCCCCTCTCTCTTTCGCGATTAGGAAGAAAGAAAGAAAGAAAGAAAGAAAAGAAACAACGCACGGACAGAAAAGATAGACCGATCCAGCCCCCCCCCCCCTTTCCCCCAAATCCATGACAGTTTTACTCCTTACAGACTGAAAACCACAATGCGAGGAAACGGAGCAGTTATCGCGGATGCAACAACAAGGAAAAAAACAACGAAGAAGAATGGGGGAGAGGGGTGACAAGGCAAAAAGGGGGGGTTCAAGGGCCATAAGGCGGTCAGGGCCCGGGACGTCTCGTTTTGGCGAGGTTCCCAGTCAGTGGTCTGCAGGATTGAAATGAGATGTGGATCATGAACCGGACGGTTTTTGTGAGGACGCTTCTTTTCCTCTTTTCGAACCTTCGGGAATTCCTTGTCATGGCCTGGGTAAGTACATACAGTAGGAGTACCATGATGGTAAACCCAGGAGCAGAGTAGTCAAGTAAGTAAGTAAATTTTTTTTATTTTTTATTTTTAAATTTTTTTTTGAGGTCTGGGTTTTAGTCATGGCATAAACCACAGACCATCCTCAGTCCACAGAGGGGAAGGGAAATATTCTGTTGTATAATCAATTGTTTCCAATGCCCGTGTGGTAAAAGTTGGGCTGGTCTGGCTACTCGTTCTTGTTCCAAGAACCAATTCATCACATAAAGCTTCCTTCAAAAAAAATGCCAGAAAAATGCCAGTAGATTGCTCGGAAGTGCCGTTGAGCAGCTATGCCATCTCGCCCCCTCGCTTATGCTCCCCCATGGGATTTCCCATACCCTCCTGCTGTGGCGATAACCCAACCACCACATTTTACTACCAGTGTCAGTCCCCTCCGTGTACGTACATTAGCCGGTGTAACACTTTTTCGGTATAGATCAGACCACTATGGTATTAATATGTAAGCATCCCTGCCTGCAGTAGTGTGCTGGGTGTGTGTGTGTGTGTCTTATGTGGCACAGGTTTTTTGTGGGCTTATTTGGTGGGTAAGACAATAACGCTTCCTCGGCCGTGACCGCGCCGGAGCACGGAGGCGCGCCATCGTGCTCTGTTGGCCGGGTGCGCGCGCCTCCGCGTTCATATCCCGCGTCCGCGGCTGACACGGGAGCGCGTCCCAGTGATCCCGTCAAGCCCGCCGCGACGGCGTAGCCTTGCCCACCACCACACCATCTTTCCCGTGTGCCGATCACATGCAGCTCAGCCGCCAACCCCCCCCCCCTTTTCCTCCAACGCCGGCGCTTTCCAATCAATCGACCAGCTTTGTTAGCGCTGGTGAAACCCCAAACAAATTAGGACAGTAGGATATATATGAATAAATGAGTCACAACCAGTAACAACCACCGTCACCATCACCACCACCACCACCACCACCATGATCATCATCACCCCATGACTTTTTAGCCAGTTGTGTATCACACAGCCCCAGCTTGCTGCTCTGCCTTCTTTCTGCGGCTTCTAAAGGGTGGTAGGGTGGTCTCATTCCGCATCAGCAAGCTGCATGATCAGCCTGGCTGCCAGATCCAGGAAGGGAAACGGGCTGGTAACCTGCTTCTCCTCCAGAATTTTACCGTCGGGGGTCTCATACCCGTCGCACTTGAAGTCGACGAGGTACGATCCTGCCTCGGCCATCTCATAGATCTGGATGTCCAGGCGCATCGCGATCACCTGGTACTCATCGTCACCACTCTTGACCGTGTTGGACAGGTGGTTCGGGTGGTCCTCTGGCAGGTGTGCTCCCATGCGCAGCCTCTCCGTCTCCCACCGCACCTGGATGTGCCACGGGTCTGCAGGAAGCTTGTAGATCTTGGTGAGATCGTTATTCGTCCTGCTGCTCGCTGAGCGCCGGTGCCGAGCCTGCTGCTGCTGCTCATCTTCTCCGCCGTGCTCCTTGTCGTAGTCCTCATCTGGGACCCAGCTGCAGCCAAGCTTGGACAGGGACCGATAGATGACGCCCAGAGCCTCCCACGGCGCGTTCCGTGAGCGGATGCCAAACTGCCACCGGGTTGCCTTTGGCTTCTTGGGAGGATTGACGGGCGTGAGTCCTTGTGGTCTCTTGTTGGATTCGTCTAGCCGCACGGGATTGCGGGTGTGCGGTTTCAGGCGGCGGATACTCTCCTGCCGCTCATCTTCTGAGCGTGGCTGTGAGGACGGTTCAGGTGCGATGGGCTGCACAGGCGGTTCTTCGAACCCGTTCCTCTCGCGTTCCATAAAGTCCTTGTGGAATGCCGGCAGGCTGCTCGGCATGACGCTGACCTTGGAAACGTACGGACGTGGGGATGCTGATGTGCTGGTGGAGGTGATGGAGCGGGCAGAGCTGGCCAGAGGGCTGGACCCGGTGTCGGGCGCCTCTGCCTGCGGTTCTGTCTTGAGTGACTCCCCTGGAGGAACGTCGTTAACACTGGGTGGGGAGGATGGGAAGTAAGGGTTGTTTTCTCCAAGTAAAGCTAGGAGCTGTCAGTCGCATGAGGACACGGGGGCCATGGTAGGTCCCCTTAGACAGTAAAGAAAAAAAAAGACTTGGCAGAGACAGGTTTTCAAATACAAATACACGCGTGCAGGCCGCGAATATACATAATGTAATAGTACAGAGACTCTGTCTGGCTGCCTGATGGGGGAGGTCTGTCTTGTAGGGAACTTACGATTGACCTGCATCAGCTTGTTCTCACGCACGATCATGTAGGCGTCCTTGATGGCGGAGGGCTCCTCGGCCTCCAGGGCCTCCTGCACATCCTGCTTGCCGTAGCCCATGGTCTTGGAGATCTTCTCTGTGACCTCGTTGTGCAGCTTCTCCTGGACTCTGGCTGGAGCGTTGGGAGCAATGTCGGAGGGCTTGATGGCCTTGTCTGGGTCGATACCAGTGTTGTAGAAGGGCTCGATGGGCGGTTGCAAGTACTCGGGCAGGTTCTTCATGAACCAAGGGTCCTGGCGGATCTCGGGAATGGTGGCGCGCTGTACGGGGTTGACCTTGAGCATCTTCTCGATCAGGTGGGCGGCGCCTGGGCTCATCCACTTTGGTACGGCGTAGGTGCCGCGGGCAATCTTGGCGAACAGGCTCGGGATGTGCTCGTCGTCAAAGGGCAGCCTGCCGACGAGCAGGACGTACAGGATGACGCCGCAGCTCCACACGTCAACCTCAGGCCCCGCATACAGCTTGCCGCCGATGACCTCGGGGGCGGCGTAGTTGGGGCTGCCGCAGCTCGTCTTGAGGAAGTTGCCGTCGGTCATGATGTTGCTCAGGCCAAAGTCGGCGATCTTGACGTTCAGCTTCTCGTCGAGGAGCAGGTTCTCAGGCTTGAGATCCCGGTGTACGATCTTGTGCCTGTGGCAGTACTCGACGGCACAGAGCATCTGCTGGAAGAAACGGCGGGCTTCGTCCTCCTCCATGCGGCCGTGCTGGACGATGTAGTCGAAAAGCTCACCACCGGCGTACTCGAGGACCATAATGATTTCGGTCGGCGTCTTGATGACGGTGAAGCTGCAAGTTTGTGTATCGCCAATGGTCAGTCTCCCCCTGTGTATGCTCATCATCGTCCCGCCTGCCGGCCTTCCAGCCACACTTACAGTTTGATGATGTGCGGATGCCGCAGCAGCTGCAGATATTCAATCTCGCGCTCCACCCGCCCTGCCATATCGCGGCTGATAAGCTTCTTCCTCGAGATGATCTTGAGGGCGACCTGTTGCCCCGTGCCCCGGTGGACGGCCAGCTTGACCTTTCCAAAGGAACCCTCGCCCAGGGTCTTGATGATGTTGTACTGGCCGATGCGCTGATCCGTCTTCATCTTGCTGTCGGTCGCAGGCCGAGGGGGCGGCGGCGGGTGTGCGGCGTGCTCGCCCTCGACGAGGATCTCGGGGGTCTTTAGGGCCGACGGGTTGGGGACGTTGATGCGTGACCTGCGCATCTGGGAGCTGCTGAGGGAGATGGAAAGCTCGCCTGTGTCTTCGCCGTAGGCGGCTGCTTGCCAAGGTCGTGCCATGATGTATGTGAAGATGTGTGTGTGTGTGTGTGTGTGTGTGTGTTGGAGAGGAGGGGTTGGCTGGTCACAGGTGACCGCTGGTCGATGGGGGGTTGAGTTCCCAGTAACAAGCAGAGCTGGTGGTCGTCACAGCAAGTTGTGATGGTGCTTTGTGCGTGTCGTCGATGGCAATGCTTGCTTGGGTGTAGCTTTGCTGAGAGGAGGAGGTCGAAGAAGGTGGGATCGCTGGCAGGGATGAATGATCCTTCAGGTGAGATGGAGGAGATGCTCCACCGAATAGAGTATGTGCGTGTGTGTGTTCCGGCGATCTGGGGGTTTGAGACCTATTTGATCGCCTATTGTATGTGTCAGCGACTGTGTCGTCACTCCATGGCCTGAGAGGAAGAGAATGGTAACAGGTTGGTCTGGTCGATGGGTGCTGATTGTTGGCGATAGGCGGAAGAGGAGGGGGTGGACGGCGTGGAGGTTAGGCTGTATGAACCAACGAATCATGTATGTGTCCGCGGCTTGGCTGGCGCTGCTGGGGGGAACTGAGAAGGGGACAGGGAAATCGATATATCCACGCACCTGAGGCGGTATTTTGTGCTACGTTTTCAACTTATCGACGATGTATGACACCTCTCATCAAGCAAAGAAATTAAAAGTAAACAGAATTTGACTGTGTTGAGGTTGAACAAGGTAGGTAACACAGAACAGATACACGCTGCTGTCACAAGCGGGCTGGACAGAGGGCGACTGAATCCGGTTGCGGGTCGTCTTTTAGAAGAGAGCCCCCTGGTTGACCAACTACTGACGTCTGTGGTTGCTCTTCTTGGGCGGGAGGTTCCGCTGGTTCAACAGCCTAACGGCAAACTCCTAACCTACACAACCTTGACAGCCAACTTGGTCCTTTGTAGAAAATGAATTTAAAAGCTTGAAGGCCTCGGTAGTGGAAGAGAGAAAGGTGAGTATAGTCAACAAAAAGGTGGCCAAGTAAGCAATGTGATGGGTTGATTTATGGTGGTTTGAAAGGGCCAATGGACAATTATTTTCACCATCGAGGAAAACATGATAGACATGACAGATACCACCCCTTTTAAGATATATCTAATATTTCTCCAGCCAGCAACGACAAAATCCTTGTGTACCAAAGCCAGGAGACAGATACACGTAATAGTCCAATCTTTTCCTTCTTCGTTCCTTTCTCAGATTTCGGACTCTGATCACGGCCGTCTCACCGCACCCTCCGCCGCCTCGCAAGCATACTATAGAATTGCATCATCCGAGGCTGAGTACTTACTGCCCCTCAGATCGATCGTTTCCTGCTCCCGTCAATTACGCCACCAACCAAGAAACACACCCTGCATTTGACAGGTTTCGAACCCAGACCCAATTAACCCCGTGTCCCCTATAGCAGCCCTCTCTAGCCAATAAGCTTACCACGTATCAAAAATGATGACTTGCAAATTGCTGCCACGGCTGCCACCATCTCTTCCTCCTCCTCCCCCGCAATCACGGGATCAACTCAAATGAATCTCTACTGTATCATCTGCATGCATGTGTGATCTGTATGTGTTGTAACTACTACTGTAGCAGTACGTATGTGACGACAACTATCCCAAAATAAGAATGCACAGACGCGTGGGCTGGCGGGGTAAAGAGGGGGCTTCTCCCTCCTCCTCCTCCTCTCTGGTAAAGAAGAAATAGGCACCAATCAGCCAATCAAAACAGACCCAAGATCTTGATCTTTTACTATGTACACATCGCACACCATCGCCACCAACACAACCAGCCTCTTTGTCTCGGTCTCATATTCACACCGTTCCCCTAATAAAGCTGGCATGATCTACACCGTGAACCATACACAGTTTAGGGGCCCCCTACCAGCAAAATTCCCTCCCCCAAGTATGTCATGCAGTGTTACGACGCACGCCATCCGGGCTCCAAGTCCACTCCGTCCACCGACATCCCCGACCTGTCCCAGTCAAAACACAGTAACTCGGCCCGTTCCGATCTCCTCCTGAGCCACAACACAATGAATCACTGTACCCAGACAAAAACCCTGAAGTGTGTGAGAGGGAAGCACGCAAAGCAGGGGCGGAGGCTCAGGACCAGGCGTCCCCCCCCCCCCTTCCCCGATCTGGAAATGAATCTGCGGTAAGACCTGAAAAGGGACGTCACCCCAATAAGTCGGATCGTTGGATCCCGCCACTACACTCTTTGATGGGGTCGGGGTTTGAAGGTCCCGATGCCAACCAAGTTCTTGGTCCGCCGTTGTGTCCGGGCGACGCGCGGTATAAGCTGTTACCTAGAATGACAACATTCTTCTCGGTCGAGTCGTCAGTCAAGTCTAGGGCCTTTTCATTCTTTTCTGGTCTCGATTTCTAACGTGCTTGTTGTGTTGCCTGACGAATCTCTCTCTAAACTAACGTTGGTTGCTACGACGAGAGAGAGACGTCTTCTTGGCTGATGCCGAGTGTAGCCGTTCGTTGTTAGGTCACCGTTGCCCCCTATGTGCACCATAACCAAGGCAGAAACATCGCCTCATGCCTGTGAATGTACCTCTTGTTGTCCCATTGCATGTACAGTCCACTCTTCCACCTCGGGAATCAAGAAGAAGAAAGAAAAAAGAGAAGAAAAAGTAGACAGAAGGAGGGGAAACAGAGCCATCAAAAAACAATCGCTCTTGAGCGACCTTGAATTTTTTTTTGGCCCCATCTGAACACCTCCGTTCCGATTTGGACACGCAGAGATCTTTGCTGCCCGTCGTGTCGTTTCCTTTGCTTCACCGGTTGAGACTAAGTAGACCCTCGATATACTTTCTCGTATCGACGCCAATGCCCTGCGCCAGCCTACTCGCCCCATCTGCCCACCCTGTCCCGCTCGCAGCCCCAGCCAGGCTAATGCTCCTGCTGTGGCCGCTGTGGTCGCTGGCCTTGCGCAGTAGGAAGATCTCCTTGCTGACTTCATCTCCTGCGCCTTGTGGTGTCGTCGACATCCTGGACACCGTAGAAGGTATTGAGTCATTACTCTCTGCTCTGAGATGGCTCTGGTCTTCCGCACCGCCCCTACGGGCCGAGGATGGTCGCCCGACTTCTGTAGAGGAGGAGGAGGAGGACGACGATGTTTCGTCTTTCCGCTCCAGGATGCGACTCCAAACAATCCACCACCCGCGGCTTGTCTTACATGTGCGCTCCAGCTCGGTGGCACTGGCCCGGGTCGTTTTCCACAGGTTGAGAATCTGCATGTGCGTGTTAATGGCATCCACTCGTGACCAGGATGACTGCTCGTTGTACGGCTCTGCCGGGTCGGGAATGCTCGGTATGGTCGAGTGCACAGTGACAGCCTTGGGGTCCCAGACCAAATCATAGATTGCCGCCGCCGACCTGCCCACATCAGGCCTGTCAGGTCGATAGGCCGTCGAGCTGGCTAGCGATTTGCGCAGCGGCGCCAGCTGGTGGTGGAGGGAACGGTAGAGGCCTTCCAAGGATAGAGACTCGGTCCGCAGCTCAAACAGCAAGGTGAACATGAACGGCTTGACCACGTAGACCACCACGCGTAGCCTCTGTGTCTTGTTCCGGTCCTGGCTGTCAAAGGACCCGCGGCGGCTCAGACGCCTTCTGGCGGACAGGTCCGTGTCGTGGCTCCCCAGCACCCGTGTGAACATGGCCTCAGGCTTGTCGGCCGTCGGGGTCTCTAGCTCGACGGTCAGGGTCCTGACCATGGTGCGCGCGTTGTGCTCTTCCTGTTCGACCGCGTAGGACCTCTCTTCGGGGTCCTCAACCCAGCTGTCTTCGACTTCTCCCGTAAGCCCGATGAGGAAATGACCCGTTATGTCATCGCCCTTGGACGAAGTTCTCTCGAGCTTCGGCCGGTTAGGTTCGGTATCGTCGACCTCGGCTGGCTCGGGATCCTTAGATGTTGCCTCACGGCCGAGGCTCCAGTACTTGCCATACCCTAGCTTGAGATAGTCTATATACTTCTCAAGCCCAGGTGCCACCTCGTCAGCCACGGCTTCTGAGCTCTCAGAGTCTGCGGCAGAAGGTGCACTCCGGTCGGGGGGAGAAGGTGTGTTGCTGACAGGTCTGGAGCCCCGATTGGGATCGAAGAGGCTGGGTGGGACCTGTATTGAAGTTGGAGCGTTCTTCTTCCTCGTTGTTTCCGCCGCCCTGGATGTCTTGGCCGGGCGGCGGCGTATGGCCTTGGGGCTTTCCGAGACGCCATAGGCATTCTCCCCCCACCTGTACATGTCTTCCATCCAGTACGTGATGTCCCGTACGGATTTCCTGGATAGGATCCCCACGCCCAGAAAGATGGCGCCGTCCTCCGCACCGGGCTCCCTGCCAGTGCCCAGCCATTGCGCTTGCGGGTCTGCCTTTGCTTGTTGTTTTTTGTCCTCTCCAGACTTTTCCATGTCATCCGGGTCGCCATCGCCGAATTTCGACACGACAAGGTCGACCAGACCGTCTATGCGTCCCTTCAGGCTTTCAAGTACCTCGCGCTCGCCGCTCCCTCGGTCCTCCTCCCCAACGCCTATCCCGAGCTCACCGCTCGCCGCGATCTTGACACCCCCAAAGACATCCCGGACAGGGTTCCCATGTAGGAGGACGTTCCATGTGGACAAATACAGGTCCCAGTATCGGCTTAGGGTGCTGGTGAACTTTGCCTGTTTAATCCTGACGAACAATGCGCTCAACGAGGAGTCGTGGTGCATCAGGAAGGTGGAGTGTGCCCGCAGCAGGTCTTGCAGGAGGAGAGCAGCCGGTTTGACCTCCCGGGACGAGTACTCGAAGTTGGCCTCCGTGGTTACTTCGGCATCGCCTGGCTGCTGCTTCTTTGCAGTCGAAGAGACGGGCAGGCGCGTCAGGTCGATACACTGTAGGCCGCCGTTTTGAGGTCAGTACAGCCACCAGAGAGCAACGACAGGCGCCGGGCGCACACGTACAGCCAGGATCCACCAGCCAGGCTCCAGCTCGTGGAGCACCACCCTCGTCTTCTCGGTCTCGATGGTGTCAACGGCCTGGTCGCCCGAGAAGCTCTTGCCAAAGTTGACGATGCCCTGGGCCAGGCCGATCTGCCTCAGCCTCTCGTTCCGCTCTGCCTGGGACACATTCTCGGTGGGTCTCCCAGCTGGCCCTCGCTTGCTGGTATGGCGGCGGCGCTTCTGGGTGGCAACGTCGACGGACGAGTAGTATACGATCTGGTCGTCGAGGGTCTCGTCCGTGTTGCCCAGGCTGGGGTTGAAGATGGCGAGAAAGCCAACATGGGCAGGAACTATGGCGTCTGCAGACGCCGCGACTGAGGATGAGGTCGTCGCCATACCATAATGAGAGGCAGGGGAAGCTGGATAACCACAAGTCGAGCGCGGGGGCTAGTCCGCAGGAGAGGAAAGGGAAAGACAGAATAAGGAAAAAGAGAACTGCAGCCTAGGGTGGGGAAAAAGAGCTTCAGAAGACGACGACGACGCCAGGCAGAGCCTCGAAACACCTGCCAACCAGAGTTGCAGCTACCGGCCCGGAGTTGGCCTTACCACAGGTATATTGGTAAATAAAGCTCCAAGGTCACGATGCGATCGCAGAATCGATCGGATCTGTGAGTGAATGTTCATTATTCGTGGCCCAGCCAATAACGTCATGCCCAGATTAGGTACAGGCGATCAAATCGCCGATCTGCCCTATACCTGTCTGGTACTATGGTAGTACTTTTTTCTATCGCACAGGGAGTCTTTGGGGGGGGGGGGGGTGGTTTCTTAGAAGGGGGTCCCATGGAGTGGTGGCGGGGCTTAGGGGGGCCTAGCTTTTTCATTGGATCCCAAAGTTCTTGCTAGCCACCCTATCAATGGTGCTATGGCAGTAATTATCAGTGTACCGAGCTGTTTTAGATGTAGTACCACAGGTTGGGTCGGAACGAAGACGGAGACAATCATTTCTATGGGCTCTTCCATACACATACACACTATGGTACAGCATGCAAATCATGATGGACAAATCGTCTATTCATCACTCTCATTTTCTTCATCCGCCCCCAACGACAAACCACGCTCCGTTCCCGTCCCACAAGAGCACTTTTGAATTGACTTGCTGACACTCAGATTGAATGTTGAACACGCACGCTCAAGCCACACGAGACTATCCCAGCAAGAATTGGTTCTCAACAGTGGATGAACAACGAGTCACAAACATCACTGGTGTGTATTTGCCCTCTCTTCTAATCCAGGCTAAGCAACGACTCAATACCAGAGTGCTTGATGCCTCAGCTAACATATATGACACAGGAAGAGACATACATACACACACACACACAGAGAGAGAGAGAGAGAGAGAGAGAGAGAGAGAGAGAGAGAGAGAGAGAGATACAGGAAGGAGAGAAGAAGGAAAAGAGAGGGAAGAGAGGGAAAAGCACACGCTCCAGCATCTCTTCTTTACATTCTATCACCACGCTGACAGTAACAGTTAATGTCACTAATGAAACTGATCCTCAGTCACGCCTTTACCCATGGCCGCCGTACTGCTGATGCCGCCGGTGACCATCTTCTGCAGCTCGTCGACATAGGTGGCACCGCTCCACTTCTGGTGCTTGACCACGTCGACGCCGTGCTCCATCTCGGGCTCCTGCACCAGCTCGCCGTACGCGCGCATGCCGACCTGCCCGTACGCCTTGGCGAACTGGTCGCTGATCAGCGCCGTCGTGTGCAGGCCCGCCAGCGTGATGAACTGCCAGCAGTAGCCCAGCGACGCCAGACGGCGGATGTACGTCTCCTGCTCTGCGCGGGGCATCGCCGTCTTCCAGTTGAACGAGGGCGAGAGGTTGTACGCCAGCCTGATGATTGGGGGATATCCCGGTCAGCAATAGGTATCGCCGGTTGCCATGTCCAAAAATAAGAGGAGAGACAAAAAAAGAATTCTGAAAGTGCAAAGACAACAGACGCAGTGGAAGGAAAAAAAAAAAAAAAAAAAAAAAAGAGAGAACTCACTTTTGCTCAGGCCAGACGGCATGCACGCCCTTGGCAAACTCCTCGGCCTGCTTGTAGTCTGGCAGCTTACTCTCCATCCAGATGGCATCCGCATAGGGCGCATACGCGATGGCCCGGTTGATGGCACAGTCGCAGCCGCCCTTGAGACGGTAGTACCCCTCGCGGGTCCTGGGTGCGTCCCAGTCGAAAAAGACCTCGACGCCCAGCAGGCCTCTGGCGAGCGCCCGCGCCTCGGTGAGCGACTTGCCCTTGGACTGCTTCAGGTACTCGGCCGCCAGCCCCTTCTTGTCCACATGCGTGCCCTTCTGGACAGCCTCCACCACGGCCTCGTCGAACCGCTTCAGACCCGCCTGCGACAGCCACTGGTCCTCGATCGCCTGCAGCTGCTCGCCTGTCTTGCCTGCTGCCTCGGCGGCCATCATGAGGTCGTTGAGGGGCTGGAGGTTTGGGTTTGTGGTGCCGAGGATGAAGGCGTGGTCGCGGGGGTCGATCGTGGTGCTGATGAGCGTGGCAGCCTCGGCGTCCGTGCGGGCAACAGCGAGGAGGTTCGAGCCTAAGCAAGATGTTTTGTCAATCTCTTGTCGGTCCGAAAAAAGCAGGTTTGATGGAGCACAGCTCAGGAACTATATGGCTCACCCATGATATCGGCTTGCGCCCGGATCGCCACCAGGCGGTTGATGTGCTCGCTGATGGGGACCAGCACCTTGCCCGCCATATGTCCGCACTTCTTGGTGCCGGGAGCCTGGTCCTCGATGTGGATGCCGGCGGCGCCCTTCTCAATGAACAGCTTGGTGAGCTTCATCACGGCCGTCAGGCCGCCATGGCCCGTGTCTGCATCCGCGATAATGGGCCGCAGGTAGTCGATGTTGGCCAGGTTGGCCCGTTGTGCCTTGGGCGTCGTCAGGCGCTCTTGGCGCTGCTTGCGGTCGTGGAAGAGCTGTGCCATGAAAAGGTGGGCCACCTTGTTGGGGACGGTGGTCTGTTTTACGCGGCAAGGTGGATCATATGTGAGCCATGCATGTTCTCTATCTCCTCCTCCTGTAGGGACACGACACACAAGAGGTGCTCTCCAGGAAGGGGGAATATGGACGGGGATTTGCTGAGTGAACTCACGTAGGGGTAGTCAGCCAGATCCGGGCCGGGCTCGTCTGAGGCGGAGGCGGTCGAGGAGGACTGCCATCCAGAGACGTAGACGGTGTCGAGGTATTTGGCCATCTGGGTGAGCATGGTGGGTTCCAAGCAGCCGTAGGTGTAACTAGCATCTCGGTTCTGTTCGCAAGACAGGAATAGAAAACCCTGGTCAGCCATCTTGCCTTTTTGCTCATCTTCGACTGACAGCAAAGGGAAAGAAAAGAAGACGACAAACCTTGAACCTCCCCTCGAGGATAGCCCACAGCTTCTTGGCCTGCGTGTTGCTTGGGTACTCGATCTTGAGGTTGCCTCTCTTGGAGACGATCTGCTCAGCAGTGAAGGGGCGCTTGGTATGCCTCCATCTTGAGTCGCTCCACCACTTCTTAACCTCCTCGACCTCCCGGGCAAACACCTCATCCTCGGTGTTGGGGTCCACCGCCGGGTTATTCATGTTGTTGGCCGCCATGATTGTTGGTGTATAATCTTATCTCTCTGTCTGTCCCTCTGTCTGTCTGACTGCTGCCTCTCTCCTGGGGCTGGAGTGGGTTCTGTATCCTCTTGTTTCTGTTTTTCTCTCAACGTAAGTGGGTAGGTAAGTGGGTAGGTAAACAGGTATGAGATAGTACAACTACTACTACTACTACTGTAGACACTGGTCTAACGGTACGAATATAAGTAGAGAGAGAGAAGGGAAAAACAAAATAATGGATGAGGAAATCCTGAAGACCTCACACAATCACAAGCTAAATGAGTCAACAGAAGATGGCGAAACAACAATAGCACCTCGCGGTCCGGGTCATCAGATACAATTATATTCTCAACTCATACCTCCCACAACCTTGTCAGCCAGGTACTACTTGCTGGGTCGGCCATCGGGAGCGTTCGGCCAACCGGCTACTGAGAGCAAGGTACTCACTATAGTATTAGAGAGAGGGAAAAAAAAGAAAGGTAAACTAGCCTAGATCCCTCCCCCTCGAAGAAGAAGCGGACCCATCACACGGGGTTCGGATTCCCTTCTATCTCGAGAAAGAAAAAGAAAAAAGGTACTTCTGATTTATAGGGCAGCCCGGCACATCAGACATGTATCTTTTGTTTCTGCTGGTCATCCTTTGGCGGTGCGGCTCCCAGGGATGATTGTATTCCAAGGCCCCCTTTTTCGGCTGAATGGGAGTGAATTGGCTTGTGATCATTGGCCGAGTTACCGAAGATGGTTCTGCTCGAGCCGTGTATCGTGTCGGATGGATGGTGCTGGGCAGGGACCCACCCACCCTCTTTTTTACAGTACAAGTACTCCCCGCATTTCGCTAGATAATCGTACTATGTAGTATGCCCTGGACATCTGGGGAAGTATAGATCCCTACTAAACCGTCGTGGATGGATGATGCAGTGCAAGGAATTGGGAAGAGTGGCCCTGGCTTAGGATTTTCTTTTTGTCGATGAAAATTGAGCCTCATCAAGGAAAATACTTTTCTTGATAAATAGACTTGACCTCACATCGACACAACTCGTCACTCAACCCAAAATAGATTCTGGCAAACAGCAGGTCAAAGCAAGTGACATGTGAAAGGGGCCCGATCGTCATTCCGCCGCAGCGGGCCTACCACCCCAGTCACAGCGAGGCTCCTGGAAACAAGCCCTATCGCGCTCTCTCTGGAGCCTCGGCTCTGCAGCGGCTGGGCTAGCCTTCCAACTCAAAGCACGCCTTGGCCCTGCGTTTCTGCTCCCGCGCCCACCTGCCTGCACTGCCTACTTTTCCGTTTCCGTGTATGTCTGTGTGTGTGTGACTCCTTTGACATTAACTAGGAAGGGAAAAGGAAGACTGGCTTTCACATGCGGGAAGTTTAGGAAGAAAATCAAGGGCGCAAACCTGCCGGCCCTCGGTCAACTTCCGAAACTTGTCCAGGATGTAAAGGGTATTATCCAGTAAGACGGGCAAGCGGGCTAGTCTCTCACATCATATCATATCTTCATCATCAGGGTCTCGCCTCCTTGTCAAGCATTTTGCCTTCCGAGGTTATGCTCAACATCGATCGTCTGTGGACTGGTCAGCATACCTCCAATTTTTTTTCTTTCTCTTCTTCCTCTGGTCTTTGTTGTGTATCGTCATGAAATATAATCCTTTCCTCCTGTATTCTCGCCCTGGCTGGTTAGCAAAGCCACGCACAACATGTTCCTGCTTGTATAAGGCCAAGACCAAAGTTGTTTGCAGGTCTTTGAGCGATGAGTTGTGTTAAATACTGCCATCGCTCTTATGGCGTACCAACCTACGAGTCACGACAGCTGAACAATTACGCAGCCTCCCCGTCCATGTCGTCCGACCCCTTCAGTGTACTTACTCATGAAAACACGTTCATCGCGATTGTGGCCAACAACAAAATTGTATCAGTCTCTCAATGTATGTGCCAGTAGCCATAATAATAATATACTCATTTAGACCTCCCGTGTGCTCACCAACCCAAGTTGTTCACAGCAACACAACGAAGAGCAGGGCTTCGTGCTGTGAGCTCTCAAGACCACATATGGAAGGCTGGCCCTGACGCATGAGTGCTGCTGGAATTCTTCTCTTGAATCTGTCTAGTTTCTTGTTCTGTTTTGCATAGTCTAGGATAAATGCTCTTCCTCTTCCGCCCACTGTCTCGTTCTCTTGCGCTTTGGACCATGATTTGCGTTCTTCGAAAAGAAAAGAGGGACAAACAAAAGAAGGGAGAGATAAGCAGGAGAATGCAATCCTTGAAGGGATTTAATCCATTTCGGACAGTGCCTTGGCGCGATTCTCGTCGAGGGCCTTGACAAAGGTGTCGTACGGCGTCAGGGTGCCCAGCGCGCGGCGCATGTGGGCGTTGACGATCTGCAGGCCATAGACGTAGCTGGCATTGACCCAGCCGAAACTGTTCACGACGGCATGTCAGCACGAAAGAATTTGTTACTTACCAGACCCTGCTGCGTCCAGCAGTGGCCAGCGGAAGAGGGAGGTGGGAGCAACTTACCCTTCCTTGGCAACGCCCTTGAAGTTCAGGCCCTGGTTGCCGTATTCGGCATCGACCCTGTGCGGATCGATTGGCCTGGTTACATCGTACTTTTCGACGACCACCCCGTTGAAGTCCACAAACGCCTTGGTCATCATGTACAGCCACTTGTACGCAAGCCGCTCCGCCTCCTCTGTGAAGCTATAGCGGTACAAACCCGTCCACGCCAGGATCTGTTGTGGTGCCCACCCGTACGGGTAGTCCCATTGCCGGTTGGGCCGCTGCAAACTGATCTCTCCGCGGCTCTTCAGCGTGCCAGCCAGCAGACCACCGTACGCCTCAAATTTGGGCAGGGCCTTGGTGACCATGGCCGCTGCCTGCCTGGGTGCGGCGACACCCGCCCAAAGAGCCCAGAAGGTGGTGCAGGATTCGTAGTTGGACTGCTCACGTGTGGCGGTGTTGTAGTCAAAGTACATGCCCTCTTCCTCATTCCAGAGGTACTTGTCGATCGCCAGCTTGCGCCTCCTGGAACGCCGGTCCCAGATGGCGGACGTCTCGACCTGGCCTGGCTTGAGTGGTCCGACACAGTACTCAGCAGGGATCGCCAGCTTGTCACCGAAGATGCCGCGGATGGTACGTGCGATATCTGTCTCGTACTTGTACAGCAGCGAGTTGAGATCAATAGTCGCCATGTTGCCGCAGTTTCTCTCCAGGCGGTACGACGTGTCGTGTCCCGACTCACGCACAGCCCGGTCGTGCATGAAGTACTCATCCAGCTCTGGCTCGTCGACCTCGCGGTGGTTATATGCTCGGACAAACTCCTTGAACTCCATGTTGTACTTCTTGCAGTACGGCTCGAGCACATGGACGAAGTGGGTGGCCTCTGTCTCCGGCGGTACGCCCATACCGATAGGACGGTATCGAGACAGGCCCGTCACTGGGTCCAGTCGAGGCTCAGACACCCAGACGCTGTGGTACTCCTTGATGGCAGCTAGGATAGCTGTCCGCAGGAAGTCAAGAGCGCCGGGCTCATGCTTGATCTTCTCGTAGACACGAAGGGCCATGTCTGTGAGGAAGGGCGGCTGTGACCGGCCCAGGTAGTAAGATCTCGTGGCGTTGAGAATCTTGCCGTAGTGCTTGATGCAGAAACAGAAGTTCAGGACCATGGACTTGGCGAGATGGACCTTGTTGTCCACCAGGAGGCCCAGGGACTCCATGTAGCTGTCCCAGCCGTAGAACTCGTTGAAGCGGCCGCCAGGTACGACAAAAGGCAGACCACGCAAGGTCTCCTCGCCCGTCTTTGGGTCGATGATCTTCTCCATTTCGATGGCCAGGAGACCAGGGGCATCGTTCATATCTCGGATGAGCTCGGGGGTGATCTTGTCAGACTCGGGCAGCCGACAGACATCCAGCCTGAGTTCCGGGCGCTCCTTGGCGATCTTGGTGTAGAAGTCAAATTGCTCGGGCTCACCCCACGGGACATAGATGCGCGGTCGCGGATCGTCCGTCCAGTCCTTAGGATCTTTGGCACAGACTTCGATGGTCGAGGCGTCGATCCGGCGGGTCAGACCCTCCCAGAAATGGTCGCGAATCAGGCGGGACAGTCTGTTGACGGGGTTCTCGTTGAGGCGGGCCTCGTCGAGGATGATCTGCTTGCGGCCGTACTCCTTGGCTAGGGAAAGCTCCTGTAGCAAATTGGACAGCATGTAGGTCCCCCGGATATCGAACCTGTGGTGGCCATCGGACGCGGCCGTCCGTAGAGACAGCACCTATCGCAAGCGAGCAGGTTAGCTTCGAGCTACCCAGGCAGATATACTACGACGGTGTCGTCATATGGGGGAGGGATTCGAGTTTACCTTGGGCCCGTTGTCCTCAATGGTGATCTGCATGTTGCCATCTGTATCCTCCTGCGACTGGAGGCTCTCGAGGGTTGGGTCGACCTGGATCAGGAACCGTCGGCTCGTCTGGAGAGTACTCTCGTCTGCGCAGGTCGGAGGAGAGCAGCAGGTTAGCCAGAGTTGTCCTTTTGAAAGGGTGGGAACGGTCTTCTGAAGATCTGAGACACGACATACCATGACTACCTCGCCGGAAAGGCTCCTTCAAGCCCAGTCTCTCCATCTGCTGCAGGAGACTATTCTGTGCGACCCCATCATGTGAGCATTGATTCATCTATCTGGCCCGAGTCCGCGCACCCCGAGACAGCCTTGTGTGCGTGTGTGTGTGTGTATGCGTACCTGAGAGAAGGTGCGAGTCCGGGCAGTGGCCCTGTTGATCTTATGTCGCGAGTCGGTGTAGTATGTTTTGGCATCGTCAAAGACATTAAATTCGTCGATGGAATCACTCCTGGTGGGAGCATCACCACCGGCGCCCTGGTGGGCGTCCGTCACCGAGTCCGCCATGGAGGAATTGGTTGTCTGAAGGGGCTTGAGATGCAAGAGACAAAGATCTCAGCGGTCAAGGATGATGTGAAGGAGGTTGACGAGTTGCAGAAGAGATTGAGGAGCGAGGGGGAGGCGGTATTTGAGGCGCGATCGGGAGGATGACAGATGTAAGACCAGGGCGGTCGGAGCAAACAAGGAGGACGGGTAGAGAATAGGGCGGTGTCGGGTCGATCTCGAGGTTGCGTAGCCTAAGAAAGGAGGAGTATCGATGCTGGTGCAGGTGTAAGTTGTACTGTTCGCCTGGTTCAGCTTAGCGGCAGCCAACGATCAGGATAGAGTGACGGTGATCGATTGATGGCCAACGATCATAGGAGCAGACAACAGAGATGTTGGTGTTGGTGTTGCAGGGGGCAAGCAAGCAATGCTCGGATGAGATACTCTCGTGACACAGGAAGGAACAAACAAAGAAGTCCTGCTGGAGAAGGTACAGGAGCCGCCCGAGTACTTAAAAAGAAGAGACAAGCTCGGATGAAGAAAAAGAGGTGTGCTCCTGATCCGATCTGATTTTTAAGGGTCCAACTAGACTAACCTATCGATGCAGGTGTACACACCACCTTTTTTTCCGTTCCTTGGTTTTGGACAATCAATGCCGCTTAGTATGGACAAAGAAGGAGGCAAAACAATGTCTAGCTTTGACACAACTTTCGCTGATGACAGCTTGCCCTTTCCACTATATACGAGGATGCTGAGAGAAGGATTTTTATTCTTGCTTCTTAAAATCAAACGGAGCGGTCGTGTAACTGTGCAGGTGACGGCACACGGCAGCCTCTGAGTCTGACGCAAGCGGAGCCAACTGGCACAGCTTGAGTAGTACTGCACCAAAGGATGTGACGTTGAGGCTCCACCCACCACCATCTCTTCTATCCATCACCGCCTTATCACTCTCAACTGGGGAGGGGGGGGGCTCTAACATGGTACCATAATTGTAGGCTATATAGTGAGGTTGAGTCTCCCCCCCACTAAGGTTGCGTGTGCCCCCACATTCCCCGTCTTGAAACCAAAATAATTCATTCAATTAACGTCAATGCTAAGGAGACATCGGTCTTTAAGACTAGAAAGTCTAGATCTCTCAGATGAGATAAGTACAGGGTGGAAGGAAAAACATCACGGTCACTATCATGCGCTTTGAAACATTACTGACTCTACAATACTACTGCTGCCACCGAGAGAAGCTCGCCAGACAACCCGAAGGGCATCCATCACCTCATTACATGTCGGAGTCGCATAGTCGCTCGGATGGTCTACCCGGAGCGACATCAAAGACAATTCAGATAATATCGTGATGTTTTGTAGACTCGTGCGATTCTCTTGCAGAGTATGTATCACACCCTCAACTTCTTTTCTCAACTTCCTCTGACTCTCATGTTTTACTATGGTGTGGTGTTGCGTGCCAAGATTGGGTTATCCGCACACCGCCTGTGAGGACTCAAGGGTTGTGAGGCATGGTCCCTGGCGTTGAGCTTCTGCTTGAATCCTTCATCTCATTCTGGGCGCGGACTCCAGGACTGGTCCGACGCCTGTTGAGTGAGAGTATGGAAGAGTTGCACGAGAACATAAAGTCAAGTCTGCATCCGCATCCTCACAAGGAACAGGACCCATAGAGATTGGTCGTCGTGACCGGAGATGTCTCCGGTGTCGAACCTGATAAAAAGACTGCAAAATTATGGGGACGGCCGGTGTTCGCTGGTCTTTTTTGGCACTAGTTAGCGGGTGTACTGGGGTAGAAGGTCCAAATTCAATATGCTGCAGAGAGATGTGGGCACAAGGTTGGAAAGGCGTTAGGAAAATTGAGAGCCAGCTACTTATATGGTAAACGACCCGTGGCCCAGTAGTTGAAGATCATGGACACACTCTGTCTACTATAGTAGATGGCCGAGTTTTACTGTGGATGTCTTTTCAGCGGTGTCGGAGGACTGTTTTGTAGCAGACTGGGAGCTGCCATGGGCCACCCTCAGCAAGACTCGACGAGGGCTGTCAACCAGGACGCACATTTTACCTAATGGCATGCCGCTTCGTGATCGGGGTTTGTAACAGAAGCTGCAGCTAAAACAATGGACCTAGCCGATCGTGAACATTCTGGCCGTTCTGATCCCCGACACGATTTCCCGTAGGCCACTCACGACCTTGTGTCGACCACAGGCAGTAAAGGGTACATGGTGGTACAATGGTACTACGATTCAAGTACGTAGCACGGACTGCGTGTCGGTGCGGGGGGCGTTCTATTCATGAGCACAGCAATGGAAGTATGCTGTGTCTTTGACTATCATGTGCAACATACCTGTCAAGAAAGGAGGCTCCGTGGTAATTAGTACAAGACAAACTCGGCGCTTTTCTTGTGTGTGCAGGGGCCAATCATTAACAGACTCGAAGACGAAGAAACAAAGGGATGAAGTGAGTGATAAATGATCCTGCGGGTTTCCGTTTCCAGCAGCTGCAGCCGCAGCCGCAGGGCGGTGCTGCTGCGGGGTCCACAATCGGTTTACGGGCGGCAGTACCCCTCCTGTATAGAGTATGGCAAGCCAAATGTACTGAAAGATCTCTCCGAGATCTACTAGGCAAATGCTAGGTACTATAGTGAGCTCGGGAGCCCTGTACCATAGTATAGGTGTACACATCCACCCCTGGACTCGACGACCTGTTGATCATCTTCACCTCCTTGTTCGCTTTCCATTTATATATATAATCTTTTCTCCCGCCCTTCGCACTTCCTACTTGTGTCTCTTTTCTCTGATTATCTCTGTGTGGTTTCTTTTTCCTCTCCCATCTCCAACCTTCCAATCAGTCATTCGCTCCCTCACACAAGCACCATGGCGGTGTTTGTAGATCTCGACGACGATGACGTCGACCTTCCTCAGCAGGGCCTGAACGGGATGAAGCCCGTGTGGAACGGCACACTACCCTCAGAAACCTCGACAAGAAGCCCCTTGAAGGATGATGGGCACAGTCTTCAAGGCCCGGACCCCTCAGACAGTATCCATCGCGAGGAGGGCGCTCACGAGCGCGCTGTCCGAGAGATTTACCCGAACTCCATGACAGTGGCCCTGGGATGCTATCCGTAGGCGAGCACCAGCACCTTTGTTTGGACCACCACCTCGGTCCTTGTCTTTTCAACCTCGATCCTTTCTGCTGGGTTGTGATCAACCCGGGGGGAAGGCACACTGACTGGAGAACCAGTATCGTCATAGCCATAGCCTCGCAGCTTGACCTCAACGACCTCGACAGTCTCTCCCACGTCTGCCGCGGCATTCACAACAGCCTGCTCCAGAACTGGTCAATACTGGTCAAGTCAAGCCTCCACTGCTCCAATGACGACCTGCCGGTCGACCCTGATTCTACGCTACGGTATCGAGCCAGAGCAGGCAACTGGTTCTACATGGAAGACACAACTCGCAGTGCGCAGTACAACGGCAAGGCCGGTAGCTGTGCGCGAGATCTGGTCTCCGACTGTCGCAGATGCGGTACGGTGGTCTGCAGGGTGAGTCTCTCGATCCAGCTGCCATTGTCAAGAAGAGGAGAGCCCCGTTCTTTGGCACAATTAGAGCAAAATTTAACAGATGCCTGCTCCCTCCCAACAGAACTGTGCGATTAAACCACCAGCCCCCGCCGTCCTCCGCGACAGACACCGCCGGCTCTGCCTCCCCTGCCAGAAAGCCCCGATTGACCGTCTTATGAAGCCAGCCGTCCAGGGCAGAGGCATGTCCTTGACCTCGCACACGATGCAACAGGCAGTATGTATGTGCCCGTCGAACGCAGGCGTCTGGCTTTGCCAGCCTTGTGGTCGCGGCATTAGGGGTTCAGATCAAACCTATCGCGGGTACGTTCTCCACCTTGTCCTAGAATAACCCCATACCCAAGAAGAATCACATCCATGTCGTGACTGTCATAACGCCCCACCACTACGAAACTAATCATCTCTTCTTTTGCTCTCCACAGGATCTGGAAATGGCGGACCCAGTATGGTGAGGTTCTCGGTGGCCTGGGCACCGGTATCGGCGACGCTGATCGCGGTGTCGAGTGCGCCAGGGCCAAGGACTGCATCAGTGGGAAGTTCATTGAGCACGAGACAGACTGCGACGCCGATGACGCGCGCGAGGCTGAAGATCTTGCTGCGGGATATTCGTCCGGTGGGACGCCGCCAGTGAGCCTGTACAGCGGGTCTCATTCGTGGTCAAGCAGCCACAGCAGCCTGCACAGCAGCTCCCCCACGCCGGGCAGTCTTTTAGACCCTAGTCTGGCACTCGGTACCACTACCTCGAGGACGCCGTCGCCAGCCGTCGGGCCAGGGTATGCCAGGCATGAGGTGGAGGGGATCGGTAACAAGATCAAGACCGTGAAAGTGTCTATGGTCCGCGTGGGAGGGGGTGTACCCGAGTGGAAGGATGAGAAGGCCTCTGGCCAGACCCTACGTCGAGAGGTCTCGGGCGAGGTCAGGAGCTGGTGCGGCTGGTGCAACCGGGTGATCCCAGGGAGGAAGGATTTCGAGGCTGAAAAGGCCCGCCGGGATCTTATAACGGCTACAGACGCGTCATGAGGCGTAGGATACGTTTACACACACATACAGAGAAGGCGTAACGGCAATGAGCTTACCTGGGACCCGGACAGGTCTGGCTCGTAGGATACGACGGAGGGAACCATGGGAGAAACCACCATCGATGAATGGGTCCTATGATGCAGCTGACTCAGCGAATACTCGAGATTTGATTTTTCTTCTGTTCGGAACTCTTAACAACAACGATATCTATTTGAGATTAATGGAGTCTTTTTCCAAATATACATAAGAACAGATGAAAGCCTCTCCGAGCCGTGGCAAAACGAGCCATGCCATCCATTTGACGCCGGCCAGTCTTACTCTGGCATATGCTCTCTCTGCCTTATTGTAATAGTCCGCCTACTTGAGCAGATATGTCCCCCATGGTGAATGTACAGCCTCCTTGGCCACCAAGCCGTGCCGTTCAATATGATGAAATAGAGGTCGAGCAAATTCGTCGAAACCCCCCTCCCCTCCGAACCCCAACCTGGGCTGAACGACACGGCGGCGTCCAACAGAGCGTCCTGAGTGTCTATATCATAAGCACGTCTCATAGAAGCCCAGTGAGAGTGAAACCCATTCTCTACTTCTTTTATTCTCAGTCCCTCCCACTCATCCTCATATCTCTCCCCGCAGCAACATCTGGTTCCTCCTGTGCCTGTCCTCCATGGCCTTCCTCTTGGTGGGACCCCACCGCTGCTGTGACAGCTCAAACTTCCGCCTCTCAAAGTCGATCTTTTCCCTGGGTGCCTGGCAGCATGCGACTACAAATCCAGTCGGGATTTGGTATTTCTCGCTCAGGGCCTTGACGGACCACTTGTAGGGGTCTGTGGACCGCAGCATCCGCATCTCCTCGACTTCTTCCTTGGTGATGGGGTCGCGGTCGAACATGGCCTTGGGGGCGGCCACTTCGGGGAGGTCGCCGATTTCGGTTTTCTGTAGTGATGAGGAGGAGAGGCTCGTCGTGGTGGTGGTGGTGGTGGTGGTGGTAGAGCCAAAGTGCGACTCGAACAGCGATGCTAGGTTCGCCCGCCGCCGCGGGTCGTTCTTGGGCAGGAACTTGAAGGGGGTGTGGTAGACCGAGGGCGCAGCCGAGGGCGGGTTGAAGACGATGGTATCCTGCTCGATGCCTGCCTCGGTGGCGGCAAGGAAGGACGAGTGAGGGGGGATGTTGAGGGCGCGCTTTGTGCGGGAGGCTGTTGCCTTTGTGCGGACCTGGGGCTTGAGGGGGATGTTGAGGCACCGTCGGGCTGCTGGACGCAGGAGCGTGGTGGCTGTGGCCTCCATCCTTGGATGTTTGGTTTTGCAACGTTGCGGATGGAGAGAGAGAGAGAGAGATAAAGAGAGGGGGTTCGTGTGGTTGACCTCTGGTGAGGAGGTCTGTTGTGGTGGTGATGTTGGTGGGTCACACGCGATTTGAGAGGAAGAGTGATTATTCGGATCGATGGTTGGGATTGTACAAGTCTTCTTTTTTTTTGTTGGAATTGTTGTTCTTCGTCTTTTTACTTTGGATCGCAATGGCTGTTCATTCGCGGTGTTGAGCTCGTTGGGATCTGAGGTGGTGGTGAAAAAGCTCTGGCGATGTTCGGCTGCAAGAAAAAAGTTCGTGATGGGGGAAGGAGCCGACAGCCGCTTGGCAGCTTTGACCAATCAGTGGCGTTTGGTCAAAACGTTAGTATTTAATCTGCACACCCACGCTTACGCCTACGCCCCCCGAGGCCCACCTTCAAGCTCAAAGGGTCTCTTTCACTTTTAGATATCGCAACGACAACAAAATCCAAACCTGAATCAATGAAATCCTCAATGTTCCCAAGTCATATTCTTTGTATGTTGTATTTTTTTTAATAAAAAAAACAAAACATCTCTTCTGTTATATACTGGGCCAAATGTATGAACCACAACTTATTGCTTCCCGATACGATTTCGATATGGTGGTAGAGGGTCGGTTGGCGTGTCAGAATCTGATCAGATCCAAAGGCGAGATTTGGTACATCGACTGACTACAGAAATCACCGGGCCTGTTGGTGATAGATGCCCTCTAATGTTCTAGTGCCCCTGTTCATCCCCTCTTATAACATCTTCATCCCGAACTCCATTGATACCCTGTCTCAAGACGGTGGACATAACGACTCTGGCATGTCTGCTCTAAATCTTGGATGCGAGCGGCTCCCGATCTCCAACCTCTTCCTTGGCTCTGTCTCTGAGAATCTTGCGCAGGATCTTTCCTGACTGTTGGCCATGAGACAGGCTTGGTTAGCAACCTGAAGGGTATATCGCTCGGGAAGATTTTGACAGGTGTCGACTTACCGGATTCTTGGGGACGGCATCAACAAATACAACACCTCCTTGCAGACGCTTGTATCTCGTCACCTTGTCCTCCATCCAGAACGCAATATCCTTCTCCTTCACCTTTGCCCCAGGGCTGATCTGGACATAGGCTCTTGGGTACTCTTCCCCCTTGATGGTCACGCCAACCACTGCGGCGTCGGCAATGTCCGGGTGGTCCAGAAGGACGCCCTCCAGCTCAGCAGGGGCGACCTGGTTGCCCTTGACCTTGATGAGCTCCTTTATCCTGTCGACAATGTGCCAGATGCTCCCATCCTTGTACTCCTCGAGGTAAGCGATGTCCCCCGTCCTCAGCCAGCGCGTCCCGCCTCTGTCGGTGACCACCGTGCTGCTGGTAGCCTCTGGCTTGTTCCAGTAGCCCTTGAGCAGGTTGGGCCCGGTGACCCAGAGCTCGCCTCTCTGGTTGGCCTCCTGGATCTCTGTCTCTCCGTCGAGGTCCATGAGCTTGCCGGCGCAGTTGGGCATCAGCTCTCCCACCCCACCGCTGGGCTTCAACCTGGTGGTCTCCCATGCCATGCAAGTGCACGTCACCTCGGTCATGCCCCAACCCTGACTAAGGATAACGCCCTTGGCCTTGAACAGACTCTCACACTCCCTCGCGGTCTCCGCTGCCAGGGGTGCTGCTCCTGAGCCGATAGTCTCTATGCTGCTCAGATCGGCCTTGCGGGCCGCAGGGTGCTTTGCAAGGGCGACAATCACGGGCGGCACACAGGCGAGCGCCGTGATGCGGTACTTCTCGATATGCTCGAGAAACTTGAGAAAGTCGAACTTGGGCATGATGTACACCGGGATGCGCTGGGAGGGATAGTTTGCGATAAAGTACGTCTGGCCGTAGGCGTGGTAGAAGGGGAGGAAGGCCAAGGCACGGGCTCGAGCCACCTTGGCCTCGTGGTCCGGATCGAGCTGGCTCAGGAACACGACCTGTGTGCAGTTGGCTACATAGGCGTGGTGCGAGATCTCCACCCCCTTTGGCACACCAGTCGTCCCGCTGCTGTAGTTCAGACAGCATGTCGCGCTCTTGGGATCGCTGGGCTCGACCCAGTCCCAGGCTGCCGCCTCGGCGATGTCCGCCTGGATCAGCTCGGTCCAGTGCCTTACTCCTTGCTGCCGACCTCTGACGCCCGGAGCCGGCTTGTTCGGGCGTGGATCCTCCTTGGCATCGAAGGTGTACAAGCGGTCTTTCGGCAGGCCGGCCTCCTCAATGGCCTGCAGGGCCACGTCGAGGCTGTCCCCTGCGGCGATCAGGAAGGAGGCCCCGCTATCACGCAGCTGGTAGGCAAGCTCGCGGGCGACGAAGGAGGGGTTGGCGCCCGAGAAGATGCCCCCAGCCATGAGGACGCCACAAAAGATGGAGGGAAAATAGACATTATTTCCAGAAAAGACCAGCACCCGATCGCCGGGTTTCAGCCCTGCCCGCTGCAGCCCGAGGCCAACGCGCTTGGACAGCAGGCGGTATTCCTCAAAGGTGAGGAAATGGGTGTCTGGGCGGTCGGCATCGATGAGGGCCTTTGCATCGCCCGCCTGGAGAGGATCCTTGGATGAGCCAAAAATCCACTGGTGAATGGAGACCTCCGGAATGGAGATGGACCACCGAGATCTGATGACCATCTTTTCAGGGCTCGTCGTGTCGGAACGCTGTAAGACAATAAAAGAATTTTTAGAAAGTAACTATAATTAAAGGCTGAAGTGGAATTATTGTGTGTAAAAATAATATAAATGTGTATATATACAAATATATACACACTTCAAACACAACGAGGCCTAAAAAAGATGCACCACAGGAGTGAGAATGCAGTGTGTAACCTTGAAATCTGGTGACACTTCCGAGACGAGAAGGCTCAAATTTCCCTTTGAAAACGTCTAGAAAAGCAACACAGAATCAGGACTGAACAAAGCAAGGAGGATGCGTCAATGCTATAAAATAAGACACGGCGACATACCGAGGCAAAAAGACAGAGATCGGCTACTTAGCAGCGATGCACCGCAGACTTACCACCCCGGCCTTGCATATTTCCCAGACGACGTTCCCCCCCAACCGGTAGCTTCTAGGGGCTCTGCGGCGGAGGAGTGCCACCGGTGCGTAGAATTGTGGGCAGGTGACGAATAGCCCCCGGCCCCTCCCTTCCCCGCCGCTGAAGATGCGCTGCTACGCTCCACAATAGAGGATAATGCAGACAAGGGGCGCACAACATTCCTCCTCCCAAGTGCTTCTCTGCTGCACTAGGCTCCAGCTCAAGTTGACGCCTCTCCCCTCCTCCAAGAACGAGAGGATTTCAGCAGGGTGACAGTGGCCGCTTACTGAGAGGGTTCCTTTCTACAGTAACCACGAGACAAGGATGGTTCACTATACTACGGTCTTCCTTGCTTTTCTCCTTCTCCTTTCTCCTCTTCCTTCTTCTTTTCCCCGCGATGGCTCTCACGCAACGCCCGCCCCCCCCCCCCCCCCGCATTTAGTGACCAAGGGGAATCTACTTAGCATCTAACTAAGTATGTAGTGCGTGGAAGAAAGGATTGGCCCGAGGATAGTGGAGTTTCCTTCCCCGCGATTGAGAACTGCGCGAGCCGGGGTTGTGTGGCAGCAGGGGTGGGGCGTCTGTGTCTCTCTCCCTCTTCCTCTCTCGCAGATCAACAACCGAGGTTCTAGAGCACACACTTTGTGTAGTCTGTATGGACACTAGCGCATTTAACTTGCTGTTATGTTCCCTATTGTCGTCGGTGTCGCCAATGGTCCTCTCTCTTGTCCTTCAACTGTGTCACTGTTGCTGAACATGTTACGAGCGAAACAGCGAACGACTCAGGCTCGTCTTGCCTCTTTCTTATGAAGATGGACAAGCGAACAAGGAGGGGGACGGGGAAGGAGGAGGAGGAGGATGAAGGAATACTACAAGGAGATGTGCCTTTTTATGTGAGTGGGGGAGGGGGAGGGGAGGATACTATTGAGGAAACGAACAGGCCCACAAACAAAGGTGATGCAGGCAGCAAGCAGAGACCATTTGCTTTTTGTGCTGGATATGTCTGCCACAATAGAAGAAGGAAGGAATGCCCCAACTCCCAGTGGTTGCGACAACTGGCTGCTCCCTTCTCTCCCTCTTTCTCTCTCTTTCTTTCCTTGCTTCGTTTCGGAAGGAACAATCATTCATCTCCCCCTCCTTCCTTGGGCACCTATAATACGCTAGGGGCTCTAGGGTGCACGCGGCTCGGGGTGACGCTGCACAAACTAATATCGCTCGGAGGATGGAGAAGGAAAAAAAGATTAAGTAGGGAAAACGCTACGTGGTACAGAATCTCACAGTTCTGTCCCTGAAGTCTTGTCTCTCGGTTCTGGCACAAGCGAGGGAGTCGTTCAGTCTGTTCACCCTAGTTGACGGCTTATCGGGTTCGCTCGCGGAGATTTTGGAATTGTCATTTCCAACTTCACCTTCAATGCCATGTCCCCTTTCAACAATGCGATAGTGAAACGAGGCCTAGAAAGGCAGCGCCGGGGAGGGGGCGACAGAAGAATGAATGAATTTCCGTTCAGCAAGTTCTTGTCCTTTTTCCTTCTTCTTCTTCTTCTTTCTCTCTAAGCCCGAGCAGCTTGAAATTCAATCTGTTCAATCCTGTTACCTCGAGGTATTACTTTTTTGCTCTACTATTTCGGCTGTCCCCGCGCGCCGGTTCCCCTCGTGTTGGGAAGCCCATAGAGGATAAGGCCCGCCTCGTCCGAAGCGTAACCCTGGTTCCGAATCAAGCTTACTGGGAGGGCTGATACCGCCATGCTGGGACCGGGACGGCCATTGTTACTGGTGGGGTTTTCTGGCATGAGCGTTTGTTGAACAAATTCTGAGGCATCCTTAATTAGAACAAGGTAGCTTCAGAAAAAGTCTCGCTCCTTTCCTCGGTTTTTTATTGCCTTCTCGCTGTTGGCGCTGACTCAATACTTAAAGGGGCTGTCCACACCAATTTCTAATAGACCGAAGCCGACGGGAATGACCCCCGGCTTTTAGGGGTAAACGGAGAATGTATCACCTCATTAGGCAATTCTCTGCGCCGTCTCGTCCGCACGCGGAGATATCAAAGAGGCATTCTTCTGCAGAGCCAAGCGGAGATAAATGGTTCATGTTTTTTTTCCTTTGTTTCTGTCTCTCTCTCTCCGGCCTGGGAGAGAGGGACGCTACTGTGTGCACACTTGGCGCCTTGGGGGGTTAATGTATGACAAGATGTTTCTTAAGTCCGGCGAAGCCCCAGTGTATGGATTCATGGCATGCCTTGGACATGAAATTTCCTAGTTGGGCAATCAATGATACGGTCGAACAAAGCCTGGAGCGGCGATAACTACTCACTTGGTCAGCCCGGCATTAGAAACAAGTAGGTGTATTGTCCGGAGTTGTCATGACGATTAGACGAATGCCATGGTAGTGGTGGGTTTGGACTACGGGCTATAAAAGATGAGCATTGTCCACGTTCTTCTCCCACACAATCTTGAGAGATTGTAGGCACACATTAACATCACCACCATCAGCAACAACAACAACAACAATCATCACAGTCCTCCAATTTTTGAGGATAAACCCTCCTTCCTTGACCGAAACACCGAAACAACGAAAAGAAAAACGAGATCACAATGTCTGCCCCCAAGTACGCCAAGGACCAGCCAGCCGGCTTCATCAACCGCATCGAAAAGGTCGCCATTGTGGGCGTACGTATTGAACACCCTGCCAATCTTCTTTGACTCGAAAACACAAGCAAAAGGCCTCCTCCTTCACCACCCCTACCATATCCCTGGCTAACACTATAACCAGGCTGGCGGCAGGATCGGCTCATACCTGACCAAGCACCTCCTCGCCACGGGCAAACACACAGTCACAGCCCCCACCCGCGCCAGCAGCAAGAGCATCCTGCCCGCGGGCGTCCGCCGCGTAGAGGTTAACTACGCCGACGAGTCGGCCCTCGTTGAGGCCCTCCGCGGCCAGGACTTCCTCGTCATCACGCTCGCGGCGGCCGCCAACATGGACCCCACCAACCCGTCCACCAGGCTCATCGCCGCGGCGGCACAGGCGGGCGTGCCCTACGTGATGCCCAACGCCTACGGGCCGGACCCGCTCAACAACGCCATGGGGGCAGACGCGCACCTCAATCAGTATTTCCTGGCCGACAGGGCGCAGATCGAGCAGCTCGGCGTGAGCAAGTGGGTCGTGCTGGCGACGGGGTTCTGGTACGAGTGGTCGCTGGTCAGCAACGCCCAGGACCGGTTCGGGTGCGACGTGACGCACAGGAAGATGACCTTTTTCGACGACGGGGAGGAGAAGATCAGCACGACCACGTGGGACCAGTGCGGCCGGGCGCTGGCGGCGTACCTGAGCCTGAAGAGGTTCCCCCAGGACGAAGCGGACAAGGACGTCCCGACCGTCGAGAGGTGGGCGAACAAGGCGCTGTACGTGTCGAGCTTCCGCGTCAGCCAGAAGGACATGTTTGAGAGCGTCAAGCGCGTGACGGGCACGACGGACGCGGACTGGACGATTGATCATGCGGACTCCAAGACTCGGTGGGAGGAGGGCGTCGAGGGGATGATGAAGGGCGACCACAGTGCCTTTTCGCGGCAATTATACACGCGGATTTTCTTCCCCACGGGCGAGGCTGATCATTCGCGGCTCGGGCTGGTGAACGAGGCGCTGGGTCTGCCGGTGGAAGACATGGATGAGTCTACCAAGGAGGGATTCCGTCTGTTGGAGACGGGGGTGTTGTCCATGTAGAGGTGTGTTGAGAGATGGAGAGAAAGAGAGAATATGAGGAGGAGAAGGCAAGTGAAAATGCATCTGGCACATTGGTTCATATGAGAATTGTAGTATAGCATAGGAAGGATAGAATCTCATCTCATTAGACATTGTTTTATAGATCAATTTTTTTTTTTTTTTTTTGGCAACATAACTTTCTCTACCTTTCCTCCCCTTACCCTATTTTTCTTTTTCATATTGTCACCTCATCGAGGTTTAGAGGCTATCGATACTTGACATCAGTTCATATCGGTGAGCAGTGAGTGTTGGTTGGGGACCGACCCTCTACAAGGGTCTGCATAGAGCGAATAGAGCTGCACTTTAGCACCCCTGCTTCCTAAGCATAGCCCCCCGCGCCCCCCACACACCACTATGATCGTTATCCTTGTAAATTTGCCTGGGTCATAATCTACTAATATCAAACTCACCACAAAACAAACAAAACCCGTCTCAGTCTCATCAAGAACAAAACTCACCCAACACAACAGCAAATCAAATCAACAATCTCAACCCCCCCATTCATTCATTATCTTCTAATCATACTCCCCTCCTCTCTCTCACGCAAACACATCCAAACCCTCCCCAAAATGGCCCCACCTGGCGCCCTCCCTCCCCCAACTCCAACCATCCTAACCCTCAAACAAGACTTCCTAACCGCCCAAACCCGCCTCCTCGCCCAACCCCTCCAGCCCAGCCGAGCCTGGCGACGCGCCAATACCAACAACGAGTCTGCAGGCGGCGACGAGAACGAGAGACTCACAGAGAGGGCTGTCGACGACGCGCTGCAGAGGCTCAACCACACCCTCCAGCAGCACGCGCGCCGCGTCTACCCGCCCCAGGCAACGCGGCACGTCGCCGAGCAGATCGACGGGCTGTATCTGGCGGCCGGGGATGCTCGCCACCGCGCCGAGGGTGAGGGTGAGGGTGAGAATGGGGAGGGTGGGGAGGATGTGTGGAGGATGCAGGGTGCTGATTATGGTTGGTCTTGTTCCTTTGTCTATTTCTCACTCACCACAAGTGCTACGCTCACCTCGTCTTGATTTCACTTTCATCTCATTTTCACTGCCCCCCCCCTCTTTTTCTCCCCCCTCAAAGACCAAGTACATTGTCTTTTTGTAAACAAAATCCTCACTCATATCTCATATCTATCAATCTATTCACTGACACTCACATACACACACCAATTAGCAAATCCCGAAATAATAGCCTCCCTCCCACCAACCTGGGACTCAACACAACAAGCCCCCGAGGCCCGCCGCTACGCCGACCTCGTCACCCGCCTACAGGACCTCTCATTCCACCGCGCTGAAGCCGAGGCCCGCGTCCGCCGCCTGCGCAAGGTCAGGGCGCTCCTCCGGCCCTTTGACGCCTCGGAAAACGAGCAGGGGGAAGGGGAGACGAACGGAGGCGGGGGCGGCGGCGGCATCCAGGACAACCTGGTCACGCGAGGGGGCGAGGTGGAGAGGGAGCTGGAGCGCATGCGCATGCTGCTCGCCCGTGTAGGGGACAAGGTGGCGAGGCTGGAGGGGCACGGCGGGGCGGTGGACTCCTCTGAGGATGACCTCTTTGGCGACGGGGACGCGATGGTCGTGGATGATGTGGAGGTGGTGGAGAGGAGGAAGGTGGAGGGTTTGCTGCATGGTTTGACTTGAGAGTGCTCTTTTCGGAATTGCGACACATCGTCGAGACGTGCATGCCTGTGGAATACGGTGGACTATTTCTTCCTTCACTTTATTGCCTAAAAAAAAATTAAAAAAAATAGGAAGCACAGAAAGGGAGACAAAAGAAAAGTCGCCTGGGCCAAATAAGAGTGAGATGCGTCTCGATTCCATGCGTGTTCTGTAACGATACTCTAGACCTAGCCACGGTACCTCAAGAAGCATTCTGAGCCATTGAATCCTCCCCTTTCTCCTTCTCCTCCTCCTTCACCTCCTCCTCCTTTCTATCTGCCTCGCTCGACCGCTCTAGAGTATTCTTCTCAACAGTGGTTTTCTGCTCAATCTTCATATTCACATTTGCGGAGCCATCAGCACTGTTGCCTTTGTCCTCCTCATCAGTCTTATCCTCTTCCCCCTTCACCACACCGTCCTCGCTAGGCGTCGGAGTCTGCTCCCCAACGGCATCTTTGGCACTATCATCGACATCCAGCACCTTCTGCTCTTCCTTGTTCTCCCCCTTGGCCTCGACCTCCTTCTCGTCGTCCGCCTCGTCATCGCTGCTCTCATCCCATACGTACGGGTTGGGCCTCTCCACCCGCAGCCTCACTCCTTCCTGGTTCCCTTGCGTGGCGCCCGCGCCCTCCGGCATCTTGTAGTACACCCGCAGACCAAACACCCCCACCGCGTTCCAAGGATCCTTTTCAAACTCGTCCATAGACTCCTCCTCCACGCTGCTGCCGGAATGCCCCGTCGACGTCTTGACCGTAACCGTCTTGGAGGCGACAGCCCGCGCATTGGCCACGCAGATGTCGATGTCGTGCTCGCTCACCTCGGAGACATCGTCCTCATCGGACTCGAACTCAGACTCTGAGGTTTCGCTTGAGGACTCGGTATCGTACTGTGCTGTGTAGGGACCTGGCGCTGGCCCTTCTGCGCCATAGCCCCCGCGCATACGCGGTGGCGGGTGATTGTAGCCGTGAGGCGGACCGTGTGGAGGCCCATAGTGGGCTCCTGGTTGAGGAGGCACAGAGGAGTACATGCCGTGTAGGTGCCCTGGTGATGGCCTGCGGCGCATAGGAGGAGGAAGTGGAGGTAGCGCAGGGAGCGGAGGGGGAAAAGGCAGGCCTGGGCCAGTCTGCACGCCGACAGATTTGTTCTCGGGGATGCTTGCTGCAGGTCTGGCTGGTTTGCTCTTGGGCGAATCACCTCGGGCGGAGGAAGGCGTCTTGTCTTCGGTGTCTGTCTCGGCGGCTGTGACGTAGTTTTCTTCCTCCAGAGGTTCAGCGCCCTCGACTGGTGTGTCGACAATGGCGTCGCTTGAAGCGGGCGTATTCTCGCCACCCTCTGTGCTGCCATCCAAACTTGGTTCTTCACTTTCTGTACTTGGTAGAATCTCGACCTTGAGCTGCTTCTCCTCGGTAGGGGTCTGCGTTGCTGCGTCTCCGGTCTGTGGTTTCTCCGAGTCATCGTTCTTTGCCGCGGCACCAATGCTTGGCGTTTCTTCGAGCTTGTCCTCTTTATTATTTGCCGAAGCATTCGAAGACTGATGGCCTTCGGCGTTGACAGCGTCTCCCTTAACCTCAGCGCCTCCAGTCCTAGTCTGCTGCTTATTCGCCTTGACAGAGACATTTCCCTTGCCCTTGACATCCTCACCCTGGCGAGCCTCGTCGTCAGGAGACGTCTGGCTGCTGTGCTTTCCGACCTCACTTGCTGCCTTGTCAGTCGCAGCCTTCTCCTTCTCCGCACGCTCCTCAGCCTCAGCCTTCAGCCTTGCCTCTCTTCTCGCTGCTCGTCTTTCAGCCCTCGCCTGTTCTTTGGCTTCTAGCTTGTCCCTGGCCTTCCTCTCCTTCATCTTCTCCCGTAGGACCAACTTCTTCTTGTTCTTCTTGTCCTCTAATAACAGCTTCGCCCACCGCCTTCTCTCCCTGCCCCTCTTCCGCTCCTCGAATGCTTCGCGCGCCTCCTTCTCTTCGGGGGTCTCAATGATCTTGCCCTTGGAGTGCGCAACGTCGTAGGCCTGGCCGATGCGGCGGAGCTTTTCCCGCCGGTGCTTGGCATACGCGCGCACGACCTCCTCGACGGGCATGACGCACTCCCTGCGCTGGGCGTCGATCTTGACCACGACCACGTACTCGCCTGCCTCGAGCTCAAGCTCGACGTTCACGCTACGGTTCATGCGATACGCGTTCTGGCTGCGCACGACATAGTCCTCCTCGCCGGTCTTGTGCACCCTGAACCCCAGCTCGAAGCGGTATTGGCCCTGGAGACCCCTGAAGTAGCGCTCGTCGAGCTGCGAAAACACAATTACCACGGGCCCGGACCTGGCAAGCGAGAAGGCGAACTTGGTGTCGTGGTAGTCGATGGTCCATGGAACGTGCAGTGTGGTCCAGATCGAGGCAACCTTCCATTCGCCGGGGCTAAAGAGGCGGGTCCTGTCGAAGGCCTGGTACTTCTTGAGCAGGTCCGAGTAGCTAATCCAGAAGGAGCCGTCGTCGCCAAACTTGTGATCGAGCTTCTGTAGCCATTCGGCCGTCCATTCCTCTGTGCACACCTCGACGTCAGCGTTTGGAACCGCTCCCATTTATCATGAGAACAACAGATTAAGGAGAAACGTACTGGATCCATCGGACCAAGGGCCCTTCCACTCGTGTTTTCCCCACGGATTCTTAAGCAAGACGAGTCGCACGCCATCAATCTCGCATGCCTTGAGAACCGAGTAAGCATGTAGCTCGACAATTCCCTTACGCTCGCCCCACCCAAGTCCCCAGACACCGGTGGAGCAGCCGAACAGGAAGTCCTGGTTGACTTTCATGAGCTCTTCATTCCAGAAGTACTCTTTATCGAGGATGTCGCTTGTATAGACCTCTGAGGTTACGCCCCCGGTCAGGTCCTCAATGCCCTCACCGCCGAAGCCTCCTTCTATGGCGGAATAATCACCGTGAGCTTTGGCGTAAGCCTTTTCAAGAAGAGGCAGCCAGGTCTCATTGGGGTTGACGCATTGTGCAAAGTACTATTTTTGGTTTCGTAGTGTTAGCTGGTGGTATACGCTCCTCAGCAGGGCATACGTCGAACAGAACTTACTAAGGCACCACTGTTCGACTGATAGGCTTTGCGATATGCCTCCTCAGAGTTTACACGCTCACGGTCCTCCCAGAGAATGCGTTCATAATGCGACTCATCATAGTCCGGCTTGGTGAGGTACAGCTGTGTGGATACCATGTGAGCAATCCCTCCTCATAGGGCCTCCTCCTCATAGGGCCTGGCCATGCCGATGGGTTGCTGTGATGCTCACCTTGTCATCGATAATTTCACTGAACCACTCGCCATCCCGGTGAAACACAAAGCCATACACACCCACGTCTTGATCGTGCGCGACACAGCACCGCTCGATCAGACCAGGCTTGTTGCTCATTGTACACAGGGCGGCCATTAGCCAGCAGTCTCCGTCACGACCCTGACGGACATCATTTGCCGTCGGGCCGTCAATAAAAAACTGCGGGTTGTCGAATATATCGACGACCCTTTTGACCGCTTTGGGCCGGAACGTATGATTCGTATTGCCGTCTGGTTGGACGGCTTCCTGCTCGAGTGCACCCAAAAGGCTTAGCACACTTGTGGATCCTGGCCCAGCCGCAGCTTTCGTCACCTTGGAAGAGGCCACCTGTGGTGCCGTCGTGGACTGGCCTCGATCCTTGAACGGCAGCTCTCGCCCGCGCGACTCTGAGGTTTGGTAGTAACCTGGGTAGTTATCACGCTGGTTGTCTAGAGAGTCGAGGCAGTCACGGCGGTTCAGCACCTGGTCCAGCTCAAGGTCGAAATGCGGATCACGGTACTTCTGGTTGACGCGCCGGCATTCTTTCACAATCTGGGCGACCTTTCGTCTACACTGTTCCACGGCCGCTTCATAGGACTGTTCTGTCGTCTTGGCCGGCGCCTTGGACTTGGCAGAGGCGCGGCGGGCAGCACGTTCAGCAAATTCATTCTGGGGGATGATTGTTGTTGCTACAGCGTTGTAAGTACGTGAATGTGTTTGGGAGAGAGTGCGTGGGTGAGTTCTTGGGAGCGGGGGAAGGAGGAGGAGGAGGAGGAGGAGGAGGAGGAGGAGGAGGAGGAGGAGGAGGAGGAGGAGTGGAGCACCAAAGGTGCAGTCTTTACTCACCTTTCCCAGGTGCTTTGGACTTATATTTGTCCCAAAATTCATCAATCTTCTGTTGCGGTGTCTGAGGATCTTTCTTCCTTGGATTGCGTGGCCTGGAGCGCCGCACGGGCGACTCGCTCCGGGAAGAACTCATGCTACTAGACATGATAAAATAGTTGAGCAAAACTCAAGAGGTTCAGTTTAGAAGGAGACCCCTTCTTGTGCTTTGCTTCAGTCTTTCTGCGAGACGATAATTCGTAGTCCAAAGGGGTTTCGAGGGCCACCCCTCTCGGCACGTACTATGAGGTAACTCTTCAGCGAACACACAGCAGTGTACTCTTCCAAGAGCGCCTGAACGAGGGGAGGTCTTTTATGACTCGAAACGAGTAGTGAAATAAAATAAACATGAAGTTCGATGGAGCAGAGGTAGTAGCCGTAAGATCAAGGCAGCCCAACCTCGAGGGCGAAAAAGGTAGTCTGAGTTAACAGAATTGTATAATGAACGAGGTCAAGTATTTGCAACCAGATTGCGTATGTTAAGGGCAGCGCACTGCAGCCTCTCATGTCAGTCCCTCAGCCCTGCCTGGACTGATTGGGAACCGGGTGACTCAAATATCAAACTCACAAGGCCTGTACGAAGGCCTGTTTGGGGCAATTACGAGGGCGGTCCAATGGAAGGACGAAACCAGCGGGCCAACGAGGGTGGGGATGAGGAAAAGAGAGGGGCGGGAAGAGATGGAGAAAGGGAATATGAGTGAGGAGAGTAAAGATAGTCCAGAAGAAGAAGAAGTAGGTGTCCAGGGAAAACCGGGGGCCAGGATGATCAGGTCAGCCCGCAGGTTGCATCGACAAGGCTGCAGCGCAGGGTGGCGGCGTCCTCTCCGAACGCCGTCAGACCTGTGCTTCTGGGCATCCCGTTTCGGTACTCTGCAGGATGATGGAGCCTCAAGTTGTGCACCGCGACGGCTAGCGGAGCTCTAGCTCTACGAGTTTGCACGCACACCCGGGTGGCAGGACGCACGACAGCGTGTGATAAGACCCAGCCGTGGTCAACGAGGCTGGAACGGGGTGGGATAGAAAGCACAGGACGACGCGGTATGAGAAAGGTCTGGACAGGATGCACATGAGATCATGTACTTCAACCACAATGGTGCAGACATGTGTGGGGGACGCAAGGAATCGGTGGCCAAGCATGAAGAGCAAGATGGCCAGAGGCTTAAGCCATGGCCACAAGCGAAATAGGATGACCAGACCGCCGACCGAGCGGTGGACGAGCCAAAAACGAGGAGGAGAACTTGTATCAGCGCAAGCCGTGCACTTGACACAGCTGCAGCAAGGCACTCGCCATCGAACCTCCTCCTCGAGGTTCTACAGGCTGACTACTGAGGCCGGAAGAAGGTGGGTGGGGGATCTTGTCATCTTACCTTTTTCTCCGCTCTCCCTCCCTCCATTTCAGGACTGTGAGGCGCGAGGGGGGGGGGGACACCGCATGAGACGCCACATCGAATAGCCTTCCTCCCTCCCCTCCTTAAGACTCTATGCCGCCCGCCGCCGGCACCGATAGCGCGGTCCAGGGTTCTCGTGAGAAGTGATGCCGTCCTCCGACAAGTCACAAAGGGTGCTTGGGTTTGACGGAGCACGGAAGCAGTGTCTGAAGCAGGTATGATATGGTTGAAAGGTCGTGGTCGTGCAACTAGCACGTCGTAGCAGGCAGCGAGGCGAGGCGGAGCGAACCGGAGCGACCGCCAGAACCAGAGACAGACAGAAACGGCACAGGATGACAAGAGAGACAAAAAAGACAAAACAGCAAGCCGGTCAGCCAGTCAGCCAGTCAGCCAGTCAGCCAGCGGTCGAAGCCTTTTCACAGTCGTCTTCTCTTTTCTCTCTTTCTTCCTGATCCCTCAGCTCTCCTCCCTCTCAACCCCCCCACACACACATTACGATGCGCCGACGAATCGCATCACAAAGTAGCGGAATGCATATGAAGTGCAGAAAATAAGGCTGAGGTGGATCGACTGATCGACTGGTGCCGGACCCCGGATTCTGCGGTCTGGGACCCGGGACGCGACGTGGGGGCTACAAACGCTGGGTCATACGCTCGCTGGGCCACTGTCGCTGCTGGCATGAGGAATATTCTCGCTGGCTGGTGCCTATCTGTCTCTAGGGTGAGCAAAAGGGGTCTGATTCTTTCTTTCTTCTTTCTTGTTCCCGGAGCGATCAGGTCGGGGGATGAGGATGATAATGCATGCAGATGTTGATAGTAGGAAGAGAAGGAAGAAGAGGAGAAGGCGGAGGACAAGAAGATGTCGTGGTTCAGTGGACGAAGGTGCAACCACGGCCGGCCCAGGGCGCTGTTTGGTTGGTCGGATACCAAGCCTAGGTCCTTGCGTAGTAAATACGGACAACGGCCCCGGAGTGGGTTCACTGGGTTCCAGTGCAGTGTCAGTGTATGGTAGTGCAGCCAGTGCACTGTAGTGCATTCCAGCAAAGCCCGGAGGACACTGCAGCACTTTCCCGCCTAGCCAAAGACTGTAAGCAATTCCCCCATCCCAGCTGTGCTGCCTGGAAACCACCAAGCAAAGAAGAAGGAAAGAAGGGCTGAAAAAAAATCAAGAGACACACGTGAACAGAAGCAAAGCCCGTCCACTATCAAATCCCGTGTCAAAATCTGACCGGGTCCATTACTATAACATAAAAGTTAGTTGTAAGACCCGGAGACAAAGCACCGGCAAAACAAGGACCATATCTGAAAAAGATTCGAGACCCAGCAATGCACGCATATGCCCGCACACAAGCGTTAACCGGCCTAATATCTGACGCGCATAAAAAAGCTGACTTTATGGCTGCGGTAGTACAGGGTGCCGTTTGCTCAATGGCAAATGCAGTCATCTACCGGTGAAACTACTGTCCTACCCACCCCATCTAACAAAGCCCGTCTGTCATCTTGCAGGGCCAAGAGCCGCAGTTTTCCGGGAAGAAGGGGGGCGGGGGCGTAAGAGAGGTTGACAATAGTGAACCAATCAGAAAAATCGTGATGACCAAAAAAGGAGGGTTGGGTGGGGGGTGTCTAGAATAGAGAAACAGTAGGTGAGGAAGAGGAATACAGAGAAAGAGAGATGCAATACTATTTTTCGTCTCGATCATAATTTCAATACAGTGTCCATCTTGGGGGGCGGAACAGCCAGTCTCATATCGCAGAGCCGCAGCCCATAAGTAAAAACACACCACCACACATCAGGCTGCCTCTTTGGACCATCCCCCCACCCTCCTTTACCTCCTACCACAAAGTCTGGTACGAAAATCTTAAATCACTTTGTGACGATGATTACAGTACTTAGTCAATACGCCAAGTATGCGTCGTACGGGGCCATGTAGCCCCATCACCACCCACCCCGTCGATCAGGTAGGGCTGACTGGCTCGTCTGTCGATCTCGTAATTCTTTGTGGTTCAGTCTGGAACCATAACCTCGTACAGGTTGCCTCGGGAGTACAGTACCGCACCTCCGTCCCTCGTTTCCTGTTGGTCATGGAGATGCACCATGGTACAGTGCAACTCTGCACGAAATTCAAGGTGGTGTGCTATAGGACATATGAGTCGGGGGTCACCAGGACCCCTTCCCTGGCACGGCAGAGCCTCATTTGGCCCCACCGTGACGTTCAACCTTGCAGGCATGATGAATGGTGCTACACTGCGATAGGTGCTCGTACGGCGCACTCGCTGCACATCTGTTTTGGGACGCCACCGGTGTGGTCTGCTCCTCTGGAGAGCCTGTCATTACACGGAATATGCAGCAGGCACGCTCATTGCCTGCCCATGTTCTCAAGATATCGTACATGAAAAAATTTCGGCCCCCATTTCCTCCTTCCCTTAGCCCATGGACCATCCTCGATGGTGACGAGGTGCAGCGTCTATACGAAAATGAAGAGGCGCTATGCAATGCCGGCCGCATCGGTTTCTCCGATGCTTGTCCCTTCTGCCAACCAGTCTTGTGCATCAGCAATGGACTGGAGCTATAGGCTGAATGCTCCTTCTATGCGCTCCTCCTCTGAGAACTCTCCATACATCACCGCAGAGATCTCGCGCTGAGACTGGCAAACGCATCCGGGCTGTGCCGCCCGTTCGACCACTCCATTCCTAATGCCATCATACTATCCCGGCTTCTGTTGCCCACCATCCCGTCCATATTGGCCACCTGAGCCGCAGCCGCCTGTGGAGACCCCCCGCTGTTGAGGAAAGGATTTTTATTGCCGGGTATCGTCATGGATCCGGGAGCAACTTGTGCCTCCATGGGTGCCGGCGCACTAGGAGGGGTCTGCAATACCTGATTGATGGTTGCCGGGCCTTGTGGTTGCTCGGGCTGCTGCATAGGCTGCTGCATCTGGTCCGGGTGCGGGTTCTGCTGGGGGTGGGGCGCAAGTTGTGGATAGTTATACAGAGCTAGAATAGAAGCCTTGTCGGGCCTCTGTGGTGCCTGCTGGGATGTGGGCTGTCCGTACGGGTTGTACTGTGGTTGTGGTGCCATGTACGAGCCTGAGGCTTGCTGTGTGAAGAACGGGTTGTTCGCCTGGGGCGCCTGTTGTGGTTGTTGTTGTTGTTGTTGTTGTTGTTGTTGTTGTTGCTGCTGCTGCTGCTGCTGCACCGGTGCGCTGTAGAAGTTCTGCTGTGTCTGCTCCGGAATCTGTCCGAGGGGTGTCGGTGATGCCACTCGTGTCGGCGACCGGGCAAAAGGGTTATTAGCATACGCCCCACCGGCCTGGCTCGCCACCAGGCCTGTATTCGGAGCCGGCGATTGCGAAAATTGTTGGGCTTGTGGCTGCTGGGCTGCTGGGGAGTTGTTGAAGAATGGGTTGTAGCCAGTATGCACAGGCTGAAGGGGCTGCGCCGGTTGGAGCGAGAGCTGCTGTCCCTGCTGCTGGTAATATGCCTGATTACTATTAAACGCCGTGGCTGCATAGTTCTGCGGCATTGCAGGCATGGGCGGGGTCATTGCCTGCTGATACACCACCTGCTGAGCCTGCTGATTAGGCACACCGCCAGTATGGTGAGGAAACAGTGGCTGCGAGGAAGGGCCGTTCAGCGACATGTTATTGAACGCCTGGTTCAGAGCATCGTTGGACTGCGTGGTTGTCAGGCCAAAAGGATTAGTACTGGCGGTGGCGGTGGTGTTGAAGAAGGGGTTTCGATTCGCTAGGTTACCAGTCGACTGGCTGGATATTGGCTGGACGGGTGATATATCAAAGGGATTTGTTGATGCTGACATGGGCCGTGCTATCTCAGCCCGGGCGACAGTCAGCCCTGTCTGGCCGCTGCTGGACACGGACGGCCTGCTCACTGAGGGGAACTCGTCGCGAGGGCTCGCCACAGGGGAGCGGCCCTCAATCCGCACCAAGGCCTCGATGGTCCTTTCCAGGTTGCCATTGACGCCCTTGAGTATCGCCTCGTTCTTGCGGTCATTGGTGAACCCCAGCTCCCGCAACTTTAGCAGCTTCTTCTGCGTGTCCTCCTCGCTGTCGTAGCCCAGGCTTGCACCAAACACCTTGGAGGCCTTGGGCCGGTGGCCTGACGCCGAATCGGGGCTGTCAGGTGGCATGCGAGGGCTCGACTGCCCAGATCGGGAGCTGTGATCTTTCTTTCTCGAAAATAGTGGAAAGGTCGACGAGCTAGACCGGAAGCTGAACTTGCCCGTATTCTTGGGAGGTAAGGGTGGTGGCGTCTCGTCCGATCCTGTGCTGCCGGTATGGTTTCTAGGCATTGTCGACAGTCCTTGGTTCATGTATTTTGACCGTATAAAGCGTTCCATTGCAGAGTCAACCTCGTCGGCGTCGATTGGCATCGCAGGCTTCTTGTTCTGTGGGTTGTAGAGCTTATTGGACGTGATGTTGCCCACCTTCCTCATGTTCTGTGTCTCCCGTCAGCATCATCTCTGCCGTGTCCTCCTGTGCCAGGTGCTGTTCCTTACCTCGACCTGCTCGTTTGACCAACCGTCCATGGTGAGCGACTTGACTTTGGATATGTGGGTGCCGAGCTTTCGATGGATCGAGGCGCATCTCATGCAGAGGAAGATGCCCAGCTATTCTCCAAATTAGCATCTCGTGACCGACGCCGATATGGGTTGCGGAAGATTTCGATCGCATCGAAGACGGGATTGGAATCGTAGGGTGCAGGAAGGTTGACATACGCTCCATGAGGCCCAGCCTGTTTCACAAGATGTCAGCAAGGCGCATCGTTGAACACGAGACCATGAACGCGCTCGCTGTTCAAGGGTGGTATTCAGACTCACCTGGATTGCGGGCTTGGCAATCAGCGCACGTGTTGTTGCCGGCAACATTGTGAACAAGGTCCTGGAGAATTTTCTCGTTGCGCGCCTGCTGGCGCTTGTTCAAAGGACCGTTCATAGTTATTGCGCGGGGACGGAGAGTGGTAGAGGCAAGTCGACGCAAAGGAACGCAACGCAACACAACGCAACACAATGCAATTGTTCGCCAAGGGGGCCAGCTCTAATTGCGGATGGTCGCAGGTTGGCGAAGGCTGCTAAGGCTGTCAAGCCTTCTGGTTGCCGTCAAAGTTTCCCAAGGGCTGAAAGGATATTTCGATCTGCGGGGGGTGTAGATGGTCGGAAGTCAAGGCGTCTTCTTTTGGCTTTTTTGTTTGGCAAAGACTCTTGTCTGGACTGGAGTCTAGTCTTTGGAGGTAGGGAGTCGTTAGAGAGAGAGGTTCGTCTGGCCGTTCCGCGCCGCGGGATTTGCTTAGGCGGTTCGCGACTGGGGTGCTGGTTGGGTTGTTGGTTACTTAGTCAGTAGTGGTCACTCGCTGGCCTGCCGGGCCTGGACCTGGACTAAGGCCTGGATCTAGCTGGGGAACAAACCCACGACGCTCCGTGCTTCCCTCTCTCCAAGGGTATCTGCCCTCTTGCCTCTGGCTGTGCCTCTGGCCGTGCCTCTCTGCCTCTGCTTAAAAGGGATGAATCCGAACGTGGGCGCACGGGCACTGGGGCACGACAAGAGGGGGAGGCTCCAGTGCTAAAATGACGCCAATCCAATCAGCCCCAGATGCGAATCGTGAACGGAATTAGGTTACCGATACCGAGGGCCAGGGGCAGCAAGGAGGACGACAACAGGAAGGGAACAAGAATAAATGGCACACATCATATCAAAACGAGAGGAGGGAATTCGAGTACGGAGAGTAATACGGCGCGAGAGAAACCACATGCATACATACACACCCCCCCCCCCCAACAGAGGTGAGATGGAGAGAGGAAGCGGGGCAAAACAAGGAACTGGTTGCATGCGTGTATAGTGCATCTGCAGACGGGAAATGAGCACGACAGAATCAGGTAAGAGGGCTTGGAGGATGATGGAAGGAGCACCAAGTGTGAGCCTGATGCCCTGGAGAGAAGATACCATGGTAGGTGTGGCCCGCTGTAGAAGCTGCAAAGAGTTGGTATTACTAACGTGTTGTACTGTGTAGTACGCAGTGGTGCTATGTCATAAGACAGAGTCTCGCTCCTCCGGCGAGATTGGAGCAGCACACGAGCAGCAGCACCAACCCTACTGGAACACGCGGACTGGTCCCACTGGAGCCCGCTAGAAACCATCCCCTGACCTCCTCCCCCACCCACTGACTAGAACAGCGTACCAAGTATTCACGGGAGAAGGAATCCAGTGCCTTGATTGTTTACACGCCTGTCAAGCTACAAAAAGGGGGTTTGCTAACTCGCACACATTCTAACTTCTTCATCTCACCCATCTCGACACCAATTTTACATTTTATCTCGCCCAGATCACAATCTTGGAGCTGATCCTTCCAAGAAACAACAATCGAGATACGAGGAGCGTGGAGGTGCACCTGAACCCGTTCTGAACTTTGTCTCGCGTAGAAGGGGGGCAAAAGTATAATTATCATACTTTTAATATCCGATTTACTCGGACGTGCAGCCCCATATTGGCATCGTCGCCGCCCGAATGCGGAATCTTGGGCAATTCTTAGCTGAGCCTGACACAGCACACCGCACAAGGGGTATCAGGTATCTGAACACGGACGACACATTATCAATCAGCTCATCCTTTGTTGGCAATACTACAACATGTACGTAAGCTACCGATACCGACCACTTCACATGATCTTGTCTCTTTTTTAGAGCCAAGGGGGAGAGGGGGTCATTTCTCGTAAGTGCATTGATATGCGAATGTCTTATGAGAATGGAGATTGGTCAGAGTGACAGTCAGAGACCTTCCAATTGCCCACTAATGAAAAAGCAAGACATGCACTCTGACGAAGTTTTCCAAAAAGGTCACAACAGGGAGTCCATCGAAGATATTCTCTGACCAGGTCAACAAAAGAAACTATGCAGCATATCGTAGATAAGATGAGGAGCCAGCAGGTCTTTCATGTGGGTAAAGGTGATTAAAGACATCTTCACGAGCAATCGAAATCAGCAGCCCAAAGCCTTGGTCTAGTGTACCATAAGCGATTCAATGTTGGTGTCATTGATCAACTTGTCACAAGTGGCGAGATCGAGAGACTGTGTGGATATTGTAGCTACCTAGGTATTTGTACTATGCCAGAATTGAGACTTATAAATATCAGAATACATACTCCTGAATGTAGCATATTGATACATGCCTTATTTTAATAGTAATTATAAGAATGATGAGTACCTCCAACCCCCCCCCCCCCACAAAACAAAAATCGAAAAGCATATTCAAGGCTCCTGGAGATTAGGACTCAATATACAGCTGACTATAGTGGTTGAAGAGTCCAGGGCACAGCACTCGATTCTTTAGTTGTTGACAGTACAATTGTTGGACTGACCTATGGAGGCATTGCCGCTCAAGATTGTGAAGACCTTTCCAACCACTTGCCTGTTTACTGCCCCAGTGATTTGGCAGCCAACTTATATACGACGTCCTTGGCTATGCCTCAGCCAAAACCATCACGTTGCAAGAATGGTCACTTGAACGCTGTCACACTGGCTTCTATTTCCTTTAGCCGGGCTTCTATTGAATGGGAGCGTAGCTTCAAGTGAGTGCTTCGCTACTGAAAATTTAACTGAGCACCAGATCTAAGCTTCAAGGAGGCACATCCATGCGTGATGAAGTCTGTATCTTTCTGAGGTAGCCAAATCTCAATCATCTCAGATCACATCGAAGTCCCTGCCATTTACTTGTTCCCACTGCGTTCTTTTACCCAACAAGCACTTCACCTGTGTATGATGAAGCAGTGCTGCACTTGTGGCCTATCACTTCTTTTTCCTTCCTTTTTCCGAGGCTTGAAGAAGAATAATCCAACTACATGATAAAGGCACTGTAAACCCGGTATCTAAAAGAAATCATCTTAATAGCCAAGTATTCTAGTACTTGAATATTTATACAGCCAGATATTTTCTTCTTCTTTCTTTCAGCTGAGAAACCTCATTTCGCCCACTGTTCCGAGATGCCCGATCCCTAGCTGATGACGTGTGGAGCGAACAAACGGTAAGCTTGAGTTGTGGCCTGCGTCAGCCTATTAAAATGATGTTTGGACAGGTCCATTGTCATGCAGGATAATCTGGTCGATTTTGAATTAATAATCCCAGGTCTCACTTGAGGGCCCGCACGGGATCGCCTTAGATAACAAATCTAACTTGAGCTGGACCGCTCACTCGGTCAGTCAGTCAGATTCCCAAAAGCTGCTTCACAATCTTCCTACCGACAAAAAGAAATCTGGTGTTTTGAGACAACCACAACATTAACATCCGAAGCTCCCTCAAAGAACACACCTGTCTCTCGTCGACTTTGGGCCCCCTCCGAGGACTAGCAAGATGGCTGCCGTAGAAATTAAGCCTTTCTTCGAAGTGGCGCCTGGTCCGGCTGCTCCCGAGCCCAGCCGCATCGCCTCCATCATAGCCAGCCTTAACATGCTGCCGCATATCGAGGGAGGCTACTTCGTCGAGACGGACCGCGACCCCCTGCTCATACCATCGCCGTTCCCCCTCGACCCGGCCTCGGAGAAGACCTTATCGCTCGTGCCCCAGCGCCCGGGCTTCGATCCCAAGGTCCGGAACGCCAGCACCAGCATCTTCTACCTGTTAACGCCCCGCTCGCCGCAGGGCAACTTTCATCGCAACCGGGCCCGGACGGTCCATACACTGCACAAGGGCCGAGGTCGGTACGTGCTCATCCACGAGGGTGGCAGGATTGAGACTTTTGTGGTGGGGCCGGATGTAGCCAGTGGTGAGCGGCTGCAGTGGATTGTGGAGGGCGGTATCTACAAGGCTAGTTTCCTGCTGCCGGATGTGGAGGGAGCTCAGGGGAGCGAGGAGGGCTTGTTGATTTCCGAGACGGTGGTGCCGGGGTTTGAGTACTGTGATCATGACTTTCTGACGAGGGCTGGGCTGACGGAGCTGTTGGGAGAGAGCACGGCCAAGACGTTGGAGTGGGCTGTCAGGACGGAGGTATAGGTGGTGGAAAAGGTGTCGGGCGAGTCATTCAATGTCCTGCCGAAGTCGTGGATACATAATTATCTAGACTGGAGCATCATATACACAGTCCTGGAGAATGTATCCAAGGACGTGAACGTGTGTATATGCCTTGCAGTAGTCCCTGTCTACTAAATTAGTACCCGTGAACTAAAGAAGCATGCGTATTGGTATTTCTCTTTTATTTTCTCGTATGTTTCCCCTTTACCCACCATGCCTTCTCGTGTCAGTCTCACATAGTCCTCTTTGGCCCGGACTCCATGTCGAACCTCAAACGCCAAAGGAACATATAAATATATATCAGCAATGCACAATTGCCAAGGCTCCCAGTCCAGACTGGCATATCGGGACTCCACCGCTTGATGTGATTTCGCCGAATGCATTTCGTTACAAGGTAATAAATATACCAGTACTGAGGTCTCCGATCCATGCGGAGCTTTTCATTTGTCTCGGCCACTCGCTGTGTCATTTGCAAGTTTCATTTTCTTCTTCTTTTCCTTTGTTTTTCGATTTCATGTCTCCTCTGCCTCCGGTATGTTAAGTCTATATCGGTCATTATTGTTGAGACCCGGCTTTCGACCCGTTACGACGTGAAGGCGCATATAAGTATGTGCATTTCTGTTCCTGAGCGCTGTCCGGACAGGAATCAACGATAGCTAGGGACCACATCGAAGATTGAGATCATTAGACACAGAACCACAAAGAAGGACGAGAGGGGAAAAAAAACAGATGGAGAGGGGGGTGTGGAGGCCTTTTTGTGCGAAGAGGTAATAGAGGAATTGAAGAAGGAGAAAGAAAGAAAGGAAGAAAGAAAGAAAGAAGAAGAACAAAGGAGACAGACGGGGACTTACCTCGTGCTCCTCGACAGAGATTCCGTTCACCCGCGACTGGTACGCCCTGCTGATGCCCGAGACGTGACTGGAGAGCATCTCTTCCATCCAGAAACCGAGCTCCCTCTGGTTTCTCTCCTCTGGCCAGGCGCACGTGGGGACTTTGAAGACCCTCTCCTCAACATTCTCGAACCCAGCCTCCTCGAACCAACCCTTCAGCCGCCGCGCATTATCGATGGGCTTGCCCGCTATGCGGCTCAGGCGGTAGAGCTCTTCCACCCACTGCTGGAGGGCGTGGTTCTCAGGCATGGTCCCGTCGTCGCAGTGCAGCTCCATGTCAGGCTCCTGGCACTCGAGCCAGCCGCCGGGGTTCAGCTTGTCAAAGGCCTGCTGGATGATCTGGCTGAAGATGTCCTCCCAGCACCCATTGGTACAGCGCGTGTGTACGTAGTCGAGGTCGGTGTCGAGCCACTCCTGAGAGGAGTCGTCGATGCAGAAGACGACGTTGGGTGGCGTCTCTGGCGGTTGGATCTGGGACAGGTCGGTGCCGATGATGAGCTCTGTCTGCGGGAACTCTTCGGCAAAGTCGAAACACCATTCTCCCGTCCCGGTGCCCACGTCGAGGACACGCCGAGGGTAGTTTGTCTGGGTCCAGGGAGCGTATCCGTTCACGTCGCCCATTGCTCTTCTTATAATCTCGTGCATGACGCGCAGTCGTTCTACCTCTTCTTCGTCGTTGGGGAACCAGTATGCTGGAGTGATTACGGGTCGGTCAGTAAGGGGGAGGCAAGGGGGATATCCAGGTCTGGATCGATGGAAAAGCTAGAACGTTAGGCTAACCTCCTTCTCTGTAGGCATGGTAGGTTCGCCCATTCTCTTCACGGGAGAGGAGAACGCTTTCTGTCACGGATTGTGTGTCTCTGGAACAGATTCGGTCAATAAAGGATTGCAAGCATGGTACTGATACCAATATGAACAACTCACGGCAGGGCTTCGGCCTACAGGGAGATCCAGCGGTTAGCAAGGATACGTGGGAATTGCAACGACGAGGACAGACAAGGAGCTTACAGGCTCGTTACTTGTCAGAGTCTCGGTGAAGGTGAAGTCGAAGTTGGCCAGAGAGGCCTCATCGATGTTGAAGACCCCAAGGCTGCGCCTGTTTGGATTGTTTGCCATGGCTGCTATAGTGGAAGCCTGATCACCACCTGTGCTGGTCGGCGGTCCAGTCTTGGGAGAGGATGGGCGGTCTGCAACTGACACCCCAGAGTGATGAGGGAAAGAGACGAAAAGAAAGTCTAATGGCCCGCATGATACAGCAATTTCAGGCGCCGGGGTCCAGTGATCATCGAGAAGGCCCAATAGGGCGCCGTGGAAGAGGATCACCCAACCATCGAACTTCCTGACTCTCTAAGAAAGTACAAGGGAACCCAAAGAGCTGGGTCGAGCGGAGCCCGCCGCTGTGGCCCGCTGTCCCGCCGGGGTGCTCTGCCCAGGTATTCGGTGGTATTTTGTGAGCTGCAGATTGAGATCGCAGTTCAGAGAGATCTATGTTGCCACTGCGAACGATCTCGATCTGCGCAAGAAGCAAAATATCCACATCCGTTGGCGGGCGGACACCAGACCTTGACTTTAGCAACAACAAGGCGTTGATTTCACTGCTCCGAAATAGGACAACGGCAGATTTCCCAGTCTTGGTTGGAGCACACCACTGTACAAAATCGCCTCCCGCAAAAGTCCCAGCGAGAGTCTGAGTTGGCTCCTGGCTGTGGGAAGCCCAGGTCGATGACAGGGGAGCGAATAGCCTCGGGTAGATCTTATCTGGTGCTTACGAAGTTTGCATTAGCGGTGAGCGCTTCCTAAGTGTATCGTGCCTACTGCTCCCTGTAAGAAGACCATGAGCGAGTCGATATACCGTCGACAGCGAAGCTTTGAATGTTTCAGGTCATCCTAGGACAAAAAGAGCGACTACCGAAGATGCATGACAAGGGGGTTTGCTGGAGATCGAAAAGTGGCCCCTGGCAGTCAAAGCAGTATCGGCGTTTTCGGCCATACGCAGACAGCTGAACGTTCAATCGTTAAACTTAAAATATAAATCTCCATGCTCTAAGTATTTGTCTGTCTTTAATACGAGTGCTCTCGTAGTAGGTAGTATAAGTCGCCTGCGATTCTCTATCAAGAATTCTAATGGCCGAATTAGGCCAAACGAGGTCTCAACTCCCCCCCCCCCTTCTCCCGCCCCAACCAACCAAGCAAGTCTGTACCGGATTCTCGGGGCGGTCGTCAGCGACCCAGCTCTGCGGTTAGGTTTGTTTGTGGACGGCACGTAATCTCGGATATGCAAGGCGGACCCGACATTCTGGATCCAACACGGCCCCTGGAGCCCTGTAGCCAACGGGCGTTGGATGCAGTCGCTCTTGATTCATGAGTGGTCTTGGTGAAAACCCCGCGCTGGTATTGGCGAGCAAAGAATTCGCTTGTTGCCATACTAGATTTGGATCATCGCTTTTCAGAGGCGGCAGGCGACAATCGAGAGGGAGATCGTGTTCCATTCTTAATTCTAAATCTGGTGATGTCTTCGGTCGTTCTGAAAAGGTACCCACCATAAAAGTCTTCACGGATCTCTAGAAACCCTTGTCCTGGATGGCATCATCATTCACTCCTCGTTTGAAGCAGAGACCTGGAGGCTCTCTGTGCTGTTGCCTAAACAAGGGGCCGAGCGCTTCCGCTGAATTTTCACTGGCATGCGAGCGTGATCCTGCCCCCTCTCACTCCACGCGGTCCCTCTTGGCTAGGCCCGTACATCGTCCCCTTTGAAGAATTATTCTCGATCATACAGACACGCGTCCCATTGCCTGACGGAGGTGTTCGAGAACGTCCCTCGGGATCTGAAGAATCCGTCAGGCACAGTGATCCAAGCTTCTACCAGTTCCTGATCCAACTCCAGGGTATGAGCTTAGTAGTTGAAGCTCTCGAAATGTTCATTCGGCTGGTCATGCTGATATGCGAGTCGAACCGCTGGCGGTGTCCAGACATTCTACAGCGGATCGGCCCTTTGAAAAGCCTGCGCGAGACCACGATGCAATCGACCTCAGCCAAACTTCCTCGTGCCGCCCTTGTGTTTCTCGTCCTTTTTGGCCTTCTTTCCCTTGCCGATCAGTTCGAGGTGCCCGGCGCGCTCGCCTAAAAGCTTTTCTGTCTGTGCAACCATTCCCGACGTGTACTTCTTCTGCAGCTTGTCGGCCTTGGATGACTTTTGTTTCTTGACCTTCGAGCCCTTGTTCTGCTTGGTCCGCGAGATCGGTGCGGGCTTCGCTTTCTGTTTGATCGCGCCTTGAGCCATTCTTGTGACTCTCGCTTTGGGGTAGGATGAGTTGTCGTTTTGATGAAAGGCGCCGATGAAAGCAGAAGTCGCGAGAGGGGTTTGGTTTTTGATTGTTTGGAAGCTGGGGCGGCAGCGCAAACAGAGAAAAGAAAAAAGACGGCCGCCAGATTGCACCGTAGCACTGGACTGATAAGATAAGGCTGTTTAGTCAGCATGATAGCAGGAACATCGACGACAGTCTAAACAGGGGCCGCGTTTCTTTTCCTTCTTCTTTTTAATGTTTTGCTCAATAGTTTCTTTCAACATTTTAATATCCCGAAAGATATTTCTTCAAGGTGTGGCATACCCAGGTGGACTTTTTAGGAACTGGGTCATCAATTTAGGCTCTGAAAACCCGGCGGCGTTCAGATTGGCTGGAGACCCGCTGCCATATCAAATGCATGTTGTGCCCTGCACAGACGGGCAAAACGATTGTTAATTATTGGAGAAGTTCAGCACTACAGTACGAATACCAGGATTGAGAAGTGCGGCAAGCGTCAATTATATGCTTTTCATGCATTCTTGATCTCGATACTGACAAGAATAACTCTGCTCGGACGTTTCTTGGCATCTACAGTGCGCAGAAATGTAATCACACACTTGTCAGCGCCTCCCTGCTAATGCACGTAGCTTTGAAGGGTTTGGCTCTGACACTGACACCTGAGACTGTGACAGCATGTTAGGCTAGCGAATTTAGTGGTTGAATCCAAAAGCTGTCTATCTTCATCACAAGACACGGTATGATGCGCCATTTTGTTGAATTTGAGTTCTTGTATTAGGTTTTCATTAAAGTCGATCAATACACACCGTCCGTTAGGTTTCGCATGAGAGAAACCTAGTTGCGCGAGCTACCCAAGAATCGCTCTGTCCACCTGAATCACTGCTCCTCAGAGACATATCCTGACTGCTCCTGTCTTGCAAGAACTTTGGCCAGGTGTTCGTGAGGACCAGATATTTGACGCTTTTCTCTGCCCGATCGAAGATAGTTCCGTCGAAGCCTTCAGGTACCTCGCCCCACTTTGGCAAAATCACAGTCAGCATTCCATTGGACAGGATTCTTGAGAAGTGCAAACAGTCTTTCAAGAGATTTGAGAAGAGGATGATGGATTTTGAAGCAAGGTTTTCACCTGAGGACTGATTTGGGGAGAACAGGAACGGACCGAGGAATTGGTGCAGGGAATGAATGATTGCTTACGTATGATATCCTGGCCAGCGATGACCGCAACTCGATCAGACTCCCTTTCGATAATATTCTTCTCTCGGAGTCCTGTGATTGCGGTGTAGGTACCTGCTTCAGCCAGTTCTGTGATCCGAACTGTGGTATTGGGTTGAGAACCGGCTCTTCAGCGCCATATAATGTTTTGACGGCTCCGCTGAAGACTGCTTCGACGTCCTTGATATCGTGAAAAGACAGATTGACCGGGAACTCTGTTCGCGGGCTGATGAAATCCGTATAAATGTGTAGTGCCCTGGTGAACGCTTCCCTCCTCGCCTCCTCGGTCGGGTTTTCAGGGTAGCCTTTCTTCCACGCAGAAACAGCTACTAGAAAGGCCACATTTTCGCCGGAAAAGTCTTTCAGGGCTGAGAAGCATCGGAGAGGTTCCGGATTGTCGTTTAGTAGTTGTTCCAACGCGCCCATAGTCAGCAGGCTTCGGCCAGAGTATGAAGGCGCCCCAGACTTCCTAGATGCCGCTGTGTCTCCCAGGGATGTTGCAAAGGAGCAGGGCTTCTTTGACGACGCCGATACCGTAGCCCCTGATGAGCTCGTGCCAGACGAAGGGTCTTCAGCAACGTATTTGGATTCCCAAGCCGAGATCATGTCGAGAGTCTCCTGTTGCAGTGATTGGTGCTTGAGGGCCTGCCAGCACGGGACGAAGACGGTGAAGATCTCCAAGAGCATGATGGAGATTGCGATCCTGTCCAGTTTCTATTAGCAGTCTACTAGGGCGAATGTATGCTTTCGCAAGGCTCAAAGGGAACAAAGTGGCAACGAGAAATCTCATGAAGGCTTCCTCCTTGCTTACCATTGTGGAGGGAACCAGCGGGCGTTGACTTCTGCCATTGACGGAACATAAAGTGCGATAAGCCACATCGGCGTGGCAGGTAGACTATCATCGCCACCTGTTAGCGAAAAGCCCTCATGCCCATCAAAGCTAGCTTCAGGCGTCCAACTTACCTCGCAAGGCAGCAAGCAATGGTCTGCGTCCTCCAACCAAGGGTATCATGAATGTTTCTTGCTCTCCACAGGACAATTGGTGCCACGATCCACGACCAGAAGAATTGCCAGACGAGCGACGGCCACCTGGTGAGACGATGCGGTTAGCTGAAGGCACCGATATAGCCCATCGTTGATATGAAGAAGGCTCACCATTCCCAGCCTGTAGCTTGTTTTTGATTGACCTCCCATGGGTCTCCCGAAACTTCGGTACCGGGAACACCAAAAGATGGGTGGAACTTTCGAGACAGAAGCCACATGATAGTTGTGAGCAGTATCTGAATCAGATTAGTCATTTGTCCTCTTGACCAGACCTGCTGAGCTCCAGCTTCTATTTACATACCTGGACGCATATACCGATTCCAACCAGGCTGAGTAGTTTTGTTGTGTGGGTTGTTCGGACATTAAAGCATCCCAGGTTTATTGTCTTGAAAGAAACATGGGCATTTCCGACGTCCCCGCGGACGAATTTCCTCTGTTGTTTCGCCACGTGAAGAAAACGACTGTTTGAGGCGTGAAACAAGGCGATACCGATTGGTAAGTAGAGCCCCATTATCCAGTATTGGGCCTGGGCAGGAAAGTTCGTCACGGTCGTGGCAATTTCAACTGCTATCCAATATGTGTGAAGGCACGCAATGGCTGCGAATGACAGACCTATGCCCCGGACCTTGACCAACGGCATGTTGCGGCGAGTCCAGAGGAAACCCATGCCGACTATCAGAATCACCGACCAGGAGCAGCAAAAAGCTATCCAGAAGATGTTCACGCCGGTGACGTCGATGCTGGGCTTCAGTTCGGCCATGATGGGCCTCGAGATCAGGATGCTTGTAGTTGGTCCAGCATCGGGAGCTGGAGCATCAGCAGTCCAAAAGAGACTAGAAGATGCGATCAAGGCACTCGAGAGAAGTTAGATGTCTGGTATATGTGATTATGTGAACTACATAGTGAAGGCAGCCAGCCTCCCCTGACCTTGCTGGAACGTCCTAGGGACTGCCTGTCAAGGAGCAATTACCACTTTTATACCATGTTGACATGCGCTGAATACCGGAGCGCCACAGATCTGTCCAGCGTAGTCCCCCGTCTCCTCAAAAGTCAGTGCTCTGCCAAGCGCGCCAACAAACCCAGCTGCGACCTTCAAATTTAGGCGTAGCGGGAAATGCACAAAGTCTCATGGTTCGTACGCTCCACAGTATGATGCGAAGAAGTTCGGGCAATTACCATAGCACAGCAAGTCCCACGAGGACTAAGGTACGAGAGGCATTTCATCCGTGATCGACCGTCCAATCAAATCAAGGACGTACATGGTGTCTGCAGGATAGAATGGCGAGCGAAGGATAAAGGCAGGATAAGTGTGGCTATCCCTCTTCTTCTTACAGTGGGGTTCCACAGATCATATTTTTTCTCTGTGATCAGGGACTACGCCGTCAAACCGATGGATAAATTCTGTCAGCCATCTAAACTACTGCACAACTAGGGGGTTTGGTGGATGGAGCTCTGCGAGGACAACCCCTCCCGGTCTATTAGTTCTGCTTCTGGGTGGAGCCCCAGGTGGAGATTGCGTCTGAACTTGACTGCCTCTCATTGCAGGTCTTCGCTTACACATGGCCAGGAGATATCAAAGATGCTTATCTCCAAAAGGAAATACTGTGGAAACCACGGCTGAAGAATTCATCATGGGCATTGTTTCGGATCGTAGCGTGCTGAATCCTTTTGCTGTACCTGCACTTGACATGTGGATGTTGACGCAGACACTCTGCGATACGGGATCCTCAATACTATGATCCATGTCCCTAGGAGACGTGGAGGGTTATGGGGCTGGCGTTAATGCATGGGTGTATTGCCAGACTACTACAATGGTATGTTACCTGCCTGCTTAGACACGTAAGGTTACCTACGATGGTAGGTCCAATTGAACTTACTATGGTCTCATAACCACGGTACACTTGAGCATGAAGAGCCAGCACCATTGTTATAGTTTCTCAATATAGGTTCAGAGTTTGGTAGCGCAGCAAGCCCGAGCTCGAACCGCTTTCACCGCTTGCCTCTCGTATGTCTGCTTGCATGTACCATAGTGAATAAACTCCTCAGCATTAAGGTTTGTTTTTGTATCTGTTCCGCGGAGCTCTCTGATACACCCTCGGCAATTCCGTAAATAAACATCCCAGTCGGTCTCATTTTGGAGGCTGTCCTGTACGCCACATTATCCGGGGGCCCTGGACAAGCTTTCTGCGAAGACGATCGGGAAACAAGCGGATCTCCATCCTTCGTGGTGAACGATAGTTAAAGAACGGGAGGGCTTGCGAAGATCAAGTCCCTGCATGGATGCTACATAGGATACACATATTTTCCGAGCGGGATTGATACCTGGCTGCTTCTTGAGCAAAACCATCAATAACTCATTCATACTATAGTACTAGAGGAAGCAACCTTTTGAAAATGGCTTTCTTTACAGAGTTCCTACTCACGGCAGTCTCGGCAGCCCGAATTCCCCAAGTACACTAGCTCTAGATCTCTCTAAAAGTACCGCACCTGCAAATTCGGATCGACACCAATGATGTCAAGACATGTGTATTGGTAGCTGTTCAGGATGTCTGACTCAAACGTGGGCTGCGGCGACGATTTGAAGCATCGTCCCACATCTACCCTGCCGCCCCACACTTTGATTCCATTGATTTCATATTACTACTAGATTCCTTCAACAGACTGTTGCAGACCAAGGACACGAACCAGATTAGGTGCCGTTCAACGCTAGACAAAACCCATGGAGTCTCCCACTCCCCTGGATCCTACTACCGTAACTATGATATATGTTGACAGACTGAATTTTTGAAGTCTTGTCCTGGCGCTTCCTTTGCAGGGTCTTCCCAACAGCTGGTTTAAATGAGTCTATGGACAGGAAAATGAGAAAGAAAAAAGCACAAGGCCATGGATAATGATTGGCCCCGTAGACACTTTTGCCATTTCGACTGTTAACACCTGCTCTGGTGGAAAAAAAAAAAAAAAAAAAATGTGCACTGAATATCTTACAGACTGCCACTGTCAACTTCAGCACGAGTTTGATTCTTGCACAACTGTACAATTGAAGTGCTGCCAGTGCGGCCTATATACAAATTTGTGTCAAAGCCTCTGCAGCACAATCTCAAAACGACCAGTCAACGGCTTTGAAACGTTCAAGGTCAGAGAGCCGCTTGCCTGGTCAAAATGCGCAATGCTATCATTTATCCCTCTGACATGTAGGTTGGACCCAGCACCAGGCGAATCAAACCCGAGAATAATGACGCTGGAGACAAAGACCCCGACTGCGTACCCGAACGTCCCGTCAGCAACCAAAGTTCCGTTGGCGTAGTCGAATCGCACAAATGTGGTTCCATTTTGCTGCAGACTGACTCCATCGTCAAGGTAGAGATGCCCGCTTGCCGTACCAGCACTGCCAAGAACGATGAGAAGCTCGAAATCTTTTGCTCGCAGCTCTGTCGTCGTCATGGCCGACTCTGCACGCAAGGGAACAATCGTGCCACCCCTGAGGTACAGAGGAATATCTGTGAGGCCCTGGTCCGTGACCGTGATATAGTCGGCTGTCCCCTGAACTTGCTTGAAAGTGTACCAGTCGTAAAAGACGTCGTCTGGTAGGTACACGTCGACGCTGGTGGCGTTCTCCTCGGTCACTGGAGCAACGAGCAGGGCATCGCCATAGAAGTATTGCATGTCTAGGCCGAACGTGGCCTCATCTTCAGGGTACAGGTAGAACATCGGGTTGATCAGTGGAGTCCCGTCCACAGATTGCTGATACATCGCGGTATAGATATAATCGAGAAGCCGATACCGTATATCGATAACCTTGCGTGCTGCTTCAGCAACAGTCTCCCACAGATAATACTCTTGCGAGATGACGGGCGGGTAACTGTTGTGGTTACGGTAGAAGGGACTGAAGGCACCGAGCATGGCCCACCGAGCACATAGCTGCTCAGTCGTGTTGTCGCCGTACCCGCATACATCGGATCCGACCATGGGAACCTGATAGATGGATGCGAAACCCATCATCATCGCAATCGATCTTTGGTAATGTGGCCAGTCGCTTAGGTTGTCGCCAAGCCAGTGGCCGACCTTTGTCCCCGCGCCCGCAAATGTTGATCGCGTGATAATCATAGGCCGTAGGCCAGGACGGCGAGCGAGCATGGCGTCGCGGGATGCAGCTGACATCATGGTCCCGTACAGATTATGGGTGTCGTACATGGCGAGGCCGTTCTGGTGGGTCACGTCGGTGTTCACTGTGAGGTTCGACAAGCCACCCTCTGCTGCATTCCAGCTCGGGAGATAGGCAGCGTAGTTATGGATGGCATACCCTGGATAGAGAAGATCGCGCCCAGGGAGCCCGAGTTGCTGGCCTGGTTCTTGGCGTGCTGCGAGAACGAGACGGCCCACGTCCCATCCTCGGAGGGGTTCTCTGCGCTTGACGTTCACAGCGGTCTGGTCCAGGCCCCTGAAATTGGTCTTCATTTGCTCATTCGTTGTTGAATTGCAATCTGTTCCTGGCGGTTGAAAATCGCACGGCCAACCGGGCAGCGGACGTGGCCATGCACGAAGTGCAGGTGGAGCCGGAGGAAAGCCTTCGGCCGCGGCCTGTTGAGCTGGATTGTCACAAGGGAAGTCTGATTGCATCCTTAGTAATGACGATACCATCTCGAGAGGAGTGATGAGGTGGGCTGTGAGATAATGAATACTCACTGCAAGCAAAGTCCGAAGGCTCATTCATGTCAATCCAGAGGGCATCGATATTAAGTCCAGACTCAGGATTAAAAAATATCGCAAATTCGTTGTCCCAGTAGAGCGTGATGTTTGCAGAAAACCAATCCGGAAACACGGTGACGCCTGGCCAGACAACACCCTGCCACAGAGAGCCGTTTGAACGGAGTAAGAAGATATTATCTTGTACACCTCGTTCGAAAGGCGCATAGCTGTTGTAGGCCACTGCAGGATCGACTAGCAAGTTTGAAGTATTAGCTAGGGCAGTCTAACACAAAAGGCATGAATCCATAAACACGCCCTCCGCCGGGGGGGGGGGGGTCAGAGATGATGCAAATCATACGAGTGAGTCAAATACATACCCATCATAATGTAATGTTGGTCATGGTTGTGAAGATGATCGACGAGCTGCTGCATTAGTTGAAGGGGGAACCTTTGGGGGTCCAACGAGAAGACTTTCCGCAGGTCCATGTAATCAATATCAGTCCACATGGTCTCAAGTGGGATCTTTGCGTCTGAGTAGTTCTGCACCACCTCGGCAACATTGTACACATCCTGGTACCCATAACGGCATTGATGAAATCCAAGGCCCCAGTACGGTTGCATGGCAGGCAAGCCTACAAGGTCGGCATATTGTCTTGCGACATCCAGCGGTCCAGGGCCGGCGATCAAGTAAAAGTCAAGCACGCCTCCTAGAGTATTGTACTCGAGGTATTGCCCAGACGGCCCTGTGCTGTTTATGAAGATGTCCATGCCGTTCGAGTTCAGGAAGAACACGCCATGGGTCCCATTGGCTCCCCGATGGTCAAAGTAGACGGGGTGATTCCCGTACAGATTCTCCCCACTGGGCGTGCCGTAAGCATCTCGGCTCCAGAGTGTGCGAATGTAATTGGTCGTGTTAAGACGGAAAGCATCCGAGTGCTCACCGAGCCCATAGATGTTTGGATTGTCTGGAAGCCGGGTCCGCAGCCGTAGATACTGCGTCTCGAATATGAGGCTGGCTGCCGAGGTGTCGAAGAGTATTTCTTCTGTGTCACTGCGGGACACAGTGAAAGAGAAAGGCGACTCGGTGTAGTTGAAGCTCAAGGCGGTGCGTGTAGCTCCTTGCGAAGCGCTGGGTCGTGGGAATACAGATTCTGGAACCTGGTATACCGAGTTCGCCGTGTCTTGGATCTTGACGTGTAGACGTGTCGCGGTCTCGTAAGTGACTTCTAACGTCAGGTTCTCCAAGTCGGTTCCATAGTTATTGCACGCGGCTCCCGCCAATGACAAATCAGCGGAAAAACTGGTGGAGGTGGTCTGCACGTTCGAAACCTCGTAACCTGGGCACGCCGTCAGAACACCGTCGCCGTGAGGGCTTCTCACATTTGGAATCTCTAGGGATGAGACTTCCACAATAAGTTTGGCCAAAAGCCAGGCGAGCAACGTTGCCTCTTTCATTGCAGCATGTGAATGCGGTCAATGTAATAACGCATAGAGTACACAGCACTGCTTCTCTCAAGTGATGCAGTTGGGATTTCGACGAGCGACCAAGTCGGTAGGTCGGATCATCTGATAATCTTTGACCAGTTTACGGAAGTGGAGAAGTACTGGGCGTAGAAGGGTACTTGACACATTATACTTTCGCTCTGATTCTCTCGCCTGAATATAGTCCGGAACTGTCTGCAGGTTTCCCCTCACCCAGGCTGCCTGACAGTGCAGCGCCACCCTTCCCTCGGAGGCCGGGGTATTGGAGTGAAGAGATGATCGACATTACCTTGCTGCACGATGAAATTGAGGATCAGTCACAACTTGCACACCATAGACTGTGGCATACTGAACTATGCTAAATCTGTGAAGAACCGGGATAGCGAACGCAATGTTCTTTTTTTCAATTTAGACAGAATGCTACATAACTTCACTGCATACATAAGATTATGTTTCTACCCTCAAACTCACTTTGACTCGGGGTGTGACGTTCTGGTCATTGCTGGTGCCTATACTGGCCTCTCCGCCGCTCACCATCTGATCAAGACTGGTACGCCGTCCATAGGGCCCTCCTTATGACTCGTGGCGTAAGTCGTTCCATCTTATTGTCAGTTAATCGAGGGAAGTGGTTGGATTGGGGGCCGCACATTCGGAATTGAGGAAGATGATAAGGTTATACTGTCACTGAAACTGTTTCTCTTGCTCGCGACCAGTACCTAGATAATAATCATTGGGCTTCAACTATGAGTTGGGAGGGAGTTGGGAGTCCCATTGCCAACCCGTATACGATCCGAAAGACGACCAAGTACAATTCGGATCGCGGTCTTGTAAGAACTCTCCAGTGCGGACTTGAAACCGGCTATTATATTTCTAGCATATAGAGTAATCATCTCGACACAGAATGGTTGTCCATATCCGCACTAGACCCCTAGCCCCACACTAATCTCGGGCTTAGAGATGGCCCAGTGCGCAAGTCATTACTTGGGGGAGCTGTTGAGCTACCCACGACAGGATGGAAGCTGTGCGTGGATGTGCACGGCGGCGGCTGTCGAAAGATATGCCTACATCCACACGCACAGCTCGAGGGCGGTGAGTTCGATCGCGCTGAATACAAGAAGTGGGATGTATAGTCTTGCTGGGGCTAGCCAGGGAATCAAAGACCAGCTCAGCGCTGGTAAGTCGAGCTTCTTCTTCTTCGCCATATAATTCGATGCTACGCCCTCACATACCATGTACTCCGGGATTTTGAATATGTGTGACCTTCTGCGGAAATGCCTTGTTTGATGCGCTGCTAGAGGAAGGAAGAGAAAAGAGAAACAGAAAGGTTAAACAGCTGGCTAGGTGAGGCTATCTAAGCAGAGGGTGTTTGGCGATAGTGGGGGCCAGTTAGGACTCGCTCGCAGTATCTCTGATGGAGCGGTTGAAAGTGGATTGGAATGCTCATTCCGGACTCATGTCGGTCTCGTCAAGCAATTACTTGATGGACTCAGCTAAGTTCACACGAGAGACGGCCGAGAATACACTGTAAGGAAGGCCATCCAAACAGCTCCATTGAATGCGCCGAAGTCGCTCACATATGACTATTCTCTCCCCGCCCTTCAAAGGGAAACTGTTGAAGTTAGTCACATCGACTTCATCTTTGACTGCCTTTTGTAAATGCGCGAGGTTGATCTACTATAATTCCTCTACAGAAGTGCCTTGCCATAATCAACTGGCATCGTCCATCAGCTTCGGTAGGCTGTGGGAAATCTTCCAACATAGTTTAGAATCGCCTTGCTTTTCGCTTTGTTCTCTCCTTGTTCTCGTGTTTTTTTTGCTCCATAACTGTATTCCACGTCACAAGTTGCCATGCTCTCGAAGCGTTTGCAACATTACAAGACTGCTGCAAGGTGTTTCTCCGAAGGCGTGTAATGGGCTGGCCAGGGGTCAACCACAGCCTCAATGAGCTTGGCTAGGCATTTTGACGGCCGGACTGTTACGTACATCTCGAGGCGGGGCATGTTACAACTAACGGGCACATGGCACATAATAAGTAAGGTAGGTGACGCATGTCAGCTGAGTGCTTTCTGCGCTAGCTAGTCCTGGAGCCTTTTAAAGGCCACTCTATTGCTTTGAGCCCGAAGCTGCGACGGATAGCCTTCGTAGTCGAAGTGATTTGTGTCCGCCATCCCGTTGCTACTGTGGGCATGCCGAGTTGAAGCGCTGCCAGCAGTGTTCACAGTTGGAAGGCCTGATGAGAGCGAGATAGGAGGGAAGATGTCTGTACTTGTCCGCTTTTCGAGGCTCCGTGTAGCATACCTAGTACTCAAGCAGGACACCGCCCCAAACTTGATGCATATCACATTACAGATGGCGGAGCCAAAGTTGCAAAGCCACAATAACCCCTCCTCATGGGGGCGCAGCAAGATTTGCTAGCGCAGAAATCTGGAACCAATAAGGCTCTCTGCAATCTTGAGGCCAACATCTTCTTTCCCATCAACATGAGCTCCCGATCAAGACGTATTTCAGCGACATACACCACTTTGGCCCTCGAAGAATGGACAGAGACACGACCGTTGACTAAAACCTGGAAACTTTGAAATCGTCTATTTGTCTAACACATTACCAGAAGTTTGTATCATCTTGCGCTGATCCTAAAACAGAGATTCAGAGGGGCGTTCTGGTCCTTCAGCTGCAACCTGGGCTTCGATTCAGACTCTTTCGCTACGACGACTAACCGCAACAGCATGTCGTATCAAGGTGCAACTCCGTCGCGGACGCCGCAGAAGGCGGATCAACCGCCAGTCGGCGAACGAGAATCGAACCGGGACCAGTTGGCATTTATGTTTAGTCCAGATGCAATTAAAGGGGGCAACGGATTAGCATGTCCCTACTTCAAGATGCACCCGGAAAGATATGAGCAACATATCCATTGTCACTCCGAAAGAGCAAAACCTTGGACGGTCAATCAGATGACGTAAGTATTCAGAATATTTACCTCTTATCAGAACTAATAAGCAATTGGGCTCAATGCCCTAATACGGGCAGCATTCTCGTTAAACTCAGTTAGTAACTTGACTCGCCCCCATAGCCAGCATCTTTGGCGGTTCCACTCGTACGTGTCCCGCTGCCCCTACTGCGACAAATGCTGGCCGAGAACTGCCCGGAAGAAGCTCGCCGAGGAGCGAGCAACACACATCTCAAATTGCTCAGAAAGGAGGCGGCTACTGGGCCAGTTACGGCCGAGGGGCGAGAACGAAGTCGACCTCATGACCGAGGAGCAGCAAGATGCTCTAGCTTCAGTCAAGAAGTTCCGAGGGAGTAATGCAATAAGGCTCCGAAAAATATATAGCGCTATAGGATTCAGCTGTCTTCCGGATACATTCCGTAAGCTATGAGTCTGCTTATAGGTTTCTGGGCTGAGACTCGGTACTAAACACGAGCGCAGATGTCCGCCCTCCTGAATTTACTAGCAATGCCAAAGACAACATAAGTCATCTCTTTCAAGGCTTCGGGCCAACCCAGGATTTCCCAGAAGAGGATATGCCATCAAAGGACCAGCTCCTCTCTCGAGAGAACATACGCAAGTTTGTAGGCTATTCCCCTAGCCCGAACCCCAGAAACGAAGCTGTGCTTGACTCGATCGCTGCCTCTCGAGACCGATCCATGTCTCAGGATGTCCAAAAAGAGCTGCCAGAAGCACCCGAGGCCGTGTCACCTTGCACAAACGTTTTGGGGGATATGGGCTTGCATGTCTTGGGAGTGGGAGGTCATCCACTGGTCGGTAATCGAGAAGACCATACACAAGTCGTCGTGCGCGGCCCGCACGACCTTGTAGCAGATTTATCTGGTTCTCTTAACCAACCATACATGCAAGCAGTAACTCGGCCTGACTTGGAAGGCGTCTCCAAAGAAGAGGATCCTTTATTCTCTAGTCGCCATCTTGAAACATCGTCGCAGACTGCAGCCACCAGACAAGATGACCTTAATCTTGTCAGCTCCCAATTGTCGAATCACGTTGAGTCTGCCAAGCTGACCTCATCGCAGCTCAATGAAGGTCCTAGTCCAATTCATACGGAATCAACAGACGCTGAGACTGCGCAAAGAGTTCTCAAGTCACCATTTCAAGATGATGCTTTGCTTTTCGATCCTATGGAGGTTGACGACACTGGACTCTTCAACTCCATCAACAATCCATCCCCTATCTTGCGACACGACAAAGATTCTGGGTACCAGGGCTCCGTATCAACAGATTCGAAGCCAGTGAACACATCAATGTTCTCCGGACCACAAAAACAAACAGCACTAGAGTCGCTACCAGAGAGCGCCACCGACAGTGAGCAAGGAGATCCCAATGAAGATTCGGCAACAGTGTACACTGCACATGATTATGCAACCCTTACCAACTATGTCACAAAGTTCACAGAGCTCATTGTCGAAGCACTTCCCAACCAGAGCATACTGCACCTCAAGTCACAAGTCCTATCAGTGACCATTCCTAAATTACTGGAGGCGTTTGCTATCAAACTTGGATTCTGCGACGCATCTTCGCCTTACAGGGAGATGATGTCGTTCTTGCATCGCTACCGCCAGTACGTTTCTCTCAAGGAATATATGGACTCATAATTAACTAAATACTTCAAGGCAGATAGTTCAGTCTATCACAGAGAAACTTGAGGATGCAAACAACCAAAGTTTGCATTTTCCTGGCGATGCCATGACCATTGACGATAAACTGGAGAACTGGGATCCAATCTGTGAAGCTTTCGAGATTGATGCCAAGCTAATTCTATCATCGGATGACTTTTCACCAGCAGATGACGAAGAAGAATTTGATGATCTCGATGAAGTTGACGAAGAGCTCAATAAATATCACCAGTTGCTCGTCAAATCTCCTGCCTACAAGTGGCTTGTTCATAAGCTAAAGGCGGAGTGGGCCTTTGAGACCGTGGGGGAGGATGTTCGAATGGGAATCCATCAACAGCTACTGGACTTGTTCGATTGTGGTCGAAAGCGAATTCTCAGTCGAAGTATACGTCCGCCCACAGCAGAGATGATGTTTCACATCCCGTGGAATCTCACCGAATTCTTTGAGTCTCGGGGATATGATGTTCCTGCGCATGAAGCCTTGCCTCACGTCATGGTTCTGAATGGTAGCGGCAACAATGTTCAAGCTATTGCGTGTAAAGAATACGTGGCTCAGGTTTGGCCTTTCTATGGCCCAACAATCTTGGAGGTGATTCAACGCCTTCTTAGAGGAGAAAAACAGGTGCGAGATCGTAAGTGTCTTTGATTACCATCTCCGTGTGATTGTCATAGCTGTTTCACTCTTTCGAAGACATTTGCTGATTTCTCTGCTGGAATACAGGGGTATCACTGTCCGACCAGACGTGGATACACGCGCAGCGGACCTCAGAAATCCCTGGAGATTGGAGGGTGTCCCAAGTACTACTAATGTGTGTTACTGGGTCCGTTCATTCTGTTGCTGAGATTGGAGAGGTATTGGCGTGGCTTCGTGCTTCTCTCACATCACTCGAAGGCAACACCGGCGTCTACACAAGCTACCCTATCATTATAGAAAGGTCTGTTCGAACATCCGAAGCATCGAATCTTCCGGATGTGAGCATGAGAAAATCATGCTCGATCAGGCCAAGCATCGAACGCATTGGATCAGTCCGCAATCAACCCGCCCTCACTGACGTGGCTGACTGTTGGTTGAGCCTGCTGAGCAATGATATTTGCGTCAAAGGATTCCCAACTGCAGGAAGGCCAGCACAACAAACGGGACTCGAGGTCCCCCTCGACATGATGATTGCTCTAGCCGACTGTCAACGATTGGAAAACTTTGCGGGGAAGTTCCTGATCAAGGGGTTTGATTTTGTCATATCGCCAGTGAAGCTGGAAGACAACATCATCTACTGGCACCTACTAGCAAACAAAAAAGGTGAACACATGTCATACACAGACGAGAGAATCTTGGACCTTTGGCGAACTTATCCTCCAAATCTCACTGTCCAGGATCTGGAGTCTTGCCGTCACATTCTGGGTTGGTGTGGCAACGCAGATAATCTTGCCGGTAAGCTTTACTCGTGACACCCTACTTGGGCGCGAACTGCTTTCATCTCTGACCTCATCTAGGTACCTCTGAGGCTTCGTACAGAAATATCGCTGGCTCAGGCCTGGGAGCAGTGCGACCAGGCGTTGTCCTCGAGAAGATCTCCACTTCTTTCGGCATGTACGCAAATTTCGGCGCGTCAGCAACTTTGCTGCGGAGGTCCGCCCCAGTGGCTGGCAGAATCCGAGAAAGATACACGCAGAAGTTGCATTGGATCTCGGAAAAGTTTGTGGTCCTCTACGACCGAGAAGACCAGAGAGCGTGGCTCGTAGACGGCGCCAGCGCGTTGCTTCATCTGGTTCGAACGACTTTGGAACGTGACAGGCAGTCCCAAGATTGGGGTCAATTCTGTCTTTTTCGAGACGGACTGACGCTCACCGAACCCCAGGAATCGCATCGTTTCGCTGGTAGGACTGCAGCACTATTCGTCTTGAACAATGAAAAGAATACCAGTCTTGCGCTATTCGCACAGCCAACGCGAGACGAGCTTACGGAAACTACAACGGCCAATGGGTCGAGTACCACAACTCTGACGAGATCCAAGCAGAATGAATCCTTCTCTGATAGAGTTGAAGATCTTTATAGCGCTTTAGAGAAGGTTGTGGGTCACCATCAAGGCGTCGCTTGTGAGGACGGTATCAAGCTGCGCCTACAACACCCAGCCCGCCGCCGGTTGGAAGGTTACGACTTCATGGACATTGTCACGGGATCAGATCCTTGCTTTCGTTTCGTTGAAATCAGAGCTATGGGCCCAGGCTGGGTGGATCTGATCAGAGCTCTGGGAGCGATCACCCTCTTCGGGACAGGTTTTGGTGATCTTATTCGACCATCCTCCGATAGAGAATCCGGGTGTCCTTCTTGTCTCTTCAACTTTTCAGCACCCAAGAACCAAGAGTACTTGGCAGTCTGCTCGACAGAGCTAAATACCATGCTGGAGAAAAGAGGATTTCAGCACAAAACGCGCCTCTCGACTTTGAGCGAGGGGTTATACTGGGGCGAGCGAGGCGACACATTCCAGCACTGCCAATGTTCTCAGCATTCTACCATGAAGCAGGACCGCATCCAAGTTCTGCTGCGCGATGGACCGGCTTGGTCGACAAAGGGCCTGACGACGCCCACAAGCCTGCCGGAAAGGGGGGCTGTTTTGTTCGGTCATAGTGGGCCTTGGATAGCTGGGTTGGGAAACTACTTGGGGCGTAAAAGGCCGGCCGTGCCAGCTGCCACGATCCATCATACTCCTCAAACGTCTACACAGGATGAGAGTTACTCAATTGTTGGGACTGGCTCCTCTCGGAAACGCAGCAGAGCTTGAGATATCCTCAGAGGTTTTTCGGAGGCTGAAATGGCTAGGACTAGTATAGGAACCTTGAATGATCCCAAACTTAGAATGTTTCCGGCCCTTCCTTAGTGAGGTCACAAAGGTGTTGTCGTCAGGGAGCCATGTTACTTTCTTTGGTTGAGATGGTATTGCATGAGACCGTGTGGGTATATAAAGGGTCTGGCCAGTGCAACGCGCTGGCGATCGCTTCTGCGACATACCCTTATGCCAAACCCCTTCCTTGAAATGGCAAATGGTTCTTGGGGTCCTTGTGTGGCTCAATCTCAACTAATCACACTGTTGATTTGAGCTATGGTATTGTGGCATTGCAACACAGGGACTGCTCAATGGCGGACTCGAGAGTTATGCCCATACTGTGCAAGTTAGCAGCACATTCAAAGGGACGATCTTTCTGGTGGCGAAAGGCTGCCACAAATCAGGTGTCTCAATCCATTCGGTCACAAGAAGCTGCCATTATGGTGATATATCCTTGAAATATTATGTAGTTGCTGCGGATTCCGGAAGTGAGAAGAGGGGGGGGGGGGGGAGGGTGAGGGTCCAAGTGTTTCCCCTATCTCCTTTTTTCTTCTTCTCTCGAGTATTTCTTTTTTCCAGTCATCAAAAAATCTCAAGGACCTATATGGTTCTTAAGGACACTACAGCGTAGATACTTACTCACCTGCGGACTTGCGATTCGTATATCGGATTCTCGATGTATTACGAAAACATAGCATCCCAAATTCTTATAATAAATCCACTGCTACAATTCCTCAATGCAACAAAGTGCTGCCTTGATCCGATGCATGTGTTAGTCAATAAGCTTGTCCTCCAAGACGATCGCAAGACCGCCAAGAAAGATGCGGCATTCATGGGTATCTTGAGCATAAAAAGATGCCCGCCGATCTGAGCATGGCTTGCCAGCTGGTAGAGAGATGTTTTTCAAGTATCGAGATGAGCTCGGCCAAACACTTGAGCAGTTGGATATCGTACAGGCATCATTCAGGGTCTTCCTGAGCCACCTGCTAAGCCAACGCCTGGGGGCTCAAGCAGCCCAACGTTGCCAGGAAACCCGCACGCCACGATATGAAAATTACGATCCTTCTTCGAGTTGCTTTAGGTTACCCTAAGAAATATTCAATAGCATGTTGAATATTCGGTGAGGCCACCACCATGGCAGATCACAGCAACACCTCCGTGACTTGCAGAGATGTACTGTGAGCCGACACGAGGCGCCCACCGGGGCAGGGTCTTGGAGGAGAGAGACTTATAGGAGAGGGACACAAGCAGGCTGGCGACAGTAAGAGATGCGGTCAGCAGTGGTAGTCTTGCTGTAGTAGTGAATATAGAGAAATCCAATTTGGCAATGACCTCAATATCCAAACCTCCACATATGGCACACTGATGTACATAGCTATCTACCTACCCTGCGCGGCAGCAAGGCCAGCGAGCACGAAACAGCGGGGCCCACTCAGCTCAGAGGAACCATGATACGATCCACATCAGGCCCGTACGTCCCATCCGTCTGCGTGATAACCACCGTATTACTACTCCCCGTCGTCAGCCCGCAGGTGACGACGCTGCTCCCAGGGGTATTCCCATCTGCAGTGGGGAGAAACGCAATGTTCTGCTCGACGCCATTGCACGAGACATTGGCGAAGCGCTGCGTGCTGTCGCCGTTCTCGTACTTGATGCGGATGGTCGTCTTGGTCGTGGCATCGCTCTCCACGCCGGTAAAGGTCACCGTGCCGTCGTCGGGCCCTCCGATGTAGCCCGCGGCCTCGCCGCCGCTGCACCCGCTGCAGGTGACGACCGTCGCCCCGTCCGTCAGGGTCGCGTCCTCGCCCTCGGGCCAGGTCTCGCTGGGGCCCTCGGTCCAGTCCCCGCCCGAGGCGACGTTGGGGATCCAGTTGACCTGGTCGGCCATGGTGACGGACGTGCCCGAGATGGTGAGCGGGAGCCACACGTAGGTCGAGGCCATGAGGTTGGTGCTGACCCAGCGGTCGCCCAGGTACATGGTCAGGTCCGAGGAGACGGGCAGGATGTAGTTGGTCTGGGAGGAGTATGTGTCGGTGCCGACGGTGGCGAAGGTGGTCCAGGACGACCAGGGGCCCGCGATGTCGGTTGCGTAGACGTACTCGTTGTCGTTGGGGTCCCATCCTGACAGGTGGGAAGCAAAGAGGTAGTAGTAGCCGTTCTGCTTGAGCATGGCTGGTGCCTCGTAGTCGGCAAATAGATACACGGCTGCCGAGACGTTGAGGTAGTCGGAAGTGAGGCTGTCGATGCGAAGACCATTCACACGCTGTTTATGTCACATTAATGATCAATAACTTCATCATACGTCACAAGTTGTTGGAAGAAGAAGAAGATGAAAGCAATTACTCACATCCTCTGTCAAAAGATACGCAGTCCCATCGTCATCCTGAAACAGACCAATATCCCGGCTCTGATAGCCCAGAGGCTGCCAGCTGCCAAGATAATCATACTTGCCACACACAGAAGTCCCTGTCGCGACGCCGACCTTGGCCTCGGCATAGCTGCTGTCGTCAATGTGCAGCCACAGCACATACTTGCCCGTCGACGAGTTGTAGATGACCTTGGGCCTCTCGACGACCCTGTCCGGGCCTAGGTCGCCCGACGACGTCTGCGACAGCAAGGCGCCCACGTACGTCCACGAGACGAGGTCCGTCGACGAGTAGCAGTTGATGTTCTGGAACGCTGAGCCGTCCGTGTGGTCCTCGCCGATGAGGTAGTACACGCCGTCCTCAACAAACACGCCCGCGCCGTGGGCCTGGATGTGGGCGTCCGTATTGGTCTGCCGAGGTGGTGATGATAATGAATTAGCCTGCTGTGCGATTGGAAACTTGCAGTAGAGCGGAAGTTTGGGAATAAGGGGGAAGATTCTCACTCCTGTCCATGTAGCTCCGGGGACAATCTGAAGAGACGCGCGCGCCAGGCTTGCTGACAGCAATAACAGCAGCAGCGAGGCCGGCTGGCCAAGGAAGAAGCTCAACATCGTGGGTTCTGCGAGCCGATCAAAAATTGCTGAACATGTGCTCTTGTATGAACGCCAAACACACGGCACAGACAGACAATCGTCGTCACTTGCACTCCAGAAGCGAATCTGGGCCCTAAAAAGGACAGATAACCCCCTCCTTTTGTAATTGGCGAACCATCCAAATTCCAATATATGTACAGTTCCATATAAACCACCGTTCCCAACCACAGCGAGAATCAAAGAGGGGAAACAACACCCGGTTTGGCAGCCTCGAGGAAATGCGACCCCATCTATGGCTCCGAGAGCCCCGAAAGCAAAGGCATAGCGGAGCCCAAGACGCCGAGAATGGCAGCTGAAATAAGCCCCACGGCCATTTTTTGAAAAGCCTTTCTCAAAAAATCTCGTGACCTCGACTTGTACAGCAGCTACAATGACATGAAATATGGAGGATTGATTCCGTATAGGTAAGGGTTCGTCTAGGCTCGGCACATAAACAAGGTTTCGTCCAGTAAAGTCTGGGGTACGTTACCACCGCTGGGCCCCCTCCCTCACGCGCTGGTGGAGAAGGCAGTGGGCTCGTGGGTTGGGTGCTCGGCATAATGAGCTGCAAGAGGCTGTCTATCCCGCCAATGATTTGGGGCTGTGACCCCTCAAGGTTGCATTCCAGCACGTCAACTGACGATCCGCTCTAAGCTGACTTCCCGGACATGGAACGGCCGGTCGGCTTGTGCTGGGCCTTGTACGTGTCGTGCAAGAAGCGTGCCAGTAATATGAGGGCGCCAGTTCTCGGGCCTTGCATCGCAGAGGCCACCAATCTGCTGGAGCCTCGGCCTCTTCTTCTTATGTCGTGAGAATTGAAAGTTGGGTGGGGGGACTTCTACCAAAAAGAAGACAATCGGCCAACTGGTGTAGAATTGAATGTATTTCTGGCCAAACACCGCAAGATCATCAGCCTGTGCTTCAGGCTCAGCAATTGCTTTGGCCCTCTCATCCTGAGCACTACCATCAAACTTCATAAAAACACAAGACAACATGCCCCTCGCTATGCCGGCAAATTGACATCCCGTACGCCTGGCAATGGTTCATCCAATGATTTTCTTTTTCTCCCTCCAACTCCAGCTGCCAGCTCAAAAAGGACATCATGAAGTAAGAAATGGCCGCCATGACCTCCTGACAATCACTGTTCACATCATATAAACAAAACAAAAGCGACCAATTTTTGCCATCATCAAGACTTTCACTTTTGGTATCGCAAAACCTTCGTCCCCCAACAAAGAAATAAACTAGAATAAAAATAAAAATATACCATCACCGCATCGTCATGGAGCAGTATGTGTTACCTCTTGAAGTCCCATTTGACCGCTCGGACTTTTCGAGGTCCAGTCTTTCTCAGCTCGAGGCACCTGAGCCTGAGGAACCTAGGGCAGAGAGAGCCGCAGCTACAGTCTGAACGCCCAGGTTTTTCAGGTAGGTTTGCCTAGGTAGAAGGGGCACTTCGGCTCGTCGTCCGCGCCGAGCGTCACGTTGTTCATCTTCTTGCTCCTAGTCATCAGTATCCATGCGGTCGTGCACTGTCGGTGTGGAAGTCGCAACCACGATGGAGTCAGGATCGTCGACCTCGACCTCGACTTTGGTCTTCTGGTCGCGCTCGCTGTTGCGGTTCTCGTCCGCTTCGCTGCGACTGTCCTCTGAACTGCTCTCCTCCACTCTCGGGGAAGACTTGGTCCTGTCCGACACGAGGGAGGTGTTCGCCACGGAGTCACGTCGGATGCTGAACGTGTTTGTGTCTTCTTGCGTGGCGAACTTGTACTCGCCGTTGTCCGTCTGCTCGATGATGCCCTCGGCGAGAGCCCACTTGGCCAGCAGGTTGTCTACGCCAATCTTGAGACCATCACCCTTTTCCATGTGACGACCCACGTGCTCGGTCCACTCGTCCCACGCAGTGTGGCCCTCGAACTCTTTCATGCAGTCCGGTGTAGGGCATGCCACGTGCTCAGGAGGTTCTCTTCGCGTGACCAGACACGATACGTGCATCTCCCGGACGTGGCTCCCCCACTCCGACTCCAGCTTGCTGTCCCCCTTGGTGAGGGCCTTCTTAATGGCAAAGGGGGCATGCATGCGTCGCAGGTGCTGCGTAAACAAGTCCTTGCGGTTGAACTCGTTACCCTTGCCCTCGGCGGCACTCGAGGGGCACTGCGAACAGCGGTAGTATTGGAGACAGAGGTGCTGAGAAGAAATGTGGCGTTTCCACTCGTTCTTGGAGCCGAATGTGCTCATGCAGCCGGCGAAAGAGAATGCACATGGAAACGGCCGCGTGTGGGCGGCGGCGATGTGTTTCCGCAGTGACGACGAGTCCTTGAAAGGTGCGTGCGTGCACATTGAGCACTGAGTATCATACTTGGGCTGGCCTTTGGCCAGCGGCTTCCTCGCGGGCGTGCCTGCCCCCACATACCCATCCATGAGGTCATTGGCGTCGTTGGACGAAGGCGAACGACCCGATCGAGCCTCTGACCGGCCACCAGCGCTCACCGCCCCGTCGCTAGCCTGACGGACGTGGCTCAGCGCCTTGAGCTGTTCGGCCGCCTCCTTCATCTCGGCGCTGTCTACGTCGTTTCTCGTCGCAGGGCCCATTGTAATCGTAGGAGGCACGGGGGCTGAATTGGGAAGTGGATTCCTGGCCGGCGCAACGTGGCGAACCGGCTGCGCGGGCAGAGGGTACATGGAAGTGTGTGAACTCATTGAATCGTGACGGCGCTTGCTGACCTGGCCGCCGTTGCGGGTCTCGACATGGACACGGCCATCGTCCACGGCCCTCTCGTGAACAGGAAGTGCAGTGGCGCTGGAGAGTGCGCGAGGTTGGGGTGAAGATTGAACAAGTCCCTTGTACAGATCGATCATGTTGTGGGAATTGATGTAGCCCAGAAAACAACAAACCTTATCGTGCTGGACCACATTCCAGACAGTTATGGGCATTGATACAAGGAGCATGGTTGGTGGGCCCAGAAACATGCCCTCCATGGTGATCTTAGACGCGAGGGCCGGTGGGTGCTGGAGCCACTGGTTGTAGAAGGCCATGTCCGAGCTAGCATCACCAACGAAGGTGGTGCAGACGAGTACTCTTGCCTCGTCGAAGGTTAGATCAGGTACGGGTGCATTCGTCACAAACGGGAGACCCTGGCTCGAGTGACCATTGGTATGATGAGGATCCTCAGCAGAAGAGCCTCCCTTCTGCTTGAAAGGATATAGGGCAATATGCTCGACCTTTCCTGGCGTCAACGTGAACAAGACAGGAGTCTTCTCGGCAGGTGCTTGTGATCTGGCCCTGCCGCCATTGACGGACCTCGAGGGAACATCTCGCTGTCGTACGCGCAAGATCTCATCGTACAGACGCTGCACCGTGTACGGCCTGCCCAAGCTGCTGAGGTTGTGAAGGGCGGTGGCCAGGTAGCTGGTGAAAGACTGGAGCGGGTAGTCAGGGGTGGGCTGGCCTGGGCTATACGCAGCAATAGCCTGTTTTGTACCATGGCTGCCAGCGTGTGGGGAGTCGTGGACAGCACAGGTGTCAAGAAGCAGGAGGATATCAGACTGAGCATCCTCAAAGAGGCAGCGCACACCACCCCACTTCAGTCGACATGCATCCTCTCGAGTATTGTTGCTAGATGCTGTCAGCATGTCTTTCTTGTTGTGGAATCTTGCATGCAAGATAGGACAGGTGAGATGTATACCTTGCCCAGTATACCTGTTTGTCAGGGCCGACATAGCTGTGGCCAGCATAGTAGATAATCAAGAGGTGGTCACTGCGGGCATGCTCGATGAAGGAGGCCATCTGGACGCTCAACTTGATGCTGGGGTTGGGACAGGTAGGTATTGCCCATTTGTCAGTGTGGTAGTTGTATCTCTCTCGAAACACCTTTTCCAGGTTGAGCACCTCGCGCTCCATAGCTGTATCCTCATCCCAGCGCAGCAGCAGCACCGAGGCATTCTTGTAGGGTGGTCGTCTTTGCATCTTGCCATAGATGTGCATGGCAGCATCTTGTAGATGTCTGGCAAAGGACTCAAACTCGTGGCGTTCGGGTGGGGAAGGCTCTTGGACTGGGTAGTGTGGACGCGACTGTATGGCGCAAAAGAAAGTTAGTCATGTCATGTCAAATAAACACAGCAAGAATTGCCGGGGGGCGGGGGACACGAACCTGCTCAGCAGCAAATTGAGCCTGCTGGGGAGTTACAGTAGGAGTGGGCATGGATGCTGCAGCAGCTGCCGCAGAGACAGGAGAGGCTGTTGTTGGTGGTGCAGCCTGAGGCGCGCTGTGAGGAGGGGGAAGTTCGGCTACCTTAGGCGCGAGCCTCCGTCGCTTATTAGGAGGGTCCATTGTGTATGGCGGTTGCGAGGATCAATGTATGTACAAATTCAAGGGAGATAAAGGAGTGGGTTGTGGAAGGAAAGGAGAGAAAAAGAATAATTGTCCAAAGGAGGAGGTATCGTGTGTGAGGTTGGGACAATTAGGTGGTGGTGAATTGCTTGGTCGGGAGAAAGGGTGGTGGTGGTGGGCGGATTGGGAAAGATGGAGAGAGGTTGGAAGAACAAGGCTGCCCGCCTCGAGGGAGGGCTGTGGCCGCCAGAAAAGACAGTGCTAAGGAAAATCAGCGGTGGAGCTAAACTCTCGCTGATGTACCAGTGACCTTGGAGTTGAAGCGGGGCTTGCTGCAGGGGTGGGGTCAGTGGCCCTTCCAAAAAGGATGCCTCCGCCTCGGCTCAATTATTTGGCTGGCGGGCCTCTGGCACAGATAATGCAAGCAGCCCAAGGAATAAGGGGGAGACAGAAGGTAGTAAACAAAAAGAAAGGGAGTAAAATTTGCTATATAATGGGTGAGTCTCAAGGTTGAGAGATTCTTCATCATGGCCTTATTCATTCAGACACAATATTTGTCTGCCTGCTAGAGCAAGGCTGATCGAGGATGTCCTCACGTCACACAACCCGCTGGCCACCTCGTTGTCCCTTTGCATTCCCATACAATATACAATATCGACTGGTGCACAGCTCAGGTTCTCACCTTGATGGTCAGTACATCCTGGCCTGCATTTATCTTCTTATTTCAGAAAAAAAGTGATAGTCCAAATCAAGATAAAATGAGAAATAAAATACAGCAGGAATTTTCTGCTGGGTGAAAAGAAGATCTAAGTGCTGTTTACATACTTCTCAAATATTTAAGATGTGCTTTTCTTTTTCCTTTTTGCAGCCTCAAGTCGCAGGTTTTCCGAGGCTTGTGTGTGCACAGCCGTGTGTGAGTAAGTGTGCCCAGTCCAAGTCAGACGGGAACAAGGCCAGACAACAACGAACGGACAGAAGAGACACAGACACAAAACACACAGACATACCCGGCAGCCCTGCTGTAGGCGAGTTCCACACCCTTCCCTTACCCCTCTAAGGCTGCTCGGCAACAAGTACCAGGTACATGGCGGTGGGAGCCCAATCACAAGGCACAGTGAGAGCCCAGCCAATCACTGGGCAGCCTGCGGCCTCGCCCGATCCACACTATAGCAGCTTCTCCTCATCTGGCCTGGACCATGGCCCCGTGGCCCCTCTTGTTGCAAAGTCTTCCAATCAGACTTGGGCAAATCATGCCGGGCTGCAGGCTGCAGTAACAGTGCAGCAACCTTGGATGGCCTCTGGTGCGTTAGCCTAGGCCTCTCGCCTACCGTTTTGTCGTGCCATGCCACTCATGCAAATGCATCATCCTCGGCCACGTCAACCACATATGTCCCTCTTGGCCCTAGCATGGTCCTATTTTCTCTCGGCAAAGAGCTCTTGCGAATTGCCCGTTTGCCTCCCCCTCTTTCTGTTTGTTCATCTCCAGCCATCCTTGCTTTGTTTTATTTTCCCCCCTCTACTATGGTGTCTCTTGCTCACACACTCTTCCCTTATTTCCCCCTTCTCTACATTTGCCGTGGTCCTGTTGGGGTTTTTTCTTCTTTCTTTCTCCTTCCAGTGAGAGATGTAAAACTCTCTCTGCCAGCGACTGCATCAAATTGTTCCTTTACTACGACTTACACACTTTTACCACCACTATTCACTACTACTACTACTACCACTAATAAAAACTCCACCCAGATTTTATCCTTTCACAGCCCTCCCGCGCCACCGCTCGACCTAGGTGCTAGGTACTAAGGCGAGCTGCCCGCCTGGGTGATCAAAGCGGCAAGTGTCAGCCGTGGCTCCAACCTAGAAGATCAAGCCCCGATTCAGAAACGAAGAATGGCTATTCCTCTTTTCTTCTTTTTGTGGGGAAGGGACCGGGCACTTTTTACGACATGGGCAGAAAATGAAAAAGGGAGGGTTGCACCGCATAACGCAATCGTTCAATCAGCCAATGGCCGAATCATTGATTCTCTCACCTCTGGGAATAATCAGCCTATCCGCGGATTCCCCCTCTCCCCGCCGCCCCGACGAAGCTTTTCCCACACCAGCCTGCAAAGAATTAGGCAAGTTACCCCCTCCGAGAACCCATGTTCCTCTCTCGTATGTCTCGCTCTGCTCTTCTCGTGCCCTTGCTATAGTAGTAGTAACCTTCTGCATCCCCATTTCCCACGTGCATTATCTTGCCCTCATCATTCCATCATCCACCTATCACGACCCGCCTTCTCACCCGATCCAACACACCGCCAACCGCCACCCAGCTATATACGGGCCAATGAGACATGATTATTTCTGTGGGACCACGTTAAGATCATCTTGCGAGACATGGCTGTAGGCGAAACTGCCGAATTTAATGTATCATTTGACGGTGCACGCGCTTGGCTAGCCCTCCCAGAAAACCGTGATCTGTCATGCCATTGTTGCTGCTGTTGACAGAAACATGACGTATGTGGAATCAGCAAGCAGTCACTCAGACACATAAACATACACACACCGTTGACCGGTCGTAAGATCAAAGTTGAGGAGAGGGCGCGTAATAAAAAAAGGGTCTTGGAGGGTACTATTTCTTAGAGTTGATGAGAGTTGATGAAAATTGAAGCAGTGAGGTGCATAGAAGGCGATGACCTATACTGTGACCCCAGGATGTCCGCCCCTTCATTTCTGTCCGATCATAGACCAATGCAAACCTCGGGAGCTCCAAGGGCTTCTTGAGGGGAGCAGATTGTTGCGTCCTTGAGATTCGATGGGTCATTTCCTCTCGCACAGCCAGTTCCTGGCGTACTGAGACCCTCTCCAGGGACAGTGTCCCGGTCCTGCTCAGGATGACTGGCTATCATGTCGCATATTTTCATAGCTGTACACATACACCATTCCTCACCATTTTTCAAGGTTCATAGTCTCATACGTCCTGATCAGATGCATCCTCAATATCCCTCTACATCTTTTGGAAATTCCCTCGGCCTAGAACACCATTCACTGGGGGTGCAGCCATCACTTCTACCTACTTACTCAAGTGAGCAGGCACTTGGCTTCTAGCCTCTGCGGCCGGGCAAGAATAATCGAGCGTGCAGCCTGACTCCCACACCAGTCTGTCCATACCAAGTGTCGATGGGATACATGGCACAGAGCCAGGCAGGAAATTCAATTGCAATTGGCATAAGGCCTTCGTGCCATTCGCTTGTGCCAGTGGTCAGACATTATGGACGATACACATCTTGATGATTTTGCGCTTGTCCTTCCCTACCTGAGCAGAAATATCACCCGATATCTCTCTGCCGTGCCCAGACAGCTTACGCTGCCCGTCCTGTATATCGTTCAGGATTTCAGCCTCGTCTCATCATCAGACGATTTGCCTATTTTCGAAGGGCGAGTGGCGAGAAGCCACGGCTATATTGATCCAGTTGATGGGATCTCCAGACAACAAGGCGAATTCTGTGTGTGCCAGCCACCGACTACAAGCATTGAGGGCATCCCGAAGAAGGGTCTGGGAAGACTGCGCCTCCAATCTTTGGCCTCGGATCTGACTCATGCCTTTGGCTCAGAATAGATTTCATGAGCTCTTCAATCATCATTAATACTTGGTAAGCACCAAGGGACAAGACACAACTTGCACTGGTGCATTGAGAAGCTAAGACAAGCGCCGGAACAGCCGCCAATACGCACTCTCGGATAGGTGTGGTTGAGATCTCCTTCAACTAGATTATACTCTGAGGCGTCATGAAGGTGACTTCAGCATCGAGAACTTAGGACTACGCACCCATGCTGATCCGAAGCTCATAGCAACGACTCGTAGCATCACCGAAGGGCATGTTGCCACCCCGTCCAAGAATGCCTCATTTTGTGGAAAGGCTACATTTGCGATCTACCTGATAGAATCAATTGTGCCTTTGGTCGTACGGAAGCATTCGACTCTATATTGAAAGTTTCCGACGAAGCGGCCAGAAGATGACAGTGTTATAACAGTCATAGAGTGAAGTCTGCGCGTGGCCGGGAGAGCTCACAACTTCAGAAAGAGGCTTGAGTGTGGCAGCTATGTTGGTACATCTGAGTCTCTACTGGACCGAACACATCAGAACCCTTGAAGTGCGGCCGTAGGCGGCCCAAAACACCTGCTCTTGGAGAACTCTACCAGTAAAGCAGACAAGGACTTTGAAATGAACACAGTGGGCCTGTGTCGGGAGCAGTAAATGTCCAAAAAGACATTCAATCAGCATGCACGTACCCCAAACTATTCAGCAGTTGTCTGAGTGTGACTGTCGCTCTTGGGATTGCTCAGCCAGCAATTCGCTATCGAGACTTGAATGAACTGATGCTAAGAACCCAGTCTCTGCATTGTGTAGCCTTTGACATGTCCTCATATCTGCACAATAATTTAGACTAAGCAAACTGAATGAATGACTTGATTTAGGAGCAATATCACTATTAAGTTTAAGGGAATCAAGACGAAATTCATGGGCCCAAGCTTTGCATTCACGTCTCCGTGATGAGGAGAGCTTGGTTATACAGCCATTCACAAATCTACAACATGAGCATGCCCTGCTCATAAATGAACTGCATCACTTATCTCAAGGACTCTTCTCTTCATTATAAGACCAATACTTGGCATTTTATGTTCCATATAAGCCAAAAAGTCAATGATAACACTGACTTTGCCCCGCTGTCATGGGTTGAGACGTGTACATCCCAAATCCTGCTTCTGATGCGTATAATCTAGAACCCTTGGAGGGGCCAATATCTTGATAAAGCGGCCCATACAATAAAAACCGTCTTCTCCTCATGTTTTAGGCCATCTGACACAAGTACTAGTCATCCACTCCCAGTCCGGATTCATAAATTCGCTGCGATTTCACCAGGGGAGGGACAAGACATTTGGGTACCGCATCGTACACCTTGTATGATCCTATATCCTTTCGCCTTCCCTTATTTGAACGCTGTTGAATAGGTTTGGTTCGAAGCCAAACGGCGCAGAGGAGATCTCAAGCCTGTGTGCTTTGGCGCACTGCAGGGGTTAAAGAGGCTGACCAATCATCTTATACGGATTGCCACTGACCCACCTTTTTGTGCACCTTGATTCAGAGCCTTGATCAACTTGTTTCCTGAACTTCAAGTAGGACAGCAGCATATTATGATGGGTCACGTGCTATCTCGAAAGTATTGATTATCAATAGCAGTCTCAATAAAATGGACTCATATGGGTGGCAAAGCTGGCAATTCTAATCAGATGGGCTGAACTAACCTACTTAAGTAGTCCCTTGAATTGTGTCCTCTAGCATAGCCTCCCTACAGCACAGCAATGCAGTCACAAAGTTCTTAGAAGCTTTTTATTTGACTGGTAGTCGAAGAGCTAGTCCTTTCTCACATGCATAACTTAACAATGAATTGGATAAGCTCAAACGTAGACCTAGAATACAATGTTGCGCAAACATCAGACCCACACCAAGACATCATCTCCACCATACAGAGTGTACACGCCTTATTGAGGAGCAGCTGGTACTACTGGCAAGCGTACAATGTGCATTTATGTTACATTTGTTGAGAAACCTAAGCGGTTAATGGATTATGCAGCTTGATGAGATGTACGTTCGGTGTTGAATTGAAATCCACTTTCTTTAGTATTTTTATTGCGCATCGAAATTGTCATCAATTCGTTTTTGGAAAGATCACAACCATCCGCAAGGTCAGATTCTTCCCTGATGAAATATCTTGAACATTGGATATGTACCATCACTCGAGTTGCTGTCCACTGATCAGAACCTTAATGTGCTACGGACAGTCAAGCGTATGGTAGGATCTGTCGGGTTTCCCTCGCCCGGTAGAAGAATCTGAAGAAGTCGAAAGCCAAAGGGAGACAAGAAGAAGAAAGACAAGAGAAGAAAAAGGAAGAACGAAAAGAAGAGGAAAAAAAGGCCCGCGGGCGGGCAAGGAGGGTAACGCGACGGTACATGTAAGTTTGGCATGTCCGTGGGAGTATGAAAGAGAAGCCCAGTTCCACTTTGCGACATCTTATCAAAAATGAAAGCAGCGCGACAGGAAATTCGCCGTAATCGTTATCCAATTAACTACATGGCAGTATGCCTACTATGTGAAGCCAAATACTCCCAGCTGGAGACACTGGCAGTAGCACAGCTTGAGTTGCAACTTCTCTCCCGCATGGCTTATGCAGAATTTTATGTTGCAATCCTCCAGAGAACCTGATCAACGGCATCTTCTTCATCTTTCCACGCCTACAAGCTAGAAATTAATTCTATTATGTGAATGAGCAGTCACTGAATGAGTTGTCAGAGGTGTTCAATATTCTGGTTTTGTGATGATTAGATCAACGAAAGTCGAGCACCGAGACCATGAGCAATCTCGACGAGATAAGGGTTTATGAAGACAAGCGTGCGATAATAGTTTGGACACCTACTACTCATGCTGACAGCTATCTTGAATCCTGTCATCTCTTGTCTGATGCTCTCGTTTTTCCGAGTACAGTACATCAAGAGTTGTTTGTATTGTGAATCCATGTTGGGACATAATGACATCTTACTCGGTCAAATGTGATATCCGTCGTTAGGGGCGTCAGAATTACTGACAGGACAATTAAAATCCCGTACAAAACTTACTGTCTTGCAGATGGTACGATGAGGGCTAGGGCTGATTGCGGGGGTGGGAGTACCAAAGATACAGCATGCTTGGAAGACCGATCCAGTCCATGACTCCAACCCCCCCCCCCCCCCGAGAACAAAACGAGAGGCATAAAACTACGCGATGTCACGCCAGAGCCTTGGTAGCATTTGGAGAATGTCTATGAGCATGACAGAGGTAACTGCCCAACCTCTTTATCAGGAGACAGCGACCGGGAACAGACAGGCGGGGGTTTGGTCTTCGAAACGTGGTGCCGCATCTGTAATCCAGCCCAGCAACGACACCGCTACTTACACATATTCCTATTATTTACATATCAAGTCTATCTTGCACGGATCTGCCTCTTCCTGCAAAGTAGCACTCATCATGGCAATGGCAGGAGAAGACGAGGTCAAACAGAGCCCAGAGGTCTTCCTGGATGCAGAGAAGCAGACACCCGTGGTCTGGGATACCGAGGCCGAGAAGAAGCTGAGGTGGAAGTGCGATCTTCATGTGCTGCCATGTATCTCGCACCTATTCGCCCTGGCCTTCCTTGACAGAACAAACATTGGTGAGCCTTTTGGTATAAACAACGAAAAGAAGACTATAGGCGCAACAGCTGACTTGAACCCCCAAGGCAACGCAAAGATCCAGGGCATGGTGCAGGATCTGAACATGACAGGCCATGACTACAATATCGCGCTTTTCGCATTCTTCGTCCCGTATATCCTCTTCGAGGTCCCAAGCAACATCATCATAAAAAGAATTGCCCCTTCGACATGGCTGAGCATCATCATGGTGCTTTGGGGTAGGTGGCATCAATGTTGAAAGCAAATTTGGCTCAGCTGCTCTGCTTGGCTGACTGGCGACGGGGCTCTTCGTTAGGAATTGCGACTGTTGGCCAAGGACTGGTCGATACCGTTGGAGGACTCATTGCGTGTCGGTTTCTGCTCGGCCTTTTTGAGGCTGGCGTGTTCCCCGGTGAGCAGTGGAACCAGGTCTGTACCCATGTTCCGGGCCATCATCTCACTGACCTTTTGTTTAGGCTGTGTCTACCTGATCAGCATGTACTATACGCGGTTCGAACTGCAATGGAGACTCTCTCTGTTCTTCTCTGCAAGTATCGTTTCCAGCGCCGTGTCCGGCCTTCTGGCGTATGCGATTGCGGATATGAAGGGAGTAGGCGGTTATAACGCCTGGAGATGGCAAGCGATCCCGGAATCCTCCTATTCCAGTTGTCACTAGAAGGAGGGAAGCATTATTGACGAGTTATCTTCCAGGATCTTCATTATCGAGGGGTTATTTACCGTGGTGGTGGGCGCCCTTTCGAAGTTCTTCACAGCAGACTGGCCAGAGACCGCGTCGTTTCTCAATGATGAAGAGCGGGCGATACTCGTGGCTCGACTCGCAAAAGATCACGGTGCTGCCAGGATGGACCATCTCGACAAGCAAGCATGCAAGCGCGCATTCAGCGACTGGAAGATATACTGCAGTATACTGCAGTATCTGGGTATCGTGAACACGGGTTACTCGGGATCAGTAAGGCACATCAACAGGCCTAAACCTTCCATTTCTGGGCCAGTCAGACTAACGTCCTTCTTTTTCTCCCTTCAAAGTTCTTCGTCCCCACGATCATCGAGGAGCTAGGCTACGAAGCTCAACAGGCACAAGCCCGAAGCGTCCCGATCTTCCTCGTGGCAGCAGTCCTGTGCCTCATCACGGCGTACCTCACGGACAGGCTACAGCACAGATACGCATTCACGATGTTGGGGGTGCTGGTGGCTACGGTGGGCTACGTGCTCCTGCTCTGCCAGCAGCACATCTCGGTCGGGGTGCAGTACTTTGCACTGTTCCTCATCGTGGGTGGTGGCTTCACGACGCAGCCGGTTACTCTGGCGTGGCTGTCCAACAACGTCAGCGGGCACTACAAACGGGCCATCGCCTCGGCGATGCAGGTTGGGTTTGGCAACTGCGGTGGAATCGTGGCTAGCAATATCTTTGTGCAGGCGGAGCAGCCTCTGTATCGGACCGGGTACGGAACCAGTCTCGGGTTGGTGTGGTTGTGTGGGATTGCCTGTACGGTGATGTTCTTTGGGGTGTTGCACGAGAATAGGAAGAGGCACCGTGGGGACAGAGATTGGAGGTTGGAAGAGGCTGATGTTGATAACATGGGCGATGATCATCCGTCGTGGAGATTTTCGACATGAGAAAGGGTGTGTTTGCATGTTGTTATCGCACAGTCTTGGGGAGAGGCTTGAAATCATGAGGTTTATGATCGATGGATAAATAAGCGACAGACTTCCTTTAAATCTGCTTAAAGAAGAGAAGGGCATATACGATAAAAGAGGCTTATCAAGGTCAAAAGTAGTTTTGTCTCATCGCCTGGCTAGGCGATTAATTATGTAAGAATGAATAGGGAACAACAAAAATAAGTGAGACAGGTTTGCCCAATGTGCGTAACCAAGATGGTCATCCATGCAAGCCCTTCAAAAGGCCCCCGCACGGGATCGTAGATAATTCGGGCAGTAGTAACATAAAAGCAGTATACAGTAGTATACTTCTCCTCTCAAGGAGAAATGTCGGGATCTAGATGATAGACTGGCTCCATCAGCTTGGTTTGTTGGCAACCTTATCTCGCCCGTCCCACGCGGCCGATCTATTATCTTTCCCCTCGTTTTCTTGTTTGGTCTTTACTGCCCCAACACACACGAGCCATTCCCCGCAGCCGCCGCCGCCTTTCTCTCTCTCTCTCTCTCTCTCCTCAGCTTGGCTTAAGTACTAAGTAATTTAGTACTGTGTAACTGTAGTAGCGGCAATGGCCTATCTCGGAGGAGGCACGCCTCGTATGATTTGGCGACAAACTTATCATCAGACCAAACTTCTCTCAGTCCAGGCCAGCGAGGCACAGGCATGGAGCTACTAATTATGGCACCCGCCGATCCTGGGTGCAGATAGTCATTGCGATTACGGCCTTGCTCATACTACATAGAAATGACGGCTGCTATCGCGAAGTTTGTTATTTAAATAACACATTTGCCAGCATATGTACTCGTCTAAGTAATAGTAGTCATCCTTCTTCTTTCTGCTCGTCTACCTCTATCTCCCTCCCTCCCTCTTCTCTTTCAATCAAGTATCCACTTGTTGTTAAGGCAAGATGGCAGTTGCATCCACCAAATCCACCCTCTATGCCCTCTTCTTCCTCATCGCCGTCGTCTCCCTCGTGGCCGCACGTTTTCTAACGAGGAGGCCTGCAAGCCGACAACCCGACCAACTATCAGGCACAAAAACCCCTGAAAAAAGCAAAACAGGACGTATCCCAGGCGAATGGACCCCCAGCACCTTTGTCACGCCCAAACCTGCTCCTTACCAGGACTGGTCCATCGAGACCACCAAACCCCTCCCCTACAGGGCCTTCCGGCACGGTCCCAAGTACAATGTGACCATGGGCCTGCGGTCGGTGCAGTTCGAGGACTGGATCCAGCTGGACAACCACTTCCCGCGCTACCACGCCGATAAGGCCAGGCGCATCGCCGAGCGCGGAGAGAAGTGCTGCCGCACGGCGCCCGAGGCGTTCCCCGCGGCCGTGGAGCTGCTCGAGGAGCTGACCGAGTACCTACCAGCGCGGTACCCCTCGCTGTACCGGCGGACAGACGTAGGGCTGGACAACATCTGGTCGGGCGAGTCGTTCAACATCGTGGAGCGGCCCCTCAAGGAGGACCCCATCGTCATGTGCGCGCGTCTGGTGCAGGACGACCTGGCGCTCATGTTTGAGCGGCCCGACGGGCAGTACTACCTGCTCGCGGGCGCGATCCTGCTCGCCGGGTTCTGGCGGCTGGAGGACAAGGTCGGGATGCCGCTGTCGGAAATCCACACGTCGGGCGAGGTGCCGCAGTACAAGGAGAAGCTCGAGAAGGGCATGATGAGCTTCTTCAGGCGGCTCAAGTGCGAGGACCTGTACGCGCGCAACAACTACTTCATCCAGGTGGACGACGACCTCGCGTGGAGCTGGAGCATCGGGTCCGAGGACTCTGCCGACATCAGCTGGAACACGGCCGAGAAGAACCGCGCCGTCGAGCACCACTTCTTCCGGTCCGAGAGGCAGACGCTGCGGAGGCTTCCCAAGACTGGGGCCGTGGTGTTTACGATTCGGACGTATTTCCACCCCGTCACGGATATTGCGCAGGAGGACTATGTGCCGGGGAGGCTGGCCAGTGCGGTGAGGAGCTGGGGGTCGGATGTCAGGAAGTACAAGGGGGCGGATAAGTATGGTGAGGTCTTGCTGGAGTATCTGGATCAGGAACATCAGAAGCAACTTGATCGTGGCTTGGATATGTCCAAGGAGGATGAGGTTAGACAGTATCCATGGTGAGTGAGTGAGGTAAGCCGAGGAGGAGTTGGGGTTGCATGGTTGGATTGGATATCATGACCAAATACCACGCTGGATAAATTCAGACCAGAAATTGAGAACCATAGTTCAGAAAAAGGAATGTAGAGAATTTATCCTTCGTACCTATCTGAGCTTTGCTTATCTACATATCATTCTCTCTTTACATTTGTTCTTCCTCAACTCGTCAGGTGCACCAGAACAGCCGAGCTCTGATATACCTCAATGGACACAGACCCATCCACCACGTCCAAGGCCTGCGAGTCATCCCTCACCCCCTTGACCTCCAGCCCAGCGCTCTCATAGGTCCACTGGCTGCCTGCGTATGTGATGGAGTCTGCACTCCCGCCAGCACCAAGCGGGCTGCTCAGCAGGTCGACGGTCACGCTCGTGACACCATCCGGAACACTGACGGTGATGTTCTGGCTGGCCCTGGCCGTGGTCGAGCTCGAGCTGTTCCAGTAATTCAAGTTGACAAATGCAAGCCGCGCGGGGACGCCGTCCTCGAACGCCGCGTACCCGGCCCAGTTCCCCGTGGACTCGTCCTCGATGTCCAGCGCGGCCACCTGCGCGGTGCCGCTGCTGCCTACAAAGTCCGTCACGAACGGCTGCGCGTAGTAGCTGGCAAACACCTGCGGCTGGCTGGTGCCCGACGCCTGGGGCAGCCACAGGTCGAACCCGCTGTGCATGATCTGCTGGAAGTTGAAGCGGGCCACGCCGATGCTCAGGGCGTACAGCTGGAAGTCCACCTGCCACAGGGCGGAGCCCAGGACGGCCTGGTAGGCGTAGTCGTGCGTTGGGTTCAGCGAGTTGCCGATCTCGGACAGGATGTAGGGGATGTCGGGCTTGTTGGCCTGCAGCCAGGCGATGGCGGGCTTGAACAGGTCAAGGTGCGCCGTGATGGAGCTGTGCGTCATCAGCCCGGTCGCCAGGGTCGAGGCGCTGCCGCCGTCGGTCTGGTAGTAGTGATGGGCCACCGTCTTGACGATGTTGTCATCATCGATCCCCAGGCCGAAGCCCGTGGGAACGTCCAGGACCCATGCATCTGAGTCGTCGAAGTGGGCACTTGTGTCAAAGGCCTGGAAGAAGGGCTCTGAGGAGGTGAGATTCACAGCATCCGCGATGGCTGCTGCGTACTTGGTGAAGTTCCCAACGTAGCTCTCGTTGGTCTGCGCCGCCTGGTAGGTGGGCGGGTCCAGGCCCGTGGCTGGGTACAGGTCTGCTTCGTTTCCTGGCTCGAACGAGTGGATCTTGTCGATCCCAATCGCCTCGACCACCGTCGTCGCCCACAGGACTGTCTCGTCGACATCTGTGATGGCCATCGGAGTCTGGATGATGTACTGTGCATTTGCGAAGTTCTTGGTCAGCTCCCAGTACGAGGGCCCAATTGTTGTGCCCCCGATATCTTGGTAGTTGTAGACCTCAGCACGAGGCAGTGCTGGGTCGGTCTGGTTTTCGATATAATACGCATAGTCGGCTCTTTTGTATTGGGGGAGTCAGCAATGAGAAGAATATTCAACTAAGCTTCAACGCAAAAGAAAAGGAAGAAGACGAGAGAAACTCACGAGGTTCCGCCTAGCCTGATCAGGGGCTTTCCGCCAGTACGGTTGGTGATGGCAGCAATCAGGTTGATGGAGAACTCATTTGCGTTCCCGTCAGCGTCTAGAGCATAGTTCCAGAGCGAGGCCTGCTCAAAGGCAAACCCAGCAAAGTCCGGGTCGACAATGCCCGACGCATTCGAAGGCACACTAGAGGGAACAGAGACATAAGGCTGGGCCGCTGTACAAGCCGTCAGCCATGCGAGGACCTGCTGCAGGTATCGAGGGACCTTGTTGGACGCCATCTCAACCGCTCTATCTAGCACTGCCTGATTAGAGGAACTAGCAGAGCTCATGGTAGCTGCTTCTGCCCCTCCTCCTTCTCCTTGGTTGAGGTTCATATAAATAGGATTTCGAGATGAGCAGCAGCTAGGAACCAGGAGCACGTCTTCTGTTGGACGCATGGCGACGTAAACATGCATGTGGCTTCGGCAACTCCCCGCCACAGCGGCACTGGGTCTTGTAGCCCTGGACCAACTTGTCCCAAATTGCCTTGATGATTGGTCTAAAGAATGGTCTGCTGTGCTCACCCAGGCATCACGCGATTCGAACTGCAGCAAGCCCCCCCAGTCGCAGTGGCATGGGATTCAGCTCAGTGCGGTGAGGGGAGGGATAGCACTACACATAGTATTAGGTACTGTACATCCAATACGGGAAATAGAAAGGAGGAGGTTGGGGATTTCCGACCCGTGAGAGAGGGGTGGAGAGGGAGGCTCTGACGCTATGACATACGGTTCGCGTCTGTGTGTCCTCCTTGAATAGTACAATAATACAAGACCTTCGAGGTCAAAGGAGGTGTGAGTTCATCCCTGACCTTATCGGATGTCGGAATAAAATCCCCGCAAGTCGGTCTCACGTCTTAGACAGGGGCATGGCACGTCATCGGACCCGCAGCATCGATGGTATGCAATCGATAGTTGATGAAGAGTACTATAGTAGAAGAGTAGAACGAGACAAGGCAGAAGTTCTGGGTTCGGATCCTGTTGCAGTAAGAAATCGCCTGATCCTCAGTGCAGTGGCTCTGTCAAGTCTGGCAGAAGAGAATCACCAGAATTTCTCAGTTTGTGCCAGGCACAGCTCGCATGCAGTGCCGGGTCTTTCATTTGCGACAAGGCACCCCTGAACCCAGGATCCTACTTTTCGTTTTCTTTTCTGTTTCTTTTCTTCTGGAGAACAAAGCATACACCGCCGTCCGGGTTACATCAGCCGATATAATAAAGTCCGCAGAACAGGACGAACGTGGAGACCAGGACGACGCGCGTCTACGTACCCAGGTAAGTAAGTACTTTCAAGCAAATGACAGGGCCAAAAGGCTAATCATAACTATTCTGGCCAGGGGAAATTATCCTTCATGCCATAAACTGGGTAGATAGTATTGTGTACATATCTCAATCTCCCAAACTACACTCAGTTTCGCTGGAGCATAATTTATGATAGATCAACGAACCTACATTCATAGAGCCAATTCTTATTCAACCATCTTGGTGAAGATCCCTCCCTCTCCTTGATAATAAAATCAAGCCACTCACCAAACAATTCGGCTGTGTGCGTGTGGCTTTGGCTGAGGAGGTGTAGACTATACAGATCTGTGTGAGCTAAGCATTACATGGCTCGGTACAATGCGCATAAATGATTTCTGGAAAGGTAAAATCTCTGGTAGGGCCAAGATTACTATAGATCTCTTAATAAATATAGGTCATGGATGCTGAAATGGATGGTATATCTCTGAGGCCCTATTGATTTTCCATCCACATGCAATTTATGGACTTCTCTGAGGAATGGAATTTCTCTTGAGAAGTCTCTCGACCTAATGTGGCAGAGCAGTAGTAGGAGTGCATTTCTTGAATGCATAGTACCTGATGTTAAGCAGAGGAGACACAAGAACTGAGGCGAACCGTCAAGCATCATATAAACTCTGCTCAACTTTGAAAAATTATATCGCATTTATAGTTCCTGGGTGTAGTTTGTGGAGCTATGTATATGAATGTATATATATATATCTATAGTTTACTTAATTCTGACGTATCCCCTATCTTGGTCTGCCTCTTCAAAGATCTGTGTCTGTGATTTAGAAGTACACATTGAACAAGATGATGACCTGCGCGGGGTATGGACCATGGTTTTGGCAGTGGCTTGATTGTATGTGTTGAGATGAATGGTCTGACCAGCACAAAATTTGCTTTGAAATACTTCAGACTGTCAGTGAAGAGTGTCAACGATCACATTGCTAGCTCCAGTGCTTCCTGAAGAGTATGTTGACCGACTCTGAGCTCAAGAAAATGCTGTTCTCGAGATATTGACTATGGATAGCTCTGGTAATTCACCAGGTAAGCGAGGAATCTCTTGCTATTCCTTTCTTTTCCTATTTCCATCTCCTTTCGCTCCCGTGTCTCTTCCTCGCACAAGGCTGCAATGTGAACATCGCAAACCGAACCGCTTTGAATCCCTGACCTAAGCCAAAAATCCCATCTCTGACGGGCGTATTTCGAGGTGCATTCCTTATCACGCTGCTCCACCCTCAACGCACTGCACGAATCAGCAGATACAGGGCAGATGCAGTGTTTGATAGTTGCTACACGTCCCACTAGCCGGCGTGTCGCTGCCCGTCTGGAGGTAGACCTGCCAGTAGTCCGCATCCAGCTCGCAGGCGAGGAAATTCAGTTCTGTGCACAGAAGACCCAGTCAGCCTAGCCTCATACCCTCTTTCCATTGCCAGCATCACTCCCTCGGGTCAAGTCTTTCAAGGAAACCCGGCTCTTCCCTTCTCCACTTCCTCGATTTCTCTCTCTCTCTCTCTCAAAAAAAAGAACAAATAAAAAGACCAGAGAGCGACTGAAGGGAAACAGCAGGGCGAGAAGCCGGAAGGGGCTATCATCAGTTGGATATCAAGCTATTGTTGCGACTCACGTCTTCCATATATACTCGTTTCTGCCGTGACAATCGTGTCTCCCTCGAGTGTCCACTCGCTCATCGTAGCAGCAGCCCCAAAGGTAAGCGTCTTATACGACGTCGTGTCATTTCCCACGTTCAGGTACAAGGATGAATTCGTCGACTGGATCGTTCCGTTGACAGTAAAGTACTCGGACGTCGTCTCCGGGCCTACTGTGGCGAGGGTATCTTTGAGATCATATACGCCGTCAGCCTTCTTTGGGAGTGCGCGCTGCTCGATGGATGGTTTCCACTCATGTGAGATGTCTCCTTTCTGTGGTTCTCTATAACTCCCCCAAATTTGTGTTGGTGGGTGGTGCAGTGTTAAGGCGAGGGGAACCTACTGTTTCCAGAGTAGGCCTGCAAGTAGTAATGCAAGATTGGATCCTCAACCGAGCGAATTTGCTGCGGTTCCGCCAGCGCAGCGAAAGGAAGCGCCAGCGTGACGAGCAGTGCAGGCAACATCGTGAGGTGGCTGTGTGGGCGCAACAATAAAACTATCGAGGAAGAAACAAAAGAGAGAGAGAGAGAGGCGGTTCAGGCTGCGAACACAAGAGCAGGGGGTATAGAGCGGCTCTGTTACTTATAGACCGGACTACTAAAGCAGCGAAAGACGACAGCCAGATCCTAACTGGGCTGCTGCTGCTGCTCGGCTCAGACTGGCAGTGTTGTGTCGGATAAATTGGCTGATGGTCCCTGAACCGTCCATCACGGAGCCAGGCGTCCGAAATAGCCTGCTTGTAGTTGTACGTCAACCACCCAGTATATTCGCTCATGTACACAAACGCACATACATCACCTCAACGAGGACGCTGTGAAACGGTACTATCATTGTGAAAGCTCTAAGCCCGCTATCCCATATGAACAAGAATGCCAGTCCAGCGCCATTCATTAACAAATAAGAGAAAACAGACAGAAAAAACGGGAAACAATATTCGGTATCGAAAAGGAGACACTTCTAGACCCGCCCAGAGAACTGATTGACAACCCAAGAAGAAAAAATACCTATTTCTCGTGAATAAGGGGAATCGGAACTAGCAGTGTTCATAATGCTGTATTCCCCATGACCAAGAGAAGCAGCATGCCGTTCAGCGCAAAGACAGTAACAAAAGTGACGGAGATGACGACCCGATTCGCCAGGCTGAGGCTGTCCCACCTCGTCATGGCTATTGCGAGCGCGGTACAACCACACCCGATGGAGACGACCGCGCCTAGCGTGGCGCCGGCATCGACCTCGACCCGCAGCTTGTGCCTCCCCGTGAGGATCAGCACGGTGGCGATGCCTAGCAGCAGGAAGGCCATGGCAAACAGGCCGCTGGTGGCGAGGAATAGCACGCGGTCCTTGTAGACGTACATGCGCTGGTCATGGATGCTGGGCAGGGAGGCGTAGTGTGTCTGGTAGCCTGACGGGAACTCCTCGGAGCTCGAGTAGCCGGGGCCGAGGTCTGCCTCGTCCTCAGCATCCGTCTCGACGGCGGTGCTGGAGTCGTTGCCTCGGCTAGGCGGCGACAGACGGCCCGGTGGGCTAGTGAAGTAGCTGTGGTCGCCAGGGGAGGGTACGGAGCCTGTCGAGCCGTAGGTCGAGTCGCTCCGCTGTCGGCCGAGGAGGGATTGACGCTCTGGTTCGCGTGATGTGACCCACGAGCGGGCTTGCGAGAAGGGTCTGGTGAATGCATGCAGTATGGCCTTGAGGTCTGCATTAGTCGTCTCGTCCTCAGGGTGAACGTATATTGCGTAGTTGTCCTCCATGTCGCCGTTTTCGCTGCCGTTGTCGTACTCGTTCCAGTAGCCGATATTCTCCTCCCTCGGGGGGTGGAACATATACGTTCGCGGTGGCCCCGAGTTAATTCTCACCCGCCGTAGGGACTGACGTGGGCTAACCGATTCGGAGTCGGTGATGTGTTCGTGATCAGGAGTTGGGGATTGAGGTAGGCTTCGCACGGGGGTCGAATCGCGGATCGTGGATAGTACTTCCTCGTACGCTCGCTGTAAAGGCTGGAGGTCCTTTCTGGTGAAGCTCTTGGGCTGGTCCAGAACGTTATCTCTGAACCGAGCGCCCAGCGTGCTGGAGCCGGTCCATTTCTGCCGAGACACGTCAGTCATGTTTCTCCATCCACCCCTAAATCTGCCATGTGTTCCCTCCTATCTATCTTTTGTCGTATCAGAGCACGGACCTTGTATTTCTTGAGGAGTTTGCGAAAGGCGATGGTCTGCGCGCCGACAAATCTCTCGAGGTGTTGTATGTCCTCACCGCAGTCTAGGACTTGGCGGCCAAGTCTCGTAAACTTGCGATGCCGCTTCCTAGATGTGTTCTCTCGTTGTGTATTGGCGCAGCGTAGGATGAGTCGGTGTGTCTCGTCAGAGAGGTGCTCTGTGTGTGGTTTGACGACGTCAGTTCTACCTGGTCTGCCCAAGGGCCAAGCGGCCGAGCAGGGCAGGGCTCGTAGAAGAAAAGAAGAGGGGATATGCGTACGGAGCCGGCGGTTTATCTCGTCTGCCTTTGCGGTGACAAAGAGACCGGCGCGGGCATGTTGATTGCAGAGTTCGTTGTAAAGCTCGTTCTCGACCTTGGCAAGGTGGGTGTCGGGCTGGCCAGGTATGGCGACCGCTCTGGCCTCGCCTTTTGTGGTGTGGACTTTGATATAATGCTTGAGGGAATTGTAGTCGATATTATCTGTAGAGAGAGAAAGAGAGAGTTAGAAAAGGAAGAAATCAGTTGTCAGTAACACGTCGAAAGAAAAAGTCAAGATCGCATGGGTTGAATTTGCACTCTGTGATGGGGGCATAATGACGACGTACGGAGGCTCCATTCTGGCACCGATTCCCTCTCAAACTTCTGTCCGTACTTCATCGCCTTGTTCCCGTCCGACCTCTTGTTTGTGGCCGAACCGAGCTGCCACCAAGGTACACACACACAGCGTGCGTGGACATGCGCGAATCGGCTGTGTCGGATGCTGATGTACCCCGAAATCGATACAAAAGTGACGTCGACAAAACAGGGAATTGGAGAACAAGGAAATAAATTAAGGAAGGGGTGGTTTGGGGGGGAGGGGCGGGATAAGTGTTACTGTTAGCGGAGCCGCTGGTAGAAGGATTTCAGGGGTCAATCGATCTCCATGCGATTGATTGGGGCAGGATGGCAGGACTGAAAAAGCAAAAGGACGAGATGAATATTTGAGGCCTCACAAGAAATGTGTCAGTCACTGAGGAAAGGCTGGGATGATCGTTATCTACTAAGTACTTAGTTAACGACTTGAGTAAAAAATGGGAGGGGCGGGAACCATCACAAGCTCTCAGGCCGGCCTTCCCAACGTCACATCCGTCTAGACATTCATGATGCAAAAGTTAATACTATGGTCCATGGCAAGACGTTCTTATCACGTATCGAGCCAGGTGCAGGGAACAAGGGGCTGAGATAGACGGGGCCTTGACTGTGGTTCAGCGGCTTGGAAACCAAGGGTTTGTGCCACAGTGACAAGGTCTAGGCCTTTTTGGCCTTTTCGTTAGCATGGCCGTTCGAATCAAACCTCCCGCCCACCACCACCACCACCCATCACCACAACAAGTATCCATCCACACATGTTTCGGACTTGAAGAGTCAAAAGTCAAGATCGCCAAGACCAATACCTGACTTCTAGCTCCAATTTTGGGTTTGTTTCTTCTCTCCTTTCCTGCTTTTACTTTTGATTTTCCTTTCCCGCCCCCCCTTCTCTTTCCTTCCCTCAAATTCAATGGGTCTAACGTAGGCTGTTGGCCTGGCTATAGATTTCATACTTGATCCTACGTTGTGCTGGACGAGGAACTTGAATGCAAGGCAACACACCTCGATCCACAAACCGCACATGCCCCGGCGGCTTATCCGGGCCGCATCCAGCCGGCTCGTTTTCAATCGCGGCCGCAGTTTGTTCCTTCAATAGAGAATAGAAACAACGAGGGGCCAGGAAGGACAAGAGAAAGAAAGGAAAAACCCCTTGTTGTGGTGAGCAATTCAGTCTGTATTATAGTATACTCAGCGATCTCGACCGTGAGTTCTGGTGTGTACACCCGCATTAGCCTCCCGTCCCGTCAGACCCGAGGCGTCTGGTGCAATCCAACGGTCTGCCATGGCGTCCCTCACCGACGTTGCTATTGTCAAGCCATAATGACATCTCATATTCACGAGTGTCTGAGATGGGAAGAGAAACATACGAGATATATGGCTGGACTCGTAATGAGAATCTGCTCTCGTGACGTCGTGCCTCATGGAGAGAAAAGAAGAAGACCTGCTGCAACTATCGCATGAATACAAGGCTGGCAGATGCAACACCACTTTTTGGTCAACCCCACTCCCCTCTCTTTTTACGTGGGCCCCACCTGCATAGATAGATTGTCCAGATTGTGACACCAAAAGGTCGAGCTGTTGACTGGGCTGGACTCGAAGAAGGAAAACTCTGCCGCTTTGACCAAGAACACACGCTGTTTGGTTGGTGTATTTACCCGAATCAACGGGTTGCCTCTGAGAATGTTCCACCACATTTTACCGGGTCAGCCAGTGCTCTCTGTCTGGCGTCCAGGACTTAGGAGCTGATGGTGGCTTGGACGTTGTGCGCAGAACCAGTGCGGAACTGCTGCAGGACCTCTGTGGGACCACCTTTGTGCATGAGGTTGTCTATTATGATTGTACGAAGTATTGAGCGACTGCGTCTTCACTTTCTTCGAACGGCTAAAGGATAATTCCAGGGTCCGTGACAACGTGAGAGAAACTTACCCCGAGTTGCACCGGTTAGCCGGTAGTACTGCGGCACTACTCCAGGAGGTTGTCAGGCTAGTGTTAGTGCTACCCCTCCAGCCCTCTGCCCTCGTGCCCCTGTACCACAGTACCATACGTGCCATATTAGTGCTATGTGGTATACATAGTAGTTAAGTTCAGCAGCTCACCAATACGGGGTGGGGTATCCTAGCGTTTCCCCATCCCCCACCTACCTAGCCTGCCAGCCAATAATCCACAGCGGCTCAAGCCCCCCCCTACGTGAAAATTTTAAACTCTTATGAATTTTTCTTGTTAGCACCTAGCAAGCAAGCAAGCAAGCAGCAGCAGGGCCAGATTGGCAGGGTCGCGCAGTGAAAAAGAAGGAAGAAGAAGAAAAAGCTTCTTGTTTTGAGTTTTCAAGCCGCGCGCCAAGCCAAGCCAGCCCAACAACGACACACCCTTTTTCCTCTTCTCCCGACCGTTACAAACCGCTGGCCCCGACATGGCCGCAGCAGAGGGCAGCACCACGTCGTCCTCACTGGCATCAACCTCCTCCAACACGCTTACCCACGCCCACGATAACCCTGGCATCATGGCCGCCATGGTCACTTCGCCGCACGAGACGGCCTCGATGCTTGCCTTCCTCGATGCCCTCCGGGCCGAGAACAGACATACTTTCCTCCAGCCGCCCGCCTCCGTGTCTACGGCGGGGCTACACTGGGCCAAGCATGCGCTGGACGCGTTTGCGGGCCAGGTAGGCGACGAACAGGCGGCGAGGAGGCTGAGGGAGAAGAAAAGGAAGAGGGAGGCCGGTAGCGGCAGTGGGGATGTGCTCAAGATACGGCGGCTGCACGTGGAGGGCTTCGAGACGGGCCAGGTGTGGCAGCAGGCTAGAAGAATTATCCAGTCCGCGCTGCAGGCCTCGAAAGACTTGCTGGCAGAGCTGGAGGAGGATGGCCAGTTGCTCAAAGAGGGAGACGTGATCGACGACGTGGATGGACATCTCAAGAGGGGGCGGTACGATGAGAATGCGTCCGACGTCAGCTCGCTCAACGGAGGGGAGGAGGAGGGTGACGACGACGACGCTGTCAGTGGGTCTGGCCAAGAGGACTGGGAGGATGCCGAGTCCCAACAAGATGATGAATTGTCCACAGAGGAAGACGTCGAAGACATTGAGGCCCTGGACGATAACGAAGAGCTCGACGAGGACGGCCTGGAAGAGGATGAAGAAGATAATATCAACCAACCTACCGGAATCTATGTCGAAGATCCGAACGGCTTGAATGACGGGTTCTTTTCGATAGACGACTTCAACAAGCAGTCCCAGTGGTTTGAGGAACAGGACTACAAGGCCGACCCACATACAGATCAGGCAAGCGAGGATGAAGACATCAACTGGCACGGGGACCCCTTCTCGGAGCCCCAGGGCAAACTAAAGGGCAGAAAATCCAATGACGACGAGGAGGAAGATGGTCTGTCAGGTCTTGAGGACGAAGGGGATGATGATGATGACGAAGCCGGTCCAACTTTTGGCGACATGGACCTCGACGCTCCAGAGGGCGCGAGCGACGATGAGGCGGGCAACTTGGCGGACGGGCTTGAGGGAGACATGGGCATGGATCTTACCGCCAATGACATATTCTACAAGGACTTTTTTGCGCCTCCGCCCAAGAAAGCCAAGAAAGGCGAGAAGCCTAGAAAGTCTCAGCCACAGCGACAAGCAGCGCCTGATGACCAGGACATAGAGAGGGCCATGGGCGACGTGCGGCGCGATCTCTTCGAGGACATGTCAGAACACTCTGATGAGGAGGATGCGCTCTCAGACGTCTCCGCAGGAGACCCCAAGTCCCGCAGATCGGCCCATGAGAGACGACAGGCTAAACTGGCCGAGGAGATCAGCAGGATGGAGTCTGAGCTCGTGGCCAAGCGGGCATGGACGCTTTCCGGCGAGGCATCAGCTGCCAGCCGGCCGATGAACTCTCTCCTGGAAGAAGACCTCGACTTTGAGCACGCGGGCAAGCCGATCACGGTCGTCACCGAGGAGGTCAGCGAAGAGATTGAAGACCTCGTCAAGCGCCGCATTATTGCCGGCGAGTTCGACGAGGTCGTCAAGCGACGGCCTAACGCCGACGTGCCTGCCGACGTGCGCCGTGGCCTGATCGAGCTGGACGACTCCAAGGCGAAGCAGAGCCTCGCAGAGATCTACGAGGAGGAGCATGTCAAGAACGCCAACCCAGACTCGTACGTCAGTGCCAAGGACGAGAAGATGCGCCGAGAAGAGAAGGAGATCGAGAATATGTGGAAAGATGTCTCTTCGAAACTCGACGCCCTCAGCAGCTGGCACTACAAGCCCAAGCCGGCCGCGCCGTCCCTGACCGTCGTGGCTGACGTGGCCACGGTCACGATGGAGGACGCACAGCCCACCACGGCCCAGGGCGTCAGCGGTGGTGAGAGCATGATCGCCCCGCAGGAGGTATATGCACCAGGCAAGGATGACAAGGCGGACAAGAGCGAGGTGGTGGCCAAGAGCGGGCTGCCGGTCGCAAGACAAGAGATGAGCCGTGAAGACAAGCTGCGCAGGCGGAGAAGAGAGAAGGAGAGGATCAGGAAGGCCGGCGGTGAGACTACAAAGTTGTCCAAGAAGGCGCAGGAGAAGAAGGATACCATGGCGGACCTGAAGAAGGGCGGCGTCAAGGTGATCAACAAGAAGGGCGAGGTGTTGGACATGGAAGGCAATAAGTCACAGGAGGCGAGGGCCTCGACCAGTATCAGCTTCAAGCTCTAGGCTTGCTTGATTCCATCATGCGATCTTCAGTGTTCAGCTGTCTATCGAAGAACATTTCTCTGTACAAGCAATTTCTTGCTCATTAGGATTCTACCCCTTTTTAAAACTTGACGTCCTCTACACTTTGTGTTTTGGTCCGCTCTGAAAAGGTGCACGGACCATCGGTTGAGAGAAATTGTTAGTGATCACTTGTGACGTCCAAGACCCGAACAAGCGCAGCTCGATAGTGTGGACCCCCATCTCGATACCGACCACCCAATCAGGACCGACGTTTTGGTGAGCCAGAGGCGACTTTTACCGCACAGCAGCAATAGCAGCACTCAACGACACCGTCCCAAAAGGTGTGCCGTACAAGTACAATCGTCAACGACCACCCCCCTCTCCACCAACCCACCCCCCACGGTGACCACCATCCTCTCCACTCTGCTTTCTCTTCCCTGAATTCCAACAACAGAGAGGAAGTCATTCAGGTTCAATTCGCTCTCCACACCCTAACAATGGCGAGCGCATTACGGACATCGGCCTCCATGGCCCTGCGAGGTGCGTTGGCGAGAAGAAGCTTTACCTGATGGAGCGAGAAAGAGACAGAAAGATAGGACAAGAGGGATTTGCGTAATGCTTGAGCTACAAGAAGAGATTACTGACTGAATGATTGCGACTATCCAACAACAGCCAAGCCGACGACGTCCCTCATACCCTTCCGCGTCGCCGCCGCGTCCATCTCCTCCTCCTCCAAGAACAATGCCGCACAGGTCCAACCCCACGCCGGTGCCTCGACGGGTCTCCAGCCGAAGCAGGTTCCCCTCGCGAGCCAGGAGGGCACCAAGGGAATTGTTCAATATGCCCTGTACGTCTTTTCTTCGCTTCAAAGGAATCCCCTTCACAGCTGGCCGCAAAACTCTTTGTCTCTCGTTATTGTTATTTAGAACGTGAAAAAGGGCAGGGGTTCAAAAAACAACAACAGAAGAGCAAGAAGGAGAGGCAAGACATAGAAAGAAGAAGAAAAATAAGCTGACTCCCTCTCGTGTGTGTCTCTTTCCAGCACCACCCTCGACCAGATCGTCAACTGGGGCCGCCAGTCCTCCCTCTGGCCCATGACCTTTGGCCTCGCCTGCTGCGCCGTCGAGATGATGCACCTCTCGACCCCGCGCTACGACCAGGACCGCATGGGCATCATCTTCCGTGCCAGCCCTCGCCAGTCTGACGTGATGATCGTCGCCGGCACCCTGACCAACAAGATGGCCCCCGCCCTGCGCCAGGTCTACGACCAGATGCCCGACCCGCGCTGGGTCATCTCCATGGGCTCGTGCGCCAACGGCGGCGGCTACTACCACTACAGCTACAGCGTCGTCCGCGGCTGCGACAGGATCGTCCCCGTGGATGTCTACGTGCCCGGCTGCCCTCCCACCAGCGAGGCCCTCATGTACGGCATCTTTCAGCTGCAGAGGAAGATGAGGATGACCAAGATCACGAGAATGTGGTACAGGAAGTAAGAGGAAAGGAAAAAGAAAGAGAAAAGACAGAAAAAAGACAAGGTCGAGATTTTTCTTCTCATTTTTGGTGGTTGTGTAAGGGGAATGCCATGGAATGGAGTGGAGTGGTAGAAACCCTGAGCGTTCGCCGCCGGTATGGCGAGAAGAAAGGAAGGGAGAGAGGGTGGAGGGTGAGGATTAGAGACCTGGCTGGCCTGGACTGGCGGACATCACAAGACGACGAGATCTACCGTGGGGAAGAGAGAGGAAGAGAGAGGAAGAGAGAGGAAGAGAGAGGAAGAGAGAGGAAGAGAGAGGAAGAGAGAGGAAGAGAGAGGAAGAGGAGAAGTGTGAGAGGTATCAAATACACAGCTGCTGATCCCCAGCTGCCTGTCGTTTCATTTATCGTGTTTTTGTTCTTGTCACTTGCCTATGTGCTTTGTACATATCTAGAGACGCGGTCGGAGGTGGGAAGGGAGAGAGAGGGAAGGGAAACAAGAGCGGGAAAACCGGACTGGTCAAATAGATGGACATGGAAGCAAAATAGGAAAAAGAAACAAAACCCCAAACTACCAACCAACAACCATGTGACAGCCGGGAAAGAGATCTACATAGATGAGAACTTCCTTGTCTAGGGGCACCTCTCACCATGTGCGCCAAGGTTAAGTATTCCTTTCCTTTCCTTCCTTTCTTTCTTCCCGCCCTTGACGGGAAAGCCTAAGAACAAACGTTGGCTTGCCATACCACCTTGGTAGTCTCGTCTCCTTTTGCCCGTTGACCTCTTGTTCACCTCATTTATTTGGTGTACGCTCTTCTCTTTCTAGATACAACGATGAATGGCAGAGGGGAAGAGACATGATCTTTTCGGAACGTCAAACGTCCATAGTGTATCCAAATGGAGCCACCAAAGCAGAAGCTACGTGATCGTAAATCATAATTCCGCTTGGCGGCTCAGCAAGTGATAACACGGGATTTTCGAATCACCTCCCACTGCCCAAGAAGCACGCAGCGTCGACACATGACAGAAGAGGAAGAAAAATACCATGGCAGAGATGGGAATAGACAGCAAACAGTATGTGCATAATTGGACTAATCTCGAGAAGTCATCCCTGGTCTCCTTTCCCATGACGTGCCGCCCTCGGGTGGGGATGTGTTTATAAGCGATAGTGTTCTTAATTCTCCCTCTTGCTCCTCCTCTTCCTCCTCTTCGTCTCCTTCATCCCTCTGTATGTCATAGACCTCATTTGTCCATCTATTTTTGTACCCGCACTACAACCCAGCTCCCCGAATGCGGGCGAGGTTTAGATGGACTGGTGAAGGGGATGGACCGCCTCCTCCCCCATACTGGATCAACTTGGATACATGCATATCGTCGGGCCCGGTTTGACGCCTGAACACTCGGACTCCCAAATATCAAAATTTCGCGCGTGCTCGACACTCTTATGGCAGATGTAATTGTGCCTCCCTTCGTCATGTGTTCTTCACCTCTCGGAGCCGCACAACCCCCGGTGCAGCTTCAGCCTGTGCTCGCTCTTATGTGCCACACAATGCTCGTATACAGTCTGCATTTATTCTTGACCAAAGCCCATGGTCTCCTCGACCGCGATGGTGAGCTTCTGCTGCAGCTGCTCGAGCGTCTTGTATGGCGGCAAGTCAAGACGGTTGAAGCTAAGAAGATTGTCAGCATTGTACATCAATATCAGTCATGAATGCTGGTGACCTTACCAGGTGTGCGCCTTGGGCAAATTTGTGATCTCCCCAGCCTTCTCGATCGTGAATCGTCTCGGACCGTCGCTCCCCTGCAGGTCCTTGAATCCATTGACGGGGATTCTGGACGTGCCCGTCGTGAACTGTAACAGCCGGCTCTTCTGCTCGCCATCCCAGCTGCGCACCGTCTGCCAAAAGTTCTGGATGACCTCGTCTGTCTCCGTGTAGCCGCGATAGTCAGTGTGCTTCTTCCAATCGTCCACGTCGATCTCGGCGATACCACCGATGAGGAGCTCCAGCTCGCGCTCATCAAAGACATTGATAAGCTCCTGCGGGATGAGCTCGTGGAAGCCTTCCTTGAACGCCTGGAACTGCTCAGCGATACGCTTCTCGATGCGCCACTTGACCATGAGATCGACATATTCCTTCTTGTTCTCGTTGGTGACATCAATATCGCGACCGCCTGGGATCAAATCCTCGACGGTGATAACGCCGAATCGCTCGTCCTCGGTCGAGAAGGTCTGTTCGAGAATGCCACCCGAGATGTCATTGTCCAGCATCCACTGCAGCGACCTGTGGAAGTCCGCATCGACACCCTCCATGTCTGCCAGCACCACCGACTTGCCCAAGATCATCTTGTACAGAGCACCGATAAAGAAAGCATCCAGAAACCGCCGGTGGAAGATGGCTAACCCGACCACGCGCCCAATGAACTTGAAGTAGTTTAAATGCTCGGGGTTAATGCCAGAGTGAGGGTTGATCTGGAGCGTGTAGTTGTCGTGCGCCGAATACTCGAACAAGCAATAGAAGGGGTTGAACATCTCATGCGAGAGGAGGAAGAAGAACTCTCGGGACAAACCGCCATAATCCAATCCATCCTCGCCGTCGAACTTGATCATCAGGCGCTTCTTAAGATCCGTAGCCGACTGCCGACTGATCTCGGCGAAAGAGTCCTCGAAGATGTGGGACCGGCGGACCTTGATATGGCACTGTCCTGAAAGGATGCGCATGGCAGGCTGCGACCTGAAGTAGATGAGCTTCCGGCGGAAGTCTCGCTTGTACTGAGGCACATTCTGGTCGAGTGAGGACGGCAGACGAGGATCGTCCCAGGTGGTCGTCTTCGTGTTGTGGTCAACGAAGTAAACACGTGCAGTATTGGTAAGGCGCATTTCCCATCCGCTCGGCAGGGGCCCCAATTGCGACACAGGCTGCTGTTGAATAGTACCATTAGTATTATTCTGGCCGCCGTACATCCTAATATACTGCTGTCTTCTGGGGTCCACCCATGTCGTAGTACGAGTGTTGTGGTCCACAAAGTATGGCCGTCCCTCGGGAGTGAATCGCTGTTCCCATCCCGGGGGAAGTTCGCCCGTCCCAGCGGTCGTGGCGCCAGTATGCATCATCGTCTGGGCATTGGCGTTCTGCGCAGCCTGCTGGGCCTGCATTGTAGGCGAGCTGGTGCCGGTTCTGTCCTCAGGCAAGGTCCGGTTCTGGTGTCTCTGGCGCTCCACGTTTGTAGCCTCCTCTTGTCTCGCGGTGTTGACCGCACCACTGGCCGTCGGCCGATTCCAGCTCGTTGTACGAGTGTTGTGGTCGACGTAGTAGGTCCGGCCCAGGTTGTCCTCCCGACGCTCCCACCCGGGTGGGAGACGGCCCTGTGCATCTTCAAATGGGCTCAAGGTGCTGTTCCCGCGAGGCTGAGCGGCACCATTCGGCGGCTGCGATGAGGGTGCCGAGGTGATGCTGGCCGGCCGCTGCATCGAGGCTGGGCCGTTCCCATTTATACTGCTGCTGGTGGTGGTGACAGCCAAGGCAGACGTTGGACGTTGCGAGGGTGCCTCTGTTGCGAAAGACTGCTGGCCAGGACGGCTGCTGGGGCCGCCGGACTGGCCTCGAGGAGGAGCGGAGAGGTTAGTCGAGAGGTTGACGATCAGCTTCCCATGCACGACCAGATTGTCTGTCGACTTCTTGAGGTCTCGAGTGAGCATATGATCTATGGTAGAGTAGCAGGTAAAAAGAAAGTCAGCCATGTTCAGGTCCTGTAGGCAGGTGATGGATCTCTAATACCGTCGGCATCTGGGGCAAGCTCGATGACATCGCCGATTCGAACGTTAATGACGCCGAGGAAGCCCTGGTCCTTCTTCTTGAACTTCTTCTGGTCAAAGACCTGGACGGCCAATATGCTGTCCTCGTTGACGCGGCTGCTCACAAGCGTCAGCGGATGCAAGCCTCAAGCGTTTAGCTGGGGGGTTCCGGGTCGGCGTACAAGTCGAAACTCTCATTCCAGTACGGGCACAGGGTCCGCTTGGAGACCTGGGTGGTCTGCGTCTGCTCGCCATTGATAGTAGCAACGGCGAAAGGATCCGGGAAGCCTGTGACTTGGATCAGCATCCGCAGTCAACGGCCACGTCGCGGAAAAACAGGACGGGAAGCATACGGAAAACATCGCGCTTGTAGAGACCATCGGCGGCGATGACTGTAAGGATCGAAGGTCAGTAAGGAGTCGATAGGAGTAGGAGAGGAGGACGACGCCGATTGCGCCCGGGTAGAGAGGTTGTTTACTCGTCACACGAAGATTGGCCTGACTATACAGAGAAGGCGAGAGATGATCTCATCAGTCAAAATATTCGACACGGCTTATCGCAGGACTTGACGACTTTCCAGAACAACAAGAATCCGGGGATCGTCGGGGAACTCACGCTGCAGGCCCGGCATCACTGCGACGGCTCATTTTGAATGCCGAGGCGGCGCGTCCCGCTGTTGTGCTTGCTTCTTCCTGTCAAACGGCTTTTTCTAGTACTCGATGCAAAGGCGATCGAGAAGAAGAAAAAGAAGGAAAAAAGACAGGGTGGAGCGTTGCGTGGATGGGCCGGCTCAATCAAAAGAAACCTGGTCGGAAGACCAGCTGCGGCGAGGTCGTGCGGGTTTTGGGAAGGCGAAAAGGGAGGGAGGAAGAGATGAGGAACGAGAAAGTCGAGATAGATGCGCTAAGGAGAAAGCTGACAATGACGACCAAGGCTTGGTTAGGTGATTGCAGGCGTGCTGAGGCTGTGCAAATGCTCACGCCGACCCCCGCGCTTCTCGTCTTTCGTTGGCCTGGCTCGGGTTCCCTCTCTGTCTCCTGTTACTCAAGCAAGCGCCTGGACCAATCCCGGCTGCAACTCTCACGCCTGAGGGAACGATCTGACACAACACGGCGGTCCAGTACAAACCCAGAAGGCAGAAGAAATTGGTGGTTATGATGGTAAGTGGTGGTGACACTGGGCGTCGAAGGTGATGATGTCGACTGGAGAGGGAGTCAGGGGGGTGGGCGGTGTCGTTAACTTGTGGGTGATACAAATTGCTTGTCTCAATAAACTTGGGTGGCACGAATGTCTGAAAGCAGCAAGTAGGCAGGTGGCAGGGAGGGCTGGGCACTGGGCTTGGCTAAAAAGTCTCGTCACCCAGGCGCCGACAAGGTTAGCCAAACGGTGGGCAACGGGATCAAGACAGAGGGGGGGGGAGAGGAGGGCTTTGGGATTCTGGCCTTGTTTCCTGATACGATACGCTCACCTAAGTCCCTAGCAGTGCCTAGCTAGCTTGTGCTTCGCAGGGCGTTCGTCAGTGGACAGTGAGGTGGAGATGCCTGTAGTGGAGGGCGCCAATGGCAATACACAGGACCTTGTAGAAGGCGGTAGGGGAGGGGCCCAGGAGTTGCACTGTCCTTCGCACTGGTGAGTCTAGACCAGAACGGAGACAGAACGGCACAGTGGGAACGAACCTAAACTTGGCCCAAAACACTTACATGCGACAAATCACATACCTGCCCCTACAAAATAGCACCATGGGCGTGAAAGGCAGCAAAATATCTCATACGTGACGGTCTAAATATATATTCTTTGGTTGACGTGGTCCGTCAAGCGGCCATGATCAACAACCACCATACCGCCGATAAGGGACGCACACACAGAAAGAGAATAATGAAGAAAGAAAGAAAAAGACGAAAAAAAAACAGCTCATCATCAGCTTCGCTCACTCATCCTAAAGATGATTGATGGATGGAGACCGTGCCCTAGGATTTTGTTGTCTCACAGTCTCGGGTCTGTCATCCGAGCTTTCGGATGCTCGGGTATGTAGCAGCTTGCCCCAGAGCTTGACCACTATGGCGATATTGTTCGCAAGCCGCTGAACGTACCGGAGAAACTTCTCGTGCACCGCACCAAACGTTAATCTTCCTAGTTACAGGCACTCTTTCACTTCCGGGAGGATAACCTCTTACTTGTAAAGGACCTCTTCCATCATTGTCACCTACGGATGTCGTTTAGTATTTCGTTCTATATGTTAGATTATGCAGACGACCTGAGAAATTGATCGACCTATGACGTAGACCAGCTCTTGTCTTACGGTCTGTACTGTACATCGGAATAATGAAGCTGTCTCTGAGCACCACACATTCCCCAAATTTCACAACGTCGCGAGGCTGAGACTAACAGCACATGCAGTAGTCGGTGAAATCCCATGTAGGTAGTCAAGTGGTGCGAGAAGAAAATTTCATTGCCCTTTTCCTGATCCTGTTACGCCAAAGCCAGTAACCCTTCGACCTTGGCTGTGCCCACTTAGGCCGTGTGGTCCCAATCTATCATACATCTTGCCTCCTTTCCTTCCCCCTCTTTTTCGATCCTCAGCATCTGAATTTCTGTTGCTCCTTCTAACCCCTCACAGTATTTGTGTGCGTATGTGTGCGCATTGCAGAAGGGGAGAACGTCAGGATGCCTCCTCTGTGCCTCAGTAAGGAGTGAAACCACGACCACGTCCACGGCCGCCACCACGGTAGCCACCTCCTCGAGGAAAGCCGAACCCACCACGGGCAAAGCCACCACGGCCGCCCCGGAAGCCACCTCGTCCACGGCCACGAGTCATGCCGGGCACGTTTGTGCGCTTGGGGGTCACCTTGATGCTGCGGCCCTTAAACATGCTCTCGTTAAGAACCAAGGCCTGGGCCACCAGGCTGGGCTCAGTGAACTCAACGTAGGCATACCTATAGATTGGATGGTGTAGTTAGCACGCAAGTTCTGTCGACTTCTCTCTTGTCACCTCAACCAGGCTTGCTTACCCCTTGGGTTGGCCGGTAAACTTGTCCAGCAGAATGGTGACGCGGTTGATGGAGCCGCAGCTCTGGAAGTGGGCTTGGATCTCCTCGGGAGAGGCCGAGTAGTCGACGTTACCGACAAAGATACTGCGGCTATCCACGTCCGTCTTGGACTCCTGGACCGTCTCTGTCTGGTTGTCGAGGCTGGCCTGCATCTCGCGCAGCTTGGCAGCCTCCTCTTCCATCTCAGCGACCCGCCTCTTCATGGCTGAGATCTCCTCCTATTGTGCCAGCTCTTGTCAGATGTTTTCTGTGTCTTGGGTGTGCCCTTGTACATGTGTTCTGTTGTACGCGTTGCGATGGTGCCCACCTCTTCATTGCCCTCTTCCTCAGCAGGGCGATCCTCCTGCACCGTGTCCTCTGGTTTGACGTCGGCCATGGTTTTTGACTAGGGTTAGTACAGTTCTGTGGGAGGGTAAACGGTGAGATATTGATGAAATGGAAGTGTTCCTAGAGTAGTTATCGAGATGATCAGCACCAGTCTGGCACCAAGGTTCCGTACTTGAGGGTTTAGACAAAGGGGTAGCTGAGCTTCCAGGCCCAGCTTGCGACGCGCTGGTCTCCAGCACTGCCCACGCGACAGGACCACAGAGAAGGATCTCAGGCCATCTATAGGAGGGGACAATAACTGAGCAACTCACCACAAGAGAAGGGTGAGGAGTTTCGCTTTCGTAAATGGAAACAGCAAGTGGAGGAGGGGTTCGTGACGTGTTGGCGGTCAGTTCTTTAAGGCATGGCAACTGCTGCTTGCGAAATACAGGCTGGACAGGTATCTTATCAGTAGAAAAGTGGGACTGGACTAGGATGATTGGTAGCTTTTGTTGACCGGTAGCTTGTCCAGCCGAGCCTACCAAACTTCCTTACCTTTGGTAAGTATTTCACGAAGCCAAGGTCAAGAAGCTTCTGCATCATTAGACCTGACCAAGATTTCCAAGTGAAAGTCAAAGAACCTGAAAGTTTCCCCCTTGATTTCTCGTCTCTTTCTGTCAAATCCTGCGGCAGGTCTTATCCTGGTGTCACCAGCTGCAGGATGTCTAGAGCTCCCAAGAACTCGCACATACCAAATACGCTCCAACCCAACACAGATTCATTTTCACTCTTCGGTTGCAAGAGACCCTTGCTGCTCAAGATTGAGAAGAGAAGTTTTTCCTTTCTTTCAAGACAGCTCTCAGGTCTGAGGTACAGTGATCAGCATATTGCTTCACCACCCCTCCCCTGCTCTAGTGAAGCGCACAAGTGGGGGGCCTCCTGCAGCTTTCTGATATCCAGCAACCAAAACCACCCTTGTCTTCCCTTAACTGCCCCTAGCAGACCCCCGCCTACTTGGAGGTTCACAGATGCTTCATTTCAGTTTCCCTTGCCACTATCTCTCAATTGTTCGTCTGTCTATCTCTTTTCTCCTTCTCATTTCTCCGTTTCGGCGGCTATTCCGCTGTTCAGCAAACAACATGTCGCTCGCAGCTCCTGTTGAGAAGGACGGCTTCTCGTACGCTGGCGATTCGCTTTACTGCGAGACCAGCTCCCTGAACCGTCACCGTCGAGCCACTCTTCCCGAACTCAAGGCTCACTACACCGGCAAGGACACAGAAAACCGCCCTGCCCACTGGTATGAGGCGCAGCTCCTACACTATGGCCTACCTCCATCTAAGGTCAAGGGCACAGCTCACAAGCGTCTCTTCGATGCCGTCAGGCAGGGTGATCTCTCCGTGCCAGCTCACATCCAGAAGATCGAGGCGGACTTAAAGAAGGTGTGGTCAAAGAAGGAGCGAGAAGCGAAGAAGGTCATCAAGGAGTCGGCCGCGGAGAAGGCGATAGCCAAGGGAGGCACAAAGCGCAAGGTTGACCAAATGTCGACCAGCGTCAACGTTAACGTCTCTGTCCAGGTCTCCAAGACTGGATCGGTCAAGGTGAAGTCCGCACAGCCTGCGGCGAAGAAGACAAAGACGACCAAAGTAGCTCCGGCGGCCAAGGCGGCAACCCAAGGGAAGAAGGTGCCGACTATAAAGACCCCGGCTGCGAAGGCCCCAAAGACTCCTGCCAAATCTCCTGCGAAGCCAAAGAGTAAAGCGAATCCTGATGCCAGGCGATCCGGCCCCTCGAGCTCCGGCAGGGCTGGTCCATCTAGCCTCACCCCATGCTGTGGTGACGAGCCGCCTCCCTACAGCGAGTACGACCAAGATTACCCACGCTTCGAGCAGGCAAGCCCAAGCCCGGACGCAGGACAATTCAGCTCGCCTCAGGCTCAGCAGCCTAGACTTGGTCTGCTCAATGGCCGCTACCAAGTTGAGTTCAGTTACATCGGGGGACAGTGGCCCGAGTTTCAGGATGACCTGGAGCTTATCGTGACACTCGATGGGGATACCCTGTGGCTTTCGTTCGACTTCGGCGGCGCTTCCGGGATGATGAAGGTGGTCCGACCGTACGTATCGGATCCCGTTGATGGTACTATGTTGTTCTGGCGCGGCCACGCCTTCTACAATAATGGCGACTCAGAAGCCTTCGCAGTGGACACGCTCAATCGGGCTGGCCCTGTCAACAGACTCTGGTTCTACGGTGATGGCCACATCCGTGGAGAAATGCGGCCCGGCCGAAGGTATGACGCGTGCGGGCTCTCCTTCGATGCCTACCGACTGCCTGGTCAGTCGATGAGTTCCGAGATCAGTCCTACCAGAGCACGACAAGAATGGGCAAGGTTGGGAGAGGAGATGGAGGTTAATAGATACAGGTAAAGTGTGGCCTTGAGGCTCCGCTGCGAGCTTCCTGGCGAGGCCTGTATACGATGGTGTCTGTTTCTCCTCCTCGTCGTCTCAACCAGAAGGTGCGAGTTGGGGAAAAGAAGGAAAGCAGGGGCCTGCAGGCATGTGACTCTCGCAATGATTCTGCTACGTTCGTTTATCTGTTCGAGGGAGAATTGGTGGACTGGAAAGTGTGTCAATCTGAATTGCTTCCGAGAGCACCTGATCATTCCAGTGTAGCATGCTACCTTGGGTAAGTTTAGATGACCAGATTGTAGGGAAACAAACCATACCAAACAAGGATTCTATTGATAATTATGAAGATCATGCATCTAACACACCCACCAAATCGTAACAAACTATAGTGAGCGGCCTTCTTCAGTCAACTCATCAAGTTGGTAATCGGCTGATTCCACAATGATTCAAACTTGCCCCCAGCTCAAACCATCCCCGCAGACGTTCCAGTCATCAGTGGTTGGTTGGAGCGCTAAGCACTTATACAACAGCGCATTTTTGGAGTCAAGTACCACTGTGCACAAACTTATAAACACCACTCAACCCCCCTCAATCCACTCAGCCTGCCAAACAGGTAATCTAGTAGTGAACCACAACCAAACATCGAGCGGCGTCGTCGTCATCATCATCACCATCATCGTTATCGACGACTATCATTTCTGAGCAGGACAAGATAAATATGGCACCTCAACGCCCTCAGCCCAGGAACAAGCTCCAAGAATGGTTCGCCAACACCAGGTTGCCCGTAATCATGTCCGCGCCGATGCTGGGCACGTCCAACGGCACCCTCGCTGCACATGTGTCTAAGACCGGTGGCTTTGGTGAGGAAGGGCTCCTTTTTCACCCATTATACCAAAGATCAAGAATAGGGGGGGGGAAACACGAAATTTCCTCTTTACCTTAATTCTAAAGTCGTTAAGAAAGGGAAAGAAAAGAAAAGAAACTGACACGAGAATTTATCATGATTAGGATTCGTGCCGGGCTGCTACTCCTTCGAGCCGGGCTCCTCTGACCTTGTCGTCCTCGAGAAGGAGTTGGAGACCGCCCGATCTGTCCTGGGCCTCACCGAGTTGACTCTGACACCCATGCCTGTTGGAGTTGGGTTTCTCACGTTGCACCCGTCCGTCAAGCATTTCCGGGAAACTGCGCTGCCGATTCTGGAGAAGCACAGTCCGTAGAAAACCACTCATTTCAGTTGGCCCACCAAAATTCGATCTCTAGAACAATTCCAACTGACAGCTTTCTTACAAACAAATCAGTGCCCCAGGCAGTCTGGCTCTTCGCACCCGACCCCACCGCCTCAACCCGCGCCCACCCAGACATTATTGACGCCTGCCACGACCACGGCCTCAAGGTCTTTGTGCAGGTCGGCACCGTAGCCGCAGCTCGCGAGGCGGCACAGGACGGCGCCGACGGCATCATCGCGCAGGGCGTCGACGCCGGCGGGCACCAGTGGGCTCACGGCGCGAGCGTCATCAGCCTGGTGCCCGAGGTGCAGATGATGCTGCGGGAGGAGTTTGCGGGCAGGGAGATTGCGCTGGTGGCGGCCGGGGGGATTTCGCATGAGAGTTCCGTGGTGGCTGCTGTTGCGCTGGGTGAGTTGAGTTGTTTTGTGAACTTGTGGCCCTTGCTGAGGGAGGGGAGAAGACTAGGATGTGTGATATTGTGCTGACGGGGAACCTTAATTGGACGCTTAGGTGCTGATGGTGTGGCCGTGGGGACTAAGGTGAGAGTGGTGCTTTCCAGGTGGATGATATTCTGCATCATGTCAAGAGATCAGGAGGGTTTTGGAGCAAGTTGCTAATCATGCGTGGCAGTTCCTACCCGCCAAAGAGTCCAACTTCTCAGAGGCCAAGAAGAAGGCCGTCCTGGAGACACGAGACGGTGGCGCATCAACGGTGAAGTAAGTGAACATCTTCTCCCAAAGAAAAGCGTCGACTGACAAGACGGCGGGCAGATCGACATTTCACGATGATGTTCAAGGCTCGAAAATCTGGCCTGCCCTCTACGACGGTCGTGCCATCGTCACGGACTCATACAAAGACCATTCTTCAGGCTTAGCTATCGAAGAGAACATAGAGAAACTGCGTGCAGCGAATGAAGCCGGGGATTCCTCGAGACAGATCACTTGGTTGTGAGTAAATTCTACTTTATCCCCATGACGTGTGCACACATTGAAGAGCAGGGACTGACGGTGTGGTCCAGAGGAACTGGTGTTGGGCTTGTCAAGGACGCGATCCCTGCTGCAGATATCGTGAGAAATTTGAGAGAGGGAGCGAAAAGACGCCTGGAGGACATGCGGTTCGCCTTTGACGATGAAGGAGAACAGGAGAAGGACAGACCGTGGCTTAAGCAGCTGGGTCATACGCTGTACAAGCACAAGTAGTGGTGGTGAAGACAGATCAACACGATTTTGGCGGCTTCTTTCTTTTTTCTCTCCTTTTCTTGTTCTTATTCTTGTTCTTTCTTACTTTTGGTCTTCTGTTTATCTCCCTTGTTTTTCTTCTCCCGCTTCATCATCATCATCATGCATCCCTCGCAAAAACTCGCTTGCCGCCCACCCAGGTCTCCTTGACCTTCAGCACCCGCAGTGCCTCAACGTCAAGCTGCTCCAAGGGCCTGTCCAGCACCACCCAATCCGCCCACGCACCAGGCTGAATGACGCCCGCCCGCCCCTCCAGAAACGCCCCGTATGCCGGTCCTTCCGAGAAGCCTATCAGCGCCTCCTGCAGGCTCAGAGCCTCTTCTGGGTACCAGCTCTGCTTGGTCTTCCCATCCGCCCCCAAGCCTGTGTGCGGGTCTCGCCTTGCCACTGCCGCATAGATCCCTCCAAACGGGTTCGGTGGCTCCACGGGGAAATCACTCCCTAGCACTAGCCCCGCCTCGCGCAGCGAGCGCATCCTGTAGGCCTCGGACGCGAGCCGCTCCTTGCCTAGACGGAGCTCTGCGTACTTCATGTCGCTCGTCGCGTGCGTCGGCTGCACCGAGGGCAGAATGCCGAGGCTTCTCATACGCTGCTGGTCGGCGGGATGAATCGTCTGCGCGTGTTCAATGCGAAAACGGTGCTGCGCCTGACAGGTGGAGAGAACCCCATCCGACGACGACGACGACGACGACGACGACGACGACGACGAGGAGGAGGAGGAGGAGGAGGAGGAGGAGGAGGATGAACAAAGATCTTGGAGCGCGGCCTCGAGAGCGTCAATGGCAAGCCGGTTGGCGAGGTCGCCGATCGCGTGGATATTAACCTGGTAGCCCTCAGATGACCATGACTTGGCGAGTGCTGTGAGGGTGGAGGCGTTTACAAGGAGGGAGCCGGTCGTATCTGGGCGGTCGGAGTATGGGTCGATCATTGCACTGCCCCAGCTGCCTAGAGCTCCATCTATATATACGTCCTCTGTTAGCAAGCGCTGTATTGGTGAGATGAATCTTTTTTGGCAGCAAGTCAGACATAGAAAGGAGGACGGGAGTGGACGTGCCAGCAAAAAGCTTCACGCTCTTGACACTGAAGAACCCAGCTCCATCTGCATACGCCGACACATGGTCTGGGCAGAATGTATTGCGCTCCTTGCACTCGATCATTGCGTATACCCGCAACGTCCAGTCCTCGGTGTCAGCAAGCTCCCTATACAGGCGCAGCTCCTCAGGATTCACGCCAGCGTCGTGCATCCCTACCAGACCAAAGGAGTGCAGACTCTCCATGGCAGACTTGAGGAATGCTGTCCTCTTGGTGTTGTCCGGCCGCGGCCAAAGCCTCATCACAACATCCATGGCGTTGTCGCAGAACACGCCCATGCCCGGGTCTCGAACGATTTCTCCTCCAGGAATGTCTGGCAGCTCTGTGGGAAGAAGGTCGAGAACAGCCTGTGAGACCCAAACGCAGTGAACGTCCACCCGGTCCAGCATGATATAGAGACCTTTGAAGCGGTCATCACTCTCCAGCATTGCCTTTGCAGTCACATAGGAAAGTCAGCAGTGCGTCAAATGCAGTATACTAGTTTTAGTAACATGGGCGAGAGGCATGGTAACGGGGAACACACCGCAGTGGGCATCTCACCCAAAGCCATCTGGTCCCACCCTATACCTCTGATCCAATCTTCCCGGCCGCCCACTCCCTCGTGCGTGGACAGGTACGTGGCCAGCCTGGTATGCACATCAATTATGGACGAAGCGCCGAACAGGTCGACGGAATGCAAGAATTCACCATAAGCCGCGAGATGGCCATGCTGTACCAAGGTCAGTCTCTTATGAGAACAAATCCTACTCGACCAGAGTTTCTTCAGCTTACTCCATCCCATAGACCTGGGATTACATGGCCATGCCGAGCCTCGACAGGCAGCTCCGACTTCGGCGCGAAGACGTCGACGAATACACCGTCCACCACTGTGAAACACGTAGCTGCAGGAGACTCAGCAGAAAATCGAGCTGTGATGCCTCCTGAGTAGCAGTACGTCTGACTTGACGAGTCCTGTAGGAAGATGTCCTGAAGAGGTTGCTGGAATTGAAGGTATACAGCTACCACAGCAGCAAGCAGGGATGACCAGAGGCCCACCCTGAGGGAGAGAGAAAACATTGATGGCAAATCGACTTCCAGAGGAAAGTTTCACGTGGAAGCTTGGAACGAGATAGAGGCAGATAGAGCGATCAAACAGCGCCTAGGGCATGAGCGCAAGAGACCAAAGAGCGGTCGAAGTCGAAGGTTCCAAAAGTTTGACGCATGTTCTCTCGTGGCCCTGAGCTTGATATCAAGCCTAAGATAAGGTTAGTGACACTCCAGGCCATGATTGTTGTCCTTGATCCAGCCTGCCTTTCAACCCTGATCAATTGACGCCCGCATTCTTTGGAAAGTGGATGAAGGTGAGGCTATCCAGAGACATATCAAACTATCAAATTGAAATTGAAATTGAAAAGGAATGGGAAAAGATGTCCTGGGCAACCATGAAGCAGATAAAGTTCAACCCTAACCCCTACCCTTGGCGTGATATTCCCTGTTCGTTATCCCAGCTATGGCTCATTGGTCAAGTTCTGACTTCGACTTTCAGCCCTGCGCCTGCCTCTCGTACAAGCGTTTGCAAAACACCCACTTTCCAAGGCAACCCAAAGATCAGCTACCCACTTTCTCTAAGGCGCCCACGAGATTTTGTCGACCATCCATTTTGCCAATTTCTCTACTCATCTTGATTCTGGCTAATTACAATGACTTTTAGTTGCTCATTGTTAAATGCACTAGACGGCTCATGATACACTTCTCTTCTCGAACCATCGTCAACCTGGGCCCACCTTCGATTGTACAACCGTGGTCAGTATTGATGGCCACACTTCAAGATTGTGCCGTGCATGGTTGCCATCTCTTTCCACTGTCGGTGGCCTGCAGAAGAACTACAAGCGCATGACTGACAAAATCAGCCGCTTCCGGGAAAATATATCTGTGGCACCTAGGCGGTTGTGTTGATCCTTTCTTCCAGTTTACGAGACTTCACCTCCATCTGTCGGTCTCATGAGGGAAAATTGCACTCTGCGAAAGCCGAAAGCAGACCTGGAAGGGGTATACAGGCGACGAACCTTCAGGAAAAAGCTAGTGAGATGGCATAGGACCAGCCTTCAACAATCATGGGTCTCCTCGCGAAGCACCAGCCAATATGAAGCCCCGACTCCCGTAACTAACATGTTGTACCTTGCGAGAGGTGAGACAACTTCCCATCTATACAAGTCATTAGCAATCAGAAATTCCGACGCTGGCCTTGCCATTTCCTGCTGACATCAGCCGTATTTCGAGGGCTCAGGTAATCTCCCGTTTTCCCGACTCGGAAAGTCTCACAAGCCCTCGCTCCTAGTCTACGACAGAAAAGGGGATGATCAACCTTGGGAGATGGCTCATGGAGGATACCGTCTCAGTGAGATTGAGAGTGTGGCGGTCATGCAGTCAGACCATTGTTTTGACAACCTCGGGACGATCCAGCTGCAATATTTCCTCTTCTGACCCGCCTTTACACGAAAAGTTCGCTCACTATCCCAAACCCGAGGGACTGGCAGTTCTCAGTCTCGGACGTGTTGTACCGGAGCCAAATCGGAAAGACAATAGTCAGGTATGAAGCGACCAGTCAGCCTTGGAAGAGAGACAGAGCTCCAACTTTCTCGGGAAACAAGTCCGTTGCCAGTGACAACGTGAGATGTGAATAGGCCACGAGACTACTTGATCAAAGTGATGCAATTCTGTCCACTAGAGCAAGGGCATGTTGATGAGTCTGAGAGTTGCCAGCATGGCTCTTCATCTGATTGGTACAGCGTCTGACCTGTTCTTTGTTTTGGAGACTTCTTACGAAGCATACTTACATTTGCAGGCCGCCGAAGTCCTCGAGTGGAGACATTGTATTGGCCTTTTCTTCTCCTTTTGTCCCTCCCTATCTCTCTTCTCTCGTCATTCCTGCAATATTCTACACAGGTCTTCCGGATATATGACGCTGGCCATAATTATGACTGCCTTGAGGCAAAAAGTTGTGTGGATGATGATCAGTACGCCATGGAATGTGAGAGCTGGTGACTCGTCATCGTTTCGGAACGGGTGTCCGGTACAAGGCTTTATTATGTTGACGAATCTCTCAACCCTAACAGGGCGGATCTGATACGGAAGATCTTGCGAACGCTCGACAGGAACCAGATATACCCGGGTGTGCATAATGTGTATAGCAGATACGCTGCGGCGGTCTGCACGCTACCTAATCATTCGCCGGCTTTTGTTGTGATAACCGCTCGGCCCTATGCCGGATGATTGCAAAAGAAGAAAAACGCAACCAAAGAATAGCAGGCAATGGTAAACCTCGCGGAAGCCTTGTCCGCCTTCCGCAGGTTGTGCGCGGACACCCGATACAGAACACATTTCGGCTGCTTATCCGACTCGACAGCCCTATAAGCCGCGGAGTACCTCGTGACCAGGCGTGCTCGCTCCTTGGCAGTACGGATCATAGGCGGAAAAACCATGTCTGGTGCAGAGACGAAGGAGGTCGCGCCTGTCTCGCGCGGCCTCTACCTTTGTTTGTCGAGATCTCATGATGTTGCGTGCCAGCCGATACGATCGTCTCATGGAACATGATGCACAAATTTCCGCACACCGGTCGGGGGCCTCAGGTTTTGTCCAGAGAATGGTGCCCCACTTCAGCTATAGCACTGAAGCCCGAACGAGGCCCGCAAGACTCACGAACTTTGGACCGAGGCCTTTGCAGTTCGAGGTCGACACGGCGCTGAGGCGGTCGGCTGCATGCTGGTCACGCCATGCCAGCGCCGTATCAATGTAGAGCAGGCAGCACGACATAATGGACCATGGGAAATATACGGAGCACAAGTCGGTCATGTGTTTCCGAACAGGCAAGTATCATCTCCACGGGGATCCCCTGCAGCAGAGGATGTATGCCGGCAGCGGTGTTTGTGGGCCGGGGCGATCAATGTAAGACACGTACTAGGTACGTTCCTCGGGGCCGTCCGATATTAATGTGCTGCTGCTCGTCGAGTAGAATATCGACGGGGCGCCTTACATTAGGCTGAATGGTATTCATCTAACTTGCACCGTGTCAAAGGCATAGCGCTGCCTTCAGCCACTCAAGTCAAAAGTTTATACACGACGAGAGGAGTCGCCCACATTCAATGTCTCATGAAGAGTGTCATGAGGCCCAACTCATGCAGTTGAACGCAACAAGGGAGCCATGTCCCCTTGTACGACGACAACCACGACCACCATTGGGTGAGTGAGCAATAATACCAGAGGCCAATATTCTGAGCCGTTATCTAGTCGGGCCACTGTCGTCGCCGAGGGATCGGCCGAAAGTCGACCAGCTGGTTGTGATTGGCGGAAGATCTCGGGTTAAGAGGGCCCAGAAATAAGGGGGCACTACGGCGAAAATCTTGGTCCAGATTCCGTGCTCCTTAGACCCCCTGGCCCACGTTTTCCTCCCCAAACTCCTGGGTGCCTTGTCTCAGCTGGGGAAACAAGTTTGGGGTCCTGGCTACCCCGCGATGGGTGCTCCGTGGGTTTGAGCGTTCAGCATGTCGGAACGCTCGCTCAGGGGAGGAGCATCGCCGGTGATGTAGAGTGCTGCTGTCCCTAAGTGTCAGTACCCGACGAATCTGAACTTGGGGGATCAATAATCTCATGATGAAGAAAGAGGCGACGAGAACCCTCGCCACGGCCGACCCAAGGATATCAGGTGGTTTTTGTTTTCCCTTCTTGGTTGGGGGCATTGTTTTTTGTCTTCTTTTTATTTTCTTCTTTCGTTTTTTTATGGGTTGGTCTTGCCAGGCTGACTGGTCAACAGACAAGACACAGACCACTCGAGGGGAGAGGGTCTCCTGCCTGTGGAGCCGGCGGATCAGCATAATGCATGTCCATCATCGCAAGATCTCAAGTCTGGCACTTTGGGTGTGATCTTGTTGCAGTGAACTCATCGGTTGCGAGTGCCCATGAAGTACCATCTAAACGATGGTAATCGGCATGCCTCATGCGGGCAAATTCGATCTCTCCTATCGCCTTTTTTCTCGTTTACCCCCCCCCCTTCCTTTTTCTTTCTTCTTCCCCCCCCCCTCCCTGCTTCTGACCGCTGTACATCTGTAGCAACAGGAGGCTGAAGCTTAGGCACAATGCCGCAGCGGGCGGTCCAGTAGCGCCGAGATCAATGCTGTAGATCTGCCGAGCTATATGTGGTGGAACAATTGAGCGCCCGCAACCTGGAAGCCTGCAATATCACCATCTGCTGTCGACTTGGGCCAAGAAGAGAACACATGTTTGCATGCGCACTGCGTCCACGAATCACTGAGGCTTTGCATCGTGCGATAGGGACACCCTTGACGCGTTGATCTATGGTCTGGATCACCTCCTGCACCCTGCCCACGTTGTGATGCGTATGTCGACCAAGCATCGACATGTAGCGAGCTTATTTATGCCCTGGGAGAGGGGCTCAAGAAGGGGGGGGGGGCCTCTCCAGTCCAGACCCACTCATGTTAGACGGAATATTTTGGCTAGCTGCTGCTTGGCGCTGTCAATCCTCGGGTCTAGTTGGCTCTCCACATGTGGGAAGCCGACTACTTCAACTGACCTCGACATCTTTTGTCCTTCCAAACAAACATCATACCATCCGGGCCCGTTTACCGTCACGTTCTTCTCTGAAAGACGAGTTGAATGCCAGAATCCTCGGGTTCACGGGATGTGACCAAAGCAATGCAACAGAAGACTTTCGGAAACCCATCTTCTTTTGAACGACAACATACACACACAACAAACAAACACACACGTTACGAGAAGGAGAGGCCTGCGACCATCATCAGACAAAGGAGGATCATTGGTCCACAGCTTCTTCGAGGGCATATATAATCTTGTCGCAGCATCCAACACAGGAGCTGGAACAGAAACATACTGGCGGCTTATTACCTCCTGAGGAATTGTCCAGCTCCCCCCTCCCCCCCCCCCAAATCTGTCCCGTGCCCTTGTGCCCCCGGACCCGCAGCTGGGAAGACCCCCAAACGGTTCCGAAGATACGGCGAAGACACCTACAACCGGCAGAACAAGCCGCAGTACACTGTACTACTACTGCTACTACTACTGCTGCTGCTGCTGCTGCTAATCCTCCTGCTACCCGTCTCGTCTCCGTCTCCAGGGCACAGGATTCCCCCATAAGCCTTAGTCAACATTCAGACTGGTGTGCGCCCCAGACGCTCGAGGAGGGTCCAGGCCAACTTTCCGGTTCACCCACACCCCCAAAGAGACTTACTTGGCGAGCATCCGGCCGACACCATCTGTTCGCGGTGGTCGCGAGTTGTGTGGTTTTTGTGTGGTTCTTGCCCTCGATAGCCGCGCGCGCCCGTCTCGATTAAAAAGAACAAAAAGACTTGGTCCCGTTTTCCAGGTAAAATCCCAACCCCAAAATTCTCCTTACGGCCAGCATCTCTTGTCCCGCCGAGCCGCCCACCCCTTTGCATTTCAGGCTATTCTGCCGTGCGCACGCGAGATCTGGGAATTATCCTTTGCCCATATTGGCCTACCTACGAATAATACCATATCCTGGTTCTTGTTGATTTGTTGTCGCAAAAAAGCAAAACAAAAAGGACAGGCTGCGACGACAATATTTAGCACAACAATCGCTCGCTGCTGCTACTGTTGCTGCTGCTTCTGTTGCTACTACTCCTCTGCCCCTCTGGGGAAGAACCCAACCTCACCCAGCAAATCTGTTCCACCCTCTCATATAGGGAAGGAAAAAAAGAAAGGAGTCAGAAACAACGCACAGATCGAGCACTTGGAGGAGTTTTTGTGCCGGCGGACTCCCCAAGGGCGGAAAAGATGGCGGCAGTCCAGCAGCTTGAGCCGTCGCCGACACCAACGAGGCCCAGAAGTATAATGGGACCTAACGCTGACGTTGAGATGGACTTGGGTGGCGGCGGCCGGTCACTAAGTGCTCGGTCGCTGCCCACCATGACAACAACCTCTTTCGGCAGCGGACCACAGCGAGGAGACACCAGGATCGTCGTCATTGTCTACGGACCCGGACAGGACAGAATCGTGTCCGTCTTCGCCGAGGTTCTCGGTAAATCACACAGGATGATCGATGCGTTTAGAGACATCAACGAGGTGGACAGGGACCTCGTCGTGGGGGTCCAGGCGGACAAAGCCAAGGTCGACGTGGCAGAGAGGGGCCGGGAGCTTGTCGTGGCCATCAACGCGCACTGTGTCAACCTGGGGATGCCACCAGACGTCGACCTGTCGGCGCAGTGCGACTACGAGTTCCTGTACACCGAGACGCCTTTCTTCCGGCGCGACCTGTGCCGGTTCATCTCCTTCACGCTGGGCCAGCTGAACCACCACGAGACGCTCATGGCGAAGCCCAGGACGTACTTCATCTCCACCACCTTCCCCGATGTGCGCGCAGCTCTCCCCAACATAGACATCCTCACAGTCGGCGCGGATGCCGTGGAGATCCGTGTCGACCTCCTGAAGGAGCCTCTGGGCGACGGAACCTTCTCGGCCGTGCCGAGCCTCAGCTACGTCGGCGAGCAGGTCATGCTCCTGCGCCAGAGGACCGAGCTGCCCATCATCTTCACGACGAGGTGTACGAGAGAGAACGGCCGCTTTCCCATGGACAACCCAGACCTGTACCTGGCGTACCTCTACCGGGCGATCCAGTGGGGTGTCGAGTACATCGACGTCGAGCTGTGGCTGCCAGAAGCCATCAGGAAGTCGCTCTGGGAGCGCAAGGGCAGCAGCCACATCATGTCTGCCTTTCACGACTTCTCAGGCACGTTCAAGTGGCCGTCGCGACACGCCGAGGAGGTCTTTGTGGAGTCGCAGCGATACGCAGACATCATCAAGATGATCGCCATCATCAACGACCCGAACGAGAACTTTGAGCTGGAATACTTCCGCTCCAAGATGAGGGCCGACTATCCCGACTCGCCTCCCTTTTCGGCCGTCAACATGGGCGAGACGGGCCAGTTTTCGAGGACTCTGAACAAGGTCTTTACGCCCATCACACACCCCCTGCTGCCCATCATCGCCGCCCCGGGCCAGATGAGCGCGTCGGAGATCAACCAGGCGCTGGCGCTGCTGGGCCAGCTACCGAGGAAGAGCTTCTACGGCATCAGCAGCCCGGCCAGCCGCAACACGACGCCCCAGGCGCCCTTTTACGAGAAGTGCTTTAACGAGCTCGGCCTGCCGCACCACTTCGCCGTGGTCCAGAGGCTTCCCAAGGGCAACGGCTGCTTCGAGGCCTGGTGCAACCAGAAGAACTTTGGCGGCGCCTACCTCAACCCGCCCGTGTCGTTCCAGAGCCTGATCGGCAACAGTCCATTCTTCGCCTCCGTCAACGGCGGTGCTGGGCCCATTCTCAGCGAGGCTGCAAGGGTGATTGGCGTGATCGACACCATTGTGGTTCGGCCGGGTGCCTCGTCTCCCTCGTCGGCGCCCGCCTCGATCCCCTCCAGCCCGCGCAACGGCCACGCGCGCATCGATTCATTTGGTCACGTCGCCAGTGGAGGAGGCGGCGGCGGCGGTGGCGGCGACGCAGGTCTCCCGCCCAACACGACCCTCATCCTCGACAATGCCACGTGGCGCGGCATCCTCAGCGCTCTGACGCGCGACCTCGCACCGTCCGCCTACTTTGGCCGCGCGGCCGTCGTTCTCGCTTCCTCCTCGGACGATGCGGCCAGCGTCATCTTCGCTCTCAAGGCTCTTCGCGTCGGCAAGATCTACACCGTCGGCTTCAAGACCCCGCCCGCCCTCGCCCACGGCCTCAAGATCGAACCCTTCAACTCGCTCGAGTCTCTGCAGCGGGCCCGTATGGTGGGCGCCACCGACGACGCCGCGAGCCCCTTCGTCGTAGTGAGCGCTCTCGGCCCGGACAAGAACAAGATCGTGGCCTGGGTGGTACGGGCCTTTGGCGGCTCCTCTTCTGCCAGGAACGGAAGCCCTGGCGCCTTCTCCGGCAGCAGCAGCAGCGGCGGCGGCGGCGGCGGCGGCGGCGGCGCCAGCAGCAGCACAAAGAAGGTCTTCCTTGATCTTGCCGATGAGGGCGCCGGCGTCGGCCGCAAGGGAGACCCGAGCACCGTGGCCGAGCAGAGCGGGTTTGCCGCCTACGGAAGCGCAGATACTGCTGCGTTTGCGACAGTCGAGACACTACGGTTACTGGTGGGCCAGAACGTCCCTTATAGTTTTGTCAGATTGGCAAGTGGGAGAGGCATATATTGAGGAAAAGAAGAAGAAGAGGAGGAGAAGGATAAGAGCATAACCTATTATCCTCCGAGACCTCAGCCATGTGGCGATCGAAAGGGTATTATAGATCTTGCCTGTATACGCAGGCCTTCCGAGGGATGCATTGCCTTGGGGACTTCTTTTGAAATTTCCTTCTTCATTGGGCACATGAGCAGACAGTGCGTTTGCTCTGTTCCCCATGCGCAACAACAACAACAACACATCATCAACAACGACAGCAACGGGAGAACTATACGATACTCCTTCGACAATACTCAGACGCTGCAGCATCGAGGCTGCATTCAAAGACGGCTTTCGCCTTTGGTCGAAACGTTTCCTATGCCACAGCTCTTCACGATACCCTTTCTTTTCCCCCTTCCCTTCTTTTTTTCTGTGGCAAGCATCAATTTGCCGCACTGTGTGCGAGACTTCTCACCAAAATTTCCTTTTTTATCAACATCGACCTTACCTCCTCACCCTTTGGATTCTGCCACAAGGCTACCTTAGAAGGATTGGGGCTCCAGCGAGGGTTTTTTTTTCTTCTTCTTCTTTCGTCGGCGGATGACCCGAGGCAGCATGTACGGTGGAAGCCGCTCCGAGTCCTCCCCAAGGTGAAATAAGAGCTATACCGGAACCAGGGGGGGTCTCCCCCTCCTCAGGGGAGGGGAAAGCACTACAGTGGACCATTAGCAAAGAGGAGGAATTGAGAGGACCCACAACAGGCTCACCTGATGAGCGCTGTGGGGAAATAGGACCCCGTGGGGTGGTAAGGTAGAAATGGTAGCGAGCGGTCGGTCAAACACAACAAGACGCGGTGGAAAACATATACACACACAGAGAGAGAGAGGGAGAGAGAAAGAGGAATGGGATGGGGAAAGGAAGGGGTGTGGGGAAATTTCGTAACCTTGGATTTTTGTTCGCATCTGCAAGGCGTTTCTGGTCAGAGGCCCCGAGGCCTTGGTTATTTGGTTGTTAATCCTCTTTTTTGTTCTTCCTTTTGTCCGTATCTTCAGACTTATCTCTTTTTCCTTTTTGTGTCCGTTCCTTGTTCGGCCAGACTTGTTTTCTTGGAAAATGGCCACATGTCAGGTGTATGTGTATCTTCCCCTCACGATATGTATAGCAGATAGTGCTCTGTGCCCTCGGATTCGGATTTATATGACAGAAATGATGTGGGCGGGCTTACCATCCTCGTTTCCCTTCTTCTCACTTACTATGAGTCTCATAATGGGAGGGCATATCAGTACAGATAGGAGCCGATGGCGATGCATCTGATACATCTCTCACTTCTCACTCTCACACACACGCACTCTCTCTCTCTCTCTCTCTCTCTCTCTCTTTCTCTCGCTCTTCCGTCTCCGTGCAAGACAACAAACAAAACAAGCCAGACAAGCGATTGTACAGAATCCGAGCCCCCTCCCCCTCTCCCGACCTCGGCCCTTCCCCAAGACCATTTCTCGACATCGTAAGGACGACTTATGCAGTTCTTCCCCACAAAAAACGCCGACGTGAAACTTTGTAGATAATATGCAAGAAATGCAAAGAGAGAGAGAGAGAGAGAGAAAAAATTTCCCAGGTCTATCTTAGAAAACCGGCATCCCATCGGACCTGTAGCCTAGGTGAGCATAGTCAGTCGAACTCGAACAAAGCAAGGGCTCTTCCCGTTCATGAATGGTTGCGGTAATACAACACGCTGGCCTGGGATTTATTTCAACACACAAAAAACGTCTGTAAGTAAACAGAGCTTTTTTTTTTCCCCCCTCCATCGTGTCGTGGGCTCCCTCGTCTCCCCCCCTCCCCTCTCCTCTCTCCAACCCACCCTTTTACTTGGCTTTTTTTTTTCTTCTTCTTCTTCTTCTTCCTTCGTTCTTCTTTTGGAATGAGGTGATTTCCAAGAGGGGCTTGAGTAAAATGACTGGGCCGGACTGGCCCTTGCCGCCTACTCCCACCCTTTATTTCTCTTTTGTCTCTTATCTCTCGGACGTCGGCGACATTCGTTTGCTGGGGCTCGCCTATTCAGACAGATGTGTACTGCGGAGGGGGGCGCTGGAACCCGCCGAATGTGATTCATCACAGACAGAGAGGGCGGGGTGGGGGTGGGGGGGGGGGTGAAGCTGTACCTTGGTTCAATAGGGTCGTGGGGAAACACGACAGCAAGTGTTGGCTTGACACAGCCTCGCTGTGTGGCACCCCAACCCTGGATTTTTTTTCTTTTTTTCTTGGTTCTTTGGGTTTTGTGGCTGATGAAAAGAGAAGGAGGGTTCGTCGTATTTTTGTTCGTGGTGTTGGGGCGCTCAGGATTGGGCTGGAGAACGGACGGCCAAGCCCCCCCTTGGTCATCGGAAAATGCTTTCGAGGAAGCGCGAGTTCCAGTGAATCAGACGCTGTGCAACCCCGAAACGGCCTTGAAGGCTGGGGGCGAGAAAGTAAGAACGTCCACGACTGGACTATGTCATAATTTGTGAACTGTGGCGGTGATGATGATATTTTGAGCTGGTCCTGTATCACCAAAACCCCCTGTCGTCGTCGTGCTTGAAACGGTTGTCGTGCTAGAATACCACCCACCCAAGGGAGAGTTCTATACGAAATAGTCTCAAAGGTTCCCATACGTCCCTGCGTCCTTTCCCTTTTGAAGGCACACAAGGGTTCGTGTATACATAAATCATCCTGCACAAGCGAAGCGAAGGGCTTGATAGCATGCAGTAGGTCCTTCAGGGCTGAACACGAGACACACGCGGTGTTCGCCGCTCTGCACGTTGTCATACTGCAGCAAGATGTACCTCCTTTTTCCAAGAATATAACAGCCCCTTCGCCAACACGATATTGTCATGATACATGGTGTTGGCCAGCAAAAGCCCCGAGGACTAACACAGCCGTGGTGGGAAGACAGTGGGCTGCGGCTCATGTAGCACAGCATATACGCGAGAGACTACACGTTGCAGTGTCCCGAGACAACCCTTAAAATATGAACAGCCAAAGCTTAAAGCTAGTTTTGAAGTCGAATAACGTCCTCACGTAAAAGTTTGGACCACCCCTCTCTTAAGCAAAGGCATAACAACCCCCGTCCCCCTTTCCCATCTGCCATGCTTGTATAACCAGATACAGGTATCAGGAAAGTACAGTCTGGGAGGATGGAAAGAAAGTAGACAAGATCATGCCGTAAGCGTTTTGCTTTTCCAAGATGGCAACTGGGTTGCAGCTAGAGATGCATGTTGCAGATTTTGCGGTATAAGCACGATGCATTCGGAGGGACACTGCAGAGGTCTCGTTGAAAGAAGGGGGGGCGGGGGGACAAAGATGGCCTGCGAGATTCCTCCTCTGTTCGGCATTCAGCGGTCAGAGTAAGGCAGATGAAATGCTTGACGTTGTCGGTTGTGCACCATGATTCCTCAATGAGACGAAGTGCGCAGTTGCCAACACAAACACATACGTACACCCACCCCATCTCAATCGCTCGTCGTCATCTGTTAGCCATCCTCAAGGATTCCCCGCCCGAACAACAGGTGATCAAACACAGAAATGGGCCAGGCCAAAAAAACAACACCTTGGATGCCAGCAGAGAGCACAAAAAGGGAAATGCTGCAAGGGCAGCAAGGCTGACAGGGTGGGTTGACGATGGGCTGGCAGCCGAATCGTTTCGCTTCGCATTGATGCGAAAGATGAGACGAGGTTGGGACGATCCACGTGCCACCTTTAATGGGGACCCAACCACTTCTGACGCGCGAGGGCTGCACTGCTGCACTCGCAACCATCCAATCCACGTAGCAGGCAGACGAGAAAAAAAAAATTAAAAAAAAATGCATAACGAATGAGTGTACCCAGGTCCTGAGATACTCTTGACGTTTGGAAATGCTTTGATTCGAGTACGAATCATGACAAGATGGGCTGCGCCTTGGGTGGTGCATGGCGGGGGGAGGGGTTCGGATCTGCCTCAAACGAGGCTGGCAGGTCGGACGCCGTCCTCGCTAGGGCTTGAACAGTATTGGTCCTGTGATGTGAACCCTGTTCTTTCACGGACCCCCTCATCGGGCATGGGAAGACGAGCTGCAATCCTATGGTGGTCCCGCAGGTGCCATTGGTGATCAATCCATCTTTCACGGTCGCCACAAGCGAAGGTGACGGAGGGTTCCGTCTGAGAGCTGACATGCAGTCCGAATTGCCTGTGGTGTGCAGGGATGTTATCCCAGTAGGTCTACACAGTACTGTCGATAGGCACGATAGGCTTTAAAGTTTGTCAACCGCAGATCTTAAATGAGTCTGGAAGAAAGACAAAACATCGTTGAGGCTCTGACAAAGATGACATGACCATCTTTCTCGCTCTCGAGGCCCCCAATGTTGGAGGGTATGTGCCGATTAGCGGATCGTCATTGTATTGGTGCGCTTCGTCCCCTGATCCACCCAAGTATGCATGCACCCCACAGAAGGGGCGACAATGCCGCATCTTGGCTAAGTTTGTTGTTGGGGTGCATTCCCATGAGCCGAGATGACCGCCCAGCGACTGGAGATGGGGGGAGGCGCGTGGGAAGAGACACGCCTTTCACCAAAATCGCAATGATCAACATCGTTCCAGCTTCGAACTGACCTTGTGAGAGCAATGCAATCCAGGCTGGGAGGGGAGCCATCAACCCCTACACGATGGCTGAGTCTAAACCACATATATCGAAACTGACCTGCAGGATGGCAATCTGATACTACAGTCATATCTGGTCCCTTTTGATGGAGCTTCCCAAAGAAGCTGTTGCCTGGGGCAGGGGGCGTGCGTGGGCCTTGACGATGTGATAGGTCTCTTTGATATGCAGAGCTTCCATGTTAAGAGGGCCTGTACCAGAGTATGAACCCTGAAGTACGGAATTACGGAGAGGGCTCATTGTATCGTCGGTTCTTCTCCGGACTCTTTCGGCCCAGGAGCAGGCGGGTCGCCCTGTGTGACTTCTCACATAATCTGCAGTATCAGGGCTTCGCCCTGTAATTTGGTGACTGCAGAGGATGGTTCCTTG